ATGGTGCCAGTAATGCCTAAAACACACCCCTGACACCCTAACCTATACATTTATGATTTCTTTTTGTTGCTCTTCGTTGGTTTTGATGCTTCATGGGAGAGAAACTGCTATGGCAGAGAAACAGGAAATCAAACCTGAGTCCTAGTGTGGTGTGGGCAGTGGTAGAGGAAGGGGGCGGGGGAGCAGACACCTTGGGTGCCATCTCTGAGGGGGTGACAAGAAGGTACCCTGCGGGAGGCTTGCCCCACCACCCCCGGGTGCAGCAGCGCAAGCCACTGCCATCATGCCGCCACAGCCACAGCCGCCGCAAGCCACAGCCGCCGCAAGCAGAAGATCCCACCACCGTCCGCACAGCGCTGTCGGAAAAGAGCCTGGCGGCGTATGTACAGCGCTGCTATGTACGGGGCACACAACGCTGGTCAGTTTGCCCTGCCCCCAACACCCCACACTGGGTGTCGGTTAGCCTTCCTTTGCCCCTGGGTGTGGGGGCTAATATGTTTGGTTTGGAAGTGGGATGCTCAGTCTCAAAGATCCCTCTTGAACCATATAGGCCTGAACGATATTCTCCAAGTCCTTCACCCTCAGCCCAGTGAGAATAAAAGAAAGTTTTAGCATCTTCTTTGGAGCTTCTTAGATCTAAATATCGCAAGGGATCTCAGTATTACAATGCTGAGTGCTTCCAGATGACTGGTTTATTGAGCATTCATCCTGACTCATTTGCAGGAGACTAGATCCTGTAGCGGCAAGAGGTGCTTTTCCATGCTTCCCAATGCATTATTGCAAAAGTCTTATCTTTTTTGTTGGGAAAGGGTTTTTTGGTTGCACAGTGCTTCCCAATCAAGTGAGTGCAATTATTAGTTTACCATTATGTGACTGAATCCCATTCGAAAATAAAAGCAGCCTGGACGTGGCCTTAAATACAGTTGTTCAGGCAGCTGGGTGGACAGTGAACTATAGAACAGGATTGCCATAGTGTGGTCACAACTGGTCACTGCACCCGTGCATTCGTTAATGGGATGTACCGGTAGTTCCCACGTAGCCAAGGAGGGGGAAATCAAGCCTTGGAGGATTTCTGACAGTGGTGGCTGCTGCCCACAAGACCTGCTGCAGCTGCAATGTCAAGGAGCATGGCAAAAGAACAGTCACAAGGGTGTGGCCATGTTGTTCTGATTTTCTCCCTGTAATGCACGAGCATTGCAATTTTAAAAATAGTTGGCACTTAATTAAACTGAAAAGCGTATTAACTTTGGTTTGCAAGTGGTCTCTGCTTCTCGGCTGGGAGAAAAGTTACATTCTTTCCCACCTGTTCTGGTTCTCTCCACATCCTCCTCCATTGCAAGCAAGCAGGGAGCACGGAAACATTGCCGTTTTGTCAATGCATGTAGCCTACAGGATTGCAGCCTGATCTGGTCTTAAAGCTGCCATGCAGGACTGCTAGCAAGAGACTCCTTATACGAGAAAAGGTTATTTTCCCCCACCCTGCTTATTAATTTCCACATCTCTTTTCCAGGATATGGAATAAGATGGATGGGTATTCAATGGACTAGACAGGGGTCAGCAAACTTTTTCAGCAGGGGGCCAGTCCACTGTCCCTCAAACCTTGTGGGGGGCGGGACTATATTTTTTTGGGGGGGAACAATGAATGAATTCCTATGCCCCACAAATAGCCCAGAGATGCATTTTAAATAAAAGCACACATTATACTCACGTAAAAACATGCTGATTCCTGGACCGTCTGCGGGCCGGATTGAGAAGGCGATTGGGCCGCATCCGGCCCACGGGCCTTAGGTTGCCTACCCATGGACTAGGACCTGGGAAACCAGGGTTAAAATCAACCATGACACTCGCTGGGTCACCCTGAGCCAGTCACACTCTCTCAGCCTAACCTACCTCACAGGGTTGTCAAGAGGATAATATGGGGGGAAAGGAGACCCACAAATGCCACCTTGAGCTTCTTGGAGGAAAGGTGGATTGGATAAAAATATAATACTGATAAATAAGGAATAGTAGTAATAATAAACAGTCTCTCTCCAGCTTGTTTGCTTCTGATTTTGAATTGGGGGGGGGGGTGGAATCATGAAGAAATGCCTAACCTAAAAATCAAAGAAAAAAGAATCGGGAAATTCAAGCCTACAAATAATAGGACATGCAGGTCATAAGCAAAGAATTATGGGAACTATGCTTTGTTAAGAGTCTCTCAACAACTATCAGCACCTTTAACAAACTACAGTTCCCAGGATTCTTTGGGGGAAGCCGTGTCTCTTAAAGTGGTATAAGAGTGCTTCAAATGCATAGTGTGAGCGAGTCTTCTTTTTTTTTTTCTCCTACCAAAAATGAATGGGATTCTGAAATGGAAAAGAAGAAGAAGCCTTGCACACCTTTACTTGTGCATCCTGCAAATCCCCAGAATTTAAGCAGCCCACGCCATAGCTGTGCTGACCTGCTGTGATGGGGGAACTCTGCCATCCATGCAGACTTTGCAGGGTCAGGAGGCCCCTTTGGATCAAAGTTGTTAGGAATGCAAACAGCAGCTTCAGCTCAGCACTTGCAAACTACCAGTGAGCAGCCAGCAGCAGAGGCACCAGGAGGTCAGCTGCAAGTCAATTCAGATTAACACTTACAAGCCAATCAGGACAAAAATAGAGTTAATCTACTGGTTTGAGCCTCCAAACAGGGTGAATCAGAGGTGATTTGGCTCTCAGTGCACGTTGAGGAATATGAAGAGAATTAATGCAAATATTTAAATCTGTGCCCTCACTTTATTGGATTTTACTTTCATTGTCAAGTCGGGGGGGGGGGTTGCTTCCAGAGGTGGCGAGTGCTCAATAAAGTAAAGTAAAATCCCAAATCACCACCAGCTTGTTAGGCCCCAGTTTGAAAAAATGCAAAAATCAAGACCCACTTAGCCAAATGCAGACTACCAGCTATATGTCAGGTGCCAAGCCAAGAAGATTTGACCTTTTGAATCATCACAGGTCAAGTTAAAAAAAGGGGTTCTGTCTAAACTGGAGAAAAACAGGATGCTGGAGTAGATGGGGAACTGGTCTGATTCAGCAGGGCTTTTCTTCTGTTCTTAAGGATCCTTGTCTTGCTTCACATATACAACTATATGCTCAAAGGCCCTCCCTCGCTGCAGATATTGGTGATGTGTGTATAGATAGCAAGGGAGGGGTGTGCAATAATAGGGTGGGGCTAATTAGCATGGTCCTGCTCCACACTCCAACACTGTTCAAAGAATTCCCAAAGAGGGCAAGCATCACCTCTCACATCCTGTGAAGGCCACCTTTGCTGTGAAGCCATAAGTAGTCTCAGGAGTGCCAGCTTGGCCCTGCGACCGTGGGTGTCTAGGGTTGTGGGTGCCATGCAGCGTGCATGACCCTGGTGCCAAATTTTGTGGGTGCCCAGCCCCTTCATGGGGCATTTTGTGGGTGCTCGGGCACCCAGGGCCCCAGACAGCCAGCACCTATGAGGAGCCTCCAGGATACACACTTTTTTAAAAAATGACTTTTTGCAGTTATGAAAATGATGAGGATATGCACCAAAAAGCGTGTGATAAACCAGTGGTTGACGAGAAGGTGTATAATTCCCCTGCAAGCAAATCAGAGCAAATGCCCAATAAACAGAGGGCATATTATAAATTCTGCACAATTTGTGCAAAACGAATCAGGATGACTGCTCTGGAGAAGCTGTTATCCTTAACCTGTTTAGTCCTCATCCACAAATGAGACTAAGGAACATGCACTTGCTATTAGTCATCTATCGTTACCATTGCCACTACCCACCCATTCGTGTCTCTGCTGTTGTTGAGATTTATATTGCAAGTCCTTTAGGGTCAGGGGGTTCCCTTTTCCCCTAGCTTGTGCATACCCACGTTGGAGGAAAACAAATACATTTCCTTCTCTTGAGTTTGTAGTTAATGTATGTGTTACTGTAAACCACACGAGGGCACTGTTTGTCTAACAATCTGGCCGCACTTGTTCGTAAGCCTCTTTGTCTACGTTAGCTCCACCCCTATAAGCTGAGCCATTTTGTTTATCATTCATCCCTAGCTTGTTGAGACAATATGTCTTCTGTTTCTCACTCTCCTCACTATTCATCCTGTAGTTTCTTCATGAATAAAGCATTTGAACTCCAAGAACTGCAAGTGATTATTCCAAACTACGGTAATTCCATCAAGCTGCAAGGTCTGCTAACAATCGATGTCAGCACATCTCTGAATTGCCTGGTTTGGAATACAAATTTGGCATGTTCATAAAGTACACCCGTATCCTGATTGTGCAGTTTCAATTCGTTCTCCATCTCAAATGTTAATCTGAACCAGAGAAGTGGGAGGCAACATCTCTGCTATAGGAGAGAGGTAGGGAAAATGGGAAGGAGGAAGAGACCTCCCCTGACCCCACCCTGGTTTTAGGGGAGATCTCGTGATATGTCTCTGGAAACTGGTGCTGCTGGTAGCAGTGCTTCTCTGCTATTAGTGGAGGTGGCAGGGTGAGATGGGAGGGGGGTGGGGACGGCCCAATCATGAGACAAGGTGAAGCCTCGTGGACGGCAGAATCCCCAGGTGCAGCAGATCCTGATGTAGATCTTTATTTGGGCATTGGGCCGGCCCTGGAGGCTTCCACACTCGTGGGCTGGGCCTGGGTCAAAGGCACCTTTGCCTGGAAATGTGCTGATCTTATGGTGCTCTTCTAGAATGGGGCAATACTTTTTTCTAAGGAGGTTTGGTTGCTTGGATTAGGGGTGGGGCTGGAAATGGGAATTCCCAGCTCCAACAAGTGGAAGGGAGCGAGGAAGTAACCTGAAATAAAATGGAGTGATCTTCTGCAAGTGGAACTTCTGCCAAGAAGATTCCTCTAGCTGATTATCCCCCTGCCCATCTGCATAACCCCCACTTTGAAGGGTCAACCCTCTGGAGAGCCTTTTTTGGAAGGAGCAGATGGGAGGAGGGGAAGAGAGAGTTGTACAAACGATTTTTTACTCATGCAACCATTGGACACAACTCAATAATAAAAGCATACATTTTATTCAGATGTTGCCACTGATAACAGATAATCATTGGACTTGACAATCTTTGGACTTTATGACAATAAAAACATACAGAAGGTTAACAGTAATATGATATGTTATTGCCACCAGAAACTGTGCTTTGCAACTTTTTGATATGATGATTACAGTTTTATTATATATAATGTCATGTTTCTTTACAGCCAGTTACGTGTGTGTTGTGGTACTCTGAACATGATTTACGTAACAAGACAATTGTGGTGTGTGTTGACCTAGTCATTTGCCATGGCTGTTTCTATTGATATAATTTATGTAATTATTGATGTAATGTATGTAATTAATGATATTAATGATGTTACATATTAATAGTTTGATTATTGCAATATAAACAGTGGAGACAGCAATGACTATTTAGCAAGTGGAATCTATTTATGATTAATTTACACTGGATAAATCTTAAAAAAGGGAAGAAATACTAATGAAGATGGAAAAAACTTAATGTACTAGATCTCTACTAGTTGGATATTATTGCGATTATGTTCCTTTAAGAATGATAGATTCTAATTGCCTGTACCTATTGATTATTACTTAGAATATCTTTGATTGACTTTACTTATTTCTTCTATAGATATCCTGTGTTGTCTGAATTACTGCAAAGAAGGTAAACACAGGTGTTTAGGTAATTAATGGTGTTACAATCTCCTAAGATTAATTTATATTTTTATGATCAATATTAGGGAGTGGAGACCGCAATGACCATTTGCCAGATGGGATCCATTGATGATTAAGCCTCACTGAAAAAGTTTGATGAAGTTGTAATAGTATATAAATGAAGATGTGGAATACTTAACTTTTTGGATTTGTATCGGTTGGGTATCATTGCAATTAGGTCTCTTTAAGAATATTTTATTCTTATTGCCTGCACCTTCCCTGTTGCAGGGATTGCTCCTATATAGTTTAGTTTCAATGATCATTCATACGGAGCATCTCTGACTGGCAACTTCTGCGTTCCTGTGGACTATTTCGTCTGAAAAAACCTACTGAAAAATCTCCTGGAAACCTTGTCTCTGAAGAAGCCCAATCAATGGGTGAAACAAGGGTGTATCCTGAGAACTGGTCTATCATCAGCTGCCTTGTTGTTACTAAGTGGTTCTGTTTGTTACACTTTTAAGACATAGGACTATGCAGAAGGAAGACATCAGTATGAAATGGCATTGCCAACAAGAACTGTACATTGTAATTGTTGGACTTGACAATCTTTGGACTTTACGACAATAAAAACATACAGAAGGTTAACAGTAATATGATATGTTATTGCCACCAGGAACTGTGCTTTGCAATTTTTTGATATGACGATTACAGTTTTATTATATATAATGTTATGTTTCTTAACAGCCGGTTATGTGTGTGTTATGGTATTCTGAACTGATAACAGATAGGCATCGAAAACAAAAGCAACAGTGCAAAAAAGGCTCAGTACAATAAACAGCTATCCTACCCATATTCCTTTCATTTTTCTGTCCAAAGAGCTGTCATACAATTCAGCTGGCTCAGATAGAAGGCAGGCATACCTTCCCAATGTGGACAGATGCAAGCCTTTAAACTACATTCCCCACAGCTGAGTATTAGGAATGGCAAAGCTTGTGTTTCGCATCCCAGAACTCTGATTTTCCCATGCTGGGATTTGTCATTGCTTGTGTCAAATTTAGCAAATACTTTGGCATTTACTTAATGCAACTAAAAGGAAACTACTTTTACTATTAGAAGCAATATTCAACTGTGCTGTTTAGGAAGGACCATAGCTCAGTGGTGGAGCATCTGCTCTGCATGCAGAAGGCCCCAGGTCCAATCCCCAGCATCTGGAAGAAGCTCACTGTCTGAAACCCCAGAGAGCTGCTGCTAGTCAGTGTCGACCATATTGAGCTATACTTGGTATAAGGCAGCTCCCAAAGTTCTGATGAAATGCTATTTTCTAGCAGAACAGCTAAAATGCATTGCAAGGCTATAATGGTTTCATGTGAATTGCACTAGTGAAGCCAGTGCCTGGAAGCAGCTGCTATCTGTGATAGAAAATATGTTTGGAGATATATACTGTATGTGTGTGTGTGGTGAAAGAGAAAGACAAATGATATATTTGGCTGCACATTTGCTCTCTGCTTCTTTCTCTTTTGTTGGCCATTTGTTGTTGCCCAAGTAGGACCCAGACACAACACCCCAAGCATTTTAAAGCATTTCACACCAAGATGCAAATCAGTGGTTCTCGCTCCATCCCCATTGCGGATGCTCACTGGAAACTCTTGCCTGTCAGCCCTTAGAATTCAGAACTCCACGAGGTCATCGCTAGTAACAACCTTGATGGTGATGTGACCTGGCATGTCATAATCTTCGCGACTCCCTCTGTCCTGGAGCTGGAACTTCTGAAGACTTCTGGGGTAATTGGGTGATACTGAGATCCGCACTTGTCCCATGAACTTGTCGCAAAGGAGCCCGCTGTGCCAAACCTACAGAGATAGGAAGGAAATGAGAAATAATTGCTGCTAGATGGGCTGGCATTTTCCTCCCCGTGCACCCTTCCCCCTTCCCGCGATTGGAAAGGGTCAAAAGGTCATCTGTACAAGTCCTCAATTGGAAGAGCTCTCCTCTTTCAACCTCGCCTTGACCTCTGTGCGTTTTGTGTATCACTGTTGCACAGATGGGAAAGATGCATCCCCAACACAGCTATGTGCTGCTGCTACAGGCTGCAAGCGCTTGAAACTGTTTAGAGGTTCCCTCCCGCAGCAAAGCAGTCTTCCCTCTTATATGACAGCCGCAGAGGATGCAATTAACAAAGACATACAGATCGTGGAACTATGTGTGGTGTGTTTTTCACCTCCCTGAAAGCCATCCCCAAAATCACAGAAAAGATGCTTTAAGGGGAAACATTTTCACACCCCTGTTCTCCGTTCCACGCTAGCACCATTGCTGCTACTGGCAGACTGTTACTGACAGACTTGCCCAAGTAAAAATGCAGGTTTAGTATATCTAACCACATGCATCCTTTGTTATCCTGATTTCCTCTCACTTACCTTCTCTTCATATATACACATACAGAGTATACAAGGCCCCATCTGCACTGGAGTTCCGCTGGCTTTTTAAAATGCATGTGTTTCATACAGCCATTCCTATCACATGTAAATCTACTTCAGTCATACCTTGGTTTTCAAACAGCTTTGTTCTCAAACATTTTGGCTTCCGAACGCCGCAAACCCAGAAGTGACTGTTCCAGTTTGTGAACTATTTTTGGAAGCTGAACGTCCGACAGGGCTTCCGTGGCTTCTGATTGGGTGCAGCAAGCTCCTGCAGCCAATCAGAAGCTGTAGAAGCTCTGTCGGACGTTCGGCTTCCAAAAATAGTTCGCAAAAGTATGACTGTAGTATCTTTGCTGTGTTGTTTTAGTGGGATTGCTTTACTGCATATTTTAATTATGGATGTTTATAGCTTAAGTTATATACTATATATGTATGTGTTATATTAATATTTTGTTATATATATTCTAATAATTGCCTTTTATACTTGTAATCCGTTTAGAAGGCTGTTTTGCCATTGAGTGGTCTAAAAATTAATAAATAACAACCAGAATTTACCCATCACAATATACCTGCTTTTTTATTATGTTAAAATGTACTACGGTGGCCACTTGTAATTTGAAGAATTGGCTGCTGCAGGCCAATCAGTTGTTGCATTCTAGGATTCTACTGGCCTAATAGGTTGATAAACTTCCTCCTGGGGTCTGATTGGGCTGCTCCCGCAGGCCAATCAGGTTGTTGTATTCTAGGCTCCTACCTGCCTATTGTTCTAAGATTCAAGCTTAGTACATAACAGTCTTGCTTAAACTGTTGACACGAGAAAAACATTGGTAGGGGAAAGAGTACCCCTTGGAGGAAGATAGGTTAAAAGAACATAACACGTAAAAATCAATAAAATTAAATGAAAAATCCCTATTAAATGCATGCACAATGTCCCACACATCCAAGGCTATGGTCACATGCCTCAAGATTTGGTATGAAGGCTCATACAATCATCACCTTGCTGAAACTAAACAGGTCTAGGTCAGGTTAGTGTCTGGGTGGGAGGCTGTTTGGGAATCACCTCTAATGATGTATTATTGTGCTTTCCATGATCCATTAAACTGGAACCTGTATTGTTGGAGTTCTGTTTTTATTATATTGTTTTAGGTTGATTTGTACTATTGTACGCTGTTCAGAAATGCTTAAACTTTTAAGCAGTTTAGAAATACTTTAAAATAAAATAACTAATGTCTGCTACCCTGCTGTGGGTTCCATAGAAATTTAAGAAAACAAAAGGAGAAGGAAAGAAACTAGTAGAAAGCAGGTACAAGTAGGAATGTAATAATTTCTCTTACCTGGACAACAATCGGGCTTGCAATGTTCCTCTGGTAGAAAATGGCTTGTGTATTGAAAATAGCACTGAGGGTGCTCTTCTGCACAGGAGAACGAACTTTCTGATTCTCACACTTGATGACAATGTAGGGATTTGCTCCTGGGAAAAGACAGTGTTGTTCCACTTTCATCATCACCACCATCATTCATTTAATGCAATATAGACACTTTGCCACTATACAAATTCAGCCATATACCAAAGAAACATAGGGACTAGCCACCTAAACATTTTTGCTAGCACAATGGAACTTTCCCACCCTCTTCTTTCCCTGTGCACCACCCTGCAACTCCTAAATCTGTTTCAGATTCACTTTCCTTCCATCATGACACTCAAGGTAGCATACTTTCCCAGCCAAGCATGGACTTAGTTTCAGCAACGTGGCTGCATCACATGGCCTCAGACAACGCCCTGAGATGCACGGTACAAGAAGATGCAACTGGTGAAAAAACAGGCCAGCTAGACAGCTCACTGGGGTGGGTATATCATTATTAATATCATTATATATTTATTTATATATCCCACTGTTTTCCCCTGACAGGACTTAAGGCAGCTTTCATATAAAAATGAGAGCGGCTAAAAGTATTGGGGGGGGGGCAATAATTTAAAAGTAATTAAACATTTATAGAAGTAAAACTAATATACACATATAAAGTCTATTAAAACCATGCAAATAAGAACAGCATGGCACCAGCCCTTTCATTAAAAGCAGCCAATTCCCAAAATCCTGTTGGAAGAAGAAAGTCTTCACTTGCTGGCAGAAGGACAACATGGAGGGAGCCAGTTTAACTTCTCTAGGAAAAGAGCTGCAAAGTCTGGGAGCAGCCAGTACTGAGACCCTCTCCTATGTCCCCATCATTGAGCTATTTTTTAAGGAAAAGCAGCAAAAACTACACGGCCAACGTCGCTTGTCATATGTCCAGATTTCCCCGGACCTTTCCCTTCCAATTTTCACCCAGACACTCCTTCCGCCTACAATATTCTGATTATGTCAAAACTAGGGCAGGTTCAAATGAGGGAATACGGTCTTTCAGATGGTTTGGACTGAAGCAATGTAGGGCTTTACAGGAATATCACAACCATATTACTCCGCTGCTGAAATAACTGCATGGGTTGCCAATTAGCTACTAGACTAAGTTCAAGGTGCTGGAATACAAAGCCTTATACAACTTGAGAACAGGACACCAAAACATCACCCTATTCCATACATTGTCAAATGATCATCTCACTTTGTCAATTGATCATCTCAAGGGTACCCAGTAGATACCATCTTATCACAATATTGGAATTAGGTCTTTAATGTGGTGACACTCACACTCCTGCTAAATATTTGACAGGCGCCTGTTGAAGACTTTCCTCTTTCAACAAGACTTGTAGGTGGAATTTGTTGTCTATCTGTATTGCACTGGATTTTGATTGAATACACATAATTGTTTTTGCTGTTTTTAATTGTATTGTATTTATTTTTTGTTTTTAAGTTATTTTTATATGTGCAATTATTTTAACTGGTGTGTGTGTGTGTTTTACATATGCATAAATTGCTCTGAGGTGCCTCATAGGGAGCAATTCATGAATGATATGAATAAATAACAAGGAGCTCAACAGAAATTATAGGAAGCTTACCATTCCTAGTCTTCAGGAACAGATGAAAGGAGCCTCATACACCATTAAAAAGCAGAGGTTCATTTTGTTAAGTCAGGAGCCATGCGACCTTCAGCCCACGAGAAGGCAGTTATTGCAGATGCATAAACTAACCTTGGACAATGTCTTTGAATGCTACCACCACAACAGGGCTTTTCAATGACAGCCAGACATAAGCATCTCCTTGTCTTGATCATTTTCCTCTTGAACAAACACTTTGAACAGGCCTCGCACAAGAAGAGGGGAAAATAAAACCCTGACCGAGTTGGCCACTGGAGTGTCTTGTCTTATTGCTCAGTACTGATTAGATTAGAGGATGTTATGGCTCATTGGGTCTGAAGTGGATTTTTAAAAATTTTACAACCTGGAAGCAGCAAGGAGTAGGTAGAACTCTTGTAAAGGGGGATTTATAAGCGCTCTGGCCAAACACTGCTGTCCTTTGACATTTAAAATGCTGCGTGAAATCACACTCTTTCCGAGCACATGGACTTGATGGGAATGAGCTTCTGGTGGCATCATGTGGAAAAAGGAGAAGGGTTGGCCTTTTCAGCAAAACTAGTTTGGGTTCCTGGTGTGTGTGTGTGTGTGAGAGAGAGAGAGAGAGCGAGAGAGAGAGAGAGAGAATGCAGGACCTCAAACTCACACCTGCCTATCATTAAGAGCCAGTGTGGTGCAGCAGTTTAAGTGTTGGACTAGGACCTGGGAGAGACCAGGGTTCAAATCCCCACTCAGCTATGACACACATTGGGTGACCTGGGGGCGTGGAGTTGTGGCATGTTAGGCTAAGAGGCAAGATCACCCAGTGAGCTTCATGCCTGAGAGGGGAATTGAACCCTGATCACCCAAGTCTTAGCCTGATGCTCTAACCACTCACACCACGCTGCCTCTCATGTCATGGCTCTCAACCTGCCCATATATTAAGATCAACAACAGAAACCCTCGTTGTTTGTAGGCCAGCAGGGGAGATGGTCTTTTCTGTGGTGGCCCTGTGGATGTCAAACTCCTTACTAAACGAATCTGAGAAGGCTCTCGCACTCCAATGTTTTCACATACAGGTACACAGAGGACTAGCTGCACAGCTAATCCAGAAAGGGAGAAATCACAGTAGTCAGAAAAAATGGTGGTGAAATACCAGCAGCAGTGAGGGAGGAGGAACAGTGGTGCTGAAAAAAGTGGATATTCACACAATGGAGAGAAATTTTTCTCACGGCTGAGTTTCTTGGACCTGAAAGTCAACACTGGCAAATTATTCAGAATAGCCCTGCTAGGCACTGAATGCCATTTTGCTGTTCACTGACTACAAGTACTAGATGTAAATCTAAGTAATAGGCTTTTAAATATCCCTGTGCTCCACGTGGCTTGGTGCTTGCAAATCCCATACCCAGCACTTGGCAGCCAGAGGTGTTTGTTTTATTGATCTGTCAGCACCGTAGTAGGAGCTGAGAAATAATCAGTCCTCTCAATCCGTCCGCCTCTGTCACACACACACACCCCTTCGGGAAATGTGAAAAGAAAAATGTTTCATGTGTGTGTTGGGGGCAGGGGAGGAAGGCTCTAAAAATAATGATTTAGCAGCCTGAGCTGAGAAAATTCCACTGCTTTTTAAGAGGCTCTTCTGCTTTTCTCTTTTTATATCGACCCCTTTGTTTCTCTGTTCTGCTAGGGCTTAGGCAAACACATGAAGCCATTGCAAAGGTTGCAAAATTTATCAAATGCCAAAAAATTAACAAGTGTCTAAATCTGGTACTGCCATTGAGCTCGAGGCCCCAGGCCAGATGACCTTCCTCCTGCCACTTCCGATTGGCTTTGCTTCGATATATACATGCATACATAACATCTGGATGCTATGCTGAATGCCATTTATGCTTAAACTCTTTCAAAGCATTTGCAGAACACTGACTACTGGTATTTGTCAAGGAAAACTGCCAAGGAGTCTCTGGCTATTGAAATTGTTCCAAGGCTGTCAAAGAAGGTTGGCATAAGAAGTTGAAAGGCATTAGGTGCAACGGCAGCTGAATTACATGATGTAGATTTCCTCCCTGTTCCTTTTGAACAAACTATGCTATCAGTCGGTGGATTTTAAGAAATTCGAAATAAGGTGATGTAAGTCACATGGCCAAATATTGATTACTCTCATTTATCATTCATTCAGTAGGAAATTACATAAAATGTTACTAGAGATGTGTCTGTGTGTGCATCTCCAAAACTCAACAAAAGCTATTTTGAATATGCATTCTTCACATATTATCCCACCTCTATGGCTTTTGACGTTTAAATTAGGCTAGCGAGCAACCCAAGCAACAAATGGCTGAAAAAGAAACCTGCATAGGTTCCAGTGCTTCTCTAGTGTCAAATGTCCAAAGATAAAGTACAGTTAACAAATAGGCAGCAGAGGGCGCTGCTTGACTTTCATGTATGCTAAGTTTAAAAGGAGCCTGAGAAATTAATCAAGACTGGGTTCAGACACACGGCTTGTCCACACTTCCGCTTGTCTCGTGCTTTTAGTTTGTCCCATGCTTTCTAGGCATGTGTTACTATTATTATTTGCAGTCAGCTGTTGCCTCTTCAATGCTCTATTCAGCACAGACTGCCCTCTGCCACCCCGATCTACCCAAACAGCTAACATGAAAGGAGAAGAAGTGCGTGTTAGTCTCTGGACAATTCCAATGCACACAATCATCTCATTTCATGAAAACCACGGAGGAGTGAACCCAGGAAGTGGCTAGAATAAATTGCAAAAGGACCCATTGAGTGCTTATCCATTCTACCACTTACTCCTGGGAAAACCTGTGTTTTAAGTTCTGAGCTGGGGCGCCAACTTAAATGAAATATTGGGGGGGGGGGGGAGCAGGTAAGCCTTGCCCTGCATTATCAATCACAAGATGTGGCACTGGCACACACACACACACACACACACACACACACACACCCATTTGAATGGCAATAGCCATCAGCTTTGGAAGGGCCAAGCCCCCTCAAATATTTTATTGGCTCCTATGATCAGAACAAATGGGTTTTCTGGAGGAAAGTGGCAGGACAAAGGCAAAAACACTCAGACATATGCATTCTAGGCATGGGACAAGTGGCAGCGTGGGTGAGCTCAGAATCACCTTGAAACAAACCTTCCATTGCCCAGAGCTAAGTATGGACCATGGATGGACAGGGCTTTTCTTCAGATGGAAGTCACCAGAACTCAGTTCCTGCACCTCCATTAAAAGAGGACAAGGGAGGCGTTCATGGTGAGTTCCAGCACCTCTTTTTCTAGAAAAATAGCACTGTGAATGAGTGTGTGCCTTACAAAGCGAAATCCCAGTCCACGTGAAACTGCAATTTTAGGTCAGGTTTAGATATCTAAAGTTCAGACTGCAACATCTGACTTTTAGCTTCATTCCAGGATTTTTAATATGTTTCATCTCTGTGTTATTCACTAAGTCGACAGGAATGATTTCCCTAAGAACATGCTGTACAGCTCTCTTAAATCTTAGTTCCCTTTCTTAATCTTAAGCTCACCTGCTAGTTTTATCTGACAGCACAGTGTTTCCGTAGATTAAGAGAAATTGAATTTTAATGTTCAGGTCATCTGAATAATTTACTAACTCAGTACAAGAACCACAAAGACTTTTGGATTAACCCTTTGCACTTACCGATATATGGGTCCTGACATCTGAGACGTGACACAGAGTGGACTTTAACTTGGGACACCCTCGCAACGAAGCCACGTAGGACGTCTAGGCAGGCGCCCCTGGGTCGATGCAGTGTAAGCTCCCTGGAACACCAAGACAAAATGTATCAGGTAGGAATGACTGGTGGATTAATACCAGATTCTATATGGAATATTGAACTTTTGCCTCCCTTACTTTGATGCCACCAGATACTTTGATGCTTATGGACAAATAATACAGTGTTGTGGGTGATTAATTTCAAAGTATTACAAGTGGGGAGAAAAGTTCTTCATTGGGGATGACACCTTAGAATAATATTTGAGCATGGTTTTTTGCTCCAAGGTGTTAGGATGACTTTTTGTTGGGACAATATTTAAAATACATTTGCAAACATTGTAGGTTTGGCGCTTTGTTTCCTTGAGAAGGAAATGGGGCAAGACCAGCGGTAGGCATTTCTGGCATTGCATGCCACAAAATAATACAGGTGTGCTGTGGAGTCTTGCCCACTCCTGTCAATCTGATGTTTAGCTCTGCCCTCCCAAAAATATTTTTCTTGATTTTGCAGTAATACATGTTAAGTGAGCACATTAAAATTTGTAGAATGAGAAAATGAGGACAGCCGTCCTCATTGCCTCCTCTTGGCAGAAGCCAGGTAAGTATTAACCTTTTTTATATTCTATTATATGATCTTCAGTCATGTTTGTTTACTGTCTCTGTCATTCCTTCAAGAGGGTTCTTGCATATCATATCATTGTAGTTTCCATGAAACAAAGGAGACAGGACACACATGGGCATAGTTCTAACAAAGTCAGGAAGTCCAGATCTGTACTGATGCAACCAATATGGTGTTCTCCATTCATGTGCAATAATAGCCACCAACCGGGCAGAGAAAGTGTCTGGTTTCCAACACACCCTGTACTGCTACTTTATGAGTGATTTTTCCCTGCAAGTGCTAACCACCTATAATAATAATAATAATAATAATAATAATAATTTTTATTTATACCCCACCCTCCCCAGCCAAGGCCGGGCTCAGGGCGGCTAACAAGCAATAATAAAAACAATTTGAATGAATACAACTTAAAAACAAGATTAAAATACAACATTAAAATATTGAAACATTAAAATATTAAAATGCAGCCTCATCACAGGAGAAAGGAAAAAGAAAAAAGAAAGAGGGGGAGGGAATCAAATTGGCTCCAAGCCAAAGGCGAGGCGGAACAACTCTGTCTTACAGGCCCTGCGGAAAGAAATCAGATCCTGCAGGGCCCTGGTCTCATGAGGCAGAGCGTTCCACCAGGCCGGAGCCAGAGCTGAAAAGGCCCTGGCTCTGGTTGAGGCTAATCTAACTTCCTTAGGGCCCGGGACCACTAGGGTGTTGCTATTTATGGACCGTGAGGCTCTCCGTGGGGCATACCGGGAAAGGCAGTCCCATAGGTATGAGGGTCCTAAGCCGTGAAGGGCTTTAAAGGTCAAAACTAGCACCTTAAATCTGACCCTGTACTCCATCGGGAGCCAGTGCAGCTGGAAAAGCACTGGGTGAATATGCTCCCATGGCAGAGACCCCGTGAGGAGCCTCGCTGCAGCATTCTGCACCCGCTGGAGTTTCTGGAACAGCTTCAAGGGCAGCCCCGCGTAGAGCGAATTACAGTAGTCAAGCCTGGAGGTGACCGTCGCATGGATCACTGTGGCCAGGTCGGGGCAGGAAAGGTAAGGGTGCTACCCACCTTATTTTTATGACTGCAAGACATTTTACATTGTTTCATTATTCGACTCTAAAGCCGTAAACTATCTGGGGGCCTTAGAGTGAAGGGTAATAAATAATAATAATAATAAATAATAATAATAATACTGTAATAGTAATAATCTCCATTCTTATAATTTGAATCCTACCCTCTGTAGCAACAGAATACAGTGGTACCTCAGGTTACATACGCTTCAGGTTACATACGCTTCAAGTTACAGACTCTGCTAACCCAGAAATAGTGCTTCAGGTTAAGAACTTTGCTTCAGGATGAGAACAGAAATCATGCTCTGGTGGCGCGGCGGCAGCAGGAGGCTCCATTAGCTAAAGTGGTGCTTCAGGTTAAGAACAGTTTCAGGTTAAGTACGGACATCGAGAACGAATTAAGTACTTAACCTGAGGTACCACTGTACAAGCTTCCTCCATCTTCTATGCCACAGCCCTTCTGATATTTGAAGATGGCTATCATAACATCTCTCTGGGCTCATCCTAACTATGGCTTGTCTAACCACTTTCCACAGGGGAAACCTGGTCTTTACCATTGAATCAGAGCAAACATCAATGGGTTTTTCTGTGATTTGACGTTTGCTGTGATTTAGTGCTAAAGAACAGGTTTTCCTGAGAAAGTGGCAGGGCGAACAGAAAAAAATCTCACTCATGCTTTCTTACGGATGGGACAAGCAAAAGTGTGGATGAGCCTCATTCTTCTCCAGGGTAAGCATTCCCAACTCCCAAGGCTTGATTTCCAGGTGCTTGGTCATCTTTGACACTCTCCTCTGAACATGTTTGTCGAAATTCTTCTTAAGTTGTCATGCCCAGAACTGGACACAGGACTCCAGGTGTGGTCTGACCAAGGCAGAATAAAACTGTACTACTCCTTTCCTTGATCAGGACACTCTATTAGTGTTGATGCAGTCTAGAATAGCATTAACTAATTTTTTGCTGCTGTATCATACTGTTCACCCATCTGAAGCTACTAAGACCCCCTAAACCCTTTTCATGTGTTCTGTCAAGCCAGGTGCCCCCCCTCCCATCCTGTATTTGTGCATCCTAGTATTCCTGCCTATGTGTCGAACCTTGAATTTGTACCTACTGAAATGGGACTTTAAAAAATGGTTTTGGCCCAGTCCTTCAATATGTTAAAGCCACCCTGAATCCTGATCCCTCAATTCCTTCAAATTATTTGTAAAGATGTTGAACACCAGGCCCCACAGCACCCCACTTGCCACTCCCCCCCCCAGGATGAACCATTGGTCCCAGCTGTCCTGATTGTGCAGAGCACCTAAATGCGAGCAGCTGCTCACGTGCAGGTGTTATTTTTAGCCCTAAGGGGATTTTTAGTCCTCTTAGCCAGGCACCCCACATGTTAAGGGCCTTGAGGACCCTGAAGCTGGTGCAGATGATCCCCTTGAGGGGCCATCCAAGTTGAGGCCTGCTGAAGAGTCTCTCGAGCTGTCAGAGGAGGATGCAGGGCCACCCACATCTTCAAGAATGTTGGTGTCAGAAAGCTCCAAGTCTGGCCTGAAGAGCAATGGCATAACATGTGTCTACAACCCCAGAGCCACCACGCTAGTCATGAGTGAGCGATCACTGGAGCTCTTTCACTAACACCAGCAGTGATTAGGACATGGTCTAAAAAGACAGCTTATATAAGGCCACCCTCTTGAGCCCCCCACTTGCTGGAAATAACATGGGGCTCTGGCTCCCAATTCCCAGGTGCCCACCTTGCTGAATTTCCTGCAATATTCACTCACTTTTGGACCTAGACTATTTTCTGTGATTGAGCTTGGCTTGTTTGGACTGTGTTGCTCCTGCAAGCCTGCCTTCAGTGCTTTGATGAGAGAGACTCATGCCTCCTGGGTCTGGGATGCTAAGCTCCTGAGGGCACCCCTGGAGCATGACCACAGCCTAGCATACAAAAACATGTGCCTATTACAGGGAATTGCAGTCAATACAGAAATAGACCATACATGAGTAAGGCACAAACACATTTATTCTATGAGATATAACAAAGAAATGCTTCTCCCTTTTGTGGTCCCATAATAAAAAGATAGCAAGACCCAATTTAAACTCAGCTGTAGGAACTAGCACACACCCCATGCCTCATTAAAACTGGGTGCTCAGCTACTAAGCATGGTTCATTAGCATGTCAGCATAGCACGCTACAGATTCTGCAACATTTCTTCTTTTCTTCTGTTTTTGAATTTTTAATGCAACATTCTGATTGCAAGAACAGCCTGGATGTGTGCAACACTGCATAGGTATCTTCCTCTTGAGCACTTTGCATTTAAGCCAGTCCTAATTCTTTAGAAGCTGGGAACACAAAGACCATGTGATATGTGTGTTCAGAATATCTTCTAGGCACAGCCCATTAGAATCAAATGGGACCTCACTGAGGACACACAACTGTTCTAATATGGGGAAAGGAGGCATTCTCCAGCTCAATAAGAGGTATATCAAATCTGTCATGTTCCACTGTTCGACCTAATTTGTATCTGTACATCAGGAAGGCCAATGAAAACATAAATGCACAAAAAGGAAGAACACTTTATTCTAATTGACACTTATATAAAAGAAAAAGAATGATAAACAATAAATGATAGTATCAAACACCAGTAGAAAGGCAATCTTGCATCCTTTTGTGAAAGGGTGTAGAACTATTTGCTACTGTGTGGAATCTGGAGGTGAACAGAATGCATCTCCATCCCCAAGGCAGTTTCACATCGAATACTGCCCCTTGGGAAATATTGCAATTGAGAGAAATGAGAGTGGTTGTAAACTGGCAAGGGGCAAATGCACAAATGTTGCATGCAATGTGATCCCTGAAACCACAGTTAATGTCATCCTCACAAGAAATGGGTGCACCCCTTTCTGCAGTCATCATGTCAGTCCTTTTGTGAATGGGTGCAGAACTATTTGCTACTGTGTGGAATCTGGAGGTGAACAGAATGCATCTCCATCCCCAAGGCAGTTTCACATCGAATACTGCCCCTTGGGAAATATTGCAATTGAAAGAAATGAGAGTGGTTGTAAACTGGCATGGGACAAATGCACAGAGGTTGCAGGCAATGTGATCCCTGAAACCACAGTGAATGTCATCCTCACAAGAAATGGGTGCAGCCCTTTTTGCAGCCATCATGTCAGTCCTTTTGTGAATGGGTGTAGAACTATCTCCTGCTGTGTGGAATCTGGAGGTGAACAGAATGCATCTCCATCCCCAAGGCAGTTTCACATCGAATACTGCCCCTTGGGAAATATTGCAATTGAGAGAAATGAGAGTGGTTGTAAACTGGCATGGGACAAATGCACAGAGGTTGCAGGCAATGTGATCCCTGAAACCACAGTGAATGTCATCCTCACAAGAAATGGGTGCACCCCTTTTTGCAGTCATCATGTCAGTCCTTTTGTGAATGGGTGCAGAACTATTTGCTACTGTGTGGAATCTGGAGGTGAACAGAATGCATCTCCATCCCCAAGGCAGTTTCACATCGAATACTGCCCCTTGGGAAATATTGCAATTGAGAGAAATGAGAGTGGTTGTAAACTGGCATGGGACAAATGCACAGAGGTTGCAGGCAATGTGATCCCTGAAACCACAGTGAATGTCATCCTCACAAGAAATGGGTGCAGCCCTTTTTGCAGTCATCATGTCAGTGCTCCCCACCAAAGTGTGTTGTACATCTGTCTCACTCATCATCACTCTTTGAATCTTTTGCTTCCTTGGTCTAAGACAGATGAGCATGCAAGCCGGGGAGAAATGGGAAGGGAAAATTGCCGTCATCTTCAAGTAGTCGTAGTACCTGAGCTCCGATGGCACATCTGTGAACAGCCTCAGAATGAATTCGGCTTCAGTATCAGGTCTGAAGGTGGTTGGGATCAGGACATACCGGCCTTCCTTGAGGCACAACTTCGAAAATACCATGCGATTGTCAATGTACATGGAAGTTGCCATTTTCTCTTGCACTGTCACTTTATGCATTCGATACTCTCTGTTGGCCTCAACCTAGGGTTAGAAAGCAGATTGAGTTGCATAGCATAGAGCAATCTAACACAACATGAGAGTGAGGTAGATCCTATGCTGTGACTTCAAACAGGCATAAAGATAAAGATAGAGCAGAGGTGGGGAGCAGAGGTGTTTTTTGTGTTTTCACTTGCTCTGTCAACTAAATTCTGGTGCAAAACTCACAACATTTGAATTGAAGAACAGAGTGTCTCAAAGTGCACTAAGGATGTCGTTTTTGGTATCAGAACTGAACTGAGCTCACAGCCACGTTGTACAAAAGCCTGCTACATGGAAAAGGTCACATTGCTAGTAGGAAACCTGTGCCACTCTACTATAAATCACTCATAGATGTACCAGTAGATCCTGACCTGACATTCTGCCTATGTCTACCTATACCTATGCTTTTGCTGGGAGTGATGCAGCAATGCTTGCAATAAGCTAGCTGAACCAGCATGTGTGCAAATATGTGTGTGGCACTGATTCCTTCTGTTTTAGTAACTACTTACTGGAAAAGTAGATTACCTCCTTTCAGGCCTTCCTGCTTCTTCTCTAGTAGCAGGTTGTATGTGTTTGGCCTGACCCAGCAGGCTCTTCTTATGTTCTTATGCTCTTACCAAACTCCAACTGCTTTGGCATGCAGCATGGACACCTACCTTGAAGATTTCAAAGCCAATAACCAAGTTGTCCCCTTTCCCTTCTCTTTTGTAAATGCGCTTGTCCTTTTGCTGCAGGCAGATCATCACTTTGTCCTGTGACTTCTTGACATCAAAGACATACTTAAAGAGAAGGAAGAGGAGCACAGGGTGAGGGGAGAGCTGTGGCTCAGTAGCTGAGCAGCTGCTGCTGTAAACAATGCCTGTAGCTGAGTTGTTAACAATGGATTATCACAGGATTGGGGTGCTGCCCCTTCCAAAGTCCTATGCATGGCAGTCACTCCACAAACAAATGAACATTATGGGAATTATCATGCTCACAAGACCGGTCATATCCTCCTGGGTTAAATTCAGAGCTCCTTTTTAGTCCTGTACACTTTCCCCCTCAAACTGCATTGGGTTGGGATTAGAATTGTGCCCATATGCCCTGCCCTTCACCTTCACATGTTCAAGGGGCAAACACCAGTGATCTGTGCCCTCAGTTTTTGCAGGATATAGGCTGCATGTAGGGAGCAGACTTGACCTTCACAAATAACATTCCGAATGCCTCTAATATAGAACAGAACACAGCAGATCAGAATAGAATAGAATGATGAAGATCTTGAAGATGATGATATAGAAATGGAACAAACTAGATTTATGGGTAACCACAGGATAAAGCTATCTAAATCAGAATTAGACTAGTACAGAGGTTTTCAACCTTTATGAGTCCACGGCTCCCTTGACCAACTACATTCTTTCTGCGGCACCCCTGTGGGGATCAGGAGCCCAGTCATGTCACCTCTTGGCTGCAGAGCTGGCAGCCTCTCACCCTTTTTCAAACACCCTCCTCCCTTGGGGAGTGTTCCCTCAGCATCCTCTCCTCTCCTTGGGAGTCCTCCGGGCAGCCACTGCTTCCACCCCTGGTCTCTGAGCTGCCCCTCCTGCCCCAAAGAGAGGTACCTCCTCATGCTGCCTCACAGGAGCCTGGGCAGAGGATGCCCCCAGCCTTAGTGGACCAATGGAAACTGGCCAAAGGTGAACATGAGGTCAGCACCTTAACTTGGGAGGCAGCAGTGGCAGCAGCAAGGCAGCTGCAAACAAACAGATGTGCAAGCCTTTGGGAGACAGAGACACAAGAGGGCATTAGAGGAGAGAGGGAAAGAAAGAAGGACAGAGGCCAGTGTTACCTGCGGAACCCCAGACCATCATTCAAGGCCCCCCAGCGTGCCACAGCACGCTTGTTGAAAACCACTGGACTAGTACTTCCACCCAGTACTGGCAAACTGGCTGTGATGCAAAAACATAAAGCAGTTTTGGGAGCAGTATCTTCTTCCTGCCCTTAAATCTGAAGCTGAAAGGCATGGCAGGAAAACTGTCGTCTCAACTTTGCTTTGCTGCGTAATTATTTCCATATAAGTTTAACACTGGTGAAGGAGGGGGGAAAAGCAAGTATAACTGTGCTCCAACCTGTGGGTTTTGGAAGAAGGTGGCTGGGTTATTTAAGCACCCCCCAGCGCGGTTTAACATTGGGTCTCGATTCTTTTTCCACTCTCCACGAATCATTTTCTTTTCCCAGGTCTTATGTATACTAAAAAAGGACGTGTTCACAATCCGGCAGACATCAACATCGGTGAAGTTTTTGCACCAGTCTTCAAACGACATCCTAACTCAGAGAGTAGAAAAAAATACAGTTGAATTTCCTGTGGACAGATAACACATATGTTTTGGGGCACCGTGCTCTTGCACAGGTCACATGACTTGCATGGGAGTGCAGCCCAGAAGATGAACATCCTAGTTTTGCACTGGGACATTCTGGAGGGTATGGTGGCACCATTCACATAATGAAACTATAACAGAAATATCCATGTTTTCAAAAGTAGGGGCTCCATGGCTTGGCTTTTGAAAAACAGAGGGTCCACAGTACTTAGCTAACTGGGAGCCACTGGCCTAGAGAGTCGCAGGATTGTGGCATAGGACATGAGCAAGGAAAGGATTTGAAATGCACAACACAGACAGACACACACACACACTGTGGTGCACTTCAAATCCCTACCCTGCATCACTCCATGGCTTTCCAGAAAAAGAAAAGAAACAAGTAAGAAAAATGTGGGATGTTCAATGCTCGGGACATCTCATTTAGTCAATATATTTAAAAACAGAACAATTATTATTTAGGTAATTTAGCAGATGTGAAATACAACAGAAACAACCAGACCCGCAAACTCACCTACTACACAAGCATGTATCTAATTGGTAGAAACAGCACTTTCCCTTCTGCTGCTATCTCTCTGACTTAAGCCCACACTAAAAGGTGGGGCATAGCTACAGACACAGGCATGGGGAATACCGCACTAGTTTTACAGGTTACAATAATGCTTGCACTTCTGTCCCATTTTTCTGATGCTCCTTTCACCTGTGGTGTTATGGAACTGTGGTTTTTGGACTGATATACCAGCATGTCATGCTAAATTTCATTCATCCCAGTGGGCGTAGTGTGGCACAACAAAGAATGACAATTGTACCTTGCTACACTCCCACCCTTTCTGCACATGCATCCTTCCGTTCCCCCATGATTCCCTCAGGATAACAGCAGGGAAAAACTGTATGCTGGTATGATGCCACTGCAAACTTTATCACTTCCCTCCTGCGATTTTGGGGGCTAAGGAGGCTGCAATTTTGCCGGAATCAAATGACACAGAAATGAGCATAAAACATGCACTATCCTTCCATTAGTTTTCTGCAAGCAGCTTTTACATTGTATAAATGTGGGAAATTAGCAGCCAGATCTAACAACACCTATTCTTGCAAGTCAGCAAGAGATGGAGTTAAGACCACAGAGCTGAACTGCTGATAGGCAGAGACTCAGACCATAGAAATGTAATTTGGTAGCGAGGGCTCTGTGTGATGTCATTTTCTCCTCTCTTGAGTGGTTACAATTGAGGAAGTATTTACTGTTCCCTCTCTCTCTTTCTCTTTGACCAGCAATGGGAGCAGACATATACAGTGGTACCTTGGGTTACATACGCTTCAGGTTACATACGCTTCAGGTTACGTAATCCGCTAACTCAAAAATAGTGCTTCAGGTTAAGAACTTTGCTTCAGGATGAGAACAGAAATCATGCTCCAGCGGCACAGCAGCAGCAGGAGGCCCCATTAGCTAAAGTGGTGCTTCAGGTTAAGAACAGTTTCAGGTTAAGTACGGACCTCTGGAACGAATTAAGTACTTAACCTGAGGTACCACTGTATCTAACTATTCCATTCTCAGGCACATGCCTGAGGCTGCTAATACTGTAAATGGAAGTATTTCATTCAGTTTACTGCTGTTGAGAATGAAGACTAAGACTAAGAGTAAGTAAATCATATTTTAAACTGACTTCTCAGTCTGTTGTCTTATTTTCTGTTAAGTGGAGTAAGAAATGGGGAGCCAGCTTACTTTGCAGCTGGGCTTAATTAAAAAAAGGCACAGCCTAATCCTATATGCTCTCCATTTTTCTGCTAAGGATAGGACTTTAAACTCTGTGCAGTATATGTTCAACCCACAAATGTGGGTATCTGGAGGGGTAAATTGCAATTAATATACCCTCTCTTACATTAAAAAAACCCCATCTAAGCTCAACCATAATGTGGAAATTCACAGGGAAGTGGAATAAACTGCCAAGTAAATGCAGCCATAGAGACAGAAGTTGTTTGCTAGAGCGACTGAATGGCAGAAAGGTGCTTGGTTGGGCTAGACAGGAGAATACTGCAGGGGTGAGAGGAGAGAAAAAGAGGGATATCTTCAAGGAGTGGGTTGGATAGCAGAGATGGAGGGTAGAGAGATGGGCAGAAGTCAGGACTAGCATCAAAGTTTGGCATGGCTGAGCATACACCAAGGGCTCCCAACCATTCAGAGGACCTCCTAAAAGAGCCACCAGGACCCACTGCATTGAGTAAGTAGACTCACTGATGAGCAGTATCTTGCCAAGGCCCTCCAAAACCTGGAGCTGAGGCTGGATGAAATGGGAAAGTGGTGGTGCTGGAGGCTGGAGCAGTGCCTTTACCCTAATTTCCCTCTTCCTGCCTATGAAATGTTATGGGCCTTTCGGTTGTCTTGACATATAAATATCTTAATGCTGCCTTAATGAGACCATTGCTCACCAGAACTCTCCGTCGTTTTCAATAGTGAGTCTTAATTTCTTCCGTTCTGCTTGGCTCACCTTTTTCCACTCCTCTGATCTGAAGGGGAGGAAAAATGTTAAATCAAATAGCTCTTTCATTTGTATAAACATATATTTAAAGGGAAGAGCCATAAGCTGAGTGGTAGAGCATCTGCTTAGCATGAAGAAGGATCTAAGTTTAGTCCCCAGCATCTCCAGGCAGGGCTTATCAGGTTCATTGTCTGTCAGGTTCATTGGTCTATTTTCAGGGGCTGCATGTAAAATTGTTTCCTAAAAAATGAGGTAGAATGACATAGTGGTTAAAGTGCCTGAATAGGACCTGGAAGACCAAGTCCCCCCTCAGCCATAAAGCTCACTGGGTGTGAAGATAAAATAGGGAGGGGGAGAATCATGTACGAATGAGTGAATGAATGAATTTTGGGTTAACTTCCCTGGAAAAAACCCTCTTTACAGCTGAATCAAAGCAAACATCAATCCATAGGCAATCTGATTGATGTTTGCTCTGATTCAGCAGTAAGAGTAGGTTTCCCAGGAGAAAAGTGGCAAGATGAGAGGAAGTGTGGAAGAGCCCACTTGTGTCTGTGTTTGCATGTGTATACATCATTTTGGGCACAAGTGGGGGATCCCATGATGGTCTTCCCTATAAAACAAGAAACCTACAAAACTAGCATATCAGGGAGAAGACTATTTTACAACCATTTTCCTGGGTGCCCTAGTTTTCTATCTCCAGGCTAATGATGATTCTGCAGAAGCAGAAGGAAATAATTTGTAAGGAACACAGACTGAAAATACATATATTTGCCCAAATTATTTCCTTCTGCTTCTGCATTAACATGAGTTAGAAAACAAGACAAAACCCACTGGTCCCACTAGCTAGGGATGATGGGAGTTGTAATCCAAAAACAGCTGGAGACCCAAGTTTGGGAATCCCCGCTCTAAATGGAGCCAGCCACCACCATGTTGCCACTGTCTTCATGTGTCCCTTGGAAATGTTTCCACACTTGAGAGTGTTTCTTTTAGCGTCTGCACCTCTCTCAAAAAGTGACAAGCATATCCTAAATATCAAAGCATGCTTTGCTTACGAATCGCTCCATGGACCGTTCCACTCGCTCTTTCCCCAGGGGTTCCTCAACCTGATCATGAAGAGTTTCTTAGTCTTTTGCCATGGCACGCGCTTCTCTTCCAGGGGCATCTTCAGGATTTCTGTCACCGAGTAGGCATGGCCTTTGACCAAACCCATTTCAGTCTGTCCCTCAAATTCATCAGAGGACGAAGGCTGCGGTGTAAGAAAAACATGAATTAATGCAGGGATTTCAAAAGTCTTTGAGGAACACAGAATCTAGTATTTCCTTCTTCTTAAGTAAACCTCTGGGTCCCTTCATCAGTTTTGCCCCCCTGACCCCAGTATTGTTCTGACTTTAACACAAGGTCCTATGATCCTCGAAAGCAAGGGTGGTGAACCTCTGACTCACGGGCCAATTTGGCTCCCAATGCCCACCTGCCCCAAATCTGACTTTATATGTGGCATCAGGGGTGGGGCAGGTAGAGACATAGCTGGCTCAGCTGCTCGACCAAGCTCCCCATAAGGAACTTTATCACTCAGCCCATCGCTACAGAAAACTGGCTGGAGGTCACTGCTGATCAGCACTGACTTCAAGCCTGCTGGGCCAGCAGTGCTTCAAAGCACCGTGCAGGACTCTCACCCCTTCCCAAAACATACCTGCTTTTGAAAAAAAACACACATGCTCTAACATGTTGTGTATTGCCTCTCTAGCACAGTATAACTTTGGATAGTTTGGAACTGTTGTCTTAGCATCTCAGTTCATTGAGATTCATTGCCAGGATTTACACACCCCAGCTTTGGAGAGCATTAATTATCTACTGAATTTTCTAGTCCTTATTGACCACACACCTCTGCTTCTAGGCTTCTTTCCTCTTACTTACTTGTCCATGTTCCGGACTGCCTGTTCCTATACACACTGCTGCCACCAATAATAACAGCAACTAAAGCAAAACATTCTAAAGCTGGGGGTGGGGTGGGTGAGTGAGGGAATAATAATAAAAACACAAATCAGTGAACGGTTTTCTAAAAGTCACGATCAGTGTTAACTAACACCAAATCCACCATGTCTGACCATAACTGCAGTTCACAGAGAATCACTTCATAAGTTATACTGAGATCCACTGGCATTTCCCATGGGCTTCTCACCAGTCCTAACAATTATTCACTTGTATTCTTCACAAACAACACAGCATGCGTTTCCATGACAGCATAAGGAGTTATAGCTCTATTCCTTCTTGTTAAAGCTGCAAAGACTGAAAAAGATTTCCATTAATCTTGGTGGTGACTTGCCAACCTGAATTGTAACCCGCTTCCTTTTCAAATTTTATTTTATTACGAAAAGCAATTCTTAGTACACCAATGCTTTCTGTATCCAAACGCAGGATCTCTCAGTCACCTGATAAAACCAAAACATGTAGCATCATCTTTTTATTTTGAGTTATAAAGCTACACATTAATTAAAAACTCTCTGTGTGGAAACACATAATTGCGTTTGCAAACACATCCACCTTTGCTAGAAGCTAAGTTGTGAGGGAAGCTCATTTAAGCTTGATGTTGAATTGATATTGTTCTTGTCCCCATGGAGCAATTTTCAGAGGCACAACTGGTGCAATTGAAGAAAACCGTCCATCACACAACCAATCAGCTCCTGTTTGTATGCTTCTTGATATTCACATCACTGTCGGCAATTTTTGCTTTTTTCCAAAACCTGAGTCAAACTTGGGAATGTTGATGGACTTTCACATGGAGAAGCCTACACAGCTTTTAATTTTCCATGCCATGTGTATTTTTACCACAGGTCAAGAGAAAACCATAGCCTTGAGTGTCTGAAACCAGTTGGCTAGATAAATGAAGAGCACCATATGCTTTTCTTAGCCACATCCGCTATTTACTCTTAATGCAAGCCAAATGGAATGTCTTCATACAAGATAAGAAGAGACAAAGAAAGACCTCGAGCTCAGTGCCTGCTCTGCACGTGGAGGGCCCCAGGTTGCATTTGTAACATCTCAATGGGGAGTGGGAGAATGTCCACTGTCCGAAACCGCAAGACAGCTGCTGCCAGTCTATGCAGAAAACACTGGGCTAGTTGGAACAATGGCCTCCTTCCTGTGTTCCAGTGAGCTGCTATGAACAATGTATTTTGTTCAGTCTATCAAAAGACTGGGGTGCTGCTTGTTACAGAGTCCTCGGTAAGATAGCCATTCTACAAATGAACATCATGTTCACATAAGCCCCTGGGTCCAGGGCTTCTTTTAGCCCTGTATGGGTTTCCCTACTCCTCTGCATGCAGCTGCTAGCCTGTGTAGACCAAATTGAGTTTGATGGCCAATGTCTGACTGAGGCTGCATTTGCATGGCAGTTTATTTCATTGGAGCTGGAATATAGAGCATGCTTAATGCTTGTTTTCATATTTGCTTCCAGGGGAAAAAACTGTCTGCAAATATTGGAAAGAGTGCTAAACATGTGCTATATTCCACTATAGTTCCACGCAAGGGAGGCATGCAAGGTTGCTTCTACCCAGAAATTTGTCATCTTGATGCCAACAGAATGAAAGCATTATTGTGTCTAATAGGTATATAGGAAGTTCCCTTCCAAGGAGTCAGACCATTGGGCCATCTAGGTCTCTGCACTGACTGTCAGTGGTTCTCCAGGACTTAGGGCAGGGTTTGCTCCAATTCTACATGGAGATGCTAAGGATTGAACCTGGGACCTTCTGCATGCAAAGCATATGCTCTACCACTGAGCTATGGCCCTTCCCCTTATATCATGCACTGTTAAACACGTATGTATGTATATACATATACCTTCACTGAATGTACACAAGTAAGTGGCCTATGAATGGTATAATAAAGGCAGTTTCGTAAAACTAAGACACCAAGAAACGCCATGTGATTCTTTGCCATTTTCCAGGGCTTTGTCTGTTGTATAATACCATTTTATAGGTTTTTATGTTGTATTTTAAACTATTAAGCAGTTTAGAACTGCTTGTAGGTTAAGTACGCAAGCAAATAATCACCAATGAGTGGTGATTACAAATTCCCGGAGAGTAGTTCTGCTGCATTTTATTTATTTGCATGCAAGTAAGCAAGCAAGCAAGCAAATAAAAAAAATGCAACACAACTGCTCTCCTGGAATTTGTAATCAGCACCAAATGACAATTTGTCCGCTGTAAATGAGTGTTTGGAAAATTGATTGTGACTATGAGAAATAAGCAACCAAACAAACTGGGAAGGCGGTAGAAGCTTGGACTGGAAGCTGGAAAACTCTGCTTTATTCATCTATGTCTGATCCAGGAATTATTCATCCCTCACCCTATTCCAAAGCGGGTGGAACCTCACATTTCTGTGAAGAGTCAAGAGCATGGCAAGGGACAGATTAGGTTGCAGATTTGGTTTTCACAGCTTCTATCCCCAGGGAGCTCTTTCCACACAGATTTGTCTTCCGACAATCCAGTGTGCCTTCAAGGGAACTACGGGTGAACTCTCACTCCATGCACAGCTCCAGACATCTCTTACGCTTTGTCATTCTCCCACTGAAGATGTCAGTATGGAGCGTGCGTGCACACATACACCGACACACACAACTCAGGCTCCTGGGACTGCACTGCAGGGAAAGTGAAAATCAGCTCTTTTTAGTTCAGTCTTCCTACTGCAGACCCCCTATCACTCTTATAATTTGTTAGTTAGTGGGTTGGAGTATTGTTTCATTTATTGTTTACTAATGTTATTTCTTATTATTCTTATGGGGTGGGGACTGGTGTTTTGCTTGTTTTTTGTTTCCCCCACCATGCTGTATGGAATTTTTATGCACCATTTGAATCCTCCTCCACATTTGAATGGTAGATATATTTTCAGTGTAGGCCTCTAGGAGACTTTCTGGGTGACAAGCAACTATATTATAATTTTTTAAAATGCTCCTTCTCTTAGTAATATAAAATTACCATGATGTAACAGCTGATTAATCCTTCTCTTCTTTGCACCTTCAGCAAGTCTTCAAAGAGTTTCGCCCGCTCGATGATATCATGGCTGTAGTGGCCATCAATCATGTCAATGGATTCTGCAACTGCTCCTGTGAAGTCAACGATGGCCTCTGCGGTGTTGCCACCATCCAGGGCTTCATAAGACCCGGCCATCCTAGTGGTAACACAATGCACATTGAGGACACACCCAAATATATGAAGAAGGTTTCGCTGCTCCCAATGGGCTGCCTCCCTCCCCTCTAGAGGCATCGTGCTTACCTAGGTTTCATTTCCTTTGTTAGGAGATCACTAGACACTTGTTGGTATTTTGTAATATTTGGGTTTATTTAAAAATGCACGGGTTGGGCAAAGGTGGAGCAGGCACAGCTTAAATACTCCAACCTATGGGGAAATCCACTACCCCACATCAGATCTCCAGAGAAAGGCAGCCAGAACTCCAGAATGATGTAAGTTGGTCAAGCTAAAACTCAATTCTCTGCCTTGCCATCTCGCTAGCTAGTCTTAGCCCCCTACAAAAACTGCTGTTTCCTATAATTTGTTTACCCAGAGACCTAGATCTCACCATCCTTAGCTCAGAGTGGGAGAATGAAAGGAATACACCTTTTAGTTTTGTCCTCCTAGCCATTTCCTGCCCACTCTCCTGCACTCTCCTGCAGATAAGCCCCATTAAATTTGAACTAGAGTAGAATTGTGCTGTCAAGGGAGAGCTATGCATTACCTACAGGTATAGACAGGGTGTTCTTTTCATCCAGAACTTGCCAGAACTCAGGTCTGGCACCTCTCAAGTAGGCACTATTGTCATTATAAGAGAACATGGGTTCATGGTGAGTTCTGGCACCTCGTTTTCTAGAAAAATAGCACTGGGTATGGATACCTTGCCAACTTTATCTGGACTGTTGAGGAAGTCCCTTATAGTACTTCTGTCTCCATGAAATTTCTCATAGGAAACCCTCCCAATCTGACCATGCTACATGTGTATTCTATGCACTGCAGGGAAAGTGAAAATCAGCTCTTTTTAATTTAGTCTTTCTACTGCAGACCCCCGATCACTCTTAGATAATTTGTGTATTCTATGTAAGGCATGAGGTAGGAAGGGGCCCCAAGATCATCATAGGCAATTTGTTAAAACCACTTGGTTTTGGTAACATTGTAACATTTTGTAACAACATTACGAGGCAGTTTTCATTTTGTTGAAAGAACAGAAATTGTGCCAAGTCAAAGCAATCACGTACTTTGCGTAGGCCTTCTCCAGAAGGGCGCTCCAGAATTCATTGCGGTCGTTAGAATGGCAATAGATCAGCTCATTGTCTACAGTTGGCAAGCGGTCATCTATGACCACATCAATCCATTCTCCAAAACGCCAGAAGCAGAAGTGAAATATCCCCACATTTTGATCTGGCTTATCTGAAACCCAGTCCTGTTCCTCAACATCTGGAACCACCTAAAGTGTCCAAAGAAACAGAATTACTCAAAGCATTGAGGCAGGAAACATTTCTCGATTAACTGATAAAATGGATCCATTAAAAAAATAATCAGACCCCAAAAAACATGGATTTGTAAAAAATAATTTGTAATTGGGGAGGGGGAGACTTCCATGACAAGGAAACAATTTAAATTCCTTCTTAGTTAAGATCATTCTTATAGCCCTAGAAAAAAGGCTACTAGCTTTTCCTTACCAATCTCCTGGAAATCACCCAGATATTTTTCCAGCAGACCCTGATCTTCCTGCTTGTCACTCTTTCCCTAACTGTAACTAAGCCCATGTATTTGAAGCCTGAAACAACCACCATAGATATGGTCTTGCCTCCACTCTGTGCCCCCTGCCAGATTTCTAAAACTGGAGCGCTGCACCTTCAACAGGGACAGAATGTAGAAGAACAGACACGCCAATGGTTTGCAGCAAGTCATGCTAGTTTTCGTGGGTAAAGATGCTGGAGATCCATATATATATATATATATATATATATATATATATATATATATAATCTTGCATCTATATTTCAATTAGTTTCAAAAGAGGATACAGTGGTACCTCGAGTTACAAATGCCTCAGGTTACAAACTCTGCTAACCTGGAAGAGTTACCTCAAGTTGAGAACTTTGCCCCAGGATGAGAACAGAAATAGTGTGCCAGTGGCACAATAGCAGCAAGAGGCCCCATTAGCAAAAGCACGCCTCTAGTTAAGAACAGTTTCAGGTTAAGAACGGGCCTCCGGAATGAATTAAGTTTGTAACTAGAGGTACCACTGTACAAGGTAGAAGGGATTGGTTTGGGACTGCAGAGCTAAGAGAAGAGGCTAAGCCTTTCCTCCCACACCTTCTTCCTGATACGAATCACCTCTCCTCAGATCCTATTTGCCCTGTTAGGGAAATGGATGGTTTTACAAAATTATTCATTCAGAGTAAATTGGTCAGCCAAAGGATGAAGAACTTTTTTTTCAGATGAAGGGCTGCTTTGCATTCTTGGTGATCTTCCAGGGGCCACAATCATAGTTCCATCCAATCAAAAACACTCAATCGGTGGATGAAGCCAAGTCTGTGAGGACTGTGGGCTTGGGGAAAGTTCTGAACGGAAGAGGGCTGCATTTGACCCTGGAGGGCTGCATTTGACCCTGCCTCCCCATCCAGATGTGCTCATTAAAAAATCACTCATGGAAAGAAACACCAGTTGTTTCTCTTCCAAGATCAAAAGGACTTGGGATCCTAAACCACATATGATTTATTGTTATTACTGTCTAAAAGCGAAAGTATTCCCAGAGTAGCTGGCTTTAGCGTCCTTGACACCCATCGCTTTAGAGCCCTGGGAATCCTCGTCTGTTGCTCAGTAGCACAGTACCTTTTGCCAGAGGTTCTGCCGAAGGGCCAGGCAAGAGCAGGCTGCCACAAACCAGCAGTTTCCCAGCTTCCCTTGGTGCAAGTCGTGGGAACTGATTCCATTGACAACCAAGTGAGGATCTTCAGAGAGCTCCTTTAAAGGCAAAACACACATAAGCAAATTGGTTTCACAGTATTATAAATCAGGCAAATGGCTCCCAGGTTTCAAACGTTTGACCTGCTTGAAATTTTGCTGAAATATTTAGGGTCATCCACATTTCCGCTGTGTCCTGTGATTTCTGGGCATGATTATCAGAGGTTTTTCTTCTGCCCTGCCGCTTTCCCCAGGAAAACCCGCTGTTTACCGCTGAATCAAAACAAACATCAATTGGGTTTTCTGCAGATTGACATTTGTTCCGATTCAGCAGTAGACAGCGGGTTTTCCCAGGGAAAGAGACAGGGCAAAAGAAAAAGCTCTCAGGCCTGTGCCTAGAAATCAAGGGACACGCAAAGTATGGATGAGCCTGTTGGAAGATTCTAGAAGAAACCTGGAAAATGGTCTTGAACAAGTTGATTCAACAGAATCAAAACCCAATCTTATACACGTTTACTCAGAAGTACATTTCAATGTGTTCAGTGGTGTTTGCATCCAAAACCAAAATCCTGCTGTGAGGCAAAGGCAGAGCTGTGAGGTGGCTCAAAGGGCAGGAGTCATTCCTGTATGCCCTGGGGCAAATTATTTGCATTTGCAGATTACAATTTTTCAGCGGGAATCATAAAGATTGATAGCAGAACCCTGTAGATATTCCAAGCTGTGGAACATGCCATACTAGAATAATGACCTGAGTGTTGTCACAGACCAACGTGAACACAGATATTAAGGTTGTGTATACATTACCATTTAATCTGGCTCCAATGCGTTCCTACCACTGGTGTTTGAAGCTATGAACACATGATGTTGGCCACAACCCACATCAATCTTGCAGTTTCTTGAGAAATGCTGCTGTTTGGTGAGCCTCTCCCCCAAAAAAACCCTACCTTCCATCAGATTTCCTCCCAAACCATCTCCCACTGCTTTGCATTTCAGCTGAGGTGTGTACCTATGAGACAGCCATTGTGCATGCACAGATGATAGCACATGTGCAGTTGAGAGTGGGGGGGGACACCAAAAAGGTAATATGGATCGGGCGAAGACACCCCCCCCCATGGTGTGAACAGCAGTTTGCAAATGTGGCTTGAAACATAATGAGTGAAATGGCCCTGCTGCGTTTTAAGTCGCTAATGTGTTCAAAGCTTTAGGAGTTTAGATACCAAAACATCAACATCCTTTTAATCACTGCGTAGGAAGAAAATATCCCAACTCTACACTGGAAATAGTTCAGAATTCCGAATCTTATCTCTGGCATTAATGCTTTCCAGCTTCCTTTTATAACTTTTAATAGTGAATGCATTTCAATAGGAGTGTTGTTGGGTTCAACTTGCTTGTGACCTTAGTTTTGGAATCCAAAACAATAATCATTCAAGCACACTCACATTTGACCAGCCGAAAAAGAGACTATATATCATACTTGCATCCCTTTGCCAGAATTACAATGCAAAGTCATGGTGAGAATACAGCTTGTCTGGGTTCTCTCATCGCTTTGAGCCTCTGAGTCCCAGAGGTCAACAATGCAGACAGCCTTCCATGTGGATGTGGTTAAGGCTTATTCCAAAACAAATATAAGGATGACACAGAACTTCTTTTGCTGTTTCTTTCCCCTTCACATTACAGTTGCATAAGTCTGCATAAACTTACAAGCTAGGAGCAGCCTAAGAATGAATGTTGCTCAACGTATTTACAAGCTTAAAGTGATTTGATTCTATCACACATTCACAGATAAGACTACCATGGGGAATGGGAGAATTCATGGGGGGGGTGTCTTTATTCAAGTTATTGGGAAGTCTTTGACCTGAATTTTAAGCTATTTTCTCAATGAGCTAAAATTTCAGGGTAAGGAGACAAAACTGCTTGATTTGAAAGCTTTTGTTTCCAGCTCTGTTTCTCCAGTATATTGAGCTACACCCTCCTGAGCCTCCAAGCATAGTCAGGGTTTACCCTCTCAGTCATCGGCTCCACCTCACACATCTAAATCTCAAGATGACCTGGCAACCATAGTTTTTATTATACAGTTTGTAACTGCAATTCTAAACAGGCTTACTTTAGAGTAAGCCCAAAACATGAATAGAAGTGCACTGCCTGACTAGTAGAGGTAGAAATTAGAGAGTTCTGGAACCTCGTTTATGATGAGATGAAAAAGATTTTTAAATTAACATTCTCAAAGAATTCTGGGAAGTTGTGTTTGTTAAGCAGGCTGAAAGATGTTAGGAGAGCTCTTTTCCCCTCACAGAGCTTGTGAAGAAGCATTCCACTCTGTGAATTGTAGCTCTGTGAGGGGAACAGGGAGTCTCCTAACAGCCCTCAGCACCTCTTATCAAACTACAGTTCCCCAGAATTCTTGAGGAGGCATCCATGACTGTTTAAATGGATATAATGCTCATTTAAATGCATAGTGCTGATGGGGTCGTACTGAACTGGATTATAACAAATCCTCTGATGGTCTTTCTGTGCTGTCACAACTCTCCCTGAAATCAGAACTATAATTCACTTGGCTGACGCTCACTAAAAAGAGGAAAGATGTGCGTTCTTTCGGAAACAGTAAATGATGTTACTGCCTCTCCCCGCTCCCCCCCACACACCGGAAGTATTTATGGACTATTCCACATAAATTTATCAGCCATAAAGGATCTCGTAAATAGCAAAGCACCCTGCATTTTCTTGATGAGAGAGAAGCCTTCCACAGAACCCTAAGGGATGCTACCACCTCCCCACTTACAAATGGGCAAATAAAAGTTAGTACCAGCTATGGAAATAAATCTGATCATTTTAGTGCATCTGGAATGAGCCTGCAGGCAGAGAGAGAGAGAGAGAGAGAGAGAGAGAGAGAGAGCGCATAACTACATAATGCAGTATTTAAATAAAAGGTATCATTTTATTAGAAGCTTTAAACAAGACAACTGGATTTCCTCTGTATTATCTCTCTACTCCTAGGGCTCTGTGACAGATGTATGTGTTATTTCAACATTGAACAACTCAACCTTGGGAGGAATATGGCTTTTGACATCCTGTATTTTTGGACAAGGATTAACCAGCTTCTTCCTTCTAAGAAGAGGAGGTAGAGGGCAGCAGACATCAAATTAGATGGTTTCAGGCTGCATGGGGACCAAGTGTGTGGCTTCAATCACTGAACAGATGAAGACTTCCCCCATAAGCCAAACCTGTGAGGAAGAACAGAGGCTGCTGCCTTATACTGAGTCAGACCATTGGCCCATCTACACTGATCGGCAGCTGCACTCCAGGGCTTCAAATTCAGGTCTCTCCCAGTCCTACATGGAGATCCTGGGGTTTGAAACTGGGGTATTCTGCATGGAAAATGGATACTCTACCCCTGAGCTATGGCCCTTCCTAAAATATTTTAGAGTCTTTTCTTTGAGGGCCAACATCACTGAATATATGGTGGATAGCAACTGAAGAAAGGACCTCGGTGGCGATACCCTGGCTGTAAAATGCTCTGACCAGGAATGCCTGTTTTGATATAATTTTAGCACCAAGCAAAAGCTTTCATTTGCTTGTTAATCTAACTTATTTTATGGCTGCCAATTCCTTTTACATTGCTTTGTATTTACCATATTTTTCACTCTATAAGACACTTTTTCCCCTCCAAAAATTAAGGGGAAATGTGTGTGCGTCTTATGGAGCGAATGCAGGCTCTTTGGCTTCAGCGATAGCAACGCGAAGCCTCCGAAGCGCAGAGGGAGCGCTCTCTCCACGCTCCAGAGGCTTCATGTTGCTTTCGCTGAAGCCTGGAGAGTGAGAGGGGTCGGTGCACACCGACCCCTCTCGCTCTCCAGGCTTCAGGTTGCTTCGCTGAAGCCAGAAGAGCGAGAGGGATTGTTGCGCACCAACCCCTCTCGCTCTCCTGGCTTCGCTTCACTGGAGAGGCGCTGCACAGCTTTCCCTCTCTGTGCAGCGCCCCTTCAGTGAAGCGGGAGGAGAAATGGAACTTCTCTGAAGGAGCTGTGCAGAGAGGGGGAGAATTTTTTTTCTTGTTCTCCCCCTCAGTTTCAGGTTAAGAACGGACCTCCAAAATGAATTAAGTACATAACCAGAGGTACCACTGTATAAATAAATCTATGCACATAGAAAACCAGCTACGGCAGAACGCTTTGCCTGACACCCAGCTTTCAGTATGGAGGGATTTTTTAAAATATATTTATTTTTTGGTACAGTCGTACCCTGGTTGTCGAACACCCTGGAACTTGGACTGCCTTCTTGACCATTTGACCCACTATTGGCCTCATCCGCTCATTCCGCCAGACCCTGTCTTTGTATGCAGGGGCTAGTCACTGAGGGTTTGAGACCCATCAGCTACCAGCCAGTCAAAGCTGTTTCCCGGGGTGTGGCTGCTGTCACATACTGGCAGCTTCTCGGAGCCACAGGTGAAAGCTGAATGTAGGGTGGGGGCCAAAGGTGTACAAACTAACCCAGAAGGAGCAATATGTGTCCCCCACCAGGGGTACTACCTCTCCCCCAACACCCTATATACCTCTAATTGTATAAAGAAATGTGTAAAGTTCAAACTAAAGAAATGTGGAAAGTTGAACTTGAGATTGGGGGAAAAAATGAGAAACTGTGAGAAACTGCAATGGATTATTTGCCCTGAGCTACAATCCTTTTCTAAATTCAGATAAGTCTGCTCTTAAACTCTCTCACGGAGCATTTAAAGTTTAGGCGGGCAAAGACGCAAGGGATTGCTAGCCAACCGCAGCACACGAGAGCAGACAGCAATATCAAAAGCTATAACTGGTGTGTATTTTGCAAGCTTCACAACTGATGACAACAAATTTAAGAGATCCCAGAGCTCACCGTGAGGCTTGCTACAGTCATAAAAATGTAGTACATTTTGTCATAAACCACACATTGTTTAATTTATGGTATTCAAAACAACATTTTACTTTATAATGCCTTAGATCCAAGAACATTTGGGAAACTTTTGCTCGTTCCCGGGGACCTTCCTATGGCTGTCCTATACCTAATCTTTTTCAGAGGCTCATAGCAGAGCGGTTTGAAGTATTTCATTGCCTCGTGGTGGCAGTCTATGCCCAGGGATCTCACGCACGCAACCACAATCAAATTATCAGCACATTGGAAGAGTTTGCTTAGCCCCGAGACATGAAGCTAGTTGTGAATGGAACAGCTGGAGAATCTTGGAACTTGTAACCCAGAATGAATTGCAACAGTCGAAACCATCAGAGATCAAAAAAGAGGGAGTTCCACAACTTTTGGGCTTATTCTTATTGTGAATGGAAAATCCCTCCAATATTTAGTGATGATATAATTTATCTGCTGGGATAAAACACAGGTGGTTTTGCTTACAAATGATCTAACTAACGGTAGCTCAGCTATTTCTTCTATGTAAATATGTAAAAATGAAAGAGCTGCTGCCAGAAAAAAACCCTATTAATTCTGGCCTATGTTTAACTGGTAATAAATAAGGTGCAGACTCATCACATTGTTTTGTTATATTGTCATCTGGTTTGAAGTTCAGTCAGTTTATTCTGTATTGCCAAACTGAGAGACGTCGGGAAGAATGGTCTTCAGTAGGCTGAAGCCACAAAAATAAGCTTTCTGAAATGATGATTAATGGGATGCTACACAAACGGTTCAGCCTCATATCTCCCTGCCTCCCCCCACCCTGGCCTTTTCCTGGGCGATGCTATTATGATCCTTGAGTTGCTTATTTCTTTATAGTGAAATGCAAACCCTAATGAAGCCAGAACCGCCTTTGGCTTTAATGGGGTCAAGATGTCATTCTCTATCGATTCCATAGCATCAGCAAGTCAGATATTGCAGTAATACATGTGAGGACAATAATTTGTGGTAGAGGGTGGACTGGAGCAAAGGTGGGAGACTTGTCAATATATTCAGCTGCCTGTGCCCCTTCAGGGCTCACCTCCATTGAGTCACAGACAGAGAGGACACTCACTGCTTTTACACCCACAAACTTTGAAACACACACATAGAGATCAACACATGCATTGTGGTGCAGTAACTAGAGTGCTGGGCTAGGAGACCAGGATTCAAATCCCCGCTAAGCCATAAAACTCACAGGGTAACCTCGGGCCCATCACTGTCTCTTAGTCCGCTCTACCTTCCGGGAATGTTGTGAAGATAGAATGGAGAGTAGGAGTACCATGTACACCACCTTGACTCCTTGGATGAAAGGTGTGATTATAGAAAGAAGAAGGAAGAGGAGGAAGAGGAGGAGGAGGAGGAGGTAAACACATATATGCAAGCATGTGTATTTATGAAAGCTCACCCATTTCTGAGTCACACCCACAAAAGTATTTGCTGTACGGACTGCCGTACTGTGAAACCAAGTGTCCCTGTGCCTGTTCAGACACACCCTTAGGTATGCTCTCATGTTAATAACTACATGCATACATACATATACATTCACACAAAACACAAGTAATTTACCTTCTTGGTTGTGGTGCTGAAAGTGACAGCGATATATGCGATAGTCAGCTGCATGATGAGGATTAGAGGTCGTCGTAAGCATGCCGATTTCATTAACCGCCCCATGGCAAAAGAGTTTAGGCACGGGAACGAATTGTGTCCGTGCTCTTGGCTGGATCTGACTCTCACTCTTCTCTTCTCTTCTCTTCACTAGGTAAGCTATCAGAGAAGGCTTTAAGAGGGACCCTGCAACTGCAAACTCCTCCCATAGTCAAGGACTTCCAACCCAGCGAGTCTTGCACCTGCAGGCTGGGGCCAATCACAGAATTCGCCAGCGAGATAAAATCTCTTCCTTGCTTAGAAAATGACACACATTGCATCCTTGGCATTTCCAGGAGGGCTTAAATGTTCCTGTGCTTGAAAGCCTTGGCAGCTATTTCCAAGCAATGCTAAGAACACTGACCCTGAAAGTGACATGACCCAACATAATATTGTTTCATATTCACTTTTACCCATCATGCTACTCTCCAGTTTCTAACTCCTGCCAATCTATGCATCCCCATCATGTCTGATTTCTTTCTGTTTTAAGCAAAAGTCTGTATAAACTAACCAACTGGAGAGCATTTCTCTCCTGCAGAGCATGCTCAGTCCAAACTGACAGCATCCATGGCAAAACATATTATTTGTGTACAGTGCACAGGACCACCTTCTGCAGCAATTAAAATTTACTTAGCTTCAACCTCTTGCCATTGCAGAAGCAGCAATTATTTATCTTATACCGCTTTCACCCTCTTAAGCTAACCACTTTTATCTATCTAGGAGAGTCCCGGTCTCTCTTTTTTCCCCTAGTAACTGTTCTTTTTAAAACTGTAAGAAGTATTATGGCCCTTTAAAGACTAACCAATTTATTATGCCCTAAGCTTTCAGGCACTACAGTTCAGTTTTTCAGATGCGTAAAAGTGTTGTCCTGAGTTGCAGGCCCGAGGTTGCATGGGGATTATAAAAAGAGAGCTCCCAAGGAAATGAAAAGAAGAAAAGTGAAGTGATAATTTCGTACTTAACAATGGTAATTCAGAAAACAATTTCTGATGCATGCTCTGGTTATCTCCCGCTTGGACTACTGCAATGCGCTCTACGTGGGGCTACCTTTAAAGGTGACCCGGAAACTACAACTAATCCAGAACGCAGCAGCCAGACTGGTGACTGGGAGCAGCCGCCGAGACCATATAACACCAGTCTTGAAAGACCTACATTGGCTCCCAGTACGTTTCCGAGCACAATTCAAAGTGTTGGTGCTGACCTTTAAAGCCCTAAACGGCCTCAGCCCAGTATACCTGAAGGAGCGTCTCCACCCCCATCGTTCTACCCGGACACTGAGGTCCAGCACCGAGGGCCTTCTGGCGGTTCCCTCACTGCGAGAAGCCAAGTTACAGGGAACCAGGCAGAGGGCCTTCTCGGTAGTGGCGCCCTCCCTGTGGAACGCCCTCCCACCAGATGTCAAAGAGAACAACAACTACCAGACTTTTAGAAGACATCTGAAGGCAGCCCTGTTTAGGGAAGCTTTTACTGTTTGATGTATCACAGTATTTTAATATTCTTTTGGAAGCCACCCAGAGTGGCTGGGGAAGCCCAGCCAGATGGGCGGGGTAGAAATAATAAATTATGATGATGATGGTGATGATGATGTCACAGATATCCTGGCATTGACATTGGCACACTAGATTTGGTATTTTTTAAGAACAATATTGTGCCTACAACAGAATCCTGCAGCACCCTATTTGTCACTTTTCCCCAGAATGATAAGGAACCATTTGTGAACGCTCTTTGAATTTGGTCAGTCAACTAGCTACAAATCCAATTAACAGTTACCTTGTCCAGCCCACATTTTACCAGGTTCACAAGAATATCACTGGCGGGTTGTCAAAAACCTTACTTAAATCAAGATGTCCACAGCATTTCCCTGATCCTCCAAGCTTGTAACTTCATCAAAAAGACATGTGGTTTGTCTGGCATGACTTGTTTTTGAGAAACACATACTGGGTCTTAGTAATCACAGGATACTTTTCTAATTGCTCACAGAGCAACTGTTTCATTATCTGTTCTAGGGCCTTCCCTGGTATCAACATCAAGCTCACTGGTTGGTAGTTTCCTGGGCCTTCTTTCCCCACTTTTTTTAAAAAGATCGGGACAACATTTGCCTGCTTCCGGTCTGCAGGAACCTCACCTGCTCTCCAGTGACAAGTGTCATCTCACACTTTCTGCTGCATCTACCCATCACTTTCTTTCACAAAAGTCCTATCTTTTGGGAAAATATTTTTTGTGCAAAAGCTCAAAATTCACAAGTATGTGACTGAAGCCTACTCAAAAAGCAACCTTCTGGAGACACACTAAGTTTCCAAATAGGGAAAAATTGAAATAGTTGATCCTTAAAACAGCATTCCTTCAGTTCCACTTGCCAGAGGGCATCTCTGAAAATATTGACAGGAAAAGAGTTGTTTCCCCCCTCTTAATTAGTATTTTCAGCATAGCCAGTAGAGTCACAGCTCATTAGGCAGAACTCTGCATAAGCGTTAATATCACTACGCAAATTTACTCTATATAGCAGCACAAGTCTGCAGGGGTAGCCTGCTGATGAATATGAACTCTTCTGCATTTTTGCAAACACTTGCAAATGTCAATGTTTTTAATGTGGGGTGGGGAATGGATGAACAAATTTAATGGTCAGAAACAAGCTGAAATATATTTGACTGGAAGGTTGACAGCATGGTGAAGCTTCATGTTCTCAAGGCCTGAGCTACAACAGGAAGAACAATGTGTTAGCAGTCTCTTGCTGCTTTCTACCTAGCACAACCAGTCTCTAAGCAAAATAATGAATGAATACAAATCTAATGTTAGAAATGGCAATAATAAGAAGCCAGTGAGAATATCTCAATCTCTCAGGACATTTTACTGCTGACCTGAATGTTGTACATGAACAATCTATGGAACCCAACCTTCTGCTGAATGCCACTCTACAGTAAATACATTCTAGAGGGTGAAAGCTATGTGAAACTGCATTAAAATTTATTTATTTTTAATTTAAATTTTTTTTAACATAACATAAAAAATGCCAAAGAAAACCCCCACGTTTATCAAAATTGCAGAACTGTGGTACAGAGGTTATATTTTTCAAATAAATAGAAAGAAGGTAAGATGGAAAAATAAAAGCATCACGAAAGCCATGAAAGCCAAATTTTGCAATTTGGTTGCGGGAAGACAGTTTTGTACAGTGGTACCTCGGGTTAAGTACTTAATTCGTTCCAGAGGTCCGTTCTTAACCTGAAACTGTTCTTAACCTGAGACATCACTTTAGCTAATGGGGCCTCCTGCTGCTGCCGCGCTGCCGGAGCACAATTTCTGTTCTCATCCTGAAGCAAAGTTCTTAACCCGAGGTACTATTTCTGGGTTAGCAGAGTCTGTAACCTGAAGCGTATGTAACCCAAGGTACCACTGTATATCTAAAATTGACATGTAAGAAATGAAATCCCAGCAAACGTTGCAGAAATGGTTCCAAGTCTTCCTCAGATATGTAATTGTGAACTATTTTCAATGTAATAGGCAGATAATCTTCCTATATTAGAATTTATCACAGCGTTTTATTTTATTGCAGTTTTGAACTGATAGCTTTTACCAGCCATGATGTCTTTTAGAGGAAAGATAGGATAAAAAACTAAATAGATAAACAAACAAACAGAATGAATCTAGGGTTGGTGTGTTATCATGAAAAGATGATTTGAGCATATTACATCGATCCTGACCTGACTGCACTGCCTACCAATTAGTTTCTGGGCCCAATTCAAAGTGCTGGTTTTGACCTATAAAGCCTTAAATGGCTCAGGACCCAATACCTCAAGGACCGCTTCTACCTATTTGAACCAACCTAGACCCGGCACTCATAAGATGAAGCTCTTCTTTGTGTGCCCCCTTCACAAGAGATTCAGAAGGTTGAAACATGAGAATGGGCCTTTTCTGTGGTAGCTCCCTGCTTGTAGAATGCCCTCCCCAGGGAGGCTCACCTGGTGCCTTCATTATACATCTTTAGGTGCCAGGCAAAAACATCGCTCTTCCCCCAGGCATTTGTCTAGTTAAACAATACATGGCCTTCTAAATTGTGTGTGCGTCTACGAAGTGGGTGATACTGTTTTTGTTTGTTAGTGTTATGATTTTTGTGTTTTTATATTGTACACTTCCCTGTAATCTTCGGATGAAGGGCAGTATAGAAACTTAACACAGTGGTACCTCGGGTTACATACACTTCAGGTTACATACGCTTCAGGTTACAGACTCCGCTAACCCAGAAATAGTGCTTCAGGTTAAGAACTTTGCTTCAGGCTGAGAACAGAAATCGTGCTCTGGCGGTGTGGCAGCAGGAGGAGGCCCCATTAGCTAAAGTGGTGCTTCAGGTTAAGAACAGTTTCAGGTTAAGAAAGGATCTCCGGAACAAATTAAGTACTTAACCCAAGGTACCACTGTAAAGAATAATATTAAAAATGTCTTACTGCTGCTGTGAATGATGCCTGCTTTTAGCCGTCTGCTTTTCTGCTGCTCTTTCCTGTTATGGGATAATTAATGTAACTTTAGCCTTTTGTGAGCTGCTCCCGGAATCTGTTGAAGGGCAGGTCATAAACCAAATTAGTCAAAATTTGTCCAAATGTGAGGCAAAATCCAGTATATTAGAAATTAGGCTTAGGTTTACCTCAAACTGAGACTATGATAGAAACAAGAGCTCTCTTCACTTGTTACTGTCCGAAGAGGCAACATAGGCAGAAAAGGGTTATGTGGTCATACAAATTCCCTGGCCCCCTTCCATGATACCCCTTGCAAGAACAGCATAGCAGACAGGAGTGGCTCTCCGTTTGTGGAATGCTCTTCCCAGGAAGGTTCAACTGGCACCTTCATTATGCACCTTTACACGCCAGGCAAAAACATTCCTCTTCAACCAGGCCTTTGGCTAATTGGCACTTGATGCCCTTTTAAATGTGTTGTGGAAGGGGGGATTATTGGGTTGTCTTCTTTTTATCATGTATTTTAGGTTTTTTATACTCTAATCTTAAGTTGTGAACTGCCCTGAGATCTACGGGTATAGGCAGTGCTGTTTTCCTAAAAAAAAGAGGTGCTGGAGCTTATCATGAATTGTTGTCTTAGAATGGCAATTCTTATTATTCACAAAATAAAATACAATGATAAATAAATAACAAAATAATAATACAGTGGTACCTCGGGTTACATACGCTTCAGGTTACAGACTCCGCTAAACCAGAAATAGTGCTTCAGGTTAAGAACTTTGCTTCAGGATGAGAACAGAAATTGTGCTCCAGCGGCGCGGCGGCAGCAGGAGGCCCCATTAGCTAAAGTGGTGCTTCAGGTTAAAAACAGTTTCAGGTTAAGAACGGACCTCTGGAACGAATTAAGTACTTAACCCGAGGTACCACTGTAATAGTTTTCATGACTGAGTGCTTAGATAGGGTGCAGGACCTCCTGAGGGTGGGCAAAATGTTGGGCAAGGCCTTAATTTTTTTGTGAGATTTAGCCAAGATAGGCAGGTTTTGCCTATTGCTTAAAAACAAAAAACAGAAAGAGGGAGAGGAGGAGGAAAAGATGTTGTTCAACATTTCAACATGATTGGTGGCCTAATTTAAAAATAAATAGCAATTATTCTCTATTGAAGATAAGGGCTGAAAGCACCCTGGACTCAGATCTTGGCAGGGGTTGGTGGCTACAGCAGAAATGATTAAGTAAGATGCCAAAAAGAATTAAGTAAGCAAAGGAAAATGTGTGTTTTTGTTTGGCTATTTGGGTGGGACCCTGTGTACATGTCATGGAACTGGCTACTCAAACTCTATCTAGCCACTGGATTTGATTCAAGAGGAATAGACTCAGACAAAGAATGCAAAGTCCAAGACAAAACAAAGCAAATATATTCTTTAGAGTAAAAACAGCTTCCAACTTCTAATAATATCTTCCTATACATATAAAGGGACGCGGGTGGTGCTGTTGTCTAAACTACTGAGCCCAGGGCTTGCCGAATGGAAGGTTGGCGGTTCAAATCCCCACGACGGGGTGAGCTCCCGTTGCTCGGTCCCTGCTCCTGCCAACCTAGCAGTTCGAAAGCATGTCAAAGTGCAAGTAGATAAATAGGTACCACTCAGGTGGGAAGGTAAACGGCGTTTCCATGTGCTGCTCTGGTTTCGCCAGAAGCGGCTTAGTCATGCTGGCCACATGACCCGGAAAAACTGTCTGTGGCCAGTAAAGCGAGATGAGCGCCACAACCCCATAGTCGTTCGTGACTGGACTCAACTGTCAGGGGTCCTTTACCTTTTTATACATATAAATGTCTAAGGCTTTCATCACACAGTCTCCGTGGGAGGCTCTGTAGTAGTAAATCATAATCCTGGATTCGCGTGAAGTCAGGGTTGGGCAGGGATGCAAAAGAGAAAGCAGGTTGTACAACTTCACTGGCTATGGCATGGGAGCTAAAAGGGCAAGAAGACTGAGAGTAGAAAGCTGTAGGAGTGGTCTGAATAGATTGGGAAGTGTTATTGTTGCTGCTGCTGTTGTTTTAACAAAGAGAAATAGCAAATATGGGTACAACACAGCAGACAACACCAAAAAGCCAACACAACAGAGCCTGTCCCAACTCCCTTCTTTCTGTACTGAAACTTTGTCACTTCCAGGTTTGCTGCGTGCGTAACCCGAAGGATACGCAACCAGAGGTGTGCGTATCCAGAGGTACCACTGTACCTTAAACTGCTATTTCTCTGTCAGTACTTCTCTGCTGCTGACCACAGCTGAGCTTGAATAAAAGGATGTGAATGAAGTCAGAAGAGCAGGAACATACCTTGCATTCGCAGGAGCCTTAAATTCAGAGATCAGTGACCTTTTCAACTCTGAGGGCCACATTCCCATCTGGGCAACCTTCTGAGGGCCAAATGCCAGCAGTGGGTGAGGCCGGAGGCAAAACTGGGCAAAGCAACAAATTTCACCTTTATACAGCACGTGCTCACACAAAAACACTCGCACAGCTCTCTAGCCTTTATCCTGGCAGGCAAGAGCCATGATCAGGACCAGTGAGGTGTACAGCCTGGAGAAGGGAATGTTTTGGGGAATGTACTGAAAACTAGGCTTGAAAGGTCCCCCCCCCTTGCTTTAGTCATTTTATTTATTTCCCACAAAATGCAGATTCTTTTTTTCTTTTTTTGTGGCACACAATTTTGTACATACAAAATACAATTTTGTACTCTTTGCTTTAAATGACCTTGAGACTACTAAGGTTAAAGTTGTGTACACACACACACACACACGTGTGTGTGTGTGTGTGTGTGTAAATGTATACACACACACACCCCGCATACATACACACACACACACACACACACACACACACACACAGCTGGCAATTTGACTACATTACAGCTGCATATTTGTGGCCTGCTGCTGCCACTGAAGATGCAGTTGCTATGGCAACACATCTTAACAGCTTCCTTTTGTATGCCATATGCATCTCTGCAAGATAAGCCAACCTTCCTGGTTTATTTTTATGCCACCACATGCATTTAACACCTTCCTGTCTAGGGATAGCCTATCCAAGTCTAAGAGCAACCTGGAATATCTGTTTTAGCATAGCAGCAATATAGAGCTAAGGATCAATGAAGATGGATGGTTATGGGGAAGAAGAAAACAAGATTGTTGTATGATGACAGAGAAGGACTCTTCCATGTCTGATTGTACCATTAAGAGTCTTTTTATAGGATTTTATAGAAATGTGTCACTTGGTCTGTTAGAGGCTAATAATCTCACATACTACTAATTTTCTAATAATAATTTATTACTATTTATTTGAGTGATGGCATTTGAGAATCAAACATTATCTCTGAAGATATGGGAGAAGTTTTAGAGCAGAACAGGGTTATTTTATATACAGTGGTACCTCGGTTTAAGAACAGTCCAGTTTAAGAATGATTTGGTTTACAAACTATGCAAAACCGGAAATAGTGTCTTGGTTTGAGAACTTTACCTCAGTCTAAGAACGGCACTAGCGGCAAGAGAAAGCACGCCTCGGTTTAAGAACAGTTTTGGTTTAAGAACGGACTTCTGGAACGGATGAAGTTCATAAACCGAGGTACCATTGTATTAGCAATTGTTTTAGCTGCAACTTGATGCCAACTGAGGTATGCGTGTCTATTTTGGGGTTGTTTTAATAATAATGATGATGATGATGATGATGAGGATGATGATGATAATAATAATAATAATTTATTACTTATACCCGCCCATCTGGCCAGGCCTCCCCAGCCGCTCTGGGCAGCTTCCCACAGGATTTTTAAAAATGCAGTAAAAGATCAAACATTAAAAACTTCCCTAAACATGATTTCAAAGATATGAATCGCAGAAGGTTTTAGATAGATCTCTTCCGTTCATAAAACTATTTAGCAACTCAATAACTGAGAGCCAGTTCTACTCCAAACTTGAAAGGCATTTCAAATTGGAACATACCCACGTTCAAAAAGATGTTTCCATAATTCAGAGGCTGGAACAAAATGACAATATTTGATTCATAATTTGCAAAATGCTGTTTCCATTCTCCCAGATTGCAGGTTCACATTAACAAAATAATAATAATAATCTAGCAAGTATCTCCCAGTGTTGAAAGGAAACTGGCCTGAGAGCCAGGTTAATAAGATTCCTGAACTCTCTCCAATGCCTCAACAGAGGCTTGCCCTTCATTTACAAACAGGTACTCTGTTCAAGTTGCTTCAAGCTCCCTGCCACATGAACACTTTGCTTCTTCATTGTAAAACATGTTCACTTCCTTGAGTAGTGAGAAAACTCCCTACAGAATTTAGGACCCTCGTACCTACAGGACCGCCTCTCCCGATATGCCCCACAGAGGACCTTAAGGTCCATAAATAGCAACACCCTAGAGGTCCCAGGCCCTAAGGAAGTCAGATTAGCCTCAACCAGAGCCAGGGCCTTCTCAACACTGGCTCCAGCCTGGTGAAACACTCTGTCTCATGACACCACGGCCCTGCGGGATCTGATTTCTTTCTGCAGGGCCTGTAAGACAGAGTTGTTCTGCCTGGCCTTTGGCTTAGAATCAGTTTTATTCCCTCCCCCTCTTTCTTTTTTCCTTTCTCCTCCTGTGATGAGGCTGCATTTTAATGTTTTATTTTAATCTTGTTTTTTAAGTTGTATTTCAAACAACTTGTTTTTATTATTAGTTGTTAGCCGCCCTGAGCCCGGCCTTGGCTGGGGAGGGAGGGGTATAAATAAATGTAATAATAATAATAATAATAATAATAATAATAATAATAATAAATATGCAAGCAGTGGAAGCAAACAACCTCCAACAGTAGACAGCAGAACTGCAGGTTCTGCAAGATTCCCACCCCATGAAAAGCAACACGATGGGTCCCCAAGGCCCCCTACTCCAAGCTGCTTCTACTCCGGGCAAACTCACAGCTCAAAACCTTGCCATTCTCTGCCTGAATTTCTCTGCCTCCCAATTCAAACTTGCATGTTCTCATTCGGCCCACATTCAGGAGGAGTACAACACAAAGCAGAACAACAGCATGGAAAACAAAGGAGTGGAAATCTTGGGTGGGGGAACTGCTTGCCCTGATTTCCTAGCTCCTATTCTCAAGATAGCTTTAACAATCATACTGTTTTGACCGAACGCCATAACAAAACTAAATGAGAATATAAACAACCCAGCACGCAACTAAAATCCTAACACAGTAACATCTAAACAAAATACAGATGATGATGATTATATCATGAGAGATCCTTTTGCATTTTAATAAAATGAAATGAAAGACATCCTTTGAGCAACCCCCCATTTAAAGATTTGTTTCTGGTGGTGCTGTGGGTTAAACCACAGAACCTAGGACTTGCCAATCAGAAGGTTGGCAGTTTGAATCCCCGCGACGGGGTGAGCTCCCATTGCTCGGTCCCTGCTCCTGTCAACCTAGCTGTTCGAAAGCACGTCAAAGTGCAAGTAGATAAATAGGTACCACTCCAGCGGGAAGGTAAACGGTGTTTCCGTGCGCTGCTCTGGTTTGCCAGAAGCGGCTTGGTCATGCTGGCCACATGACCCGGAAGCTGTACGCCGGCTCCCTCGGCCAATAAAGCGAGATGAGCGCCGCAACCCCAGAGTCGGTCACGACTGGACCTAATGGTCAGGGGTCCCTTTACCTTTACTTTAATCACAGCAAAGAAAAAAGAAGAGTCTCTCAGTAGCCATCTCAGAACCTCACTTGAAAGGGGGGTGTCAGTTTAAGTCCTTGAGGCCAAAGGCAGCCCTCCATCTTTCTTTCTGTCTGGACTTGGGACTCTCTGCACGTCCCCCTCTTCACTAGCCCTGCTTCAGATCTTCCTCAAGTGCTTTTGCCTGGCTAGAATTTGTCCTTGAACTGTGATAGTGATGCCTCTTGCTTACGTGGGTGGAGATGTATGTGTTTGTGCGTAGGGGGAAGTGGGGCAGACTGATGCAGAAAAATTCAATCTCATATTTTATGTACCAAAATGAGTCAAATAATAAAAAAAATTGCTTTATGCATGGCATAACTAATCAATATAATAATAGCAATCAAAAGAAGTTAGAAGATAATGAGAATATAATGACTTGAGTAAAAAAAAAAAGGGGGTTTTGTATCATTCTGCCCCACCTACAGGGCACTTTGATACAGTGGATGGGGGACTTTGATACAAAACGTAAATTGTATGAGAACGGTAATTATTTAGAAAAAAATAATGAAAAAAACATTTTTTTATTGTGAGAGATCATAATCAGCCTTACAATTCGTTACTTAAAATCTAAATTACGTATCAAAACTAACAATGTTTCCCACATATAGACTTTATGGCAGGTTTTCTTAACAAAACATCAAAACTTATATTAATCTTTCCTCAAACACCTATCCATTTTAAAAAAAAACTTTGGAAAAACTTTAGAAAGTACAAGAACTCATGTTAGGTAGTCAAAAAATAGTAATTTAAACAAAATGCTTATAAAAAATAAGATAATTACTTAACGTTTAGCTTCTATTGCACATTATATCCACTGAAGTCAAAAGAAAAAGTATAAAGAGATGATGTTCGAGATGCACCCTTGGAGAAATTTGGTTTTGGCAACTGCAAAACAACATCCTTGAAATCAATGCTTGCCTTATCTTCTACAATGGGGAAGACAAACATACAAGATCCTGTTTTTTTCCGGAGATATGACACTTGATAATCAGATATTTAGAAATGACTTTGGCCATGTAGTAAACAACAGTTTTTTTCTTTTCAAATTTCACGTGTAGGAAATCAGTTTAGAGACTCCATGTAAACTTGTATATTGGGGCACTATTGTACACTAGCGGGGCACTTTTATACGTATCAATGTGCCCCATGTCTTAGTGTATCAAAGTGCCCCAATGGACATTTTCAGAAAACTAAAAGTTATTAATAAACCAACTGAACTTATTTACACTTACGTGTAATCCTGATTGCTGAGTGGGATAACTTACCTTTGGCATTTTAAAATCTTAACTAAACAATGTAAAACAGCGTTTGAACACTTTTACATTTCACGTAATTTTTCAGTTGGCCGCACTAAAACACACCTACTCTGGTCAAATGTCAACAGGGAACTGGCGGGCGGCGTTGTCACAACTGTTGTACTCACACATGTATAGACACATTTTAGTGATGTGACGACACGAATAACGTTTCTCGATATTGAAATATTGTTGGTGTATCAATATGTCCCTTGCATCAATGTGTCCCGCCTCCCCCTAGTTTGTTTTCATGGCTGAAATGAGTTTGTACAAAGATATGAGTTACGTTTGTTTACTTGCCGTTTTTGGCTTTGGCCCTGTCCACCCCTGGGGCATGAAGCCCCAAGAAGGCTTCTCTTGAGGCAATGTGACTTTTGAGCTAAGAAAGATGCCACAGCCCTGAGGCAGACCAATAATGAATCTGAGGCATAGCTGTCAGCTTTTCCCTTTTCTTGTGAGGAATCCTATTTGGAATAAGGGAATTTCCTTTAAAAAAAGGGAAACGTTGACAGCTATGATCTGAGAAGGGAATTGAGAGGAAGGCAACCGATACTGAATTCTCATGACTACCATCTTCAGTTCTATCCTGGGAGAAAGGGAGGGGGAACAGAATCATAGTAAATGAATACATGCCGACGGTTTCAACAACATCCATCCTGCGCAGTCAAAGACATTTGCTAAATAAGTGCAAAAATGTTCCCCTTATCAGAAATATTAGGACGCTGTTCTTTGTTTTCAGCATCTGCTAAAGAAAAAGTTGTTTAAGCAAGTTATGTAAATTTCACATGCAATATTATTTTAGAACGTGCTTTTTTTTAAGTGCTGGTTTTATTTATATGCATTTTTAAGTGACCTTGCATTTAACATCTGATCGTACCAGTAATTATAGTATATGTTATGCAAACCACTTACAAGTAAATAACATGTTAAGTAGCATGTTAATTCTATTAAATAAATATAAATAAATAAATAAATGTCAAACTAGAGCTGAGCCAAAATGACAACAGCGGCAGAATGGAAATAGTACGGAGTCTGACAAATACAGATCGGAATTGAAATCAATGTCATTTTACATCCAAGTTTAAATACAGTTTTGGTCCGTGATAAAAGAGAGTCGTGCAATCCCTGATATTGTCTTGACTAACAAACCAGATTGGCTTAACAAACCAATGCATTATTAACATCAGCAACATCGCTACAGCTTGGACTCGAAATTCGCTGCCTGGTTTGTGGTTTGAAGTTTCAAAAAGGAATATCTGAAAATAGTTTTTAATTTAAATTCTGAAATACTGCCCAATTTTAGCCTGTGTGTGAAATTATATTTCTCCGACATCAAAATATACTGGGATCAGTCCATGATCTATGCTAGTGGTTCCCCAACTTTTTTGGGCCACTGTCCCACTTGGTTCTATAAACTCATCCCAAGCAGCCGCTACCCTTTAAAAAGCATTATTCAGAACAGCGGTTTGCACAACCCATGAAGGACACAGTAAAATTCAAAACAGTAATTGCACATGTATTCAAAAGATAAATGTATGCAAAAATTAATATATGTTCTGATCTAATCTTGTAGCTAAAAAAAAAAAAGAATATATGGGAAAAGAATATTGCATGAAAAATATTTTTAGGCATTCTTACTACCGAAAATACAAGGGTGAAGGAATTTCATACTATAAATTGTTTATATATAGATACTTCCAAAATATGCAAAAACCTTCAACTACCACAGATGCACAGTAACTAATTTATAAGACAATAATATTACCAATAATTGGCTATCTTGTGGCTTGTTACAACTCAGAATCATAAATACAAACGAATGTGACTAAAGAAACCAAATTTGAAAGCGACAAGAGCAATAGAACTTTAAATATAAAAGAAGTAAGGTGTTTTGCTTTAGGCTCTTGCCTAGTCAATTCTAAATAAGAAATCAGTGCACTCAGAAAAGCCCACCTACAGCACCTCCACAACTTAATGCTTAATGGCGCAGTGGAGGGGTGGCTCGGAGGCTTTGTAGATACCAGGGGTAGACATCAAGGGCACCATTGCATGTATAGGCACCATGCTGATGAGCCTTGCCTTTGGATTATAGCACAATTGCCCTTCTAGGGTGACGGTAGCAGTAGTAATAATAAATTATCCAGTTAAAACAAACATACCCTCTAAAAATTGAGCGGCAGTAATTAATACAAGGGCAATGAACAAAAGCATTTAATAAAAAGCTTCAGCATTTAAAAGTGGACAGAAATAAAAAATATCTAAAGCTTTTTTCCTTAAACATTGTCAAGATTAGGGCTACATCATTTGTTTCCTGGAGGAGAAAGTTGTGCAATCACAAGGGGCACAATTTGCACACATGATGTATCTCAATCATTTAAGATGATTTATTGAATCGTACTGATTTGCTGAATCCTGATGTAATTTCCCCATGAATAACTCCCCGCTCTCAAACAAAAACAACCCCACACACTATTAAAGCAACATTGGCCATGTGGGTCAATGATGCCAACTTTAAAAATGAAGATGAAACATTTTTATTATTTGTTTCAGCTGAGGATTGTTGAGTAGATAGTCTTATACAGGCATCCCCGAGGCTAGTGTCTCAGGTCAGGTCCTGGTGGAGAACAATAAAAGGCCCTCTGCACATGGTCAAAATCAGCCCTCCTTTACCAGCACTTAACATATCCCTGCAGTGACTCCAATCATGAAAAACTGTTCCTGACTCAAATCTGGCTTGAATTAATCCATACTCTCTCCCACCTCTTGGAAAAGAAGAACAAACATATATTGGCCCTGTGCAGATCTAATATATCTCATCCTATTAAGCCACAATATGCCCAAGCCTTGTCCACACAGTCTCTCTCTTTCCTCCTCCTGTCACAGCATGCCACAGTTGAAGACCTCATGGGTTAATTAATCATGGATTCCTGCTTCATTAGAACTAGGAAACTGAGGTTACTGGGATTGGGGAAACTTATATCTGAATGCAATTTCACCCAATGTGATCCTGGTAACCATAGATCCTGGTTCAGACATAACAGGGGACAACTGTTGGTTAACCCAGCAAATCCAGGGCACACCAAGAGGGAGTAAGGAAGAGGTGGTAAACAAGGCTTGGGCACAGCTTGTCTCAATAAACTGAGATACATTATGCCAAAGCCAGGCTATTAATAGGTGAGAATTCAGCCAAACAATAGAGATAATCAGACTCAAGTAGGATGGATACTTCACAAATACCTGTGGGCGTTTCCATTCCACTCTCCCCTGTGGAGGAGTGTTGTAGAAGAGAGATGCATCGCAAGCTGGAAATTCAGGGTCTTCAAAGAGGTTGCCTTCTTCAAGGCATTGCTGCTTGAGTTCGAAGTAATTTTGGTCCCTGAAGGGTTTTGCCGTTGTAGAACGCATGGCGATCTGTCCAAAGCCAGATGAAGACAAATCGCTTTGTAAAAACTGTTTAACCAACATATCAGTCTAAGACATGAGCAGCAAGAAGCAAATCCAGGGCAAGGCCGATAATCTTTACAAATGATGGATTGCAAATTAAAAGAAGGGTACGGGTACGGCAGAATTGATGGGCTGAAGAGTAATAAAGAGCTATGTGCCTAAATACTTGTGGCATTCTCTCTCTTTCGTGAAGGATGCCAGTGGCGGCTGGTCCATTGGGGCAAATGTTGAGGTGCTGCCCACCAACTTCATTCTGCTCTGAGCCAGTATAGTCTACTCTGATTTGATTCTTCGCAAATATCATCTGAGGTCTCTCCCCATCATTTTCTACCTTGTCCCTTTAAACAGAGATTCTAGTGATATGCACACTGCTTCTCTGGAGAAGAATTCAGCATAACCGCTGGCTCTTTGTGAATAATGCAGTACTTTTTTTGGATCATGCAACTGGGTGCCAATGGGCCTTTCTAATGGGATTGACACCCCCCCAGAAAAGCAGCTGGCCCTGAACCTTATTACTGCATCATTCACATGCAACCCACAACTTTTTAGCGTGAAATGATTTCCGTGCCACGATTACCTTGTTCAATGTATAATTAATGTTAATATTAGACAGGCATCTTCATTGCATTGTTTTCTGTCTGCCTAATTTGTTGTTGTTGTTTAGGCCAGCTGAATCATAGAATCAGAGAATTGTATAGTTGAAAGGGACCCTGAAGATCTTCTAGTCCAACCCCCTGCAATGCAGGAATATACAATTGTCCCATACGGGGCTCAAACCCACAACACTGGAATTATCAGCACCATGCTTTAACCAACTGAGCTGTCCAACTAAGCCAGGCATATGATTTTATTGTTTATATTTGTTTGTAAAACAGTTGATTTTAAGTATTTTTTTTAATAGTGTTGTCTGCTGCTTTTAAAGTTTTTTGGTTTTTTTGTTATTTTTAATAAAGGTATTAAACTCATGTAAGCTATTTTGCTAAACGAAATCTAAAACAAAATTCATCCTTTGGAACACATTACAAGAACAGAAAGCAGAAGGGCCTGACATGCCGAAAGTCCCTAGTTTGATCCCCGGCAGCTTCAGGTAGGGTTGGGCAATACTCCTGCCTGAAACCCTGGAGAGCTGTTGCCAGTCAGTGTAAACAATATTGTGCTAGATGGAGCAATGGTCTGACTCAGTATGAGGCAGCTTGCCTCACTGAAGATCTCACTTCATGAATCTTACGATAACCACAAAGCTTACACTATAACAAATAGATTAATTTAAGGTTCCACAAGATTCTTTTTGTCCTCTCTCACACATAGAAGCACTGCAAATTTGAGGTGGGGGTATAAAGACTGGACGTGGACCAAAAATACATTGTCCTCTTGGGTAGGATAGAGATCGTTAGTTTGTGATACAACTCATTGGCATATTCTGATTTAAAAAAACCCCAAACACTGCAGTGGTTAAACTGCAAATGCGTTTTATGAACATGTCCCAGCCTAAATCAGCTCAAGGGAAATATTCTCTACATATGTCTGCAAACTGCTGTGCCGTAATTCACACAGGTAGGATTTTAATGGTCATCACCCCGCACCCCGTTTTCAGTACTCAGTACACAACACTGACTAGGAATCTCCTGAGGATTTCCGACAACATCATGGTTCAGTGCATATTATAAAAATGTGATCTAACAAGCTAAGGCTGCAGGGAAAAATAAGGTGTGACTTTGTGGGGTGGCGGTTGGGAGGGAGGGAGGAGAGGATGTAATTCTGTATGAATTAATCACCACCACAGCTATCACAATGGGAGAGGGGCTATTCCTTCGATAATTAGAGTAGAAACGTAATCAACGGAAGCATCTGCTGCCCACAAACATTTATCGCAAGGTTATAACCTTGTACTAATCTTCTGTACCGTGTAAAAAGATCTACCTTGTTTAACTTATTCCACCTCCGCAGAACCTTTGCAAGACAACGCGTTAATGAAACACAGCTTTACAGATATCCGCTGCACGGATCTGAAGGCCTCATTTAGAGTGGCCCATCAGCCAGTTCATTCATACGCGTAACGGCATATAGGAGCACATTACTGTCCTGAGCCGTGTAATGTCACCCAGTGGAGGGATTGGTACAACATTTGGGGCTTTTTAAACTTGGAGGGTGGAGGAGCTGAGTAAGGGGGAAAGATGGATGCTTATAAAATTATGCATCCTATAGTACAGCAGGAATGGAGAAGCTGCAGCCCTCAAAATATTGCTGGAATAGAGCTTCCATCTTTCCGTGCTATTGGTCATGCTGGCTGTGGCTGATGTGAGTTGTAGTTCCACAACATTTGGAAGGACCCCACTCCGCCCCCCCCCCCAATTCCTAGTGCAGAGACCGCGGGTGCGGAGAAGTTTCTCACTCTCTCACACAGAACCAGGGTTGGGGACCTAATTGTTAACGAACATATTGGTCAACATAATGCTCTCACTCAAACACACACATTACGAAATGTTGGTTGTTCAGTTGAGAGTGCTGCAATGATATTATCCTATTTAATATATATTGTGATCGTCATACAATTGCATTTAAGTGGGTTTTCCCCCTGTGCACTGCTTTGAGTCCAAATGGTATTTGGGGTAAATGTGGCATATAAATAAACTCAACATGACTAATGCCATCAAAAACATATAATCTGCTGGTTTTTAATTTCGGTCTTCAGTTTAATGGAAGATACATTTTAAAAAAATCTCTACAGGCTGCTTTTTAATCTAAGTACAGCTACGGCTTGATGAAATCAGTCAGTAATGCTGTTTGTTTTTAATTGCTGTGTATCTGTGATTTAAGGACTTTATTTTTTGTAGCCCCCTGAAGGAGGCTTTTAAACCATGATTGGTTGGAACACGCTGAGTTGCCATAAAATGAAATCCACCCCCCCCCCCCAGCCTTTTGGCAAACACTTTTGGGGCAGATTCAGGACAGATAAAAGGATGTACTTCTTTATACAATGTGTAGTTAAAGCGATGAAATTTGCTACCGCAAGATGTGGTGATGCTGGCTACCTACTTAGAGCTTTAAAATAAATTAAGGACAGAATGGTCAGTTGCAATTATGGTTATTACGCTACCATTGCGAATAGAGCCACTATACTTCTTCATAGCAGTCAATGGGGAACAACAGTAGGAGACAGGGCTATTGCACTCGAGTGCGGCTGGTGGGTTTCTATAGGCTTCGGGCAGGCTGTTGTAGGAAACTGGCTGATCCTTTCCCCCCATTCACACACACATGCGAGTGGCCCCAGCTAGTCCAGCTCTACAGCAACTGCCCCATTCATCTATATATAATCCTATGTATTTAACAGGAAGATCAGCATTTTATTTTTAGTTATGTGATTTATTTTTAGTTATGCAGTAAGTAACCCTGTTAAATGGCACATAATGGATGACGGAAGTTGTTTGTTTTTGCGTGACGCCTTCAGAACTCTCCATCCAGCTGTTTACAACCCTGAGAACTCTTCCATCCACAAAATTGGCTCCAGGGGGTTGCAGCTAGCTCTGTGCACAGTGTATGAACCACAAGTAACTATGATCTCTAAGGTTGCCAACTTTTCGACTTGTTCACATAGCTCAGCCTTTAATAGCAGCTTAGTATGCAGGAATTAGCAGATGATAATATTTAAATCCATGCAATGAAAGATAATCATGGGCTAATCCTTGCATACTGAGCACTTTTCTGAATGGCAAAGTTATAGTGGCCAGTTGAAAAATTGGCAACCCTTGTATCTTCTGAATGACTCAGACTTGCTTTGGAATCAAGAGCATACCTGACGCCTTGGCATGACTTAATTTTGAATTGTGTGAAAACATGCAGAGTTAATCCCCATGAATAGAATTGGTTGACTGAATCAAACTATGGTTCAGCAGTTGCCCTGGGAAGCTACTTTCCCCCATTCAGTTTTGCAAAATGCCTGGCCCATCAAGCTGCATGGACCTCTTACCAGGAACGTAGGAGGAGAGCCAATTTCCTGATATTGTCACCTGCTTGGGACTCACAAAACAAAGCAGATATGCTCCAACTATTTCAATTTACCAGGGGCAGCCTCTCAAAATACAGAAAGGCCAAAAAGTGTCTTGGTGTGTAGGTCACTGTTGCTTACTGGGAGGCAGATGGGGAGGGCAGAGGTGGTGGTGTGTTCCGTTAAGTGTAAATGCATCTGTTGGGATTGCCTGATCGGTGTAGTGCATATGTGCTGGTGAAACCAATCTCCCCACCATTTTGCCTGTTTCCTGCCTGGTAAGCAAGGGTGTCCTACCTGCCATGAAGCTCATGTAGAAGTTCTGTTCACTTTGTTTGGTTGTCCCAGGTAGGCAGCAAAATCAGGAAATACAACAGTCAGGTGATTTTATACTCTCTTACAGCCCCCACACCATTTAGATGGTAATGTGCATTACTTCACTTACTGCAGAATGTGATGAGCCAGCTCTGCTATATTTATTAGCTCTTCTGCTCATTCTGCCGAGCGGGGCTTGGACATTTGCCCCAGAGTCCTGCCCTGACAGTGCCACTGCCCAAATTGACGTGTCCCTAAATTGTCTTTTGGAGAGAGGCAGGAAAGGGACCTTTAAAAAATGCCGGTTCTGCAAGTTTCAGCTTTCGTGTGGCCGGACCTAAAAGGGATCGGCATCTTCAAACTTTGCTCAGAAACGAAGTTTTCAGCAGGCGTGCCTTTATGTCGAGCTATATCTGCTGAAACCCTAATTTTTACACTGGTGACACATGTAAAGAAACCCTATTCTGTTTAGCATCTGGCCACCCTGTTTAGCACTGCCCACCCTTGGTCAGCACTGCCATCCGGTTAGGACTTTGGGGAGGACATCCGTAACCCCGCTCAGCAACAAGACCAGAAGGCTGCCCAAATGCAACGGAACTGGCTCAACAATATTTTGCCCTTAAGTGAATTAATACGCAGTACCATCTAAACAGAGGGGTGACGTAAGACCCATTAAGGCTCCTAGTTCAACTTAACTGAGAGTAAGCCCCCACTGAATTCAACAGGGCTTACTTCTGAATAGACCTTGTTAGCTCTGCACTACAAGCCCAGAGTTTAGAATGGTCTAATTGTACCTATGTGGGTATATTGACTCTGCATAGGCATACTGAAAATGGTCATGGAATCATAGAATTGTAAAAGATGGAAGGGACCCTGAGGATCTAACCCTCAGCAACGCCTGAATATGCAGCTGTTCCATATGGGAATCAAACCTGCAACCTTCGCATTATCAGCACCATGCTCTAATCAACTGAGCTATCCAGTAATCCAGTTTTGTTTGCACTTTAATTAGAAACTGCCTAATTTTCCAACCCATATGTGAAATGAAACCCATCAGTCCTCCAAAATTTGCACTTCTCTAAATGTTGTGGCACAGTTGTTCAACCAAACAATATGCACGAAAAGGTATATATTAGGTGTTCTTAACAGCTCAGTTGGCTAGAGTGTGGTGCTGATAACACCAAGGTTGCAGGTTGGTCCCTGTATGTGACAGCTGCATTTTTCTGCCTTGCAAGGGGGTTAGACTAGATGATCCTCAGGGTCCCTTCCATCTCTACAATTCTATGATTCCATGACCATTTTCAGTATGCCTATGCAGAGTCAATATACCCACATAGGTACAATTAGACCATTCTAAACTCTGGGCTTGTAGTGCAGACCTAACAAGATCCATTCAGAAGTAAGCCCTATTGAATTCAGTGATTGAATAACTCTATGATTCTACCGTATTTTTTGCTCCATAAGACACACTTTTTCCCTCCTAAAAAGTAAGGGGAAATGTGTGTGTGTCTTATGGAGCGAATGCAGGGGGGAGGCAGGCGGGAAAAGCCCCCAAGAGCCACACATAAGCTCCGCACGGCTCTTGCAGGCTTTTCCCTAGGAGGGAGAAGGGACTGATTGGCCACGTCAGTCCCTTCTCCCTCCTCGTAGAAAAGCCCGCAGCTCCTGTGGGCTTTTGCGGGAGGTGGGGAATACTCCCAGAGCTGCTCTTTGGGGCTGGGGGGGGGGAATACGGGCTTCCACTGCCAGCCCCAACAAGCTCCTGAGCAGCTCTGGGGTAGCTCGCGAAGCCTCTGCAGGGCAGCGGGATGACTACCCCAGAAGCCAGAACAGCTAGAGAAAGTGCTGCGCAGCGCTCCCTCTAGCTGTTTTAGCTTCTGCCTTAGCGGCGCTAAAAGCCCCCAAGAGCCACACACACACTACACATGGCTCGTGAAAGAGAGTGCTGAGCAGAGCCTGGGATGCATACAGGTTCTGCTCAGCGCTCCCTTTAAATAATATTTTTTTTCTTGAATTCCCCCTCTAAAAACTAGGTGCGCCCTATGGTCAGGTGCACCTTATGAAGCGAAAAATACGGTATATTAGTGAAAACAACATACAAAAGGCATTCTATTAGCGAAAATTGCTTGCAAAAAATGTGTATATTAATCAAAACTACATACCTGAATGTGTTTATCAGGAGAAATTTGGCCGGATTGCTGATCGATTCCTGTTAAATTTCTTTCTAAAAATAAAAGATAAAAATTGTCAATAGTTGCAAAGATGTATAGGTCTTAAAGTAATATTTGGAAAAAAAGGAGCTGAGAGAACCAAACTGACAGAAATGTCTATCGCTGGTCATAGATGGATAGACCGATCAATCTATTTCTGCTTTGTGTCCCTTTCACCTGTGTCCACTCACATAGGAGTCTATTCTGCCCTGTTTCCGTATTAAAAATGCACTCCTAATGCACTCTCTATTCATATGTAAGTCTTACTAAATTCAACTGGGCTTACTCCCAGTCATGTTGGGGGCTATGACTGCAGCCTAATCTGTGATGGTCATGATCAGTGCTTTTTTCTTAAAAAAAATGTTTAGGGGTACAGTACTCTCATTTTCCTACTCATATTGAAAGACTGCCCCTCAATGAGGCCAAACTTAGATTCACAAAATGTTTAGGGGTATGCGTACCCGTGTCACCCCAGAAAAAAAGCACAGGTGATGATGATTAAAAGCAGAATGAAAACTAACTTTTAAATGTATATGCTGAATTCCTGAAGCACCCCAAGTGCAATAGGGCAGAGAAAGGAGTCAGAAAACAACCCTGAGTGTGAAAGCAGGTATGGAAGCTTGCTTCCAAACTATGATTTCTATGTTAGAAGCACAGAAGTGTCTCTAGTTTTATCTGTGAAGTGCTTCAAGGTACGGAGACGGGAAGTTCTACAAGCCCGCCATGAATTCCAATGAATCTGAACCTTATCTCTTTTCTGGGCTAATGTGCAGATCGGAATGCAATTATCTTTGAATTTTGTCCTCCTCCAACTTTTACAAAGTAGTTTTCAGCTACAAAAAAAACCCCCCAATTATAATACTGCTATGCACTTTAAAGTACATATTTTAGGGTAAAATGTATTTAGAACTGTACACACCGCAACAAAATACGCATTTATATTTTCTGATAAAATATTCATTTAACTATGAATTTTATGTTGAATATTTTTTTTAATGCTTGGTTTCATGCAGAAATGAGATGGAACTTTTGAATGAGTACATGCAAAATTAACCTGGCTGAAAACAGATTGATCCCTCTCTTTCTATTAAACGCTCAGTTTCATCCTTAACTGGGCACCTACCTTTCAACATTTTGCAGACAGAAATAGGGACATGCTTGTAGCACTCATTCCAAAGATTACAGCTCCAATGCTCATTCCAAGGATTACACTGCCACTGTTACACTGGATTGTGGCTCCACTCTGTCTACCCTGTTTTCTGCCAATTTTAAACCATGGGGAATGTTTGTTGTTTTGATTACCAATATATGCAAGGGGAAATCCTATTGCCCTGCAATAGATTACCAATGGCTCAAAACATGTATTTGCAACTGCAGTCTATGAAACAGCAGGCAATGCACTGCACAGTGTCTCTTAAATTAGTGAGGTGCCACTGCTACAGAACTAATAAATCAGCTGCAACACTGAGGCTTCATTCACTTGTTCATCATATAGCCGGACATGTGGCATACATAACCTGTCAGAAGTGCCTTTCTGCATTCTGCTTAGGGCACACAGGACAGTCCCGATGGAAAAGAATCAATAGATACACAAATCTGACATAAGAAATGACAATAGTCAGAAAACGGTAGGACAATATTTTGAATAATTCAGTCTATCAGGACACTCTAAGGATCATCCTTGAACCAAGGAATTTCAAAGGGAGCCACAAATGTGATACTGCTGGATTACAAGTAAATCAAGAAATTCAGCTCAACTGAGTTGAGTCAGAAAGCAGACAATAGTTTCCAATTGCATTTTAGATGTTAACTAGTCTCTGCGTTACCTGGCTGATTGTTTCATCACACACCACTGCTGTTGTAAAGGGCCACTGTGCTTATTCTGGTTCAAACTGAATTGCCACTATCTGTACCTTTTGCATTTCATTTCCCTCTAAGGTCAGGGTTTGCCACCTGTCCCCTCTGCGGTGCATATATTTACAAAAACACTTTGTGCATCCAATGCAAATTCATGCCATAATAAATTTGTTGGCCTTTGAGGTTAGTCTTAAGGTTCATGCACATGCCTTGACACCAGAGGTGGTGGACTCCACTTTCCACTATGAGAAACAACTTCAGGAGAGAGAGATGACCCTGAAGAAGAACAGCTCCCTATTGTTCGCACTAAACACGTGAAAAATGCCCTCTTCACTGGCACGTGCTTTATAAGCACAGGTACAGGAAAAACAACAACAGCTGGTGTGAAGGACGGTGTATAAGAAAAATACAGCATACAGTGACCCTCAGATCTTGATCATAGATATTTTTACAAGGACACAAGCAAAGGATACTTCTCTATTCGCAACATGTGCAGCTGGCACCGAGTGTGAGATTTCCAAAACATTGCTCAGTCTTCGCTTGTTGTGCATGTCTGTTTCTATTTCTGCCTGCTAAATCAAACAGATTTTGTGCAAACTTATCCTCCGGAAAAATGTACATGTGACTCTGTTTTGGAAGTCATTCTTGCATTGGGCCTAAATCTTGCACACTAAAATCCAGTCATTTGCCCCACTGACAAAACAAAATCCTTTTGTATTCCTGTACTCAGCTCAGTGACTGCTGCATACTCTTTAACAGTAACAGGAAGATATTGACAAATGAATCCTGTAAATATTGTCATTGCAGTTAAACTAGTCACTTACCTGGATTGAACCAAGTGTGCACCACGAGTTCCTGAGCTGACAGGCAAACGCACACAGAAACTCCGAATTTTCTACTGCAAACAGAACTCCCGGCTTCTTAACCTGAAAACTTTTTGGACTGTACCAAGATCTAATGAGTCGAGGGGGAGGTTCATAGTAACTTTTGTCTACTTTTCCCTCCTTCTCTCTTGTGGGAAAATAAAACACAGCTGGAAAGGAGTTTTCTTTGGTTCATTCCTGGGACACATATGTTAAAGAGTATTACCGTTAACTTCCGGTTTTTTAACAAACAAGGACATATTAGGAAGGAGGATACCAGACAGTTTGTGGAGGAATTCCTTTGCAATAAACTGGACAGGAGTTGGCATGCTTGTTATTATAGAAGGAGAATAAAAAAATGAGTGGGCTTGTTTGTGAAGTTGTCTTGAGATCTCCACATGGGTAAAAATGCACAAGACACTTTCCCTGCTTATTTTTATGCTGTTTCTCTTTGGCAGCAAAAGTCAACAGATTTTGAGCTGGTAAGAGATAAACTGTGAATGTCAGCTTTGTCACCAAGCAGCCAGTTAAGGCTGGTCCATTAGAGAGACTGGAGCACCAGCCCACCACCTCAGACAGACCCCACCTGCATGCCTTCTTCCTAATATTCAGTCTGGTGTGTGGCACTGGTTCTTGGCTTCCTCCTCTTCCTCACTTTGATTTGTGTTTTTAGAACTTAGAAGGGAGAAGGATGAGGACAAAATCAGTGGGCCCTTACAGTCATTAGATCTTGCTCCACCAACTGCTGGCCTCCCTGCCTTCCACCTTGACTGTCCCAGTGGACACAGGCTGCCACTGTAGCCAGTGGTGCAGTGGAAAGGGGCACAAGTCTACAGTTTTGTTCCGAGCAGAAGCAAAGATGCCATCTGTCAGAGAACCAGGTTAACTGATGGGCCTTCCTTACTCTGGTGAGCAAATGAGGTGATAATGAAGCTTTCAAGTTTCTTTGTGACAGATTGTCATTAGAGGACGTCAGAGAATGAGGGAGACAATCAAGCAGAGGCTAGATACTTCTTTCCTTCTCTTTCATGGGGTTCCTACTTCATGCTGATCATTTAAATGTAATGCATTTGCAAGATTGCTTGCATTTCTAATTAAAAACTGCATGCAAACTATTATTATTATTATTATTATTATTATTATTATTATTATTACAGTTATATCCCAACTTTCCTTCAAGGAGCTCAAAGTGGTGTAGATAGTTCTCCTTCTCCCCACATTATGCTCACAACAACCCTGTGAGAGGGGGTAGGATTCATGGCAGTGATTGGCCCAAGGTCACCCAGCAAGTTTCATGGGTTAGTGGGGATTTGAACCTTGGTCACCCAAGGCCTAGTACAACACTCTAACCACCACTGTCTCCTCAGAAGGGGTGGCTGTTTGCTATGATCAGCCAGTTAGTGTAAGCCTTAGTGGCAGTGTAGTGGTTAGAGTGTCAGACCAAGTCCTGGGAGACCTGTGTTCAAATTCCCTCACAGCCACATAAAAGTTCACCCGGGTGACGTTGGGCAAGTCTCTCAGTGTAAGCCCAACCTGCCTCACAGGTGATAAAATGGTGTGAGGATAAAATGGTGTGGGGGCAAAGAACCATGTGTATCACCTTGAGCTCCATGGAGGAAAAAAGGGTAAAGGGGACCCCTGACCTTTAGGTCCAGTCGTGGCCAACTCTGGGGTTGCGGCGCTCATCTCACTTTATTGGCCAAGGGAGCCGGCGTACAGCTTCCGGGTCATGGGGCCAGCATGACTAAACCGCTTCTGGCAAACCAGAGCAGCGCACGGAAACGCCGTTTACCTTCCCGCTGGAGTGGTACCTATTTATCTACTTGCACTTTGACGTGCTTTCGAACTGCTAGGTTGGCAGGAGCAGGGACCGAGCAATGGGAGCTCACCCCGTCGCAGGGATTCGAACCACCAATCTTCTGATCGGCAAGTCCTAGGCTCTGTGGTTTAACCCACAGCGCCACCCGCGTCCCGTAATGGAGGAAAGGTGGGAGATAAATGCAATAAATAAACAAATAGTGCAGGAAGTCATTCCCTTTGGAGATCTTAGTGGGGGAAGAGAATACCTGGCCCATCAAGTGGATCCAGTTGCCCACTCTTGCTTTGAAAAAAAAAGCTTTGGGCTGCTCATCTGTGCTGGTGGTATGGCGACAACTTTCAAAACTGGGGCAGAAAGGGTCAAATCTTTAATAAGGATTTGCTGTGACTTTCCCGTTTTGTATTACCTCTGCCTTCATTCTTAGAAAATTACATTTCACCTTTCTTGAATTTCAGAGTGCTGGTTCCCTGACTCGCAGCATAATCAAATCAGAGATGGTTCCATTGTTCTCACAAGTTCATTTTGGGGTTGCTCATTTGATGCTTCAAATCCCATTGATCCTGGTGGGAACATGATCAAGCATTCTGGGATCAAGCTTTGCACCCTGCTTCCTGCTCCCCTCCATCAGTGGAACATGCAAACTATTGTTTATTTTATTTCTGGGTGCCAACGGCAAGCCCCCGACTTTTGCAAACACACAGCAAACACTGTTAGTTAACCTCTTTTCAGCAACGGCTGTGCTCGGCATAAATTATTAATAAAAATTGCCCTGTGCGAATTGCTTAATAAAACATGAGTTCGTTTCCAGCAGGGATTCTCCCCAAGGCAACATGTTTATTTTATTTTTTCTAATCTAAGCAGTTTTGTTCAGAGAAGGGACCCAAGAGAGGAAGCGTTTGGATCCACACCACAATCTGGAAAAGGGTTTGCTCAAGTGGCAAGATGGCTCAAGTCAAAAATACTGCATCAACATGGGGGAGCCAAAATCCTGCCAAAACATCTGCTACAATTTTAGCTATATCAAAACAGGACATTTCTTAGATAGCACCATCTAAACGGGACATTTCTTAGATAGAACATTTTTGTTTTTGTTTTCCTTTTATCTGAGAGATAGTAGCTTAAGTACAGCTGCATGTAAACATTAGTGTTGTGCAGCGCATTTGTCCTGTACAGTGGTACCTTGGTTCTCAAACACCTTGGTTCTCAAACGCCTTGGCTCCCAAATGCCGAAAACCCAGAAGTGTTCTGGTTTTTGAATATTTTTTGGAAGCCGAACATCTGATGCGGTTGTTGGCTATGGTTTCTGGGACACCTGTAACAATCAGAAGCTGTGCCTTGGTTTTTGAACATTTTGGAAGTCAAACAGAATGGATTGTTTGGCACTTTTGTTTTTGCTATTTATTTTGCATTTTTGTTTTTGAGGCTTTTTCGGTTAATTTGTTTTTCTGACTGTGTGGAAAATCAGTTCAGTTACTGACTGATTGATTGATTGATTGATTGTGTGACTGCAGAAATGGATAAAAGCCCCCCCGTCCGAACAATGACTATCATCAGTGCACGTAAGAAAAAATAGTAATTTTAATTTTTATCATCTACAATACTGTCTTATTTATTTTATAGTACAAGACATTGATTATTGCTTTCATTTTATGGATCAATGGTCTCGTTGGATAGTAAAATACATGTTAAATTGCTGTTTTAGGGGTTGTTTTTAAAAGTCTGGAACGGATTAATCTGTTTTGCATTACTTCCTATGGGAAAGCATGTCTTGGTTTTGGAAAGGACTTCCAGAAAGAATGAAGTTTGAGAACCAAGGTACCACTGTATTATTTCTTTCTATCATCCTCCAACAATTAATTAGAAAAGAAATTGGATTCCAAAATTATCAAAGGACAGGGAAAACCTTTGGTGAATACCTGGTGGAGCAGAGGAGAGTGCCTCTGCTTAATTTTGAGGTAGATGAAGGGTACCTATGAGTGCCCTTTCTTTGGTTCTGCAAATCATCTTACCTGTGGTTCACACTCTGCATCCTTCCTAGATGCCCACACTTCAGTCAAAGCCCAGAGGAAGACATCATGAGCTTTTTTCAGATCAGGAACCACGAGCATCCTGGGTGGGGGGGACAGAGCACTGGAGAAATGTTCACACTGGAAACAAAAAAGCACACGCCATCCTTGGCTACCTTGCCATCGGTGCTCAAAGCCCCACACCCATGCAGTCTTTGAATCAGAGAACTGTACGACTGGAAGGGACCCCGGGGGTCATCTAGTCCAACCCCCCACAATGAAGGAATCTCAACCATAGCATCCATAAATTCTAAACAGATTTGCAAGTGCTCTGAGAATGAGGCAGGGTGGGGGGGGGGGGAGACAGACTCTTTTGTAGAGGAAACTTCATAAGAAACAGGAGGCCAGATTTTGGCAAAATAATACTACTAGCACTAGAATCAATGCCAATTCTTGTTAGGTATTCAGAAAGAGATTGGGAAGGGAACAAAAGGTTCATCTAGTCCATGGATAGGCAAACTAATGCATCTCTAGGTTATTTGTGGGGCATAGGAATTAATTCATCACCGCCATCAGGCTCAGCTCCAGAAACTTGGTCCAGCTGCTCAAGCTAGTGGTGTAGTCTTACCTGACCGAGTCCTGGTAACTGTAGGACTCTGGGACAGTGCTTGGAGACAACTATTTTCAATTAACAAAGTCCGCATAATTGGTTAAAGGTTTTTTTTTTTTGTTTCTTTTACACCACCTGAAAGCAATTCCCATAGTTGCTGGGTGAATGGAACATAAATTAAATTTCTTTTGAGGTAGAACTTGAAGGATTTCTACTTCTACCTCGACTACAAAGCGGTCTGTGTAGGGATGGTCTTGGCTCTGCTTCAAAAGCTGCAGCTGGAGCGGAATGCAGGGCCAGATTGTTGGTGGGAGCTTCTGGTCAAGAGCATGAGACTCTCTTCTTGAAACAGCTGCGCTAGCCGCCCATCCGCTACCAAGCCAAGTTCAAGGTTCTTTTGCTAATTTGCAAAGCCCTGGAAAACTTAGGTCCAAGATCACTCAGGAAATGTCTGAATCCTGATAATCCCAGATTGATCACCAGGATCATCTGCAGTAGCATCCTTGGTCATTCCCTGAGTCGGTGAGGCTCCTTTGACAGCAATATGAAACTGAGTCTTTATAATAATACAGTAGTACCTTGGTTCTCGAACGGCTTACAGTGGTACCTCTGGTTACGAATTTAACTTTGTTCCGAAGGTCCGTTCTTAACCTGAGGTGGCACTTTAGCTAATGGGGCCTCCCACTGCTGCTGTGCCATCGGCGCACAATTTCTGTTCTCATCCTGAGGCAAAGTTCTTAACCCAAGGTACTACTTTCGGGTTAGCAGAGTCTGTAACCCGAAGTGTTTGTAACCCAAGGTACCACTGTAGTTGTCAAACAAATCGGCTCCTGAATGCCGCAAACCCGGAAGTAAGTGTTCTGGTTTACGAACGTCTTTTGGAAGCCAAATGTCAAACGCGGCTTCCACTTGATGAGTGCAGGAAATTCCTGCAGCCAATCAGAAGCTGCCCCTTGGTTTTCAAATGGTTTCGGGAGTCAAACTGATTCTCGGAATGGATTAAGTTTGAGAACAAAGGTACCACTGTAATAATAATAATATATTATTTATACCCCACCCATCTGGCTGGGTTTCCCCAGCCACTCTTTAGTGTCATTGGCCCAGTCCTGTGGAACACTTTGCCACTAGAGATCCCACAGGCGCCTTCTGTGCCAGGTTTTAAATGCCTGCTGAAAACTTTTCTATTCCTCCAGGCCTATGCAGGAAATAAAGAACACATTATTCCAAAATGGTTAACTGATGCCTGTTTCTTATTTTTTATACTTTTTTTTTATGGTTTTATGTTTTATTGCTGTAAACCACTTTGATATTTTTTTATGACACAGCAGTATACACATATTTTTATAAATAAATAAAATCTCACATGTGCTTTTTTACTAGTTATACTCTGCGGGTCTTTAAGCTTAAAGATCAGAATTGTTGGGGAAAATGAATTAAGCAATTCACCTTCAACAGCCTCTGCATTTAGATGTATACTTAGTGTTCTTAAACATCCTTTATACTTCAGCATAACAACCTGTAATATTCGGAATGTGGGGTGGGGAGTTTGGATGAAATTGAATTGAGAACTGAAAGTGAACCAGACTGGCCTATCTGGTGAAAAGATGAACTTAAAGAGCAATTGGTTCCCTTTTTTGGACATGTGGAGCTTGAACAAGAATAAATCCCTTGGAAAAAATGAACTTTCCAAATTCTGTTCTTGAAGGGCCTCAGGTGCCATCTGCCAGAGAACCAGATTAATTGATGGGCCTTCATTACTCTAGTGAGCATGAGGTGATAATGAGGCTTTCAAGTTGTGTGAGCTCCATTTGTGTGTGAGCTCCATGAGAGTTCCACAAGATCTTGCATAACTCCAGCGGTAGCAGGCAAGGCACAACCCCGCAGGATTCTACTGCCCAAGGTGGTTGCCTCAGTCCACCACAAAGGCCCTGGGCAAGGGCTTAAAAGTGCTGCACCCCCAGATCCTAGTGTGCCTAGTGTGGGGTTTCAGATGCTGGAACTGGAAAGCTGCACTGCACAGGCCTGGGGCTTCTGTCAGTGGTGATGTCGAGCTGCGCATCCCCTCACCTGCTGCCTCTCCTCAGCTCGGGCCCGAGTCTGGCTTTGACACTAGTTGCAGCATGCAGGGGTCTGTCATGCATTGCCACAACAGAGGCTTTGCATCACTAAAAATATTGTTTATCTATTTACAGTGGTACCTCAGGTTACATACGCTTCAGGTTACAGACTTTGCTAACCGAGAAATAGTGCTTCAGGTTAAGAACTTTGCTTCAGGGTGAGAACAGAAATCGTGCTCCAGCGGCGCGGCAGCAGCAGGAGGCCCCATTAGCTAAAGTGGTGCTTCAGGTTAAGAACAGTTTCAGGTTAAGAACGGACCTCCAGAACGAATTAAGTACTTAACCCAGGGTACCACTGTATACTCCACCTTTCCTCCAATGAACTCATGGTATCGGTTCTCCCCCTCCTTGTTTTATCTTCACAACAAGCCTGTAAAGTAGGCAAGGCTGGGAAGGCTGTAAGTGGCCCCCAAGGTCACCCAGTGAGCTTCATAGCCCAGTGGGGATTGGAACCTTGGTCCCCCAGGTCCCATGCTATAACCACTAACCACATGTTGATTTATACGGTGAACGGCTGGGAATTCTGGGACCTGTAGTCCTTCCTCTTGCTTCGAATAATAAACAAACTATTATTATTATTATTATTATTATTATTATTATTATTTTCCAACTCTCTTGCAAGCCTGAGCTTATTCTGTTTTAGCCTGCCTGACCTTCTCTCTGCAACTGTTGGCTTCTCGTGCATACTCTTCCTTTGTGATTTCCCCCTTCTTTCGTTTCTTACCGTACCTTTCTTCAGCTCACCTGTAAGCTCCTTAGGCAGCCACGCTGGTTGCTTTCAGTTCCTCTTTTCTTTCGTGTTGGAATTGTTGCTTGAATGCTGATGGTTCCTTATTTTTAAAGCGAACTTGGCTTGGGCAGCTCTCGGATAGAGAATAGCCCTCTGTAGACATACAGCCACCATAATAAGAGGGCATGGCTATTACCACCATGATCTACCTGAGAAATTCTCTGAGGTATTTCACAGCCCCCTGCCAGGAGACAGAACGCTAAGCCAGGTGCGTGATATTACTGACCCAGAAGGGAAATTTTCTTAGGTCATAACAACAGAGTTCACAGTTCTACGGCATCGCAGTGAAATGTTTTTGCGAAACCTGCCCTGGACCTCCGCCATTTAGTTGCTCTACAAGTGGAAGAGCTGTATTTGCATTAGCAGTTGTTGGAAACCGAAATTGCTCACTAGGTGGCAGCATTGCTCAACACTGACCTAATCTCCCTCTTAACCTTGCTGCTTTGTAAGGTATTGAATTTTTCAGGCAAATCACTGCAGCTGGCATCAAATAGGATCCTTCCGTTCGACAGGCTCCCTGCTCTGTCCCCTTCACAATTCTTCCATTAAGCATGTGCAAAGGACACAGATTAGAAATGTAAGAAGGCATTTTTGTTCCCTTCCCCTTGTCTTCGTTGAATGCAGCAATGCTTCCATTCCACTGTGGTTCGCCGTTCACCAAAGCCTACGTTGTCCATCTTGCTGTCCTCTGTGGCTGAATTATGTAACTTACGTAAATTACGTTGTAATTATGTTGTCATTATGGGCTAGATGAGCCTTTGGCCCAATCCAGAAGGATCTTCATATATTCTTTATGCATCCCTTATGATGACAATCCCCATAGCCACCCCCTGAGAGGAATCCATGCCCACTAATGGGAGCTGTGTGACTTCTGTAAATAGAAAGGGGCCCCAGTCAGGATCATGACCACAGCACAGAGATGTGATTGTAACCATTTTTCTTTTACCGCTCTGCTGACAGAAATTTCCTCTCTCCCCACCACTGTCAAAGCTACCAGTTGACACAGGACAAACATTTCTTCATATATGCATACTTAAACTATAGATTTTGCTTACCCAAGCCACCAATTTGGATGGCTTTAAGAGATTAGGCACATTCATAAATAAATAAAAATAAATAAAAGGATAAAGCTATCAATGATGGTTATGTTCTACCTCCACGGACAGACACAACATGCCTCTTAAACTTCATTATTGGGAACTGCAGGAGAGGAGAACACTGTCATGTTTGGTTTCTGCTTGCAAGCTTCCCATGGGCATCTGGCTGGCCACTGTGAAGACAGAGTTCTGGGCTAGATGGGTCAGCAGGGCTCTTATGTTCTAGTTGGTGCCAAAAAGCCTGTGGCATGCCAGGCATTGCTTGACTACAGCTCCCACCATCCAGGACCATTGACCATGCTGGCTAGGGCTCATGGGAGCTGGAGTCCAGCCAAACCTCTAGAGAGCCCCAAGTTCTCCAGGGACTCAAGGAAAAAGGTAGTCCTATAGGTGCAGTGGTTCCCAATTAGCAAAATATTACAGACCCCTGTTTGTCAAAAGCCAAGCCATGAACCCAGGGGTGTAGGAAGAAGGGCGGGGCGGTTCGCCCCAGGTTCCATCATGGAGGGGGGTGACAAATTATCAAGGAACAATTACAGTGGTAGCTCGGGTTACATATGCTTCAGGTTACAGACTCCGCTAACCCAGAAATAGTACCTTGGGTTAAGAACTTTGCTTCAGGATGAGAACAGAAATCGTGCGGCAATGGCGCAGCAGCAGCAGCAGGAGGCCCCATTAGCTAAAGTGGTGCTTCAGGTTAAGAACAGTTTCAGATTAAGAACGGATCTTCGGAATGAATTAAGTTCTTAACCTGAGGTACCACTGTACTGCCCAACTAGGGTGGTTCATAATAAACTTTTTTTTTTAAAAATGCCTGCTCCAAAGGTCTTATCTTACTACACTAGGGATTATATAGCTATATATGAAATTTCATGCATATCAGTTAATATCTTGACCCTCCTCCACGAAAATAGCTGTTTACTTGGCTGTTTTCCTATGTCCTGAAGGCTGAAATTTCAATTCAGTGGAGCAGGGTCAAGTTATTAACTCATATGCATGAAATTTCAGATATAGCTATATAACCCCTAGTTTTGTAAGATAAGACCTTTGGAGCAGGCATTTTCAAAAAAAAAGTTTTTTACGAACCGCCCTATTGCCCTACCCTCCGCTAGGCTTCCCAGGTCCTGGAAAGTAGGCCTATGTGAAGAAAATGAGACTAGGCCGAGTAGATTTTGCCTTGCCTTCGCCCTGCCTGCAGCCAATTGGCCAGCTGGGTTGGGGGCGGGGCGAAGGCAAGGCCAGATCTACTTGGCCTGGTCTCATTTTCTTCACATAGGCCGACTTTCTGGGCTGCTGGGGAAGCCTGCCAAGGCCACTGCCTGCCCTGCGCACCCCCTTCGGGCCCCAATCCCCCTCCGGAAAGCCTCTGCTGCCCCCAAAAGTGGCAGTGCTGCCGCCCCGTTTTGCCCGCATGTGGCACCGAGAGGCGCAGCTCAGCGCCGCCCTGGGCACTCAGCAGGCCAGCCTCCCCTTTGCCCCCAGCCTCCCCTGCATGAAGGTAGGACCACCCAAAAGCAGCTGTGTAATTAAAAGAAGATGAGAAAAAAAATCATCAAACCAATTCTGTGGGTAATTGACCAATTCCTTTAAATAGGGTCTATTAATGAAGTTTACACTTTTGACAACCAGTCTGATGCTTTTGCAGGAAAATATTCCTAGACACAAGACTTTTATTCTTTATTTTTTTAAGCCCTTTCAGTCTCCCATCTCGAGGCTAAGTACAGTAAACTGTACATTCCCACCAAGGCCAACACTCTCCCCAAGGCCGGATTATTTACTTCTGTGTATCTGTGTCTCCCTTGTATCTATCTCTGAGCTGGCTCCCTGCCTGTTACGTTACATGTGGGGAAACGCGTGTGGGGTTCCTCTTTGTCTAATGTCTTCAAACTGTTCCTGCGCATGCCTGACAAATCTGCCCCATTGTCAAAATTTATCTTTTCCCCCACCTCCAGTCTCCGTTGTTGTGTGTCCTGGCTGAGGGGAAAAACAGAAGACAGATGGCCATCGATCAGGGATGGTCTAGTTGAGATTCCTGCATTGCCCCAGGGGTTTGGCTAGATGACCCTCAGAGGTCCCTTCCAACTCTACAATTCTCTGGTGCAGGCTTGTGCAGAGTTTTAGGTACAAGTTGGATGCAAGGGGTGCATAGGATTGCTGCCCATCTTATGCACCATCAGCTCAGGAATAAATCCTGATGAGACTAGATTGCTGCTGTGCAGTCCTCTTTTTTAAATAAATGTTTTCCTTTTCAGATAATACAGAGCATGGTGAAATCACAATAAATAAAACATCCCCTTCAGTAGTTTCAAGCACTACTATAGGTTCCACATAATATCTGTACTGCGTTGTTTACTGTGACAGCACTTGCACTTTGGAACTCCCTGCCTATTGCAACAAGCAGGTGCCTTTGCTAGACTCTTTTCGGGCATCTGCTAAAAGCATTCTTCTTTAGGCAAGTGTACCTAGATGCTTAGGAAGTTGAAGTAATTTTAATCTTAATATTTTAGCTTTTGTATGTTTTAAAGTAGGATTGTTAATTTCTTTTTTTTTTATAATTGATATTTATTGAATTTTCAAAAAATAACAACAAAAATTTCCAAAAAAAATTTAAGGATACAAAAAACAAAAATAGTACATAAACAAAAAAGAAAAGAAAACCCAGCCGCAAAGAAAAAAAAAAGAGAAACAGAAAAACAAAAATATAAAGTCCTTTACAATCTCTATTGACTTCCTTTCTAGACTTCCTCCTCCTCCCCTCTTTTTGTTTCTTAATTTTTAATTTTTACAGCAAATCCTTTCTGTTTTTTCATAACAATCTGTCATTACGTTTCCTTATTCTATTTTCCCTCTTGTCATATAAAAACTTTAAAACTCATAGCTTATATTCAATATTTACCAAATTCTTGCATCATTACCTTTTACGAATCATTTACCAATCCTTACTTAAGCCATGTAATTTCATTCAACATCCTTCAAACATTTGTAAGCATTCCCAATATTAAAAATAAAAAGAAAAAAATAATAAGTCAAATTCAGTCCAGTCAGCTTCCAACCTCCCCTCCCTGGACCCGGGATTGTCAGTCCTTTTAACCTCGATAATCCGGCTCCTTAACCTGGTTGTCTCGTATCCGAGGCCCTCAAGTCTCTTTCTTGCCCCTTTCGCCACTCTTGTTGATGATTCCTTTCCAGTCGTGGATGCTCCAGCAAGAAAATGCTTTTGACCCTTTGCAGCAAGTCCATCCCAAACCCATTGCCCAAGCCAGACAGCAAATAATACCACTTCAAATTTCCACAAAGCTTGGAGACTTCGGCTACTCCAATCCTCTGATAGCCCATCACCAGACTCGGAAGGTCCAAATAACCATATGGAGGGGGTCGATCCATCCCCCATTTCCAAATCTGACCACATTTCATCTTTCCGAATCTGGTTTGTCCTAAGTTCATTTATCAAGTTCAAAGGCTGATCTTGCCCGTCCAAAGGTCCCTCCATCTCTGAAGCCTCCGTCACTACAGCAGGTTCATATGCTTGTATAGCCTTTAACTGAATTTCATTTGTTTGCTGCTGTGCTCTGGTAACTTCCATCATCAAGGTCGTCTCCTGACGCATCTGGTCCAGCTGGGCACTTAGTTTTGAAAACCTTCCAGGAACAATTGTTCAAGCCTTTGTACTAGCATTGTCCTTCAAGGTCAAAGAAAATTCTTTCCCACGAGAATAGTCCAATAGTCCTTCTCTTTTAATCTCTCTGCGTTGCAATTTCACTAAATTCCACTAGATGGAATTTTTTTTTTTTTAAAGGAATAAAAGCAACAGCAACAATCTTTCTTTTTCCAGAAACACCTTAACCAAAAGGCCCCCTTCCAACTACCAGAGGCCACAGTAGAATCAAAATGTTACCCTTCTTTTAACTAACTGTCGAGCTGGATAAACTTCAGAACGTCAATTCTGACAGCCCGCTCCTGGTTCAGGGCGGTGGAAAATTGCTTTATTTTAAACTCACTTCCGCAGGATTGAAAAGTCCAAATACAACCCCCTTCTTCTCCTGCAGTCAAAGGGGGTTCAGAAATCTTAGATGTTGAATTCTAGTTCTCTTAGAATTTAATTTTCAAGCTTTAGTATATTTTGTCTTTGCTTTCTTCACATAACAAAAGAACGGAAGGCGACTTCCTGTTTAGACCTTCCCATTCCGAGTCCCAATTAAGTTCAATTTCAAGTCCAATATTATTTGTTTATTCACCAGTCTTAAAAGTGGTTCAACTCTTCCAAGATCAGGTACTCACGGATAGATATTTTAGATGCCAAATTGTCCAGGAAAAAGGCAGCGCTCTCCGATAACGGCAGTGCGGCTTTGCTGCACGGAGGAAGCAGACTACTCACAGCACCACGCACCTCCCACTCCGGAGCCCGTTACCGGGCTCCTGCACAAGGGAGAGAGCGCCTCGGTGCCCGCCGAGTCCCACGTCCACAGGCTTCTTCCGCCTGTGGTTTTTGCGGGTCCCCGCTGCGCCGTAGCGGCAGGACCCAAGCCTCCGTGCAGCGGGTTCCCTTCAGTCCGAAGGGAATTCCGCCATTTTCCGGAGGCGCCACCCCGGAAGTCAGGATTGTTAATTTCTTACTGCTGTGGGTTTTTTTGTTTTCTGTTTTGGTAAACCACTTTGCAGGTTTTTTAAAATAAATTTTATTAAATAAATAAACAATAAATATAAATAAAATAACACAAGCCAAAACACAAGCCATCCTGTAGATTTCAGTATATGTCCACAGTCGCCTACTTGTTATCAGAGGCCCAGAATCCGCATTCCTTTGTAAGAAAATACGAAATAAAGTAAAACCATTTTTGCAGGATTTTTTTTTAAAAAAAATCAATGTGGGGGGTGACAAGAAATTTTCTGCACCAAGTACCACCTGACCTTCCTATGCCTCTGCGTGAATCCCCTCCTTTTGAAAATGTTGATAGCTCTATGATAGTTTTTGTTATGTAAATGGGGCTACAGACACCTTGGGTGGGTTACGCAAAGCCTCTGGGATTCCCAGACAAACAATTGGGAACCACTGCTATAAGGTTTTAACTGGCTGCAGGGTTTGTAAGGCTTCAGCTGGTTTTAAGTTGGCTTATTACGCTGTTTTGATTAGGCTGTTTATTATAGCTGGTTTTATTATCTTTATGTTTGCATTGTATAAGATACTCATGTTATTGTGTGTACTTAGTTTCTTACTGCTCCATATTTTAATAGTACATGGAGGCTGCTTTCGGAGGCAGATACCATAAAAGACAATCTACACATCTTTAGAAATTAGAAGGCGGGGAGGGGGGAGAAAAGGAGGCCCTTCCAGCAGCTATGGTCCTTGCAGCCAAATAGTCATAGAAAGAAATTAGAAATGAGAGAAATCAGTTGACATCTTGCAATGGGATAAAGGCATAGGGGGCATAACATCATTGACAGTATGCACATATTTTATAAATATATATAGAAGAAAGTGCACCAAACAAATTTATTGGAAAAACGAAGTCTATTTGTCTTGGAATTTTACATTCCAACAATGAACAATGTTCAACTGTACATATTATTTTCATTCATGTAAACTGACATTCTGCTTAAAATATCATAGTATCCGGAGATATCTACACTCTTTAAACCATGATTTCATTTTGTATATGGATACATCATGATATTTTGATAGTTATATGAATGTTGCCTATATAAATGAAACATTTATTTTGCAATTTTTTTCTTAATAGAGGGGAGAAAGGAAGAGGAGATTATAATATTAGGTTTGGCCATTGACCATACAGCAATATCAATAATGGCAGCCTCCCTTCCTCTGAACTCTTTCCCTTCATCTCATTCCAAGGGAATCTGTTCAACTACTATTTGTAGATGAAAACATCCTGTAACCGTCAAAAAAAGAAGCAGGATGTCTTTGGAACACCCCCCACCCCAACTGTGATGCCATGGCCAAAGAATATTCTAACTCAGGGTCAACAGAAAGATACTGGAATTAGTGGGGTTTTAATGACTGTGTTCTCATCTGAAAGGCAGGGAGATGAATACTTTCTCCAGCAATTTCCTCTTGCAGTCGTGCTTTGAGGAAGCACCCTCCAGTCATAAATTCTGAGCAGTGCAGGACCTTCTGTCTCCCTTATGAAAAGCTAATATAATTGATGAGATCTGGCTGGATTATGCACTTCTGTGACAGGCAATCTGCATTTATTTTCTCACTTGTTATGACATTAGTGGCATTCTCGGGAGTCAGGAGTTCACATCTGGCTCACATTTATTATGGGGTTCACCTTGAGTATTTTGCCATATAAGGGCTTTTATTTTTTGGTCGGGTTTCACAATTGAGGCAGCAGGCTGTAGAATACATGCCCACCATGGACTGTGTCTTAGGATTTGTTAAACGCACTGCATATTCATTCAAAACATTGATTTTTCAAGCTATGTCCTGTGGAAGCCTTGGGTTGTTTTGGAATCCAGCATGGATTGTCCATAAGAAAATTAGTGCTGTGGCAAAAAAATAAAAATCCCGTGTTGTTGTTCCTCACCCAGCCGCTTTCTATCAATTAATGACAAAGAAATCGCATATAACATTTACCTATGGGGAAATGGAATTTCGTTTCTTTTGTTGTTGCCACACTTTCCATACTGTTATAAACACAACTAGAATATAATAAATAACAACAATAGCAGCTAGTCTGTCATTAATGGGAAAAGCTGTATCACCAGCTTAAGGGCTGGAACCACTACTTAGAACCAGTTTATAGTTCATATTAAAGACTCTAATCTAATAGGTCTCTCCAGATGTTTCCATGGGTCTAGGGAGGTTGTCTCAATTCATTAGCGCATCTCATATGGAAGGTAAATAGATGCTGGGTGTTGTAGAAGTATAAAGGACTCATCTTGCCTCTGGTCTGACAGGTCAGTTTCTCAACCAGAGCAACAGACCACACCTGAGCATACCATGAGTCTACTGACAGGCCTGTTGCAGGATGCTATATTATCATTATCATCATCATCATCTTCTTCTTCTTCTTCTTCTTCTTCTTCTTCTTCTTCTTATTGGGTTTTATAAACGGGGATCATAGGAATAATAAGTGATAGAAATAAAGAAGGCCAAGTCTTCTAATGTCATTTGTATATCACAAATTTGGAGTAATATCTACAACATATGGTTCTTTATTAGTGGTCAGTGTACAAATTCTAGGTTCATGGCGTGGTTTAAATAAAAGCAATAACGAAGGGGAAACAGGGTAGAGTTAATAGATAACATTCAACATCACATAAATGCGTAATCAAGAGCCTTTGTGGTTGTACTTAGAACACCCCTGGTTCCTCCCCCCCCCCCCGTCCCACTTGTTGTTGTTGTTTAGTCATTTAGTCGTGTCCAACTCCTCATGACCCCATGGACCAGACCACGCCAGGCACTCCTGTCTTCCACTGCCTCCCGCAGTTTGGTCAGACTCATGTTGGTACCTTTGAGAACACTGTCCAACCATCTCGTCCTATGTCGTCCCCTTCTCCTTGTGCCCTCAATATTTCCCAACATCAGGGTTTTCTCTTCTCATGAGGTGACCACAAGTATTGGAGCCTCAGCTTCACGATCTGTCCTTCCAGTGAGCACTCAGGGCTGATTTCCTTAAGAATGGATAGGTTTGATCTTCTTGCAGTCCATGGGACTCGCAAGAGTCTCCTCCAGCACCATAATTCAAAAGCATCAATTCTTTGGCGATCAGCCTTCTTTATGGTGTACTTAGAATAAGTATGAGTAATAGTAATTTTTCCTCTTATGTTGCCAATGAGACTATACTGATGAGCGTGGGAGGGGTGGTTCAAAGTGAAGACAGTAATTTAAATTTAAATTTAGATCAACCAGATTGAGCCAAATGCTATTGCAGGGATTGTTCATTTTCTGGAAAACTGGCATATATGTGAAATTAAGACACACCAAGGTAAAGCCATCTTTCTTGAACTATGTGTCAGCCATTGCCTGTTTGTCAATCTCTCAAGGAGAGCTGTTTCCCAAACTGTTTTGTACCAGTTGTCAATTGTTGTGCCAGAAAGGTCTTTCCAGTGTCTGGTTATGTTGTGTCACGTCTCTTGTAATAAGGCCTTATTAATTATTTATTATGTAAATCCAGGTAGTGGAGACTGTTGTGTCTTTAAGAAATATGGTTTATTTTTTACATATTTATACCAGAAGCTTTCAATGGAGGGAGTACAGAGTTGACAGCATTCAACATCTCAAGAGGGGCTGTTCCCCACAGCAGTGAAGCATCAGATTCCAAGACACCTCCATGTTTTTGACCCAGCCTGCCTTCAGCCAGCCCACCAAGATTGTTCTGACCTTCAGCCCCCTCATGACGTTCTACCTGTTTCCTGCTTCTCCTTCCCAACAAACCCCTTGCCAAACAACTCATCCCCTTCTTTCTGCTATTCCAAAACTAGCTTTAAAAGGTGACAATTTTCCTGTGTGACACCATGCCCAAATTGCCCTGGCAACTTTCCCCTCAGTTACCTGTAGGCTCTTTTGTCTTGTAGATGGCTTAGTGGCAGGGCCATCATTTCCCTCTGCCCCTCTGTTTGGAAGAAAACCAATCTCAGCCTCTCATTTCTGCTTAAACCCCAGCATCCAAGAATCTGGAGAGGAAATCTGGCACCCAAGGATCTAGGATCCATCCCCCCCTCCAACCCATAACAGTGTATATCTGGCTTCCACCTTCAAAACTACAAACCACAGAATCCTGGAATTGTGACAGTCCTAACTGGGAGTGAGTGGAGAGGAAATGAATGGTTTATTTGATTCGGACCATATCTGTTCAACAAGCAACAGCTGGAGTGGAGCAGAAGTTAAAAATAGCAATTGAGCACTTTCCAGGGAGAGAGGGAGGGAAGTTCATTTCAACCCTTTGATACCAGTATGCATGTACAGCTATTAGAGTTTTAGGAAATCATTTTCCAGTGTATATTCACATACCTCAATTTGTTTAGGCTTTCATTTGTGCTTTCATCTGGCATTTCTGTGGTTTTGCTCACTGCTGATACAGTAATATTTACATATATTGTAGCACATGATAGGCATGCATATCTCAGCCATCATAAGATCTTTATAGATGAAATACTTTTCCTAAGTGTTTTACTTTTCACTGTTAATGAAGTTTCATAGGAGTAGCTTTGTCAGTTTATTACAGAAAAAACAACAGAGTATTGTAATGCCGTAAAGACAAAGTATGTAAGTGAACTCTTTTGGCCGCCCACCTAGCAATCATAGAACCATAGAATTGTATGATTGGAAGTGACCCTGAGGATCATCTAGTTCAACCTCTTGCAATGCAGGAATCTCAACTAAAATATCCATGACAGATGACCATCCAACCTCTGCTTAAAAACTTCCAAGGAAGGAGAGTGCACCACCTTTCAGGGGAGTCCATTTCAATGTCACACAGCTCTGACCATCATAAAGTTCTTCCTGATGTTTTGCCTGAGTCTCCTTTCTTGTAATTTGAAGCCATTGGTTTGGGTCCTACTCTCCAGAACAAGAGAAAGCAAGCTTGCTCCACCTTCCATGTGACAGCCCTTGAGATATGTGAAGATGGCTATCATATCTTCTCTCCTCTTATCCAAGCTAAACATACCCAACTCCTCATAAGGCTTGGTTTCCAGACCCTTGATAATCTTGGTTGCCCTCCTCTGCACACGTTCCAGTTTGACAATATTCTTCTTAAATTGCGGTATCCACAACAGTATTCCCGGTGTGGTCTGACCGAGGCAGAATAGAGTGGTACTATTACAGTGGTGCCTCGCAAGACAAAATTAATCCGTTCCGCGAGTGTCTTCGTCTAGCGGTTTTTTCGTCTTGCGAAGCAACCCTATTAGCGGATTAGCGCTATTAGCGGTTTAGCGGCTATTAAAGGCTTATCGGCTTATTGGCTTAGCTGCTAAAAGGCTATTAAAGGCTTAGCGGCTTAGAAAAAGGGGGGGGGGAGCGAAAAAAAAATCTCAAGACTCGCAAGACATTTTCGTCTTGCGAAGCAAGCCCATGGGGAAATTCGTCCTGCGAAGCAACTCAAAAACGGAAAACCCTTTCGTCTAGTGGGTTTTCCGTCTTGCGAGGCATTCGTCTTGCGGGGCACCACTCTACTTTTCTTGATCAGGACACTATACTTGCAGCACAGAGTAGCATTGCCTTTTTTGCTGCTGCATCACACTGTTGGCTCATGTTAAGCTTGTGGTCTACTCCTGGCAAGCCAGGTGTCACCCATCTTACCTTTGTGCTGCTGGTTCTTCCTGACTAAGTGCAGAACCTGACATTTGTATGTAAAATGTATAAAAACTTAATTCTAACCCTAGGAAGCTGCAGAAACTGGTGAGGCAGATTTAAACAATTGAAAAGTGACTTCAGGTGACATCACATAATTGTTGGATTGACAAGGGTTTGATAGAAATGGGCTCCTGGGAGGACTTCCGGGACAGCACCATCGGTGAATGGTGGAGTTCCTCCGTCCGGAGGAATGGGCTCCGTGGAAACTGGGTCTTCCCGCCGCGGCGAAGGTGGGGACCCGCTAGAAATCCCAGGCGGAGGAAGCCTGGGAACGTGGGGTTCGGCAGGGCACCAGGAGCGCCCCCTACTCACAGGGACTCCCATTTAGGGGCTCCGGAGCGAAGTGGGGTGAGAAGCGCGGTGCTGCGAACTGACTGCTACTTTCCCGGAGTGAAGCCGCACAGCCATTGCCGGAGAGCGCTGACTTTTTCCTGTGGACAATTGGATTTAAAACAAGTACCCGTGAGTAGAAACGGAAAATTGGATCAATAAATTTCTTAATTTGGTAACGAAGCGGGAAGGTTCAAAACAGGAAGTCTGCCTCCTGTTTTTTGTATATAGACTAAAGCAAAAACTCTGTAAGCTAAAGCCTGGAAAGCTGTCCAAAAAGTCTAAATTTTCTTCATTTAGAATTACTGAAACCCCCTTGGAAGCAGGAGAAAAGGGGGGGAACTTTGTTCAACCCTAGCAGGAGAGGGAGTGAAGAAGGATAAGTTTCCACCATGTCTAACCTGGGAACGGGATGTCAGAGACAGAAATTGTTGGAGAAGTTCATTGACTGTGAATGGGATATTTTGACAGATAGCTAAAGAAGAGAAACAAGCTGATTCCAATGTTGCCTTTTGCATCCTAAAGAAACAAAATATCTGAAAAATATCTGAAAAACGAAAGTAATTTTCCTTTGTTGGACTTGCCTAAAAAAAATAAATGGATACAAATAGAAATTGCCTCCTCTAGAGGGAGCTTGTCACATTGTTGCTGCAGTACACTTGAGGGCTCAACAGATGTGAGATTAAGACCGTGGGAACAGGCTTTTCTGACCTTGACTAAAGATGAGTTGGAAAGAAGACTGGGTGCTTGCCTTATGTAAGACAAGTGCCCTGCTGGAACAGATGCATGAGAAGATGGACTTGATGAATGAGAAAATGGATTTGACTGTTGCAGTTAATAACTGTGGGCAAACAGGGAATATTGATACAGAAATTATCCAGGGACTAACTCATGAATCTGTACTGACTGGGCAAGTGCAGAAGATAATGGAAGAGGATGCGGTTGCACCCCAAATAATACAAATGGAGAGTCCCGAGGCCCTACTGGAGTATGAGCCGCTGTCATTGAAGATTGAAGTTGGAGTGGGCCAGGGGGAGTCTGGAGTTGAGGAGGTTCCCAACGTTGGAGAGACCTTGGAATATGCTTTTAAATACTTTTTGGACTATATTGAGGATTGTGGGGAGTGGGACTGTGGGGAATGGGCGGGTTTGATGAAGGAGATGGAGACAATTCTGGCTTGGAACCCCCCAGAGGCCTACCCCTCAATGAGAAAGGAAAGAAACTAAGAAAGAGACCAACAAAAGACAAGGAAAAGGGCAAGTATAAACAAGAAGAAGAAGAATTGCAGAAGGGACATGGAAGAGACTTAAGGGCCTCGGACATAAGGCTTCCAGGTTGATGGACTAGATGGAATGGACAGTAAGGACTGACACGATCCGAGACCAGGAAGAAGGGACGTTGGATGAAGATTGGAAGAAAATTTATAAAGAAAATTTTCTAATTGGGGAATTGGTTAAAAATTAATGAATATTAGGGAAAATGTTGGAATGAAACTATATGACTTTAGCAGAAATGATATCAGGAGTAATGTATATTTGATAACTAAGATTCAAGCTTTAAGGTGTTTTAGGGTAAGATAAGGTTAAATTAATTAAGGTAATGTGAATAATAGAATATGGGGAAAGATGGAAAGGATTTGTTGAGTTAATTATTAGATTAAATTAGGTTAGGATGAATTTTTTAACAAAAATTGAGAAAGATGTAAAGAATTTGCTGAAATAACTAATTAAACTAGAATACAAAAAGGGAGGTGTGAGGAAGTCAATGAAACAAGCAAATGGAAGTTTTAGATATGTAAGCTGGGATTTGTGTTGTTTTCTTTTTTCTTTTTATCTTTTTGTTGTATTGTATTGGTTTTTGTGTTTTTTCTTTTCTTTTTGTCTATTATAGTGTTGTTTTTTAACGTTTTTTTTAAATGTTTTTCTTCTTATAACTCTGAAAACTACTAATAAATATTATTTTTTTTTAAAAAAAGAAATGGGCTCCTGGGATGTATGGAAGAGTCAGGGAGGCCAAATTTGACCCACAAGCTGAAACTTTACTCACAGTTGGTGCAGGGAATGATGAGCCAATAGAAGGCGGCTTCCTAATTCAGTTGCTTCAAAAAAGAGGTGCTGGTTGCTCGTGATATCTCCCCATTGAAATCAAAGGTTCCCCATCAATTGTCAAATTCACAGTGAAACATACAGTGAAGGCTGATTTTCATAATAGGCTCGTTGTGCTTTATTATTCTTAAAATAACCTATTTCATTTTCATGGTGTAGTGAAGAGCCTGCTGAGCCCACCCCCTACTCAGAATAAATGCAGATGAAATGTTAATGAAGAGAATCTAATGGTGTAGGGGGCTCTTTTGTTCCAACCCTATTCATGTCAAGAACCTTCATTCATTTTAGAAAATTGGCTAAGCATTGTGGGGTGGAGGGTCAGGGGAGGCAAAGGAAGAGCTGCCTGTGTTTGAAATTTCCTCTCCAACTCTGGTTCCCATCTTGCCTCCATGCTCTTATTGTTATCATCACTATGCAAATGCAAGAGAATGCTTTATTGGCAAGTTCCACCCGGGGACTGCATTTTCAAAAGAGTCACTGATTTTTAAGGTCATCTTTCACAACAAAGCATTAGAGCACTGTACACTCTGCCCTCTGTTTTTTCTAGGCGGACCAGATGATATATGGCGTTTGGGTGCCAATATATTCCAACAACTGATGTGTTGCAGGACTGTCTCCATTATGCATTAATGGGATGGGGATAATTGCTGCCCAGAGAGCTGAGTAAGCTGTCTTTCGGGTACGGTGACCACAAAGGGGATGGGGAGAGAGAAAGGAAAGAAGATGGACAAAAGGCTGCTATTGACCTTGAAATATTAGCCAACAGAATCAGAGTTTTCCATGGACTGATGTTTATGTTTCCAACAACTAATGATGAGATGCAAAACGGACCTCATGTTGAATCTTTGGTGATGGTCCTCATTCAAAGGTAGCAAAAAAAAGAAAAAAAAAAGATTGAAATAGGTGCATAGGAACATAGGAAACTGCCTTGCACTGAATCAGACCATTGGCCCATTTAATTCAGTATTGTCTACACTGGCCTGCCAACCCTACCTGGAGATGCTGAGGATTGAACTTGGAACCTTCTGCATACAAAGCAGATACTCTACCAGTGAGCAAAGGCCCTTCTCCAATGATTGCTGAAAAGAAAGCAAGAAGAAAGAGCAACATTCAACCACTGGATCTCCAGAGCAATGGAATTGAACTGGTCTCTTAATCCATATGTGGGCCAAATTAATTCTGGAGGGTTGCTGTAATCCAAAAATGGAATAATGGAGCAAGCTGTCATATACCGAGTCAGAGCATTGTCTGTTTTGCTCTGTATTGTCAACAGTGACAGGCAGTGGTTCTCCAGGATTTCAGGCAGGAAACCTTCCCAAGCATAAAGCTCATTGGGTTTACTTGGGTCAGTACGTCAGTGGCTGAGTACATGAGCTGCTGTGCAGAAAGTCCTGAGTTCAGTCACCAGCATTTCCAGTTAAAAGGATCCCATGTGAAGCCCTCTCTCTGCCTGACAGCCTGGAGAGTTGCTGCTAGTCAGATTAGGCAATCCTGGCCTAGGTGGTGTAAGGAAGCCAGATATGCTAATCCTTCCAAGCCTGCTGATCCCTCCCTCTTGGATCTGGATGGGTCAACATGCATAAAGAATATTGCTACATTCTGCCATTTTCTGCACCCAGATTAATTTCAGCCTATCAGGAACTGATACTGTGGGCAAGTTTAGAATGGCTGCTGATATTTTAACAGGCAAATCCAGAGTTCTCACACCTTAGATTGAGGGGAGAGATAACTGTTTAAGTGCTTACTACATGCTTTGTATGAAAATCATCATCATCCTGGGTTCCATATCCCTGGCTTTTGCAGGTAGAATGAGCAAGTAGGAAGTAGGAATGGCCAGAGCTTGGAGAGCTAGTGACAGAATAGAGCAGGGTACAGGACTTGGCTGGTGGACTGGATCCTGACCTCCTACTCCCATTGGTAGGCCTGTCCTCCATGAATTTGTCTAATCTTTTAAAGTCATCCAATTTGATGGCCACCACTGCCTCTTGGAGGAGCAAGTTCCATAGTTTGGCTGTGTGCTGTGTGAAGTATGTTATTTTATCTGTCCTAAATCTTTGCATCACCGGCTTCTGTTTAAGCTAATGATGAAAACGAATAGCTGAATTTCAACAAGCCCTGGCGAGCACAGCAAGCCAACTTTAGCAGGTATTGGCTGCACTGTGGGGTTCCTCATCAGCTGTTCACTGTTTACGGGAATCTCACTGGGATCAACTGTACTACAGAGTTTACAATGTACAAACCAACTCTACCTGCTACACACCTGCTGCCACATGGGTGATGGGGGGAAAGGAGGGTGTGGTTTAGGGAGCCAAACTGCAACCTATGCTGGGTCTGATTACACGAGACATAGGCAAACACGGCCCTCCAGATGTTTTGGGACTACAACTCCCATCATCCCTAGCTAACAGGACCAGTGGTCAGGGATGATGGGAGTTGTGGTCCCAAATCATCTGGAGGGCCGAGTTTGCCTATCCCTGGATTACGCCCATGGGCTCAAGCTTTCCTCACCCCCTGGAGTAGACATTACTCTGCCAGTCTGAGCAAGCTACACCGGGAAATCCTTGGACCTAGGAATAAGCAATTTCCTGTGTTGCAGTCCCTCAGCCTAGGCTACCTTACAGCCTTGTGGTGAGGATGAAATGTACACTACCTTGAGTTCCTTGGAGGAAAGACAAAAAGAGTGTGTGTGTGTGTGTGTGTGTGTGTGTGTGTGTGTAACACATACGTGTGTGAATCTTCATTGACTGATGGTTTTCTCAGTCTTAAAAACAAAAAAATGCAACGGGAAAGATAGTAATCCACAGGCCTGACTTTGCTTAGGTATTGAAACCAAATTTTATTTTGGAAAATGACATCACACGCACCTTGCAAATGTACACTTAGATGAGAAAAAATGCATAACAAATACTGAGAGCAAAAGCTACAGAGTGAACAGGTCCCTCCGCTGCATGGTATCCAACCACAGAAACAATCCAAGAGAGGTGAGGAATGGGAGGTGGAGTATAACAAGCAATAAAAACAGTTCACAACACTTCACAGGGGTGGGGTTCTAATGAAATGAAAAGTGGCTTTGTAACATCAAACCTCCTAAGAAAGACTCCTACAGGGGAGGAGGCATAAGACGCATGGATCCAGGGTACATCCGTTTGGGTTTGTCTTCTGTGCAAGTCCCATAAAAGCCACTAGTTAGTGGGCAGAACCACAGGTTCTAAGTCTTTGCTTGTTATGTTCTTTATCGACGCAGGAACCATGTTAACTAGACACATGAAATAATAAGCCCTCTTTGATCACAGAAAACTGTTGAGGAGGGAACAACTTTATAACTCATAGCGTTCCTAAACTGCACTGTTACATTGGATTCTCCCTACTCCAGAATTGGTGTATGAAGATCTGCTAGATTATTTACATTATTATTATTATTAATTATTATTATTAATATTATTATTTTAAAAAATAACCTCACCAAGACAACAATCCTGAATTGCACTGGGTATAATGCTCTGATGCCATGGAGAGATAAAATCATAGCAGGCTGCTCTTGGGAGGGGTTAACGGTACAATACAGAAAGGCAGCTGACTGAACAGTGTCTGTATGTTACAAACGTTCACAATCAGTGATGGTTTAGGTTTTGCTCTGTCATTTTCTCCATGCCCTTATCTTTAACTTAAAACCACGAGAGACTGAGGGAAAGCAAGGGAAAGTGATTTAAAACCATGAGATGTCAGTACCATGCATTTACTCTCAAAAGCTTGTTCGATAGCAAGCTAAAATGTCTACAACTACCACCACTAATTGACATCTGCCAACTAATTATCCTAGTTCTACCTCTACCCATGGAGCTGAAGCTTTTTTTATATAATAAAAAAGGAATCCCCTCCCCCCAAAACGTCCATCAATAAAATTGTTTTCTGTACAAGTTGAATGGCACATTTTTTAAAAATGGACAGAATGCTAAGCAACCCACCACAAATGTAGAATGCGGAATCCGTTCAAAACATGCACTGTAAGAAAGGAAAGAAGAATCATTGGTTTAAAGCTGCAATATATTACAAGAAGATGTATGTGAGGTGACTTGGTGTGGAACCTAAAATGATAATTTGCCATGTGGAAAACTTTTCCAAATCCCCAAGTGGTATGTCAAGCGTGAGAGTAGATTTACCTGACTGAGACCAAGGTGCTTAAAAAAGTTGAAGAATAGAATTGTCTCCTGCTGGGGTCCTTATTGAACTCCAGAAGAGTTCATTTCCATGAAGAGTGGTCCAATGGCCACAGGAACAAGGAGGTTGTTGCCCATAAGCCCAAAGTTTTATGTGGTTTCCCGGTGGTGAACAGCCTGAGCACAGGGGGTACGGATCATGCCACTGCACTCATGCAAAACCACTCCTGGAAGCTACTTCCTTCATGTGGCTACAAGAGTGGATGACTTTGCATGGGGAATGTAGCCACTGTCACTCAGGTGATATTCCACTCATAATAGAACAAACATGCACAGCATCAGGCTGCAAGCTTCATAAATGGATGGAAGGTGTGACTTCAAAGCAAGTGGAGTCCTATCTGATCTTAAGTGATAAAAGATATTCACAATTGCTGTCAATGGAAAACTTTAGCCAACTGGCAAATGCTTGAGCACCTCCATGCTCAATGCTGGCTTCAGGTTTGGAGGGCTCCTCAAGAAAAATGGTTTCAATGCACACCTCTTTCTGAGTGGGCCCATTTCCTCCTTGGCCGTGTCCTTATTACCAATCAGCTCACCTTTCTCCTCTGGATACAATCCTCACAATCAGCAACATAGATTAAGAGAATGTAAGGTAGGCAGAGCCTAAGCTCCATTTCATTACCCCAGAATGGAGGAAAATGGACAATGATGGCGAGGAGGAGGAAGAACAGCAGGGTCAAAGAGCCCCTTGCTGAGGTGTGGACCTTCACAAATGCCCGATGAAGCCAACCCCTAACACCAGCCCTGTCCCTAAAAAATGGTTGGTGTCACACACAAGCTCTCTTGATCATAAAATGTATTGAAGGTTCCCCCTTTATTGTGCAAAAATTGATGTGATCTACATTTAGGTCAGGCGTGGGGACTTTTTCTTCAGCCTGAGGGCTGCATTCTGGAGGTAGCATGCCAGTAGTGGACAGAACTAGAGACAGATGTGGATGGGACAACAAATCCTCTTCTCTCACACACGCAGACACACACAACTCCGCATCCTCCATCCCAGCAAGTGGCACTATTGCAGTTCACAGACAGATTCCAGCCAGGTGAAGACACTGAAGTAGAGAGCAGAACAGGGCTGGTGAGGAGATGTGGTCTGGGGAGAACAGTGTGGCCTGAGGTTCCCCATCCCAAATTGAGGTCATTTAACTTTCCTATTTTCTCAGGTTGCCTATCTACCAAAATGAGTGGTTTTCATTGGGATGGTGTTTTGGCAAACCAGATTTGTGAGGCTTGGGGAAACTGATTTCATGACATGGTCTCAACATGTGTTGCTTTCTTTCTATGATGTAGTTCCACATGGATGTTCCTCAGAGGTGATGGGGGGGGGGGAGGCATCTTAATGAGATGAAAAACATCTTGAAGATCTGCTAAAAGGGACGTGATCTTTGTTGGACCAAAAGGAAAAAAGGAAAATGCAACCCAGTTTCCAGCTACATATAAACCATGAAAATCCTTCCTCAAATATATCATATTACTCTGCATAGGCTTATGAAAACCTATTACACCTGCTAAAGAGAGACAAAAAAAATCCCCACCCTTAATTTAATTTAATTCATCCTTTTTACAAACACTCATTTATTAAATATGTCATTTAAACGAAACAAAAATTGCCTGACCCTGTAAAATACAACAGCTTGCACAAAGGAGATGACCTTCAAGGTTCTGTACAGGGAGTTTAAAGTATGCCAGCTAAACTTTAACTCCCACCTTGAATTATTAACCCTTTAAAATTCCCATGCTCTTTTATTCTAACCCCACCCAACACAAGAACAACTATAGAAGAAAATACATTATGACCTCTTGGTTATATTATATTGCAGCTTTTAATTTTTTCATGAATGAGAAGAATCATATGAAATCAGCTCAGAAGCTCAAGCCATCAGGATTTGTTTTAGCTGACTACTTCCCTGGACACAGTCCACTTCTCAAAAGAGCTATAGATCAGATTCCAGAAAGCCGTATGTGTCCCATGCAGATAGTACTGTGAGATTGCTACTACAGCTATTTCTGTCAATGTGCAGCATGCTTATGGTTAAGAACACTGGTGGTGAGCAGCACCAATGAATCCATATTGGACCTCCCCCTCTCCCCCCCTGTGCTTCTCAAAACTCTAATCGGTAAGGCCATGGTTCTCAAAGGGTGTGGCAGGAGAGGATGGCAAGTATGGCAGGAAGATTCAAGGACAATCAATACTCTATTTTGGGAATGATGCATGTTCTTATGTAGCTGCATTGTTTTATACTGTCTGGATGTCCCATGATCATATTATAGTGTTCTATGTTACAAATCAAGCACTGGTGGGAGTTTTTTCTTTTTGTTTTCCAATGTATTTCTTATCAATAAAAAAATCCGGTGTAGCACGAGCAAATTTTTATTCTGAAAGTGATTTGCAGTTTAAATGAGAAATTGTCTAACAAATTATTTCTGCTTTAGAATATGACCTGTTTTGTGGTTACTTGTGAATATGAATGGGGGAGAAAATTGGTTCACATTTTAATGCAGACCTACCTAATTTGCCCTCTCCTCACCCCCACAAAATTGTACAGTCAGTCAAAACAGGCAGAACATGGTCTGAGCCAGGTTCCAAGTTTGGCAGCAGGAGGGAAATGAAAACGAGCTCTGCTGGATAAGACTACAGTTTCACCCACTCTAGTATCTTGTTTCCTACACTATCCAATCATATGCCTTTTGGAAGCCAATTAGCTGGGCATGAAGGCTACAGCCCTCTCTCACTGTTGTCTCTGAGTAGCTGGCATTCAGTTGCATACTGCCTCTGAACCATAGGGGTTCCATATACCCCACATGGCTAATAGCCACCAGCAATCCTATTCTACTGATGATTTTGTCTAGTCCTCTTTTAAAGCCATCTAAACTGCTGGCTGTCACCATGGGTAACAACTGTGAATTCCATAAATGAACTGGGTATCTTGTAAAGAGATGTTTCATTTGTCCTGAACTAGGAGCACCAATTTTGTTAATTTAGTCATCTGAGCTTCTTGTTTCTGCACAGAGGTGGACTCACTGCTTTTTTTTGAAAGCATATCTGCTTTGCCCCCAACCAACTCAAATGGTCAAAATAAAGACCGTGAGGTTTGGCAATGCCAATCTGATAAATAGTTGTCAACACTTTTTCTCTTTTAAAACATTTCAGTGATGCAGTTTTTGCTGTATACAAGTTGTGTGGCAGCTGTGGGCTCTTTTTGTGTGATACCCCAGTTGGTTTGACAGGATGTGGAAGCATCCAGGCTGAGGGTACATGAGGGAAATTCTCTTATGGATGTCGCCATGCATGCAAAGCAACCGCAGAAAATGCAAGATCTGGAGGCTTTATAGCTATATCCTATCAGGGAGAATATGGTGGAGAGGACAGCTGAGATGGATGTGAAGAGAACAAGTAAACCCCAAGAAAGGATTTTGCTAAGGAGGAGGAAAGAGGTATAGACTGCAGGAAGGGAATGAAAGAAGGAGGTTCTCTTACCTCATCAAGGACTGAGGAACTGGTATGGAAAGAAAATGAAAAAAGAGGGAAGATTTAGGGCTTTAAGCTGCAGTGGCAAGCCAAGAGAAGATGCTAGAACTTGGGGAAACTCTAGAGATACATAGAAAGAGGTCCTGAAATGAAATGTGGTAGCCAAACTTGCTAAGCAAGAGTCTCACCGGAAGATAAGAAACCATCCAGAGTTCTAAATCCTAGGTGTTAATGCCACCCTCTTGTTGAATTTTCCTTTTGAAAGATGGCTGAACGTTAGACATCTGCAGCTGGTGTGTGCATGTGTGTTAAAACAGAAAGCAAATTGTGACAGCTGCATGGTGAGCAAAACTTCTCTGGGTGTGCCTTTTTAACAAAAAAACTTTTAAGTATAGAGCTCCAGTTTCTTACATATGTCCTTTCAGCATATATACAGATGTTAGGCGCTCAAATAGCTTTAGGGCAGATGGTCATCTCACACTTCTAGCTGCACTCTCACGGAAACGTGCCAAGTCTTAACAGATTTAATTTTAAATATTTACAACCGATTTTGGGTCACTGTAAAACAAAAGCAGAGATGAATGTCCTAAGAGCCAAACTTTATGGGATGGGAGCATTCCACGTTGAGGTTGTGGGATCTGGATCAGGGTTGTAATGGGGCAGGAGTGGGGATAGAATCCTTTTCCCCAACGCCATGGCCTAAATATGAATCTCCCAAACAAAGGAAAATCCCTCCCCCTCTGCAGTTAATGGCAGCATTAGGGGAAATTATTTAAGTTGGTGAATCAGTATGTCTGTCTGTCTGTTTGTATATAGAGACACTCCAGATGTCCTTTTCATTGTGCATTTATGACGATTTGTGCTCATGATGGTATTGGGGCAAAGATACCCAGTCCTGCTTCCAATACTGTTTGTGCCTGCAAAAGCTTTGGGGTGAACATACTATTTTGTTTCCAGTCAGTGCATGTCCTGTAACTTACTGCTGAAATCCTTCCTGCTGAAATCCTTTTTATACCACAAATGTTGCAGGGTGTGTATGTGTTCCATTTTTGTTATAGCACCCTTCCAGATGGCAATAACATTGGGGAAGCATCACAAAACAACTTACAAAGTAGAATGGTGTGTGAATGGCCCAGCATAAATCCATCACTAATGCACTATTATTGCACCCAATCTGCTGCATAATACACCTGCAAAACAACCACTAGTCTTAAGCATTTCAGTATCTATTATTTCAATTTCTAGCCCATCCTTCAGAGAGTTCATAGAATTGTAGAGCTGGGAGGGACGGGAAGGCCATCTTGTCCAACCCTTGCAATGCAGGAATCTCATCCATGATAGATGGCCATCCGACCTCTGCTTAAAAACCTCCATGGAAGGAGAGCCCACCACCTTCCAAGGGAGTCAATTCTACTGTTCTGTTTCCAGCACACCCTTCAGTCAGTTTTGTTCCCAGGGTGGGTTAAATATACAAGGCATAACTATCAGTAGCATAGCAGACTTAGACTGTCCCTTATCCCCAATCCTGTAGATTCCAATCCCAAGGTTTAATCTAGTCCAGGCATGGCCAAACTTGGCCTTCCAGCTGTTTTGGAACTACAATTCCCATCATCCCTGACCACTGGTCCTGTTAGCTAGGGATGATAGGAGTTGTAGTCCCAAAACAGCTGGAGGGCCAAGTTTGGCCATGCCTGATAGTCCAACCCCCTGCAATGAATCAGTTAAAGAATCCCTGACAGATGTCTGAGGCTATGTCTGAGAATATAAATGGACTTGATTTTGGATTACAGCATCCTTTGAATGATTCCAGTTAATCCCTGGTTCAAAGGCACACCTCCTCCAAGGGAAATTTAGCAGTGACTTTTTGCAGCAGAATCAGTGCAGTAGCCTTGTCGTACAGAATTCTGTGTGGAAAATTTAAACAAATTTTAAAAGAGGGAGGAGGAGATGGCAGACTGTTGTTTGAACCCTGCTATATTAGGCCAAAAGCCCTGCTATATTAGGCCAAAGGCCCATCTGGTCCAGCCTCCTGTTCTCACAGAAGACAACCAGATGTTCCACTGGGAAGCCACAACACAACAGAGCACAACGGCACCCTCTCCACTCTTGATCCCCAGAAACTGGCAATCAGAGACATGTTGCCTCCGACACTGGTTATAGGGCTTGCCTTACCATTAGGCAGAGTAAGGCAATTGCCTCATTCAGGAGATGGTGCACCTTGGATCCCCCTGGCAATTACTGTTGTGAGCCACAGGTCTCTCAGGCACCTCTTAAACCAACCTGCTGCCCTCAGGTGTGGTGGAGAGCAATATCACATTGTTGTCAGTATTTCAGTAAGATTCATCTGCCAGTGCAGTCAGCTTCTGCACTGAATGGGATGGTGGGGGTGGTACTTCCTTGTCCTTTGCCTCAGGCCAGCCTTGTGTTTGGCAATGGTTTATAATTAATTTTACATAAGAACCTGATAGTGGGGGAATAGGGAGCTGATGAACAACCCCAGCAACTACCTAGAACTATTTCACCCTTTATGTACACAGGCAGCTCCACTTACTGGGCAAAAATGAGAAACCACTAAGAACAGAACAGAAGTCCTGTACCTGGATCAGGTCAGTGACCCATCTAGTCCAGCATTCTGTTCTCACAGTGGCTAACCAGATGCCTGTGGGGAATCTGAAAGCAGGACATGAGCACAAGAGCACACTCCCCTCCTGTGGTTTCCAACAATTGCGATTCAGAGGCATGCTGCCAGTGACAGTGATTAGATCAGAGGTTTCTGAGCTGTGTTCCAGGAACTTCTGGAGGTCCTTTAGAACTTAGTTACAGTTGTTCAGTGAGAAAATAAGTATTAGCAGCCAGGCATTTCCTAGAGCTTGCCATCTGTTCCCAATCTTCTGGCATTTTCTCTAACTGCAGAAGAATGTTGTGTGTGCTCTAGGGAGCCCATGGCTAAGCTTGGGGTAGTCTCAACAACATGCCCAATGGTGGTGCCAGCGGGTGCCTGCGCAAGCCACTCAATAAATGCTAGACAGCCATTATAATGTCACTTGTGGCCTTAATGTAGCATCAGTCAGAGGTATTGTGGGAAACGAAACATTCAATTCAAAGTAAAACAGGCCTTCAGGACTCCCAATGCTCAGCATTTATCAGAGCACCACTGCTGCCCAGCATAAAACCATCAAATAAGCCTGCTACAGGAGCATTGGCAGTCCATCAGCAAACACTTTGCCAAACATGAAGCTAGCCCCAGTTCCAAGGTTTACTTTCAGTTCACATGGGATGATAGTGAGGCCCCACAGACCTGTCCAGTTGTTGTTTTTTGTGTGTACAATATTTGCACCCTAGAACACGCACAGCATCCTCTGAAATGTAGAGGTTCCTCAAGAGATTAGCCAATGTAGAAATGGTTCTCCCCAGAGATATGGAAAACCACCCTCCTAGACAGTCACTGCTGGGTTAGTGTTAGTGTTGAGACCACCCACCTCATGTGCTTGCATCAATGAATCAGGTATAAGAGAAGTGCCCTGTAATCCTTCTTTCTTTCTTTTCAAATAACCTTTCCAAGAGTTAAGAGCTGAACACACCTAGCATTGTACACACTGCTATTCTGCATGCATTTTTTATTTTTATTTTTGTATAAAGACTCATGCAACATCAACTATACAGGCAGTTTTACATCCGACATGGTCACTGATTTCTACCTACAGTTCAAGAACGTTTACCTGAAGAATTGCTTCTAAAACCTGGGAGTCTGGCCCTTTACCCTGTTTCACTTTTGCAGGTCTGAATGGCTTTTCTTTTCCTTGTGGGAAAAAAAGATCTACCTTCTCTTTCCACTAGGCTGCTGTATATTTGCTTGCTGATGCAATGCGTGGCAACACAAACTATTACAAAAGCCTCATCTTGCCAGGCCCTTATTCAGAAGAGCGATGTGCATTATTGGAGCACATCAGGCAAGGGAGTCCATATTGGTCCAGGCTCTCAGATATGCCACTATTAAGTGCAATCAAAGAAAAATGCCTATATCTGTATTACTTGTTTAAATAAACACATTGCTGTTGTTGGTAAATGGGAAACATACTCCATGTAAACAATGTTCTACTTAAGAATATAAGAAAAGCCCTGCTGGATTGGACCAAAAGCCCAACATTCTGTCTACCAACAGGGGCCAGCATCTGGAAAGCTTACAAACGGGATGAAGTCAACAGCTTTTCCCAACTGTTTGCCTCCAGCATTTGACATTCAGAGGTTTATTGCCTCTGGGGTTACATGTAGCTATTGTGGCTAACAGCATTAGCCATCTAGCTTTGTCTCCTGTGGACATGAAGAAGAGTGGAGAACAGAGTATAACATTCAAAAGACTACAGTATTCCTGCCAATCATAGGCTCAGTTTTTGGGCCTTGCACAAAACCAGCAATCAAATGGACTGTACCCAATTGTGTGTAGGATCTGTTTTGGGGGGTAGGGGACAGGAAAAGGAGAGGTGGTGTGTGTTCTGTATTGCGGATCATTTTCTTCCTGCTTATTGAAATACTGAAGATTGGATTGTACAGTATTACAAAGACCTTTAGTTCCTGGATGGAGCAATATTTGCATTATTCCTCCATATTACTAAGGAACAGTGCTATGGTGGAGTACTGCTTCCCTATCATATTATAACAGAAACAATTCCTCAGTTCCACATTCATCCAGTGCATGCCCCCGGTCACACTCTGAGGGGCAATTGGGAGCAGCCTATCAAGACTGAGAGGAGAGAGAACAGGAGATCAAACATCACAAGTAAAACACATCTCCAAGTAGACTGGAGTGTGGGCTTAAGCAGTTCACAATCTATGCTACGCTCATGCCTAGGATTCAGAGCCTCATATGGTACACAGTGCCCCTCTGTGAGGGGTGAGGTCAGTGAGCATACAGAGTTTGCTGCTTCTGGTGCTGACAACTGTGGGTATGAACTGGCTCTGTGTCAGGGCCACTTGGCAACTTTAGCAAGCAACAGTGCCTTCTAAGTTAACCCCAAGAAGCCATCACTGGAATTGACCAAAGAAACCTGACAATCTTTCCATAGTCTTCCTCAATACTAGTCCCTAGGAGGTCATAGACAGCACTTTCCCACCAGATGATCCAAAAATATTTAACAGCATCAACGAAAGGACTCACTGGCCAACCCTCCCAATCCCTCCCCATGAGGTAGAGAAAGTATTACTGTCCTTATTTGACAGATACGGTAAATTGAGGCACAGAGAAATTAAGAGACCTGCTCCAATTCATACACCAGATCTGCCAGATATCAAACACACACTGGATTTTTTTTTCCTGTAGGCCTTCCCTATGCTTTGTCCTCAAAGCCAGCCTTCTCCACAGTGATCTGACCATTGAACTTACATGAATGCTGAATCTTCTGAACCAAAGTTTAGATAGCTTTGGCTAAACAATGGCATAGAGGTAAGGAAACCCTAGGTTTTAACTGCTTGGTTCAACAAAGGGTAGATCCTCACTTGCCCTTGTGATGCAGGGTCTTTACTAAAACTGCAGCCATTGGGTAGTCTGAAACCTTCTATTTTAAAAATTATTAAAACAAAACTGCAAGCTTGGCTTATCCACATTGCCACATGAATCACAAAGATGCCAGTGGTAAGGAATGCAAAAGCTAACCACCAAATACCAACTTTGGGCCAAGCATTGTCTTCCTCTAATAGCCAAAAGTTGTTGTAGAGTTAAGTACCCCAGTGTGAAGTATTATTTATTATTAGAAATTTCCATATGCCTTTCGACTTTATGCAAATTGCCCAAGGTGGCTCACAAAATGAAATTTCAAAATGAAAACATAACCTTATCAAAAGTACAATTGCTGCAATACATTCTAAACTCACAACGGTTTGCAAATGAATCTAAAGGAGAGTGGGGAAAGCAATCCCCAAGGTTGGTTATATGGGTATTGCTCTGATAACATTTTGCAAGATTATGGAGAGCTTATTCCTACAAATAAGGAAGAATGCAATGCACAGTATTATCTGGTACGTGTATCCAGACCCAGTAAATAAAATGGCCAGGTCTGTATAAAACTGTGAACTTTGCATCAATGATTATTTTTTTAAAAATTGAATGGATTCCTTTTCTTCCCATTTCACTATAATGCACTGCTTCAAGATAAAAGTTTATAATACCGTATCATGAACATCCTAACAGTTCTACAGTCTGAGCATCTGGCCATAGTTAGAATTATTGAAATACAGAAAATTAAAAACATAACCTTAAGCATGTTACAAACACTCTCAAAATATTAACCATTTTGAATTAATTGCGATATCCCTCCCCCACCCCATGCAGACCCCTCCCATTTTATGAACCTCTGATGTCAGTTTGGCAGTGACTTCAAAACACTTACTGTGTTGAACTTTTTTTTGTATATTTTAAAATTTTGTTTCTTTTTTAAAGCAAAAGAAAGTCACCAGTTTTCTTTTTTTAAAAAAAGGATATTGAAGAACTGACTCTAAGACACAGCTAACATTATTTGTTTTCCTCTATAAAAGTTGTATGGATTTCTTGTTATTAAAAATTAATAATAAGCTGAAGGTGTTAGACCTGAAAACAATTTTTTTTCACAGTGTTTTCAGTGTTGGCTGTTTGCAAGGCATTGATAGTCTCCACAGAGATAGAGAGATACCATTTCAGTAACTTCATATCAACCAGACCATGTTTATTGCTGGTCATATGTATGTATATATAAATGTACGTATATGTGTGACCAATGGCCTCAAAGCAGAGGGCATTGAGGGGCAGTGGAGCCATCATCTCTGCAGCCATGGAGTGCCTCAGGACCAGGGCTGGTTCCATATGATCAAAAATGTGTGTGGGGGGGAGCTGATGGTGAGGATGGGCAGGTGGTAGGACTTGAGTATAGGTGGAAGACAAAGGATTTGAGGATAGGGCCAAGGTGCTCAGATAAAAGGAAGCAAAGACAGGGCTGAGAGCATGGATATGGTGGGGTGTTGAGGTGAAGTGGAGAAGGAAAAGATGGGGCTTATGTGATTTGGAGGGAGACCAGACAAAGAAGGAAGAAAAAGGCCGAGCACATTGGAAGGGTTGAAGTGAGACAGAAGGGGAGGAAAAGATGGGGCTGAGGTGATTTGGGGCAATTGAAGAGAATATGGTAGGGTGAGGCGATGAGGCCAAGGTGAGTTTTGCTCAGCTGAGGTGGGTTGGGAGATTGAGGTGCAACTGAGGAAGAGGAAAAGCTGGAGAGCAGAGTTGGCAGGCAGAGCCAGCAGGGTGGCTTCCCAAATCCCACCCCGCTAGAACAACCTTGTGTGTTTATTAGAACATATCCCTGTGCCCTATTTGAGGAGAAAATCACGATATGTAGCTCTTTATTTCTTAGCATTGTCCAATCACCCTTGTACTTAAATGAATGTTCACAAAGAGACAAGAGTTGCCTCCCACTGGCTGTGAGTTAACATCAGACAATATGCAGGTGTTAAACTCAGAGACCCAGCCTTGGAAACAGGTCTGCTTTTGCAGAGTTGCTGGTATTCATTGGTATTTGGGGGTGGAGGGAGGTGCTGGTGGATAGACCTGTTTCCACTCTTGGGCTTTGGACAGAGTTGCTAATGGAACATTTGCAAAAGAAAGTTGTCACCTGACCAGCAGCCAAATAAAAAAAGCCAGTACATTATAGGGTGTTTTTTTAAAGAAAAGGAAACGCTTGGGCTAAAATGTGTGAGAAGAGCATGAGGATTCAAGCCTTCTGACTTCAAGCTGCCAATAATGGCCACTTATCTTTCCTATGAAGTTACTCAGATGATCGGTATCCCTTTATCTCTGTGGATTCATAGGTGTTGGTTTTGTGGCACAGAGGATAAATATATGAAAGGAAAAGAAAAGACATAACTTTTGTATCCTTGGATTTGCACCAGTGACCTCTCTGCTCCTTTTGGCAGAAGTGTGGTGCTATATCTAAAATGGAGTGTGGACACAGGGAAGGGGGTTTCTTTACATGGAGTCTCCAAGGGAATCAGAGTCGTCCAAGGATAGAGGCAGGTACAAGTCCTGTAAGGAGAAAGGGAAAATGTGTTAACTCCCACAATTAGCCTCTTCTGCATCAATGAAGAACTGCTTCAGTGACTCAGTGCACAAATAATCATTGCAGACCTAGGCCCAATCTGCAGCATACATTTAAAGCAGTGTCGTACCACTCTAAACATGGTTTCCCCCAAATAATCCTGGGAACTATAGTTTGCTAAGGGTACTGAGAATAGTTCCCCTTACAGAGTTACAATTCTCAGAGTGGTTTAAAAATCTATTCCTCTTTCCAGGGAATTCTTATTTTAACCCAAATCTTTTTTTAAACTGCTGCTTCCCCTCCCTTCATTGCCATCTCCTGATCACTGTACTCAAACCTCTTCCATGGTTAAAAAATGCTACATTTCTCTCTCACTTTTGCTCCATTCTTACTTTATTCAAACCTCTGCCATTGTTTGAAACTGCCATTTTCCCTCTGTGTCTTTCCATCTCCACTCTACTCAAACTTCTGTCATTGTTTAGAACAGCCACTTCTTCCCCTTTCAGTGTACCATCCTTCTCACTATACTGAACCTTCTCTGTTCCATTCCTCAACTGCCTCACGTGAGAGAGCTAAAGGATGCAGGGCCCTCAAATATTCCATTGTATTAAGGTACTTTACTCAAACCTTTGCTGTTGTTTAAAACCATTATTTTCCTCTCAGCTTTCTCTATCCTTGCTGTATTCAAGCATCTTCTGTTGCTCTAAACCACCACTTTTCCCTTCTCACTTTCTCCCACCCTCATGTCATACAAAATCAGGATTGTGATGTGGCACTACAAATCCTGAAATGGGAGCTACGTGATGACAGCCTTACATTTTTATGTATCTAGGAAGATATCTGCCTCTGTTGGTGAACTGTTTTTTCACATGATCCACCTGTCACTGCAAATGAGAACAACGCCATCACCCTATGTTTGTAGATGAGTTTGCATGCAATACCATGATCTGATGTAGGAGCATGGGAGGGAAAATTAGAAGACCCTAGAGCTGCTACAGGCAATCCTGTCCCAGAAGGCTACTGTGACAGCACTAGCAAAATACAATCATACAGTACTTTACAGCTGGCAAAATGAAGCATTAGTCTCAACATTTTAAAAAGTGTCCTTATAAGGGAATAGCAATATGCCTGCTAAAGCTTTGTAATTATCTGCGTGTCTTTCATTGCTTAATGGAGTAGAATTGCCAGTATTTGAGCATTTTGATGAACAAAAAAGATACAGTGGGGTGCTTGGTATGCCCAGTTTCCACTTCCTTGTGGACAGAGACACACACACACACACACCCCCGCCGCCCAGTTCCAATAAGTAGTGATGTTGCCAAAGTCCAGATTTTCTGGCTTCATAGTAGGAATTTGGGTGGCAAGTATAGCTTGATCCAAACACAGCCTTAAAAAGTTCTTTTCTGTCTAGTACTTTAATGGTTTTACTGCGTTTCAGACACAAAATTTTTATAGTGCCAGGGATTGAATTTGGGATCTTTTGCATGCAAAGCATATGCTCTACTGCTGAGCATGCTTCCAGAAGTTCCCCAAATTTTGATGAAGCTTTTCTCCATATTTCACTTTAAATACTAAGCACAAAGGAAGAGGTCTGCTGGAGTTATGACCTTCTAAAGAATCCTGTCAATCTTACATTCGGACATAATTGGAACAAGAAGGTGTGAACATATAGCACCAGTTCTGGATTAACACCAGTTTAGGATGCCTTTCCTGACCTCTAGCCCACTTCCTGATCTGCTCTTCATCTTCCTAGGGACCAAGTGGTCATGAGTGCTGTTACAAGGGCATCTTTAGCAGCGTTAGGAAATTTGTCACTCCAATGCCCATCTGTCCCAGTCAGCATAAAGAGTAGTCAGGGATAACAGTTAGCAAATGGGGCTGCCTTTGAAGACTGTGTGGAAACTACAGCTACTGAAGATGTGGCAGCTAGATGGTTAACTAGGAAAAGAAGGCATGAGCATATAACACCTATTCTGTCCTAACAGCACTGGTTGCCAGTTGGTTTCTGGGTTCCAGTCATAATGCTATTTTTGACCTTTAAAGCTTTATATGACTCAGGACTACTATACCTAAAGGACCGCCTTTCCCCATATAAACTTGTCAAGAATCTGAGATCATTATCTGAGGCTCTTCACTGCATGCCACCTCCAATGGAGTATGGGGAAAAGAAAATAAGCCTTCTCTCTAGTAGTCTCGTGTTTATGGAATAGTCTCCTCAAGGAGGACCACCTGGCACAAACCTTAAAATTGTTTTAGTGCCAGGATTTTTTATTTTAATTTACTGACATGCTCTGCACTTTGTATATTTGCATTTTCAATTCTCTGTACTTTGAGGTTTTGAAAGCTGCTTTTGGCGCAGCTCATTGAGCAAAAAGCAGTATACAAGTAAACTTAGTCATAGAAGCATAGAATCTTAGAGTTGGAAGGGACCCCAAGGGCCATCTAGTCCAAACCCCTGCAATGCAGAAATCTCAACTAAAGCATCCATGACAGATGGTCATCCAACATCTGCTTTAAAACCTCCATGCAAAGAGAGTCCACAACCTCCTGATCATTCAGGCATGAAGGGGCTCTGACAGGGTCCTAGAGTTCTCCTTCCTCCTTTCCAAGCACTTAAACTGGCATTTTAAGGGTTGTGGGGACGGCATCAATTGGTCTCCTGCAGGGCTTCATATAACTAAGGTCTGCCCCTGATACTGTATTGTTAAATCTTCAATGAATGCATTTAAAGAACCCAAACCTCATCCCAGCTACCTAAAATCTTCTGTAAGCTGGTAACAGCACCTGCTCCACCATGGTCCACTACAGCCTACAGGTGACATAGTTGGAGTACCTCCCTTTTTCATAGCCTTTCTGGTGCTTATCTTTCCTTGAAAATCTACACCTTCCAGAAAGTGAAACAGACAGGTGAAAAAATGAAATGCTATGTGAACGGAATGCTGATGAAATGTGGGGAATGAATAGGTTTAGGACCTAAAACCTTTACTTTTGGTTTCATTGGTGAGCAGAGGGAGCTTGTGGTACTGTGTTTCAGAACATATTTCTGCTACAGTTTCAATCAAAACCACCATTCAAATGAAGCCCCAGGAATGTTGAACAAAATCATCATTAGTGATGGATGCAGTTAATACATAGAGCCATCACATTCATTTCAGTTCCTTTAGATTCATGTATAAGCATCACTTGCTCAAAGGAACTTTTATTGCCCCTGAACTGTCGTCCTTTTCACTGATCTTAAGAAGACATTGTAGAGGTTCACCAGGGTCTCACTTGGCTGTATCTCATTATGATGGCAGCAGCAAGTTCCTATAGAAAATATACAGTGGGAAAAATCTGGGCAGAGGAAACACACACAATTAGGATTCGGATTTTTTTTTGATGTAAACTACCATCTCTGAAAGCTCCTGCTGACTGACTGTCCTTATTAAGGGCTGGTTTGCACAATACTTTTTTGGTCCCTGCAAGCATTCATGTGGAGAAATAGAGTGTTAACGAGTCAGAGAAAGAGAAGTCAGGAAATTGCAACAAACCTGTAATTAAAGCCTGTATTTAGGGAGTCTACCCTCATGGGTCCATTTCACTTCTGGTCAAATACAAAACGTATCCAGATTAGCTATTTAGAATAATCTAAATAGGTCCAGAGGTCTGGAGAGGATGTTTTGGAAATTGATCAAGTTTATTAATCTGGATAATTTATGAAGGAGATTTCCTGAGGTGGGATGTTTGCTCATCCCAAATCAATGGAAATCATTTGCAGTAATGTATAACTGGCAACAATTTCCATGGTTTGGGGGCTTGGGGGGCGGAATGCCACAACTATGACGAGGGTATTCTTAGGCCATTGTCTGGAGTAGAAAGTGACTATGATCACAACATACAAAGTCTCTATTCTTAATCAATCAACACTTTCCATTCATTTCAGCTTTCATGATACAATATGCCTTATTTCCTGCTCACCCAAGAAATACAACAGATGACTATATCTGCTGTACATATAAATGAAGAATGTACCTTCCAGAATGACAATCATTTTTATAATTATCTCTGTCTGTATAGATAATTGAAAACATTAGATATCATGCACAAAAACATGTATGTGTATGTGTACACACACACACACACACACTGTATGTTTGTTTTCAAAGGATTTCAGTAAGCCTTACATTTTACAACAGTCCTGGAAGGTCAATACACTATTCTTGCTAAAATGTAGATGGACAGCTGAGACTAATGACTCATTCAGACTTCCTTTTGTGTTGCATTTCTAGGCACAGCCCCAGGCTTTAAAGCTCCATGTCCAAACAGTTTTGTTTTGGTTTTTTGTCCCAGCACTTTCCCTGGGAGAATCCATGTTTTGCCACCAAATCAAAGCAAACGGCAATTGGGTTTTCTATGCATTGCCATTTGCTCCAATTCAATGGTAAAACACAGAGTCTGGACAAAAAACCCACAAAAAACCCACACTTGGACACAGAGGTTTAAAGAGTGGGTCTGTGCCTGGACAGCATGGCGCAATAGGAATTCTGTATGAGGGCTCATCCACTTCCACTTTCCTCATGCCTAGAAAGCACAAGTCTGAGCTGTTTCCCACTTGTCCTGTGCTTTCTAGTCATGGCTTCAAGTGGTTTTGCCTTTTCCTTTCTGCTTTCCCCCAGAGAACTCACTCTTAAGAGCTAAATTGGAGCAAACATCAATCTGCAGAAAACCCAATTTGCTCCAATTCAGTGCTGAAGATCAGGCTTCCCCGGGGGAAACCAGCACAGAAGAGTGGGTGAGCCCTAACAGTTGATTGCACCACCAACCAAAATGTCAGCCCCATGCAGAATCAAGCATAGAGATCCTTTATAGTTATTAGACTGCAGCTGAGCCAGTGACTGCCTTACCACCATCTGGCTATTTCAAGTGGAGCAGTCCAGGTACTCCTCCCACCCTCACAAACTCTTGCAGTGGTGCAGGCAGGTAATAATCATGTAGGAGGTTTAGTAAGGTATAAGAAACGTAATACCTTGTGCTTACGGAGGCTCCCTGGGCTGGTGGGTGTGGAGATAGGAGACTGCTTTGATTTGGGTGTGGACAGTTGGCTGCTTGATGTTCCATTGGCTGTACAAAGCAAAGGAGAAATCAGCAATGAACAAAGACAATATATATATTTTAATGCCTATTCAGTTTCCCATTGAAACGTTCCAGTTTATGAAGCATAATTCCAAAATAGAACTTTTAAATCATTATTTGCTGGTTCAGATGAAGTTTCTTTTCCAACCTCACAGTTGAGGTATCTGTCTGTCTGTCTACACATCTTTTGCTTTGCAAGTAAAAGGTCATGTTTTTGAAAACATGACTTAGGTGCTGCAAGAAGGATAGGAAATGCTGAGTTTGAAATAGTTTTGATTGAATTGTTTTTATTTATTGAATTTAAATCCTTCCTCCCCTTCCAAAGAAAGGTAAGATTGGAGCTGAAAATTGTGCACTTTAAATTTGCACTTTAACACTTCTTTCACTTCATCAGCACAATGCACTTTTGCAAAGTCACAAAAAGGTATTATTCCACAAAAGGGGAAAAAAATCCAGGCCAGTAGATCTTCCATAGAAAATCTTTATATGTCATTAGCAGATAACCTTAGCAGTTTCCCCTCCCCTTTTTACTTATCTATAACTTTGTGAACACATCAATGTATTTTGTCCCACCTGGAGTTGAACAGCAAATCTTTCTCTTTGTCCCCAATTCTTGCCAACATATCTTGTCCTCAGTAAGATGGTAAACCTGTATCCTAGTGGTACCTCTTTAGGTGGCAACTCAGCAGCACATACAAATCAATAGTCCTGTGTACAGTCATACCTTGGAAGCTGAATGGAATCTGTTCTGGAAGTCTGTTTGACTTCCAAAACATTCGAAAACCAAATTGTGGCTTCTGATTGGGTATAGGAAGCTCCTACAGCCAATCAGAAGCCACAGAAGCCTCATCAGATGTTCAGGTTCCAAAAGAACATTCGCAAACCAGAACAATCACTTCCAGGTTTGTGGCGTTCGGGAGCCAAAACGTCTGGGTTCCAGGGTGTTCGACAACCAGGGTACAACTGTACCAAAAAATAAATATATATTTAAAAATCCCTCCATACTGAAAGCTGGGTGTTAGGCAAAGGGTTCTGCCCTAGCTAGTTTTCTATGTGCATGGATTTATTTATACAGTATATGCATTTGTACAGAGAAGTATTCAATCATGTGAGGTACTGTCTATAGATAAAGTTGTAGTTCAGTGGCAGAGCACATGCTTTACACACAGAAGGCCCCAGTTTCAATCCTTGATATATACATTGAGTTGGGAAAAACTGTTACCTGAAACCCTAAACTGCTCTTGCCAGTCAATGTAAATACAATATTGAACTGGGTGGACCAAAGGTCTGACTTGAGTCACATCCACATCATACATTCAAAGCACATGGCTTCACCCAAATAATCCGGGGAACTCATAAGAGCTAAAGCTCCCATCATCCTAAACAAACAATAGTTCCTATTTTTCTTTGGGGTGAGGTTCTATGTGCTCTGAATTTACTGGTTCAAGGAAAATTCCCCAACATCTTCTCAACTTGGTTTCCTAAACTATAAATACAGGTTTACCAGCTCTGAGAGAAGTAGGATTAAGTCTACAAAGAAACTCTCTTCTTTCTATCACATGTGCTATAACAGCAATGTATATGTATGGACAGTCTATATTAATATATATGCTTAAATTAGGATTGGTGGATTATTCTTATTGTTAATGTGAGTGGATCTTTCATTCTTTCTTTCCTGTTATATTTGCAATAAGAAGCTCACCTGTTGATCTTGGGTTAAAAACGCTCACGTTAACCTGCCTCATAGAGTTGTTGTAGAGAACATAAAATGGGGGGGCAGGAAGGCAAATATGGGCTGAGGGCAGGAAAACAATGCAATATTTGCTACATTATATACAGACCAGAGCATTAAGTAATAATCTAGAAGTCTTCTTTGCAGACTATCCAGACCGCAATAGATCCACTTGTAATAAGGATTCTTGGTAAACATTCAAAAGATCAAGCCAGGCTGGCATTCTGTGGGTGTTTTGCTAGATCTTGCAGTCTTGTGAAAATGCATCCCTTTCTCTGCAGGCCTTTAGGGAAGCAATGAATGAGAAGCACCCATCCAGATTCTCATTGGCTAGAAGATCGTGCCTTCCCCATTCAGGCTCAGCCTGCTAGACACTAGCATGAGAAGGTCATGTTTTAATTTAAAATCAATGTCCTATGGATCTTCCCCCTGGTACTTGCAAAGGGCATGGGAATGTTAATTGGCCTTAAAGCAACATGGAATCCTCTCCACATCACACAACGAAGGTTTGATATAGCTAGGAAGCTGAGGTTGGAAAATCAACTGGCAAAGACCAATTAGTACAAACTAGTGCTGAGCTAAAAAAACCCCCTAATTTTTGTAAAATTCTCTGCCCACCATGAAAGAGGAATTATTTATTCCTGCTTTGGACATGCTATGAGGTGCTTGATGATGTGTGTGTGTGTGTTTTCTTTATATTTGCCCTCATTCCCAGTTTGAACTCCACAATCTCCCTGACTGTCCTTTCTGGAAAGCCAATGAGGATTTTATACAATGACATGGGCTTTCCCAGAAAATGAGGAAACCAAACCTGTGGTGTGCAGACCAATAAAATCTCTCACCGCTTGGAGATGAAAGTGTATGTATGTAGCAATATTTTACAGAAGTGTTCGAATATGGATCAAATAAGAAAGTGTATTATTTGTAGTATTTGGGACAATTTACATATTTTATTGAAAGGAGAATAGAATTCAGTTAATATTTTGGTTACGTCTTGGTTGCAAAATGATTCTACTGTCTTTGAAAGTAGTTCTAGCGTCTTTTTGCCTCCCCTACGTCTAATTAGATGCATTAGCTTTATTAAAAGTAGGGCGTTTGAGGCCTTCCTTTGTATTGAACTTCATTATAGAAAATGATTAATTTTCCTAATGGTGTCGTTTTGGTTACACTTGGGGAGTCTTTGCTCTCTCTCTTTTTTTATTTGGGGGTGCCTCTTACAACACCTTTGAGAACACCTGATCTAGGTTGAGCCTTGAAAGAAATCTCCTTTTGTCATGGTATAGTTACAATTCTTGATTGGTTTGTTATTTGCTGTAATGAAAATCTGCACGGGCATTTTAAAAAAAATGTTTTTGATAGACCCATTGAAATTAATAGACATGACCAACATAGGACCATTCATTTTAAAGGGTCTGATCTGATTACATCCTAGTAGGATGCAACCCTCTGCCACCAATAAATCATACATTTAAACTTCTCTGTAAAATCTTTTAGTACTGATATATATTGGGATGAAAAATACATCTAACTGAATGATGCTACGTTTGTTTTTTGCAGGGCTGGCTAAGAAGCAAGCTTTGGTCATATCTGGGTATGATTTCAGACTGATGCATGAAATAATAGCAGAATGAATAGGTCATTATGGTTCAAATAAAACTTGGAAGTGGGAATAAATAACACTGGTTGAAAGCAATCTTATGAAATCTCATTTTAAAGACTCCAAGCTTCTCTATTAAAAACAGAACATTTCGCTGTTTCTCATAATCCACAGTGCAGCTGATCACTTGTGAATGCTTTGGGTCAAGTAATTGCTTCTTACATTAGGTCCGTGTGTACTTTTAAAAGGGGTTGGAGCCCACTAAAAGCATAAGAGGGGAGGGGCCAGATTAATGGAATGGAGTATCCAGGAAAGGGATACAGTGGTGCCCCGCAAGACGAATGCCTCGCAAGACGGAAAACCCGCTAGACGAAAGGGTTTTCTGTTTTTCAATGCACTTCGCAGGACGAATTTCCCTATGGGCTTGCTTCGCAAGACGAAAATGTCTTGCGAGTCTTGAGATTTTTTTTCGCTCCCCCCCCTTTTTCTAAGCCGCTAAGCCTTTAATAGCCTTTTAGCAGCTAAGCCGCTAAGCCGCTAAGCCTTTAATAGCCGCTAAACCGCTAATAGTGCTAATCCACTAAGCCGCTAATAGGGTTGCTTCGCAAGACGAAAAAACCGCTAGACGAAGATACTCGTGGAACGGATTAATTTCGTCTTGCGAGGCACCACTGTATGTAGTAGCTCTGCAGCAATCCATGCTATAACATGATGTTGCAGGTAACACTTGTTTCAGTCTATTGGGGTCTTTGATGATTTATTGTTACAGTAGAGATTGTGGATTGATATACTGTGGTCAAGTGGCTTACTTTAAAGAGGGCAGTCCTCTACTGGAAGGGCTGCCAGGTCCAAGCCTGGATTAAAAAGAAAGAAGGGAAAGAAGGGGGGGGCCTTGAAGTTGCCCATCCACAGTAAGCAACTGGACAGCAGACTAATCAGGCGCACAAGCCACCAGGTCACACTCTGCCCCCACTGTGGTGAAATGGATTGCATCTTTACAACTGTACATATTATATTCAATTATATCTTTACATTTTACGTTTGCATCTTTGTATAAATTAACCTGTGCAAATTCAATGCAAATCCCTTTTCCCCTTCATCCCCTTTGTTTTATATAAAAATATTTATAAATCACTTAATATCTAAGTGTTGTACAATATAAATTTAGCAATGCATTACTGACTACCCTAGCTGTTTTGTGATGCATTTTTGTTTTAGTAGGCTTTGAACAGCTATTGGGGGGCTAGTCCTGAAAAGGCAGCATGCAAATGCTGAAAGGTTGATGATGGTGGTAGTAATAATAATAATAATTGACAGCATCCATGTACAATGCAAAACTACCATACAAGCTGCAAAACTGGATAGAAGCTAAGGGGCTTTTTTCTCCTGTAGGTGAAGAAACAGCTGTGACTTCTCTATAAACAATATGTCTGATGTCATCACCAGTCTTAAAATTTCAGTCACTGGCATGACTATAGCAAGTATCAATAGTGCTGGTATAGATTAGGGTTAGGGTGGCAGAAACACTGAATGAATAAATTCACCTAGACACTCTGTTCCTTATACAAGCAAAAACCAGGAAAGATATTCAAAGATTCAGATGTTTTACACTCATCAAGCTGAGCTTATTTCCAGCCTAATATTCTTTTTTCGTTAGGTTTTGGAAAAGACGTCTGGGTCAAACAAAAGACCAAATGACTGTAACATGTAAGGGTGAGGAATAAGTTGTCAAGACATGTCACAGATGAAAAGTTTCAGGAATATGCTGTTTCAACCAAATAAAATACATAAGCATCCCACAAAAATCAGGCCAGATAATGTTTTATTCATGGTGTCCTTATTCAGCACCATTTTTTCTCTTCTCATGTGTCTCTTCCAATTTGTTACAAATCAAAACTTACTTAGCCTATTTGTCATTCACGTAAAAAAGAAAAGAAAAAAAGTAACCCCCCAAACCAAACATTGCTGTTTCATACTAACTAGCAGAATGCCAGTGCCTTGAGGGGGCAGATTCAAGATAGAAAAAAAGTTGTCTTTCCCACAGGGCATTCACTACCACAAGAGGTAGTGGATGGCTTAAAAACGGATTAGGCGGATTCATGGCGGATAAGGCTGTCAATGCCTTCAAGCAACAATGGCTATGTTCTCCTTCCATGGTCAGAAGCAGCAGCATGCCTCTAAAACTAGTTGCTGAGAATTGTAAGTGGGGAGAGAGCACTCTTTGCACTCAGATCCTGCCTGTGGTCTTCCTACAGAGGCGACTGGTTGGCCACTGTGAGAAAAGGATGCTGGACTAATTGGGTCTTTGGCCTGATTCAGCAGCCAGGATCTTCTTATGGTCTTAGATTCTGTGTTTATGTGTAGGTTAAATTGTAGGGCACTGAAGTGATCTTAGGGCTAATCAACTGCCCTGATGAATTTGTGGAACTCTTTATTTTAAAAAGATCCATTTTTTTTAGTGTATATGAGCCACTAAAGACATCCATAGGATGAAACATGTTGGGCAAGTCATTATGGATGTTCTGGCTAATGAAGACTTGATTTTATTTGTAAGCATTGTTAGTCAAGAAATGGGCCATTCATAGAACTGAGTTTGAATTTATATATTTTTAGTAATAGGCTTTACTCTCAAATTTCTGCATCTTTTGATTTTTGCATGTTACTGTTTTGCTGGATTTTTATTATATTTTATTTTCTTTCTGTTAGGTGTCCTGAGCAAAATTTGTGTATATTCTTGCCTGAAGAACCTTTACAGGAGGCGAGGCTGGGGAACTAAGACAGATACCAGTGATGAGAGATTAAGTTCTAGGCCTAATAGGTAAAATAAAAACTGGTAAATCACTGGGTCCTGATGGCATCCACCCAAGAGTTCTAAAATCATCATCATCATCATCATCATATGTGCAGTTGCTGGTCTTCAAACAAAATTATGTAACTTGTCCCTTAGATCAGCCTCCTGGGAATCAGGATCCTGGGAATAACAGGCTGATTAGCTAAATGACTGTCCCAGGAAAACTGGTAGAGATTAGTGTGTTGTGTGTGTGTGTGTGTGTGTGTGTGTGTGTGTGTGTCATATAGAAGATCAAGCCTCACTGAAGCAGAGCCAGCATGGCTTCTGCAAGAGCAAGTCCCGTCTCACAAACCTATTAGAGTTCTTTGAAGAATGTCAACAAGTAAACAGAAAAAGGTGATTCAGTTGATAAAGTGTGCTCAGATTTTCAATGAGCTTTCAACAAGCGTTCCTGAGTAACCTTGGAAAAATGAGAAACATGCATCCCTACTCTGAGTTGGCGATGAAGAGTCAGGATTGGGCAAAAGACAGCCAAGTGACTGTGGTGAGGAGGAGGAGCAACAACAGGTAGGCAGGGCCAGTTCTCGAGAATCTCTGCCAGGTTATGGACCTTGGCAGATGCCTAAAGACACAAAGCTCCTGTTGCCAGCCCTGTGTGACAGATGAGTGAGAAATGTATGAATCAATGACCCTGATGCTAACTTATCACCCAGATCCAGGTGGAGCCAACATTTATCTGCTGGGAAAAGAAGTGTCACTCACCATCCTGATGGTTACCTGAATCAGCTGGGGATTTGCTCCGGCGCACAGGAGCTGGACTCTTTGCAGAGCTCTTCTGAGGTGTTGGGGAGGACTTGCTGCCTGGAGTAGTTGGAGGGTTGCTTTTCATTACCCGGCACTCTGATAAACAACACACAAAACCAAAGTAAGTGATTGCATTGATCCTTTAAGTGTCTTACATATCTGCAGCACCTAGAACAGGCTTCCTCAAACTCGGCCCTCCAGATGTTTTGAGACTACAATTCTCATCATCCCTGACCACTGGTCCTGCTAGCTAGGGATCATGGGAGTTGTAGGCCAGAAACATCTGGAGGGCAGAGTTTGAGCAAGCCTGACCTAGAGAGATGGTAGTATGCTGTTGTTGTTTTTAAGCATGGCATTACAATTAAACATCGAGGGAGGCCTATATAGCTCAGCAGTAGTGCACATGATCTGCATTTGAAAGGTCCCTGGAATCCTCAGGTAGGAAAGATTTCTGCCTGAAACCTTAGAGAGCCAATGTCAATTAAATCAACCTGAATTCTCCTCTTCTTTCCCCAATCTCTTGTTTCTGCTCTCTTCCATCTCCCTGGACTTCTGGAGAGTTCTGGAGTTGATTCTTCTTGACCAGTGCTTACTTGGTTTATGGACAGCAGCTACAGGTTTAACAGGAACTTCCAGCCCTCTGACACGTCCAGACTTCCTTGCAGGAAAGGAAGTATATGCATCCTGGTGATGGTGGAGCCATGCCTCCCCCACCTCTTAGCAAGCCTTGTCTAATGGCTTGACCATACTTCCACTTGTCTTAGAAAGCACGGGCTCAAGTGGTTTCCCACTTGTCTCATACTTGCTAGGGCCCAAGCAGTTTTCCCTTTGCTCCAACAGATTCTGCAGCAAACCCACAATTCGGATCGAAAGGTCAGGGGTGGGAACAAAGTAATCTTATACACCCAAGGGAGATGTGTGATGATATCATCACATAAAATGGTGGTTTAGATTATCTAATCCCACTCACACCACCAAATTAAAATACTTTTCAACCTTAATCAGTGTGCTATTGCAGATTTAGCATAAGAAAACAATGCTTCAGAGCCTTGGAGGCGAGAAAGAGAAAAAAGTCCTATTTCCCATTGTGATCAGTTAATCTAAAAATTTCAGGCCAGCAGTGAATGGAGAGTGGCCTGCAATAGCATGAAAATCAAACCACGCCTGAGAAGGAATTAGCTTCAACAGTTGAGCTTTTACAGCAATTTTTAAAAGGAACTTAGCGAGTAGTGGCAGAATGTAGCTACTGCTTTGAGAGTAGAGGCCTCACTATAGCAATGAAGGAAATAATTAAAACTGCAAGTGGGGCTGTAGATCTTGCTCTAAAGCACAGGGCCGTAATTTCTTCCCTTAAGAAACACCAGTAGATGTTGATAATAGCATTGATTGATTGGGATAATAGAAATTGCATAACTAATTTAAGGCTAAAGGGGTGGGTGGGTGAGTCAGTGTGTATATGTGAGAGTGGGCTCTCAATTTATTTATTTTATGGGTAAAGGAGACAGCCAATCAAGGGCAGCCACTGGGAGAGCTGAGAAGCAGAGCTACAACAGACCAGCTCCATTAGGCCTTCTCTACCTCCACTGTCATCTGAGGGCAGCCATTTTGTCAGGCTGCCTCAGTGGGAGAGATAGGAACAGCCGTCTAAACACGGGGGCTTGAGGTTTTTTTTGCTTTTATTCTCTTCCCTCCTTGCCCCCTTTCCCTTGTGTGATGTATTTTTATTTATTTGTTTGTTTATTATAATGTAAGCCTGTGGGCATTGGCAGAGGAAGGGGTGTGCAGTGGGTGCGGTCTACCCCAGGTGTCATGGCCCCCCTGCCCCCCTGGGACGCTTGCCAAAATGGAATGATGAATAATAATGCCAAAATGAAATGATGATGTTTGTTGCTGCTGTTTGAGGTAGTTGGGATTTTTTCTTTCTTTCTCTTGAGGGTGTGTTTTCTGCTAACTCCCTTCCAATGCACTTTATATAAAAAAAGAAGATCCCTACAGAATATTTCTGCAAGAAATAGAATTTTGATGTGCTGATCAAATCCATAATTATTATTAAAACAAACAAACAAACAAACAAACAAACAGAATTTAACTCAATTAACTTTATACAGCAAAGCAAAAAACCAAGATGGCAGAATGCAATTTAAATAAATCAACACATATGGGAGGACTTGGGACCCCAAATTTATTATGGTCATGATCCTGCACATGTAATAATGAAAAAATAATCTGTTTTAATAAAAATAGAGCTGAGACCTTACCCTATTAAACTTTCCAGTCTATTGTCCTCAACAATAGACTGAGTCCCTTTTCTTTAGCAGACTTACAAGTTTGAATCTCAAGATCCAAAAATTTGGCCCCAGTAATGTATCCAATTATTCGTTTTGTAACAGTTCTAGAGAAACACATTTCAAAGGCTGGAACCAAAAGGGACTACACACAAAAAGAGACCTCTATAAGGGAATGAAACCTCTCACTGGAGTACAGAAAATGATACAATTTGGTGACCTTGAAATCAGTTCACTGTCCATACATCAAATTATACATTTCCTTGCTAACCCAGCAGTATTATCTCAAGCCACCAGACCCTTAAATACTATTGAACAACTGACTTTAAATTATACTTAGAATCAAAAAAGTTCCTATCCAATATCTAAAAGATTACCTATGATGTAATGACAGGGGATCTAATTTCATAAAAATCTATTTGTGAATCAGATCTATATTGTGACATTGATAACACAGCATGGCAAAAACAGGGGGGGCTTTTAAGTCAGATTTAGCTAAAATGAGAGAAAATAGTTTTAAAACAATTCACAGATGACACTACACATCTGTCTCCACCAATGTTGTTCAGCCGGGACATTGAGGTCCAGCTCCAAGGGCCTTCTGCTAGTTCCCTCACTGCAAGAAGTGAGGTTGTGGGGAACCAGGCAGAGGGCATTCTCAATAGTAGCACCCGCCTTGTGGAACGCCCTCTCATCAGATGTCAAGGAAATAAACGACTACTGTACAGTGGTACCTCGGGTTACAAACACTTTGGGTTACAAACTCTGCTAACCTGCAAGTAGTACCTCAGGTTGCGAACTTTGCCCCAGGATGAGAACGGAAATTGCACGCTGGTGGTAGCAGGAGGCCCCATTAGTGAAAGCCCGCCTCAGGTTAAGAATGGTTTCGGGTTAAGAACAGACTTCTGGAACGAATTTAGTTTGTAACCCGAGGTACCACTGTATTTGACTTTTAGAAGGCAGCCCTGTTTAGGGAAGTTCTTAATGTTTGATGTTTTACCATGTTTTTAATACTCTGTTGGGAGCCACCCAGAGTGGCTGCAGCAACCCAGTCAGATGGATGGCATACAATTATTATTATTATTATTATTATTATTATTATTATTAAGCTTTATGTTGGAGAGGATGTCAGCAGATAGGCTAATACATCCATATGCGGTGGGAATGCAAACCTGTACAATTATTTTGGAAATTAGTCTTTGAAGAAATTCCTTCTTTCTTATAAGACAAGTGGTACAACCTGTTCTGAGGTTAGCTTTATTAAATCTGTTTACAGATGACCGTATTAATTTATTGTTTAAGGACTTACTAATCATTTTCATGTAAGCAGCTGGAAACATAATTACACCCAAAAGTAAAAATCCGGACAGGGAGGCACAAGTGTCTGTGCACGTTCAGTGCGAGCCTACAATGCTTCTCCTGCACACCAGCTCCTGGCACACTCACACTCACACCCACAGCCTGTCAGCAGAGGAGGAGGAGGAAGCTTGGCCAGTGAGGTAGTTAGTGAGGGGGTTACTGCTCCCCGCTAAAACACACACCTCTCTATAGCAATAATCAAGGAGTTCTATGTTGGTGCTGGTGGTGGGGTGCCGGTGATTTGCACCCTAGAGCTGCGAGGGGAGGCAGTAGTTGCTGGAAAGGTGGCCCTGGCTCTCCTGCAGGGTCCTCCCAGCCTTCACTGCTGGCTGCGAGGTCCGCTTGGAAACCTCTCCTTAGTAGGCACTGGAGAGATGACGAGGGAGAGCATCCACTACTCCTCTGGCCAAAGCTGCATCTGTTGGAGGAAGGGATGCTTCTGATGTTGATGCTTCCTCCAGAAAAGAAAGCCGCTGCAGTCGTTTGGATCATATGCTGCTGTTGTTTTGATAAACATTATATTGGTTGAGGCAGTTTGGGGGCGTTTTTGGGGGGGATTTTAAAATCATTTAAAAAAAAAAAAATTGTCCTACTTGCCATACGTTAGCGTTTTCCTGGACATTTTGCCGATTCTGCAAAAATCTGCCCGGACGCCATTTTGTCAGTTCAATTCCCAGATGTCTCCGGGAAAACCCAGACATATGACAGTCCTAACAGTACTGGAAAACAGCAACTAACTTAGCTCTGGTGGAACACAAAGACCAAAGACAATTTTGAAACTATATGGTACATGCTTATTCACTACACTGGAAAGGAGAATGTTGTCCCACCCCTCCACCAGCTACCAATGGTTCACTCTGGGGCAGTGTGTTAAGATGAAGAGTAGAAGACCCTTAACTACTATAAAAAGGTAAAGGGACCCCTGACCATAAGGTCCAGTTGTGACTGACTCTGGGGTTGCGGCGCTCATCTCGCTTTATTGGCCAAGGGAGCCGGCGTATAGCTTCCGGGTCATGTGGCCAGCATGACTAAGCTGCTTCTGGCGAACCAGAGCAGCGCACAGAAACGCCGTTTACCTTCCCACCAAAGCGTTACCTATTTATCTTACTTGCACTTTGACGTGCTTTTGAACTGCTAGGTTGGCAGGAGCAGGGACCGAGCAACGGGAGCTCACTCCGTCGCGGGGATTCGAACCGCTGAACTTCTGATCGGCAAGTCCTACGCTCTGTGGTTTAACTCACAACGCCACCTGCGTCCCTAGACTTAACTACTATAGTTAATTATAATCTGCTTGATACAGTCTTCATTTGCTTTGTATATGTATGGAATGTTCCTTGGGTGGTGAGGATATATGGAGATTGTTTGTTACATGTATTTTTTTTTAACTGAAAAATAGAGAAGATACACACACACACGTCAGAACAGAGGTTGGCAATAAAATTCCCCAAGTTTCCTTACAATTAGTGGGGGGGGGGGACAACGATATGGCGTCTTCTGAGATGGCATTATAATGTAATGTCACCATGGAAAATGCCAATATATGCAGAACCACACCATCAGAGCTAGGCATGGGGGTTGGAGAGGCAGAAAGCAAGATTATAACAGTCTCCAAGAGTCAGGCTTGCTGGGGAGCCCTAAGACACTGCCAAGATGAATAGATTTAAAAGAGATGGAATAACCTTTTTTCAAAGGAGCTCAGAGGCACAGATGCAGGGAGGTGAATGCAGGAGAGAAATATGAGATAGAGAATACTTTGCCTTGTCAAGCATCAGGACATCACATCAGGCAGCAGCCGATGTCCCTCACATTGTCAGCTATCCTCCAGTCAGGCAAGCAGAATTACTCATGTCATCATGACAAAAGCCATCACAGTAAGAGACATGCATCTGCAGGACATCAGGCACCACAGACATATCAACTCTAGCTGCTGAGCTGTGAAATAAAGCCTGAGAAAGGAGGATGGCAAGGGCATGGTCCAATTCAGAGACTCTAATGCCTGTATAGGAGCTTGGATGCATATTATAGCCCCATCTGCACTATACATCAAAAGCACAACCCTATCACTTTAGACAGTCATTGTTTTCCCAAAGGGTCCAGTGAACTGTAGTTTGTTCATTATGCTGAAAGTCATTAGAAGACCCTTATCCCACTCACACAGCCCCAATCCCAGATACTTTGGAAGGAAGCAGTGACTGCTTAATGTGGAATGATACTGTCTTAAATGTATAGTGCAGATGGGCCCTATCAAACACCTGGGCAACACTGGGGCAACCCAATTCTCACAGAACTCCAATATGTACTTCAGAATGCTGGGGACCAACACCAGTTAGCCATCACTACTGAACCTCTCAAAACAGCATTTATCTATCTATTCATCTGTCTATCCACCCAATCCATCCAAAATGGAAGTATCATTTCTCTGTGCCCAATATGAATTTGTAACACAGAGTATCTTCTCCTCACCCCAAAGACCTTACTCGTTTTGAAGAATGGGAAGATCAAAAGATGTCCTTTAGTTTCTAAAGTCTTTATGTTTCTAAATGCCTGATTTGCATTTATATACCAAAATTAGATGGAATGGCATGAATATTAATTATATATGATACACTAACAATAAATGTTAGGCACTAGGGGTTCAAGTGCCCAACCTTACTAATTAAAAACATGCAGAGTCTTGTATATTTTAATTGTATTTATGGTGGGGGTTTAGCAGCCTTAGGAATTTATTTGAAAGGGGGAACCCCAAACAAACAACTAAACAAGCAACTGAAAAGGAAAGCTTGGACTGAGATAAGGGGTGAAATTTTCTTGAAATCTTGATGTTGAGCCTATCCATACAGATGTGGATTTTCTCCCCCTAATACTCATCCTGCTCCTTGATTTTTACTCTTTCTGCTAAAAGAATACAAACAATGCTCACATTATTATATGCATATTATATTAATATATTTCCAAAGTAACCAGCACATAAACAGATACAGACAACAATGTATAAAAAGACTCAGGTATTCATTCTTATGAAATTATACTGCAGAAATATAGTACTGTGTGGGGCTTGACTCTTTTCATATGCATAGTTTTTGCTTGTGTAACTTTGCATATACTTAGTTGGGCTTTTTCATAAACATGCACAAGAAGCTTGATGCAAGAGGCCGTAACATGTGGGCAAAGCTTGACCAGTCAGAACCACCAAATTCTGGGTATAAACCCATTTAAAACAGATTCCTCCTCCATTCTTATCCATGACTCTCTCTATTTAAGCTTTTTATCTACTGTGAACAATGTGTGTGCAGCTGGCAAAGGTCTAAGAGGACACAGTCTCGATGCTTTTACACATGAGTAGATGGTGCCTGGTGCTTCTCTTTTCTATTGATAACACATGGGCTGAAGCTCACATCAGCGGCAGCACCTCGAGGCTGCAGCTACCTCTCCCTGTGCCATAGGTCTCCCCATGAAGATGGCAAGGTTTGGTTTAAGGAAGTTATTCCTTCACTGCTGTAATTCTGGGTGCAGCTGCAAGGTAGCCTTTTGCTACCACGGCTGACCCTATCATTAGACAGAGTTTTTTAGGTGTCAGGAAAGCAAATTGTTAGTTGTTGAATCTGTTATTACTGACTTTTCTTTTCTTCTTTAATGCCAGGGCTAGAGAGAGATGCATTTTGTTGCTGCAGGTGCCTTGAATACAGTCCACATTGCCTTGGGAGGGGGCAGCATGACTTAGAACAGCCAGACCAGTGACTGCAGAGACTTTCAACTGTTTGGTATCTCTGCTGTGGTGATAGAAGAGAAGATGCCTGGGAGTCTGAAGCCCTTTTGGTCCACACAAGTCAGACTGCAGAGCTGGTATGGTGTGGTGTGTGAGGGCGTGCATGTGCCAAAGATGTTGTGGTTTCTAACAGTCATGTTCTCATGTACACTGCTGCCAGTTACCTACCAGGCTGCAATCAAGGTGCTGCTTCTGGTGTATAAAGCCCTCTATAGCGTGGGATCAGGATATCTGTAAGATAATCTCACATCTTATATACTCAATCAGTCATTGAAGTCTGCAGATGAGGGCCTCTTGTAGATACCACCTTATCAGGAGGTCCATATAGTACAATATAGGAATCAGGCCTTTAGTGTGACAGCATCTACCATTCAGAATTCTCTTCCCTTGCGTATCAGACTGGCAGCACCTCTGTCATCTTTTGGGTACCCACAGAATACCTTTCTCTTTCAGCAAGCCTTTTAAGCAGATATCTTTCCCAGTCTGGAATTGGAATTGTTTTTTAGATGTTTTAATTGTTTTATGGCTTATCTGTTTGCTGCCCTGGGCTCTTTTGTAAGGAAGGGAAAGATATAAATCTAATTAATTAATAATAAAAGCTAATACACTGGAATTTTAATGGGGCTCTCACTAGCAACACATAATGCACAATAAATAACTTCTAGTTTTTGCATCTCCCAAGAACCTGAAAAGAGATGTGGGAGCTCTGAGCACCTGCAAGCAAAATGTTCTGCTGGTTGGCAGAATGCCCAGTCTTCTTTGGGTTCAGACACCTCAGGCTGGGCTTCCTGTCAAGTTGCCCTGTCAGGATTTCTTTTCCAAATTGTCTTGAGAGAGACAGAGAGAGAGCTTCCCTGGAGCTGTGAGAACTGCTAAAATATACATAAGACTCTTGGGTCCAAGCCAACATGTAAGTTTCACGAAGACTTTCTGATTCCATAAACGATGACTGAGACTTTTGTGTGTATAGGGGTGGGAGGAAAACCAAGGGCTGCCACCCACCAAAAAACCATCTCAGTCAAGTGGAAATGATGGGTAAACTAGCAAAGACTTTAGATTGGGAGGCAGTGAGGAAGGGGAGAGCCAGTTTTCTTGGGATGCATTTTGGAGCTTGCATAATAAGCATGCATTATGACTTGAGACCCTTGGACCCTGTTATGGTCTTGGTGCTCATTTCCTGCTCAGGTTCCCAGTTGGCTGATAATTAACTGAGGGCTGAGAAGCCAGCAACATTGGATCTGCCCACTGAGGGGCTCAATGCAATCAGGGCCGGTACCTGAGGTGAACCACAAAATAGTGCCCCCATCCATGCCAGGGAAGAAGGGATGATTGAAGATCTATGTCAGGAAAAGGGGGGGGGGGTGACAGATGCAATCCTTTGCCAATCATCTCTCAGCCAAGTTTGCTGAATGCTGCAAGCAGTATTAATTATGCAACTTAAGCTAAACTTGCATAGATTTGCTTGTTCTACATAGTGTTATTTGCTTTTCAATTTGGAAGATGGATAAGGAGCTATATAGGGCCTTCTACTGAGTTTAAGAGATTTCATTCAACAGAGCGTTGGTTTACAAAAAAGAAAGAGGGAGGGAGGGAGAGAGAGAGAGAGAGAGAGAGAGAGAGAGAGTTCTTGGGGTGCTGCATCCTGCATTTGAAGCACTTGACAAATCAACATTTTAAAAAATTAATGGGAGTGATTAAGTATCTTATACAAAATGCATCCATATGGCTATAATGAGATGACATTTCCTGGCAGATCCTGCCGCTCCTGTGAAGTGTATAATGTTGGCACCATTAATGAGACCACCTATTCTGCCTTGTGGCAAATCTGTCATTGCCCATTAGATGCTAACATGCGTAAACTGCTCAATCAGTGGGAAACCCAGACATCTACATTCATGGACTGCATTTCCAGATATCTACGCATTTATGAAGACACTAGGGTTTCATCAACGATGGTAGCAGCACATCCACAAGAGAATTTGAAATTTGGTGCGTAGTTACATAGGCAAGTACATCCCAGTTAGTAGTATATTCTGAAAGAAAGGAGGTTATTTTATCCTCTCACTTGAAATACAGGCATCAAGTCTGCCTCCTAACAGTGGCTTGAGGCCAGCACAGTGAGCCATGGCACAAATAAGACAGAAAATTGGGCTGTCAGAATTTCCTGTCTCAAATGCTACCGTCACAACCTTTCCAAAAGTACAATTCAGAGCCAATGTTGGGCCTCACCTTTAACCAAACAGGATATTTAAGAGGAGACAGAGGAGCTTTAGCAATATTTCTCAAGGAAGAGGTGAGGCTGCCGATTCTTAGGCTGTCAATGGATTTTGGCTAAAGCAACATTTGGAGAGGCAGTTTGGATAAGACATGTACAATTTCTCTGGAGCAGATCACTTGTTTCAGTTCTTCACGCATTTCAAAGTGGACAAAGGGAGATATGCTGTGAAGTTTAAAAGTGAGACAGGCCACACCCAGGTGGACAATTCATAAGCTTTAACTAACATTGGACAGACAGATTTGGTGTTGGTGGGGAGGGGATATTGAAAACTCACAGACAGCAAAACAACCACTTATGCGTATATAATTCAAGCACACCTTTTCTAGAGGTGTGCACCCACCACAATATTTGAATATATTTCTAACTTTGGGAAGCAGCCTAGTCTGTTTCAGAGCTATTCAGCATCCCTCCAAGTTGACTTGTTATTCAGGACCAAATTTTTAGGTCTGTTAAAAACAAAGATGTGCCTGTCCTCTGTCCCCTGCCCCCCACCCCCTATAACAGGGAATCTAAACATGGCTATAGCCTTTTATTTTCTCAGAAGTGGATGAAATTTGTAGGCACAGCAGAACCTCGAGAATGGATTGAGACTGCCAAAGTATAGGCAAATGTATTCAGTGGTTTTCATATAGGGCACCTTTATATTTTGATTATTATTATTTTAGAAAAGCTATAACTTTCCATTTTCTCATGGAACAGGATGCCATTTGCAAGCATTGTCACTCCTCCTGAGCAGAGGAAGCCTGTCCAATTTTTAAATGGTAGCTGCAGTTCTCATTCAGCAAAGGAAGACTTTACCTTTTGGGTATTAGTACAATAGGAATAATAGGGTGTGGGGTGGAAATGAACACCTTCCCCATGGTAGGAAAAATGTCACACACCAAAATGACCCTATTACTCCAATAGGGTTTCTGGATGTGGGTTTCTGTCCACCAAACCTTAGATTTTTGGGGATATAATGAAGAATTTGTCATTGATTTGCAGAATGAGAGGCATAGATCCATGTGAAAAATAAACATACAGTGGTTTTTACTCAGAGTAAACCCACTTAAATTAATGAACATGACTAAGTTAGGCCAAGTAATTTCAGTAGCTCTGATCTGAGTAAAACTTCATTGACTGCCAACCATTGTTTTTACCCACTACTAAAAATCAAAATGAAATTGTCACTGTTATTCGAATGCTCCAGGAAAACAAATGTGATTAAAAGTTAGACCTGTCCATCAAAATGAAGCTCCCACCACATTCACCCCTAGCCCTCTTGAGCTCTAGGACTTTCCCTAGTCAGCTTGGGGTTGTATTCAAAGCAGCACCAAGGGGAAGATCCCATCAGGGCAAGGATTTATCTTTGTGCAACAGAATCTTCTCCCCTTCTCCTCCAGCCACACGCTCACTAAATCTATTATGCGGTTTCCCTCAACCCTCTGAGGCAGATTTGTGTAGGGTGCTATGGAGAAGAGGGGGGGGGGGAGTCCGTCTGTGCAAGCAAAACAAGTTCTACTCCCATAATTATCTGGTTGAATACCATCCTTCATTCCAGGTGGGTTTTGGTTGTACACTTTTTTCAACTGCCAGGGTCACTCTTAGCTTAGGGAGTGCCTGCTACACCTCAAAATGCCTTGTTAACTGCACGATCCAACTCAGAAATATGAGTCTTCCCCAAATCACCTTGGTTTACCTCGTCACAGAAGTGACACACACCCTTAGTATTTACTGGTACATGCATTCACGCCCACATATCTAAAATAAAAAGCCCTAGGGCAATCCAACTTCAAGCTGATAAAGGTATAAAAAGATTTTACCCCTGCCTCCTACAACACACAAATTTATAGATAGTACAACAACAGTGTGATTGATATTACCATTTTCATCCAGAGAAAAGTCATCCTGTGCATAGCGGAATTTCTCTGGACCACAGGCAATAAACACATCATCGTCACCGAAGAAATCGTGGAGACAGGTCACCTATCGAGAGAACAAAGTCATTCATTGTAGTTTTAATTCATACCACACACTTACAGAACAGGCTTCATGCAAGGATAAAGCAACTTTTACCCCTTCTCTCCATTGCTATTTCTTCATTTCCCAAAAGCCTGCTACAAAATGTCATATATTCTCAGAAAAACAAGGATAAACTATTGTTTTTTTGTAAAGAAGAAGAAGACAACAACCAGGCACCTTCATACCCTACAGCATTTCTCTGATGAAAATAGGGACATCCCATTCCATAATGATAATTTTACTATTTATCCCCCACCCATCTTACTGGGTTGCCCCAGCCTCTCTGGGCAACTTCGAACATATATAATAATATAATACGACATTAAACATTTTTAAAAACCTTCCCTATACAGGATTGCCTTCAGATGGCTCGGGGGTTGGATAACTCCATACCTTCTAACATTTCTCCAGTGAAAATAGGGACATACTACCACATCCTCCAAAATTTATCGAATGAAAATATGGACGTCCTAAGGAAAAACAGGACATTCCAGGATCAAATCAGAAACTGGGACAGCTTTGCACCTCTTCGCTCCCGATCCCCTTTATGTTTAAATTATGACCTTTAGATTGTAAACCAGAGAGCAGTGTCTTCCACTGATATTTGTAAGCCTCACTGGGTCCCTCCACCTTTCTCCAGTTAAACAAGCAGGGCAAAAATGTTTTCAATGATAAATATGAACACATTGATTTGAGTGGGCTTAGCCTCTAGTCTACATTTCACAAGCCAAATTTTATTTGCGACATCTACAGGCATCCAGGCAGGTTTCCCAGTCCTGCACCCCTCTCAGTTAGGGATAGGGGATAAATTTGTTTGGTTTGCCTGCTAATGGAGGAGCAAGACAGGATCCCATGTGCCCACCAGTGCTTTTTCCTTCTTTAGATGATGGTTACATAAGAGCAATGGGGATGCTTGACTATCCTGCCATGTCACAGGGCACCAAGAACAATGGAGGCAACACAAATAATAAGCAAGGTGTCAGAAAAAGCTCCCATGTGCTCCTCAGTAGCTTCAGTCATGACAGCTTAATTGTACCTTACATGTGAAATATCAGTTACGATTACACAGTAACAAGAAGATAACTAAGTTCTTCATTAATCTACTGGAAACAGCAATAATTTCACAGTAACTCGTGTCACCTAATCTTTGGAGAACTCAGATTTAAGGTGAGTCAGAACAACAGAACCATCAGGATGGGAAACAATAGCCTCTGCAGAAAAAGTTTCTTTAAAGAGTGTTTCAGAAAACCCATCTTGCTCAATATGCATTTGATTAGTAACTTGTGATAAATGCTTTGGAATTCTGTATTTGTTATGTGTATTTTCTAACATGGTGATAACCTATATTCCTGACATGGTGATAACCACTCTGTTTTTGGGTCAAAGAGTGTCTTGTTGCTAGTCTAAGTTGAGCTTTGATTTAGTGGAAACAAAAAAAACCAAACCCCAAACATGAATTGCAATCCTATTGGCATGTACAGATTAGACAGACGTGCATAAAATTTAGTTGTAATGCTGCAGATCTGTACACACCAGGAAGTAAGTCTCATTGAACTCAATGGGACTTACTTCAGCGCAGACATGCCCAGAATTGTCCTGTAAAATTACATGAAAACGAACATAAGAGCATAGGAAGAACGCGCTGAATCAGGCCAATGGCCCATCCAGTCCAGCATCCTGTTCCTATAGCAGCAAACCAGATATCTCTAGGAAACCCCCAAGCACAACCTGAGCACTGGAGCTACAACTCCCACCATACCTGACCATTGGCCATGATGCCTGGGGCTGATGGGATCTGGAGCTGGATAACATCTAGAGGGCCATAGGTTAGCCAACCACTATGTACAGATTGTTTAGAATGCCTCTCCTAAAACAATGGGTACTCACAATCCATTCCCATCTTTCAAGATCAGGGCATGCCCTCAAGATGGACTTGGACTTCAAACCCTCCTCCATTGCACAAATTAAGTACCAGGCATGCCCTACACAAGCTATGTTGTAGCATTCACAGTTTGCCTGCGTATTTGCAGAGAGTGCCATGCCTAGTGGGTATACTGTGCACATCAGCTTACTGCCTACTGAGCCAGAAGTAGTTCATCTTCATTGCCACAGACTGATCTGAATTGGACTGTGATTAAATTAATTTCAGGCTATAATAAATCAGAAGCAAAGCTTTCCATTACCGCGATGGGTCTCAGCATTTCAGATGGGTGACTAGTATTGCAGATTAAAACCAGACAGACAGATAAAACTACAGAATAGTTGCCATTACAATCCTTTGGTTTTCACACATCTTTCATTTTCCAAGCCAGGAACTTTGGGGAAGTCCCCCCCCCCCCCCCGCTGATTCACCTACATGGTGAAAACAATGAGACCCAGTTTATAGCTGATATGGGCAACACACATCATGCCCTTACCCACATAAGTGTTTCATGCAGCCTCTCTCCTTCAAATTTGCTAAGGAGAAAATGTCTGAAGTTCTTCCCATTGAAAGATTCCCTGGAGATTGGAGTTCTAAATGGCTTGATGTTCTCTTTCAAGAGGAACTGATAAATCAGGAATCCCCCACAGCTCCATTCTTTAACATTTCAGAATTTCAGGGGGGAAATGCTGGATCAGTCAATGGGCCACTTAGTCCAGCATCCTGCTCTCAAAGTGGCCACGCAGTTGCCTTCTAGGAAACCCACAAGCAAGACCGGAGCACTCTCCCTCTGCGGTTTCCAGCAACTGGCATTAAGAGGCACACTGTCTCCAACTGCAAAGACAGAACATGTCCATCATGGCTAGTAGCCATAGATAGCCTTCTCCTCCATGGATTTGTCCAATCCTCTTTTAAAGCCATCCAAGTTGATGGCCATCACTGCCTCCTTGTGGGAGTGAGTGAAACAAGTGGTATGTGAAGCAGTACTTCCTTCTGTAGGTCATGAATCTTCCATCCTTCAGCTTCACTGGGTGTCCATGAGTTCTAGTGTTATGAGAAAAGGAGAAGCCCTGTTCTTTCTCCACGCCATGTATGATTTGATAAACTTAAAGAGCAGTAGGCATACTGCGGGAGGCAGTGGAAGACAGAAGTGCCTGGCATGCTCTGGTCCATGGGGTCACAAAGAGTTGGACACGACTAAATGACTAAACAACAACAAAGGCATAAACACAAGGAGTAGTGGACATATGCAATTACAAAATGGTCTGGGGCTTTGTGGGAGAAAGAATCCTGCATGCATGGAGAAGGTCCTAGGTTCAATCCTCAATATCTCCAGGTAGAGCTGGGAATGACTGCTCCCCGCTTAAAATGGGGGGCGCCCTTTGCGTGGACGCGCACAGCTCCTGGATCTGGAGCGGCTCCATCAGCATAGGCTTGGCTTTGCCTTCCCTCAGGTGGGATACCTGGAGGTCTCTGCCTACCTCAGTCAGTTGTCCAATCCCACCTGGGGGAAGCGTTGCCAAGGAGACCAGGCCAGGTAGGGGAAGGATTACCTGCCCACACAATAGAGGGAGGATCTTACCTGGGAATCCTCACTTGGCTCCAGAGCTTCTCCCACCCTCAGTTAATGTCTTCCTTTGCAGGTTAACTTTTCTTCATAGGTTTTGCAGGTTAACTTTTCTTCACAGGTATGCGGGCGCTGCTACGTTAAGGTCGCTATTAAAGGGCCGGAAAGGAATTTCCCTGCATTGGCAGGTTTTGCCTTTCCCATAGCAAAACGTCACAACTTTGGCAGTATCAGGCCTTGGGTGGAATCCTTTAGTCCATCTTCCTCTTTGCGGCAGCGATACCAGGGTTCCCCGTTAAAGGGGTTTCTGAAGGGAGGCTTTGACCGTACGCCGAAAGGTCGTCATTGCTCTCCCCTGCGGCGGCGGCGTAACGGGGGCGGCTATCTCTGCTTGAACATATGTTCTCCAGAGCCGGCCCATCCCCCCACACACACACTGGATAACCCTGATGCTCCCTAGGTCCCCGGCTGGGGACTGGGGAGGGAGAACGACCAATGCCTGAGCCAAGGTCTACCCACATTTGAAATTTAATAAAGTTGTGGCCAATTTAATCCCATAGCACGTTGTCTTGAGTCGTTATTCCACATGACTGGGGGGGACCACTCGGGATCTGGGGACTCCGCCTGTCCACGCAATGTACCCTTCCTGAAACACTGCTGCTCAGTGTAGATAACACTGCACTAGATGGATCCATGATCTGACTCTGTTTAAGGCAGCTTCCTATGCTTTGGCTTCTTTGTGTCTCCTCCCACCCTCACATTTCCAATTCACATGTGGGCACAGACAGATAAAAGTGGGGGGGGGGGAGAAGCAAACTTGATGTTATCCGCTTTAACAGTCATCTTGATTATCAATGGTTATGGAGAAACTGGAGAAATCCATTTCCCCTCCATCTTAGAAGTAAAGCATTGCCTCTTCACATATATGTAGTATGTGCAATTCTCATTTTTCTCAGTTCATCTGCATGCAGCGTTTATTATTCAAAACATTGGCTAGGGGCTGCTTCTTATGTTGAAGGTGGCTTACACATGACATACCTTATGGTTGCCAGGAGACTTATATTCCAAACCTGAAAGAATAAACATCTGCCAACAATTAACACTTGCCAACGTGCAATGGTCTGAGGACTTCACTGCCCTAGCTAAACTTGAACATGATTCTTCTAAATGGCAATTTTGTGTAGATACTTATCTGGACAGTTGGATGGCTTATATCAACTTTTATGTTTAAATTAAGATGGGTGCATTGGTAATGGTTGTGCTCTCTCTGTTTTATATATGGGTTGGGCATGTGCACAGCTGGTGTACTATACTAATATATGTGTTGTAACAAAGTCTAGTGCACATGGTGTGCATTTAAATCTGATGGGAGCCACATGGGAAACTTAACACTAGTGATGTCCTCTGCTGACTCTAAACTGAGGCTAATGAATACTTTACCTCTAAGTAAGCCTGACACACTTTAAAAGACTGGTTGCTACTTGTGTCCCCCCCCCCCATCAGCTGTTCTAATTAAGTTCAATAATTAGCCAGAGAAGCAGAGGCATCCCAGGAGAAAGGGCATGTCAATGCAAATATATCCAAGCAGATATCCGGCACATCATTAATTGTTCTAAATGCTTCTTTATGCTCCTAGCAATGAATTTATTAAGTCGAAGAACAGGAAATATGAAAGCAGCTTGTTTGCAAAGGTAGCAAGCTGTTGAAGCTAGAATAAGCACAGCACTGGCAATAATGTCATCACAACAGCTTGCAAGCCAACAGCAACAAAGAAAAGCTGCAAGATTTCATTGTTTGAAGACCTCTGCTCCCTTTGTTTTGTACACAGTGAGTAAGCAATGAAACTGCAATGAATGAAATGGGTAATAGCAGGACATTTAATATGGTACCTTTATGCAATTGGTCCATCTTGAGAAATGGGAACACTGAGCAGAGGCGGAGCTAGCTGCTCCAGCACCCGGAGCAGCACACATGCTGTGCACCCAGGGACGAGGCTAGCCGCCTGCAGGGGCGAGGCGAGCATCCCAGGGGGGCGGCACAGTGATGTCACCCCCCTCAAGGATGACACCTGGGGTGGACTGTACCCACCGCACCCCCCTTTCTCCACCAGTGACACTAAGGACTGGTTGAATGGTTGTAGGTCATACTGATGCAGCAGAGGGAAAGGAGAAGACTGAAGTTGGACAAAATTAGGCATGTCCTTCAGTAGCACAAAAGGAAGAACAGATACGTTGACTGGCTGGGGTAGGGAATTGTGGGGCAAATAAGTCAGTGGGACAGTGAGGCAATGGAGTCAAAGGCTAGCATTCGGGAGAAGTTGAAAGTGGAATTGACTGAGCTTTTCCATACAGCATCCAGAATAACAGTAAAACGTGGCTTAGGTACAGTGGTGAAAGTTCCTAAATTACTGGTAGAGAAAATGAAGAATGGCTTATAAGAGCGAAGCAGTCAAGTAGAAGCAACCAGATTAGCCTCTAGGCTTGATTACCTTCCTTCCAAGGTGAGGGTGAGTGACCTACCTAAGCCCAGCAGGATAGCTTACTCTATGGCATTAACCCATCCATGCAATAATTAGAATTAAGTATGTTGGCTATATGAGGCTGGTTATCCCACAAAATCCTGGAAAACCACTGACAGCCAATGTTGATAGTACTGAGCTAGATGGACCAATGGTCAAAGTCAGTACAAGGTAGTTGTGTTATGTTACCTAGTATCCTCCAAATGTTTTGGACTACAATTCCCATCAGGCCCAGGCAGCGTGGCTATTCTATGTTATGATTGCTAATTTATGTATTTTTTAATGAAACACTTTACCTCAGTATATGCATCATTGAATACATTATTTGGCTGGAGAACTACACAGCAATTTTTAGGGATGGCTTTGTTTAACTTTGCGTATTGTTTCAGAGACCATGGATTAGGTAGGGTCACTGAATCAAATTTCTCCCACATATGTATGTGCAGTGCTATTATCTCACGGGATATTTTAAAAAAAATTAATCGGAGACTGAAATCTGGAGCCTAAGACCAACAGGGATATGACTAGTAATCTCTCACCCTCTTTGCCTTCTTTTCTCAAGATCCGCTCTCCGCACCCCCCAAAATCACATTTCTTCTTCCTCTGAAGGACAGGATTACAAAGTGGGATTCCAACTTTTCCATAAAGTTCAGGAAACAAAAGTATTCTGCACAAATATTACAATGACTTTTGCAAAACAAAAAAACAAAAACAAACCTCTCTTAAAAGAGTAGTGACCTCTCCAAAGCAATAGCAGGATTTGGCACTGTAAACAGGATACTCTCCCAAATTAGGTGCAGATTATACCAGCATGCTCACTGCATACTGGGACATGATATATGAGGTGGATGGGGAGAAGCTTGTGCGGATATGCATTCATGTGCACATGTTCTATAGGGGATTTTCAGACCATTGTGGAATACAAAGAGAAACGGCAAGTGATCGTGTCATTTCAGAGAACTGTAAAGCTAGAAGGGATGACAAGGGGCATCTAGTTCAACCCCCTGCAATGCCATTTAAACCTGCATGTGGTGTTTTGTAGAAATGCTTTCCTAAATACAAATTTCAATTTATCTTTTGGCTACTACATTTTGAATCATCATCCTTTGCATATATTGCAATTCCTTCCTACTCTCCTTTCTCCCCCACCCTTTTAGAGTTGTCTTTCTCTACACCTAACTATAACTTTAAACTAGAGATTCTTGGAGACCATTAGTGTTTCCCTAAAGGCACATTACAGATCACAATTTCCTGGGTTTAATGTGTGGAATTCGTATGATTAACATAAAGCATGGGAACCTGGACAATCTAGTTCCTTCCTGGCATATGCAGAATATAGGAGACAGAAATATTCTAAATGTATATTTTGCCTGCTTTAAAGATGCAATTCTAATCTTAAAATCACAGCTGAGCTGAAATGGCTCTCAGAAGACCTTTGGAGGGCGGTGGACTTGAGATTCTCTGCCCCCCCCCCTTTATTAGAACAAAAGGAAAAAGAATGAGGAAAAGGAGCAGTGTCAGCTAATAATCAATAAACATGTAAGAATAATCCATCAATCCTAATTTAATGATATACATTAAATTTAACACAAGCCTATGGCTCAGAATGTAACAGACAAAAGATTTTTCTTGTTTCTCAACCCCTGAAAAAAGGACGATTTTGCAGAATCATATCTGAATATTCTCTGTGTGCGTGTCTGTGTGGGCTGCCATTTTCCCTGGAATGACACTATGGATGATGCAAAATGGTGGCTAGGCTGAAACACAGTTGCTGCTGCTGTCATTTGCAGCAGCAGCAGCAGCAGACCCCACCCCAACAAAACTCATTAGGAAAAGTCAAAGAAGCTGTGCTATGACCATTGCTAATGTTTTGCCCCCTCCCTTCCAAGAAACGGCTGGAGAATGTCTTCTTCCCCTGGAGGCGGCCTTTCCAATTTATCTTCATATATTAGGAGAGGTAAGTTGCTTATAGGTCTCCCTAAAAGACAAATAGGGACGCGGGTGGCGCTGTGGGTAAAACCTCAGCGCCTAGGACTTGCCGATCGTCAGGTCGGCGGTTCGAATCCCCGCGGCGGGGTGCGCTCCCGTTGCTCGGTCCCAGCGCCTGCCAACCTAGCAGTTCAAAAGCACCCCCGGGTGCAAGTAGATAAATAGGGACCGCTTACTAGCGGGAAGGTAAACGGCGTTTCCGTGTGCTGCGCTGGCTCACCAGATGCAGCTTGTCATGCTGGCCACGTGACCCGGAAGTGTCTGCGGACAGCGCTGGCCCCCGGCCTCTTAAGTGAGATGGGCGCACAACCCTAGAGTCGGACACGACTGGCCCGTACGGGCAGGGGTACCTTTACCTTTAAAAGACAAATCTTCTTATGGAGCCTTCAGTCCTTTTTGCTATTTCTTATCTGTATAACGTGTGGATCTCTCCTGTAAAACATTTGGCTAGCTCAAAAAACAAACCCAGCCTCTTGCAGTTTTTGCATATTTTTAAGGTAACCCATCTCTTTTTTATTTTGCATTTTAAATGCAAAATCCAACCCTACTTCGGGGTTGGGGGACCTTGTGCTGGGAGGGAGTAAATGCTGCCCTCTAGGCCTCTCTAACTGGCCCTTAGAATTCTCCTCAGACCACGTGTCCTCATTGGTCCTGCTTTAAACCCAAACATTTTTCTTGGGTTTCTTGAAGGTGTCCTTGAACTCTGATAATGCCTCTTTATCAGGATGGAAGACTGAGAGGGGTTGTGAGTCTATGTAGAAACTAGTCTACTGTACAAAGGTGAAGTTTACATTAATTGTTCTGCCCCCCTTTTGCCTCTGCCCTTGCCACCGCTGACATAGGACTCTCGGAATGTTGTCCAGAAGGAAATGTGGGCCACAGTATCATAAAGATTCCCCATTCCTGCTCTGCTTGAATTCTTTAGTCATTCTCCGACTTGATTATTTAACATAAACTTTTATTCTCTTTGCTTCTTTTAGTTGTTCCTGGTTAGTACAGGCACAGGAAGCTTCCTTAAATTGGGTCAGGCCATTGGCTCCATCTTGCTCAACAATGTCATTTGATGTTTACAGGCACGATAGATATTTTGCCCAATTCTAAGAGTACTTTTGGTTTCTCTTCAAACAAAAGTGAGGGATTTGGAAGGAAGACAAAGACGTTTCACCAGGGCTAGTGAAAGTTCTGAAGGCGTAGGTGCGTGTTGCGGCACACGCGACTTGTGGCACTGCCACTATTAGTATTGCAGTTTCAAATGTTTTTTGTAACACATGACATTGTGCATTATGCCATCTGTGCTGCCAAAATATAACAGTTGTTTCTTTAGCAATGTTGAAGAGCTGGAGTAGAAGAAGGAAGTCAGCAGATGGAGAATGTTGAGGAAAAGACCATGCCGAGTTGTAGACTATTTCATGAAGCAAATTCCTTCTAAAATCTCATGGATTTCATTTTAGGCAGCAGAATCTAGCTCATTTAGATTTGCTACAGCTTGCCAAGTTTATTTTTGAGACTGAGTTAAATAAACAAATTCAAAACAATCCACTTGCTCTTAACAGTGACGATGTCAGATAGTCATTCAAGTATGTGATGATGTCACTGAGGGTAAACAAAATGAATTCAGAGTGAGGTCATTGCCCTCACTCCAAACTAGCTTCACAAATGACATTGCACACAATCAGATTGGACTGGCAGCCCGATTATGCCATAACTGGTTATATTTAAATAATAAACAGTGCCAAAAATGCAGTTGATTGGAATTCCAAGCATCAGCAAAATGATGTGATAAAGGTAAGCTTTTGGAAATCTTTCAGGAAACAGTTTGGACCTATCATTTTTGTGCAGATTTTTTTTTCTTGTGGGGTGCATTCATTTCAGCCCTCTCACATGAATAAATAAGTGCTGCTCTATTTAAAGGCTATATAACAAGCTTGCTCACCCCCAACTGTGTGCCACTTTGAAATAAAGCCGAATGTAACTTGGCCAATTGCCAAGTTGCCCAATATAAACATTAAAAAGGAATTGAACATGTCTGGTGAACTTTTGGTGCCTCCAAAACATGAGAAATCCAATTAGTCCCAAGCTGAGATGCTATTTTCCCCCATATAAACATTGTATTTACAGCCAATGGTGTCAGAGGTTGGATTATCGACCTGTGTTGGAAAAGAGATTCATTGGTCTACAGTCAACATTTCTGGCGACGGGTCAGTGCTGCAAACATGTTGAAGCATTAATACTAAAATAGTTGTAGATTCCGATTCTGGTCAATAGCAAACAAGCATTAATTTCTCCTATTCCTCCACATTGTATGGGTAAAGTCAACATACATATTTAAAACTCCTGGGTTTCTCTGTCCACTAATGAGACTTCCCTCCTTCCACCACTTGTAAGGAGTTGCAGAAACAACATACAATAGGAAGGAAAGCTTTGTTTGTTTAGGAAATTTTTTAATGTGTTGGGAGCTGCCCAGAGTGGCGGGGGAAACCCAGCTGGATGGGCAGGGTATAAATAATAATAATAATAATAATAATAATAATAATAATAATAATTTATTTGTTTCTAGCAAGTATACACCACCACCCCTACCGTTAACTCTCCCACACACTCCATGAACATTGTAAACACAAGGAGCAAGAGAAGTGGAGACCCAGTTAGCTTGGAAGGAAGATTCCAATGGCAAGCCGCTTCTTCAAACATTAGGTGCAAAGTAAGTAATCACCACTTCATTCCCTTCATTGACTGGAACTCTGCCTTGTCTGGAGGCACCTAAGAGCATCATCTACCTTACCTACCCAGCATGCTCTGCTTCTTCCACCAGTACATGCTCCATCAGGAGAAACAGAACCTTGTCATTCCAGTGACCCTTATAGGTATTAAAAGTTCACAGGAACCCACTTCATAAAAGGACGTACAAAGCTACATATAATAACATTCATTGGCTTCACTGGATACTACCGGTACACCTGTCAAGGCATTTTTCTTAGGCTAAGGATGCTCAAGGAATGTAATCTTAGTGAATTCTGATACGAACTGACAGACCAGGTCCACCATTTCCAGACTAATGTGTGGATTAGAAAGTTGTTCTACCTTGGCTTTTGCACTTAACAAATGTTCCCAAAGACTCCATTAGAAATGAGCATCTAGAGAGAGAAAAAGATCTTTTAAGATAGGCATTTAAATATATGTTTAGATGTGAATTTTCATGTGGGTTTTTAAAAATACAGGCAGCTCCCCATTTGCACACATTTGGCATGTGTGCGACAGCTGGCGCACATGCCATTTTCAACACCGAAGGGGGGCAGAGCAGGCTTATGCTCACCCTGATGATGTATGTGGTGCCTCAAAATGCAACCCCTGTGCAAATGGGGCATTGCCTGTACAAAAACAAATGGCAGACTACTGTGGAAATAGAATGGAACAAGTTTGTGAGCAAAAATGGCACTAAACAAAAATAGACTGATTTGCACACTCATGATTGTCCGTGAAGATGAGTTTACGACTGTGGTGGCGATGCTAACACAGACAACACAGGGTTCACTTCCTAGGACATTGCCACACAATGGGAGGCAAGAACATGAAATCTGGTCTGCTGACTCCATAGCAACAAAGATCCCAGCATTACTCTTTCACCCCATCCCCACTGACTCTACCATCCCCTACTGATGCCTTCCCATACATTTTCTGCTTCCTACAATGCAGAAACAACCCCGTGTTGAGGGAGAGGATCACAAAGAGGCAAGAAACAAAGCTTGGTTTTTCTCAGGGATGTGAAACTGTTGCTCTCCAGACGTGGCTGAACTACAACTCCCACAGTCACTGCAGACCACTGGCCATGCTAACTAGAGCTAGTAGAAGACGGAGCCTAAAAGCACCTGGAGGTCCACAAGTTCCCCATCCCACATTTAGCATCAAGAGCACCACAGGCTTTTATCTGGTCCTGCTTTTCAGCATTCTCATTTGGCTATTTCTGTGCAAATTAAAGGGTCTCTCCCAAATCCACACCCCTCTTCACAACTCTCTAGTGTGTAACCATAGAAACAATCAGTGCAGAACACATTCTTCAATACACGCCAGATTTGGAGTGCACTTCTCTCTCTCTTCCTCTCTCTCTCTCTTCAAAATCCCAGGCACACCCATCAACGTTAATGTGTGAAGCAGATGGGAAGGAGGGGGGAGGGGAGGAAGAGAGAGTTTGAAGCCCTGCATCATCTCACAGACGTGATTTAAGGGCAATGGGACTCATTGACTGATGGGGTGGCTACCTTTTAACAGAAGTCTTTGGTGTCTCAGGGAAAACCCCCAAAGCAGGAAGAGGAAACTGTATGAAACATGAATGTGTTTTTGGTATCTGACAGCTCCGTAGGAACATTTCACTCAGCATGCCCGCCTCTCATTAAATTCTATAGCTGTTGCACATAGAGGCCTTTCCTGCTGATATCAATAGCTCCCTGCTGGAATAAATGCTGAAGGAAATCAATGTCAGCCTTGGTGTTATTGTTGTTATTATGGTATCAAGTCTACAGCCTGGTCTTGCCTCTGTCGGAGCTCATGTTTGTGTGTGTCTGTTAGGGAATGGGGGGGAGGGGGAGAGAAATGGAATTCAGTTTGCATTAAAAGGTGAATTTACCAGGTTTGCACTTTCTGAAACAATACAAGAAGTGAAATGAAACCATCCCTCAGAATCTGCACGTATCCGAATTTTGCAATGCAGTTCTCCAATCAATCAGTGCTTACAAAAAGATGCATATTAGGAGAAAGTGTATTAGCTAAAATTACTTGCAAAAATGCAGTCAAAACTGCATACAGTAAGGTGTTTATTAGGAGAAATTCCAAATTGCTCCTGAAACACAAATAACATTGGGAAAAGGAGAAAGACAGAACTAAAATTGACAGATCTTTCCATCCGCAGTGTGAATTTGGGGTGGAGGTGTTACTGACTTTGGTGTGAAGAACTAGCTCTCGTACTACAATAATTTGACAGCTATCTGGGTTTCCAAATATGGTGCTTACAGCAAGAATCTTAAGAAATAATTTATAGATAAATTTTCCAACCGCGCTATGCTCCCACAGTGGATGAATGACTCTATCCTGCAGGTCAGCTTCACCAGTTTTCCCCACCCTTTGAATTCCTGTGCTTGCATTTATTATCTTTTCTCAGTATTAATGTATCCAATACATGTTTAGTGGGATCTTTTTTTGCTGAGCAGACACTGAAAGGTGCAAGCAATGTGTTAAGCTAAATCTTCACACCGAGTGCTCTCGGTCTGATATGCATTTATAATGAGTGGTTCATAGCTCCACCACCCAGAGCCCATGATTGTGAAAACTGGGTTGATTAATGTTCAGAAATCTGCTTATTACCATGTGTAATCACAAAGTATATAGGCTGTGTGGTATGCAAATTAAGGGCATTATTATTATTACTAGTGGGATTCAACAAGCTAATCATGCCCTGTTCCAAGATACTCCATTATAAACATATGCACACACACTTTTCCTCCTATTCACTCTTCCTAGGGTTGCCATATTTCAAAAAGTAAAAACCAGGACACCTCGAAAGCTGTTGAGCGCATATATATATATATATATATATATATATATGATTTTTCTATTGACTTGTCTAAGATCCAGGACAAAGGGCAGCCCTAACTCTTCAACAACAGGTATAACCACTGAGCTTGGCACTCTTTGTAAGGAAGTTCTGGACCTGAATGCAGCTGCCATATGTGGTGAATGGCTGAACTGTATCTCACAACCCTCCCACTGACAAACTTTCCATCACTGAACTGATTCCACCCACTCAAGCAGTCCATTGGATCCCCCCTGGAGAGGAAGGTGTAAAAGAGGCTTCCTGTTTCAGCTGAGCAAACATAATTTGGTATATTAGAAAAAAGGTTCACTAACACATGGATGAATTCAATTGTTGGAATAACCAGGCCAGCTTCTTGCTAATGGCCCCTAAGTATGAGATGTTAAGGTAACAGAGGAAGAGATAACAGAGGACAAATGGGTCCCGTCCCCCAACAGTCTGGTCCATGGGTAGGCAAACTAAGGCCCGGAGGCCGGATCTGGCCCAATTGCCTTCTAAATCTGGCCCGCGGACAGTCCAGAAATCCAGTGTGCTTTTACATGAGTAGAATGTGTCCTTTTATTTAAAATGCATCTCTGGGATATTTGTGGGGCCTGCCTGGTGTTTTTACATGAGTAGAATGTGTGCTTTTATTTAAAATGCATCTCTGGGTTATTTGTAGGGCATCGGAATTCATTCTTTTCTTTCTTTTCCAAAATATAGTCCTGCCCCCCACAAGGTCTGAAGGACAGGGGACTGCCCCCCTGCTGAAAAAGTTTGCTGGCCCCTGGTCTGGTCCTTATGAGGTCAAAAGCCAGTGCGGAATTGTGTGAAAGGGCTGGGCTAGAAGTAGGCAGCAACTGCAGAGACAGAGCCTTGACATATTTCTGCTGGGATCCAAGGCTGTGGCTATGGGAGAAGTAAGACCTGATTGTGTGAATGCTATGAGCCTCTCCATCAGACGCTCAGGTTATATATATATGTAAACAAACCATATATCCTAAAGATGCCACAGTCTCTGCTGTGCCTCATTCTGAGGAAACTGAACCCTGGCTAAGTGCCTGGAACCCCTGGAATCCTGGCCAGAGATTGGGGTGGCGTGCAACAATACCTATTGAACTCTCAGTCTTCCTTTGCTGTAAGAAATCTAACTGGTGATTTTGCATTCAGCTTGTCCTCCAAAGAAGTACTTGATGAAAAAAAAGACTTGCTGTTTTACATCTGTGACAATCAATCCTGAAAGAATTTGGATATGAGGAAATATTATATTCTTAATGAAGATTACCTGAAATTAAAGACTTTAATTACAAATTAAGCTGCCCTTGGCTACTGCAGAGACAGTGTACAGATGCTCTTAACCTCTGTGCAAATCAGATTTGTACTTTGTCATGGCAAAGCTGATGGCAATTATTGGTTAAGCACTGAGGTTGTAAGTGCTGACACAGGAAAAAGGGGTTTCATGCTGCTTACATCACCCTTTTGACAGATTGGAGACCAAATCTTTCCTTCAGATCCCGAGTTATTTTTTAGTCTGGCAAATATCATCTATTTACAAATAGGGCTCTTTTAAGCTGTGAGTCTCCAGCATGCGGTGCTATTCAAAGTTTACAGAGTAGGGAGAGGGAGCTCATGGAGGGTTGGTGGGCAGTTTACTACCTTAGTGGCTGGCACACAGCCACTCTGTTTGGCATTAGAGGGAACAAGGGGGAACCAGCAACAAAATGTTGTACCATTTTCCCAGTCCCTAGCCAGAGAGCTCTGGCTTTCAGGGTTCCAGCCAGCCTGAAACAGGAGCCATGGAGGAGGCCCTGAAGAAAGCCACGGTTGGGGGCACCCTACCAGAGAGATCTGCAGACACTCTGTTAAGTTGTGGGTGAACATATCAGATGACGCAGCGATTCTTCAAACAGCTCTTGTTTATTCACAGGCCAGAACAGAACTGAACTGAAGGGTTCAGCCAGCCTGCTTATATAGAGCTCCACTAGAACGCAACAGTAACCACTTTCTGTAACTATCCAATCACTGAACATCACTTTCAATCCCTTATTTGCATATGTGGACCTGGGTGAAAACTATCGACGATATCCCCCTGCTGGCCCAGGGTGAGAACCTCAGTACATAACACACTCCATTAGAGGAAAATTTATTCTCTAATGTGCATTATACAGAACTGCTTGCAGAATCGTTTGTACTAACTTCAAGAACTTTACAATCCATTGTAAAGATGTTGGATTCCTTGAATATACTGGTATCTCTGGCCTTACAGAGGAGCGCAGGATCTGCCACCAGGGAGGACCAGCCTAAAATTCTCCTCTTGGAGCAGCACCATTGGTTCCTTCACAATGCAAAGGAAGTTTTAATCACCTCCACCTTCCACAACATACCAAAGGCTAGGCTGCAATCCATCACCAATTTAATTGGATGGCTTTCAAAGGGGACTGGACAAATTCATGGAAAACGGGGCTATCACTGGCTTCTAGTTACAATGGCATTGCTCTTCCTCCCTTCTGACTTCCAGTTGCTGGAAACACAGGACGGAAGAGTGCTTTTGTGTTCTAATTCTGCTTGCAGATTTCCTACAGTCATCTGTTTGACCACTGTGAGATCAGCATAGTGGGCTAGATGGACCATTGGCCTGATCCAGCAGGCTCTTATGTTCTTTTGTTCTTAATGCCGTTAACAATTTCTGCCCAGTAATGTGACAACACAGGACATACCTACATCATGGTTGCTTAAAATGGCATGATACTGCTTTAAATATGTAGCACAGATGGAGGCAAAATCAATAGTCCATTCGAGCATCCACTTTAAAACATTGAAATATGCATTTATAAACATTAATTCCCTCTGACTATTTAGGAAATGCCTGAGCACTGAGAGCTGATGTACCACAGAAAGGTGCAGTAATTGAAAACATATACTCAGCATTTGCAGGGAGGTGCAATAAAAACAGCAATGACAAGAATCCTCTGTCCAATCCTGTTAACTAATCTAATGTATAAATCCCACTATCAGCTCATTTCTTCTACAAAAAGGACTGCCTCTCTATCTTCTACATCATAAACTTAGCACAAGCATATGCTTCAGAACGTGACAGACAAAAATATTTTTCTTTTTTCTCAACCCCTGAAAAAAGGCCATTTTGCAGAATCATATCTGAATATTCTCTGTGTGCGTGTCTGTGTGGGCTGCCATTTTCCCTGGAATGACACTATGGATGATGCAAAATGGTGGCTAGGCTGAAACACAGTTGCTGCTGCTGTCATTTGCAGCAGCAGCAGACCCCACCCCAACAAAACTCATTAGGAAAAGTCAAAGAAGTTGTGCTATGACCATTGCTAATGTTTTGCCCCCTCCCTTCCAAGAAACGGCTGGAGAATGTCTTCTTCCCCTGGAGAAGGCCTTTCCAATTTATCTTCATATATTAGGAGAGGTCAGTTGCTTATAGCTCTCCCTAAAAGACAAATCTTCTTACTGAGCCTTCAGTCCTTTTTGCTATTTCTTATCTCTATACAGTACTATCATTTTAGTCACCCGTGATGTGTGGATCGCTCCTGCATAGCTGTCAATAGCTTTTCCCTTTTCTTGCGAGGAATCCTATTTGGAATAAGGGAATTTCCCTTTAAAAAAGGGAAACGTTGACAGCTATGCTCTCCTGTAAAATATTTGGCTAGCTTAATAAAGAAACAAACCCATCCTCTTGCAGTTTTTGCAGTATTTGTAAGGTAAGCCATCTCTTTTTTATTTTGCATTTTAAATGCAAAACTCAATCATACTTCAGGGTTGGGTGACCTCGTGCTGGGAGAGGGTAAATGCAGCCCTCTAGGCCTCTCTAACTTAGAATTCTCCCCAGATCACGTCTCCTCATTGGTCCTGCTTTAAACCCAAGCATTTTTCTCTGACCTGAAAATGTCCTTGAACTCTGGTATAATAATAAAATAATAATAATAATAATATATTTGTACCCCGCCCATCTGACTGGGTTTCCCCCGCCACTCTGGGCGGCTTCCAACAAAGATTAAAAATACATTAAAATGTCACACATTAAAAACTTCCCTGAACAGGGCTGCCTTCAGATGTCTTCTAAATGTCAGGTAGTCGTTTATCTCTTTGACATCTCCCATCAGATGATGGGAGAGCGTTCCACAGGGCGGGCGCCACTTCCGAGAAGGCCCTCTTCCTGGTTCCCTGTAACTTGGCCTCTCGCAGTGAGGGAGCCGCCAGAAGGCCCTCGGCGCTGGACCTCAGTGTCCAGGCAGAACAATGGGGGTGGAGACGCTTCTTCAGGGATACTGGGCCTGATAATGCCTCTTTGTCAGGATGGAGGACTGAGAGGGGTTGTGAATCTATTTAGAAACTAGTCTACTGTACAAAGATGAAGTTTACATTCATTGCTCTGCCCCCCTTTTGCCTCTGCCCTTGCCACTTGTCCCATGATTTCTACGCACAAGCCTGACAGGTTCTTTTCTCACACTGCCTCCTCTGGGAAAACCCACTGTTTACTGCTAATTTGAAGCAGAAGTCAATTGGTATATAAGAAGAAAGGTACACCAACATGGTAATGAATTTCCATGAGGACTTAAAAAGAAATCACAAACTGATGTGGTAATATCATCACCAAATAATTTTACTGTGACCATCATCAAATATTTTAATTAAACGAAGACCATTACAATTTCATTTCCATTTGCCAAAATGCAAACCATACCTGACTGCATAAGACGATTACATAATAAAAGGCATCAAGGGTTTAAAGAGAGGACAGCAGAGTTCATAAGTATCACCTGCTAACTCATACCCATCTTAACTTCCATTAGAACTTCAAATCTCTTGTGCAACTTTCTTATCTCTTTCTCTTTCTCTATCTCTTTCTTATCTTTCTTGCAGCCAGAACATAAAGTGCCACTTTATGTGAAACAATTCTGTTAGTGTCACTCAAAGGAAAGGGAACCGTTTCTGCTATAGTAATTCTGCTTCCAGGAATTAGCAAAGGTTTTGGAAATCAGTCTGTTGGATTCCTATATAAAGGTCACATTAGCAAATGGGAACTTTGGAATGCCTAATTAAATGCAAATGTCTTCTTGAATCATTCCAGAAGAGCCAATCCCAAAGTTGTCTCTTATTCATTTTAAATGTAGAATTCAACTCTGAGAAGTAATAACTATCTATAAGGTTTTGTCTTATAAACTTCCATTCTTGGTTATTACCCCATTCCAAATAACACAAAGCAGGAAAACGTTTGGCTGACAGGCTTGCAGTTCATCTGGGCGCTGTCAGCTCTTGCCTTGATTGTTGGCTACCCCAATTTTGTACATAAGAGAGCTCCAGAGGTTCCTGAAGGGAGGGACTAAAAGAAATTTATTCTGCACTACTGTATTTCTAAGGCTTTGATGGAATTAGAACCTGAGCCCCAAATGTGGAAATGTGGAGAGCTGAAATTAAGACTGGGAATATAAAGAACAGAGAAACTGAAATTGTCATATTTGTCCCTCTCTATTCAGAACCCCAGTGTTGCTCCAGTGGAATTTACAGGTAGATAATGGTGACTGTTGCTTTTCATATGTAAGCTGAAAGAGAACTAAGTGTTAGGCTCTGTTTTATAAGAAACGAACAAGTTAATTCCCAAACTTTTAATCTTCCTGAATTTTAACCTAGGCTATAAATATCCTTGAATTCACCACCTCCTGTCAGCAAGTCTTTAAATATGAGATAAAGATTCAGCCAGCAGAGCACCCTAATTAAGACATTCTGGTTTCACTGCCTTCCTCCCAAACCTCCTTAGCTGCAAGGTATTAGGGAGAAAGTCACTTGCTAAGCTATTCTGAAAGGAGCTGAGAAGACTCTTTGACTGGCTAAATCTCAGTTTTCACACAGGTCTGTATTAGACTATCAGTTTTAGAGATTAGCAACAGGCTAAAAACAGACTTGCTTAACAACTAAATTGCACCAGAGGCTATACTGAAAAACAGGAATGGCAGCTATTGCCTTACAGTGATGCTTTAAGGTTTCAGCAAATGTAAGTAGCTTCCTTAAAGATACGAAAACCTTGTTTTGTAAAGTGGCACAGCACTTCAGCGTTGTGTTGCATTGTTTCCCCTTGATTTCTCTTAAACCACACATACAACAAGTAAAAGCACTTTAAACTGAAATGCTTGTTCTCATGGTATCACAAGTAGGGACAGTTGTGGAATCCTCCTCAACCAGATTCAATCCTCTGTTTTGCAGTTGTGTTTTCAAGATCTGCCCCAATCAACCAATGTGTTCTACCAGCACAAATATCTTTGCACAGGGGAAGTCCTGATCTTGGCTCCTGTCTCAAAAACTACAACAGCAGCTCTTACATCTGAAGAAAGAAATACTGATTTATTTGAGGCTTTCAACGGTACAGGTCAGGCTACAGGTGTAGATCGCCAAAGGCATGACTAGAGAGTTCCAGAGCAACATCAGGAGTCCAAACCAGATTAAAGCTGAGAAGATATCTCAACAAACAGCCATGCCCCTCCTGCCAGCTTTAAAGGTGTGATGTGGCATGCTCATTCTCAATACTCTTTCTCCCCATGAGACCGGTGTGCTTGGAGGTAAGTGCTTTCCTGGGGGTGGGGAATGAGTCTGTTCCCAACAGCATAGATGGCATCAAGTTCTCAGTGACATGGAGAACAGCTCCTCTGGCTCCCCCTCCTTCACCTGTCCAGCCTCCCCTCTTTGAACCCTCCCTCATTTCTAGACAAGCTCTCTTTTCCATGGCTGTAGCAGGATGGGGGCCAGCAGGACTCCCTGCCTCCCAGCATCCTCTGTGCCTCTGTTCCTGTTCTTTCTCATCTAACAACAACCGCCACCCCAGTCCCAAGCCAGTCATGACCACAGGGCTCTTGACACTGCCCCATCTCTTCTATTATGTACATGTACATGTACCATGCCATCCCTAGAACCAATTTAAAGGGTGCATGGTGGTGGGAGGGATTCCACTGCCCATGCAGAAATCCTTGAGCTGCTGGAATGTGGTACTTAGTGCTACATCAGATACAGCCCTGTGATTCTCAGAGGGGTGGTCTGCAGAGAGCAAAAATGGGCCTTGTAGCATCCAGAGAGATTAAGAATGATGAGGGCTGATTGCAATCGTGGCTCTTGGACCGCAAGTTCCAGGCCCCAGTTGTATGTTTGACCACATTTTGAAAATGTGAGCCATGCTCACATTCCATTTTTAGGTGCACCCCTTAGAAAGTGAAGTGTGTAGAGGCCTACAGCCCAATTTAAATACATATATAACATACTGTATATACACCCTGATACCTCCATTGGACCAGAAACAAGCTCCAATCTAGTCTCTGGTTACTACATGAATTGAGTAAGTGATGCAGTAAGACTGAAATAGATGGAGTGTTAAAATAGGAGGCTGCATAATTGGAGTGAGTGCAAATATTTCTACAGTGAGAGAGAGTCCTGATTTATAATCCTATCATGTTCACTTGCTCCTGGGAATCAGGAAAAAATCATTTGAAGAGGATCCAAACATCCAACTAACAGCCCAGGGGGAAACAGTGGAGGCAGATGGTTTTAAGAATGGATCTACTGCTTCTCTTACCCCAAGGAAGGCACAGGGCAAGGAGAAATGTGATGCAATATTTAGTATAATTCATGTTTTTCCCCCCAGGATCTCATAAACTCCAATGCTTTTTAGTTTTTTTAGCAAATGAAAAAAAAATTGTATTGCTACTAAGACACAAGTCAAATTTCAAGCAGTTAATGTACACTTTCTGACTTCATACTTTTTTTTATTTACAAATGTGCAACTTGAGCAAGGAGCGGGAGAAATAGCAAATTCACAGATAGGCAGCGTTAAATCTTAAACAGCAATTCCCCATCTCCCCAAAGGCACACAATTGCACTTTCTCAAGGCTACCTATTGTCTAACAGTTCCAGAAACTCAAACTATATTTATTCATCTCAACCGAGATTCAAAATTGTAAGATAAATAATTATTAATTTATTATTAATTATGGAAAGTAAAGTATTACTAGTAACACTACCACCACCACCAAAAGCTTTTAGCCTGATCCTAAGATGAAGCCTCCTTCCAAATTTCAGTGACATGGAGAGATCATTAGTCTCTGTCAGGGGTAGTCAGCCTTTTTATACCGCCCGCCCACTAATGCATCTTTCTTGATGGTAAAATTTCCTTACCACCCACCAGTGCTCAATGGAGGGAGGATTCAGCTTGTGCTGTAGAACCCCCTACTGCCCACCTAGAATCCTGAAACGCCCACTAGTGGGTGGTAGGAATCAGGTTGACAACCCCTGGTCTCAGTTAACAATGCACCTTACCTCTCTCACCAGCAAAAGAATACAAGCGAATAGTAAAGAGTGCCCACAGAAGTGATGCTGACACAAAACCCCACACATACACTAAGTAGAATAGAAGTATTGCCACCCAATTGAACCCGACTCACCACTCCCCCCATCACCTCTTTCCCCCCTTTCTTCCTAGTGTATCACTAATGTCTCAACAAATGAAACTGATCTGTAGAAAATGGAACTTTAAAAAAAGAGACATTGCACATACTTTTGTAAACCAAGAAATCTTTGATAGAGAAATAAATAAATACATAATCCTGGTTATAATACTCAAAACAACAACAACAACAATGCACCTTTATCTGTCGTAATTAGGGTTGATTCAGTTCACACTTAAAGGTGAACCTACTTTCCAAAACAATACACAAAGTGAAACATAGCTACCCTTCAAAATCCACATTTTCTAAATTTTAGAAAAGATGCAGATTTCTAGCCAAGTAATGTGTACAAAACTGCATTTATTGGGGTTAAATATGCAAAATATTGATGAACATAAAAATGCACTGTGTTGGGGGAAATCATTTTACTTTGCAAATAGTGTATTTGCAAGGCTATCAAAGGCTAGGCTATTGCTATCAAAGGCTAGGCTATGGAGCTGAAACCTAATAATGAGTTTAGCTCTAAGATGCCAGTCCTTCAAGGGAGAAGATGTCAAGTTATACATAGGATGGGATGGGATGCTGGCCTTTGAGAATTCAATTGGCCTTTACGATAATGTACATTCCAATTAAAAATGAAGGACCAGTAAAAAATTATTTGCATGTGCAGCCTATGCCCAAGTGATCATCATGAAAAGTACAAGGAAATTTGTCACATGAACTAGCCTCACACCAATCCTTTTGTTTTCATCACAATAACTGTAGCCATTTCTTTATTATCGAAACACTTCATACCAAGTCTTGGCTTTATCTCCTCCTTGACACCCAAATCCTACACATGAATATCAGTTCCCTAAGAACTGTATTATGTGAGTTGAGCATCTACTCAGCTCTTACTTTGTCAGCTTGGATAGCGCAGTTGGTTAGAGAGTGGTGCTGCTAGTGCCAAGGTTGAAGGTTTGATCCCCATATGGGACAGCTGCATATTCCTGCATTGCGGAGGGTTGGACTAGATGATCCTTGGGTGCCTTCCAATGCTACAGTTCTATGGTTCTATACTCAGCTCTATATAGTTATCATGGTCTAGGCATTTTAATTTTTTTTTACATAATATAGCAGGTTTCAGCTGTTGCTAGGCTAAGATTATATGGATCTCACAGCCCTTCCTCACATTTACAGTTGTGTTCTTTCCCCCCCCTTTCTTTCTTACAATGTTCTGGGCTTTGTAAAGCCACAGTTTTTACTGGAATTACTTTTAAGTTGCGAAGTCCAGATTGTTTTGGCAAAAGCTGTAATATTTCACATAACATGATGACACAAGAGCCCTTCTCTGACATTCAGAACATGAGCTGGGTGGGGGAAATGGATAAAGTCAGCAGACCCCAGTCTTATTCCTAACCTTCCCTCTGCATGTGGACACTTTTATCCATGTAGTCAGGCATCTCGGAAAAGGCAAGGGCCCAGTTTTTAAGGAGACAACCCTCCACAGATATCTGTTGCACACGTGTAAACTCTATGCAGATGTTCAAGTGAATTGGCATAAATTGGGGGCAAGCACAGCACACAGAAACTTGCTGCCCATTCATGCTCCATGCTCACTGAAGGTCTGAAAGCAGCTAAAGTGATTGTCCAATCTGTACCTTAAAGGTATTCTTTCCACATCAACTGACCTGTTGAGGGGCTCCTGAGTGCATCCAATGACTCCAGCTTGCTACAGAGGATTCTGAGGCTTGTTTTGCATGGGAACCTAAGAAGAACCCTACTGGATCACATTCATAAAATAATAATAATAATAATGTCCTCACAATTACATGCAAGTATGCCCTATGCCTAGGACATGGAATACACTATAATATCAGCACACTAGAATGATTTAACAAGTGTTTTCCATTTGCTACATTACCCTGGACTCAGGCATGCAGAATTAACTGCAAAGGCGCACCACTTATTTCAGCTACACATATCTTGTTGCTGCCTACCAGTAAGTTCTCCATTAGTTTATTTCATTGAAATCAGTTCTAAGACGAAAGAGACCTTTTCCTAGAATTGTCAGCTAATTAAAAGTTGCTGTTTTTATCTACCTTAACTAATTACACACACAAAGAAAATATTACACCTATCCGGTGATGATGATTTATTAACGTTATATAATTTGATTAAAGTCAATCAATGTGCTTACTTTGAACTGATTAGTGGAGGAAGCCTATGCATGTTTACTCAGGACAGGCCTTTGCAGAGTTTGTTTGAGGCCCTGGGAGGGAGTGTTGTTAGAATAAAGTTATAAATTCTAACAAAAAGGCAGCTGGTCCCTGGTGGGGGCCTGGGCCAACTTAGCCCTCTGAGGCCTGGGGCAAGTGCACCTGCTTGCCCCCCACCTGCAGGGGCCTGCTCAGAAATATTTTCCATTGTGTTCAATGGAGGTTACTCTCCAGTGCATAAATGGACTAGCAGCCATCTTGATTAAACAACTGAAAGAAACAGGATACAAACTCAGCACAAGCGCTATGATAATAATAACAACTGCACAGGGATGTCATATTTCAAGAAGTGAAAATCCAGACACAAAGGTTGTTGAGCTTTTCTTGGCAAAGTTTTAAAGCTATTTTTTCGTATTTTTTTGGAAATTTGCCAAAACTTTAAACTTCCAACATGGGTTGCCATATGCCCGGATTTTCCCAGACATTTTAACCGGTTTCCAAAAATTCTGCCCAGGCGCCATTTCTGAAGGACGAATCCCAGCTATGTCCAGAAAATTCCAGACATAAGGCAGCCCTAAAAATGCATCACAATTACTTGGTTGAGACTGCAATCCTAACCCTACTTACCTAGGAATAAGCCCCCCCCCACCCCCTGACCATCCCATGACATCCCATTTCTACCCATACAGTTTGAAATCAAACTGTAGGCAAAGGCATAGCTCTGAACTTGCAATGCTTTGTGCATGGAGCTAGTAGCCTTTGTATTTGTCCACTCCTCTTTTAAAGCCATCCAAGTTGATGGCCATTTCACATTTTAAAATATGTGGTAAATAATGAAATAACTCTGGCTAACACATTTGACTCAGAGGAAATGGAGACATTATCAGTGTTGAATAAAACACACTGCAAATCATTGCTGGCAAACTTTCCCCAATGTAATCCATTCAGATCATTGTGCATAGTTGAGCGTGAAATTTTCACCACTCTCCTAACGCACTCTTGTACTAAAAATTTCATGCTTTGCCGACACTTTGTATGAATGCCTTGCAATATACGCATTTCATTTGTTTGCAGGGATCACTGTCCGAAATCAGGATGCAGCACGCCGCATTAGAGGGAGTAAAAGATGGAAAACATTCATACACAAGCTTTAAACAGGATTAGGAAAAGATAATACCTGTGTTAAGGATACCATGGCAGCACTGTCTATGCCCTGATATGTTTTTTTAAAACAGCAAGTCATTATCTTTTAAACTATCCACAGGATTGGAACATTAATGCCTGACTTCACAGACTTGTGGTGAATATAAATGAAAAATGGCTGCTCCGCCTGCCTGCCTTCTATGGTAGGGGTGGGGAACTGAAGCAGTCTGATAGAAATGGGTAAATATAACGATTTCAGTTATTCCAGTTTCTCATTTTCCCCCATCTTAAATTCAATTCCTCACATTAGTTCAATTTTTAAAAATCACATGAAAATGTAGCAGCATTTCAGTGTGAATCTCTCCTAATATGCATGTGCTTGTCAAGTCTGCGCCATATATAACTATTTGTTAGGTTTACAGATCTTCCCTAAAAATATGGAGTAGAGTTGTTGACCTTTCCATAAAGAGGGATTTAACACAACTTAATTATCCAGTCAAAAAGCCCCATTATTCATATTGCAAATGTGTGAATATGCTTTTGTGAGTTGGGCAGGAGTTAGGCTGTATGTCTGAGTCCCGTCACATTCCTGGATCCAGCAAGGATTCAGTTGCTGGAATAACCAGCCCAGCTTCTTGCTAATGGCCCCAAAGTATGAGATGTTAAGGTAACAGAGGAAGTGGTAACAGAGGACAAATGGGTCCCGCCCTCAATAGTCTGGTCCTTATGAGGTCAAAAGCCAGTGCGGAATTGTGTGAAAGGGCTGGGCTAGAAGTAGGCAGCAACTGCAGAGACAAAGCCATGACATATTTCTGCTGGGATCCAAGGCTGTGGCTATGGGAGAAGTAAGACCTGATTGTGTGAATGCTATGAGCCTCTCCATCAGACGCTCAGGTTGCATATATGTATGAACAAACCGTATATCCTAAAGACACCACAGTCTCTGCTGTGCCTCCTTCTGAGGAAACTGAACCCTGGCTAAGTGCCTGGTACCCCTGGTGTGCAACAATACCTATTGAACTCTTAGTCTTCCTTTGCTGTAAGAAATCTAACTGGTGGTTTTGCATTCAGCTTGTCCTCCAAAGAAGTACTTGATGCAAAAAAGACTTGCTGTTTTACATCTGTGACAATCAATCCTGAAAGAATTTGGATATGAGGAAATAATATATTCTTAATGAAGATTATCTGAAATTAAAGACTTTAATTACAAATTAAGCTGCCCTTAGCTACTGCAGAGACAGTGTACAGATGCTCTTAACCTCTGTGCAAATCAGATTTGTACTTTGTCATGGCAAGGCTGATGGCAATTATTGGTTAAGCACTGAGGTTGTAAGTGCTGACACAGGAAAGAGGGGTTTCATGCTGCTTACATCACCCTTTTGACAGATTGGAGACCAAATCTTTCCTTCAGATCCTGAGTTATTTTTTATTCTGGCAAATATCATCTATTTACAAGTAGGGCTCTTTTAAGCTGTGAGTCTCCAGCATGCGGTGCTATTCAAAGTTTACAGAGTAGGGAGAGGGAGCTCATGGAGCGTTGGTGGGCAGTTTACTACCTTAGCGGCTGGCACACAGCCACTCTGTTTGGCATTAGAGGGAACAAGGGGAAACCAGCAACAAAATGTTGTACCACTTTCCCAGTCCCTAGCCAGAGAGCTCTGGCTTTCAGGGTTCCAGCCAGCCTGAAACAGGGGCCATGGGGAAGATTTTAGGAAACCACGTTCTGCTGTGGAATAAAGGCCTCAGGTTTTGAACTGCCTCTCAGCTCTGTGCAGTACAGCCAAGTCTCTACAGGCCCCTTCCCCTGAGTTTTGTGTCAACCCTGGACTGAAATTTTTCAGGACTCTGGTGAACCAGACGGCATAAAACACAAACTGAATTCCAGTAACATTACAGTATACTTGCTTTTAGATTCATTTGGTTGAATCTGTATTTTTGATGGTTTTATCCTGTTTAGTTCTTTTTTAATCTTATTTTATCTCAATTTTTGCAGTTCTTTTGGGGTAAACTGCTGAGACAGTTTTATTTTTGAACTGAGCATTCCACAAAAACAGTTAAAACACATCAATGATCTTACTGATAATTTGTACCTCTGTTAACTGGGAGCATATGGGTGAAGAGAGGGCTATAGGTACAAATAATAAATACAGGTGGCAGCCATTTTGTGCGGGCCAACTGATGTCCAGGTCCTTTTGGACCCAGAACAGGGTAGAAAGGGGACAGGGTGGAGCAGAGCAGGTTTATGCGCATGCCACTGACATGCTTGGGATCCAGGAACAGAACTCCTACGCAAAATGATCGCTGTCATAACTAACTCAACAGACAAAGGCTGACAGCAAATGCATATGATAGCAATCCAGGATAACAGTACTGGAAACTAAACTAAACCTTTTAACATTCTTTTAGTTGTATTTTATGGTTAATATATTAACGATTGTGGTTTTTATAGTTGTAGGGCCTATTTGGTCTTATTCTGTACTCTGCCCCAATATCCAATTGCTGAAGGATGGTTTAAAAATATTTCGAGAAATAAATAATAAATGCACACCACCTTTTAAAAGACAGCCAAAATTATACCAATGGGCCCAGAAACTGCAGTATTAGTTCATTTGAAAGCATTTAAATTCAAATATGAAACTGAGTTTATTTATAATTTATTGGCAGCTGCTAGGATTTTAATTGCAGGGCTTCAAGTAGGGTAGGGCAAGGAGACTCTGAGAATCAGGCAATGGGAAAATAAACTCTGGATAGCGACGAGGAATCCGAAATTTACATACATGTAGCAGTGCTGTGGAAGGATAGAAATTAAATATAATGAAATCACTTTGGTGTCTCCTTTGCTTACTGGGAAAGAAGTAACAGGAGTGGGAAATTTGCCTGGAGTTTCATATGGTTATAGACAATTGTATGGTTTAATTTTGGCTATGGCATATTAACTCTAGCTCCACTCACCCAAGACATACTCCCCCAAGTTCCCCAGGAGGGAATGCGGCCCCTAGTCAGGAAAAAGATCCCCAACCATTGCAGCAAAGGTATATCCAAGCCATTGTGCTTATTATCTGCCTTCCTGTTTCTATTTACATAAAATGAATGCAGTGATTGAGAGATGCCAATGATCAGAGTAATGATATTTCATGGATAGCATGGCTCTATGTCTTTGCAGGGGTGGGGACAAGATGGCAACCACTGGGGATTCCAGTGATATCAGTGAACCCCTCTCTTGGTTGTTTTTTTACCCATCTCTGGTGCCCCCAAATTGAAGCTGAATCTTCATCACTAGTAGTGATGGTATTTTTCAAGCTCCCCATCCTCAATGAATGCTTTCTGCACTGTGATTTGTCTTTCAAAACACCCTGATGTATCTACTATTAAATCACTATGCATTGTAGATAAATGTATCATCATTGTAGATAAATTTATCAGTAGTGCCTAGACTACCACTGAAGAACCACTGAACAGCTCCAGTGTTCTCTCTGGAGCACAGTTGGGAAACATCTGTAGAAATGAATGGAGTCAGAGACAGTGAGCTCTTTTCCCACCAAGGGTCAGGTTTACAGTTGTAGAATCCAACCCAATACATATTTAATTCTTCTGATGCATATTTCATTCTGTTTACACTTTGTGCTGATCGCTTCTGCATTTCACTACCCTCTCCAGTGGTGCATAATGAGTGGCAGAATTTGGAAAGCACATGGAAAGGAGGTTTTCTTGGGGTGGATGGATCAGTCTATTTCTGCTTCATGTCTGCTCCACCTCTGGGTTAATCCCTATAAACACACCCACCCACCCACCAATATTTTAGATACATATATAAATCTGGACTTTTGAACCCCCCTTTTAAAAAATAAATGAATGAATACACATTTCTAAATGACTTCCCTAACAAAAAAGTCAGAGAAGTGTGAAATCCAAAGAACCAATATATTCTGATCTGCGCTTTGGTCCAGGAGGTTCACATCAGATCAGTTTGCATCAGAATCCCCCAAAATAAATTACTCAAGCATCCCTAGCTTGGGCAGGAATTAGATAATTCACTAGTGTGCAAGCAGCACATGACAGATCCTTCACTTCATGATCTTCCACTTCCTCCTCACCCCACATTAGCCATGAGCCTTGCTTTCTTATTTAGTAATGCTACATGAAGCTGTTTTATTCATTGTCAAACTGCTGCTCCATCCAGCCACTCAACTGCTAAAATAAATATTGTGCAAGCAGTTCATCTATAAGGATGGCAACAAAGCCTCATATGGCCAACACTGTGTTAACTTTTGCAGGAGGGGTGTAAAACATGGGGAAATGTACACAAGTTCTCAATCAACAAATTGTGTGTGTATTATTGTGACTGACAGACTGTGATCCATGCAAATTTATCATCCTACATGGCAGGGATAAATCATGCATAAACACCGAATCAAAGTCCTGAAATGATAGAAACACAATGAAATGGTATACAAAAATTGAATCAATGGCTTGGGTGTTAGGTTGTTTTTTTGTCTGTTACTATGGTATGTATTTTTGTGCCTTTATATTGTAAACCGCCCTATGAGCCTCAGTTGAAGAGCAGTGTAGAAATTTAATATATAATAATAATATGCTCTTTGCCAGGGTACCGTTTGGTCTAGGGCAGCATTTCCCAAACTTGGGTCTCCAGTTGTTTTTGGACTACAATTCCCATCATCCCTGACCATCTGTGGCCCTTCAGATGTTGCTGTACTCCAGTTCCCATCAGCCCCAGTCAGGCTTGTCCACACTTCTGGTTGTCATCTGATTTCTAGGCATGGGTCTGAGAGGTTTTTCTTTTGACTCGTCACTTTCACTGAGAAAACCTGCTGTTTACTGCTGAATCAGAACAAACGTCAATCTGCAGAAAACCCGACTGATGTTTGTTCCAGTTCCAATTCGGTTTTCTGTGGATTGATGTTTGTTCCAATTCAGCAGTAAATAGTGGGTTTTCCTAGGGAAAGAAAAACCTCTCAGAACCGTCCCTAGAAATCCCAGAACACATGGAAATGTGGATGAGTCCTCAGTTGGGCCAGTAGTCAGGAACAATGGGAGCTGCAGTCCAATGACATTTGGAGAGTCATGGGTTCCCCACCCCTTGTCTACTATGACTGACAGCAGCTCTCCAAATATTTCTACAGCCTTCACACCAAACACCCTTTAAGTAAAGTCACAGGAGACTAAAACAGGGACCTTTTACATGCAAAGGATGTGTTACTGAGCTATGGTAAAATGGAAGGGCATACCCAGGAAATAAGCAACCAACAAGTTTTTCAGCACATGATTTATTGAGCTCTAAGACAGTATCTTGAATGAGATTGCAAAATGCTGGCTTGCATTTCAATTCTTGAAAGATCACTGCTTAAATCATCTATCACAGCCATTTCAATATCAAATTAGCTGAGTTTGTGGTTGTCTGGAGAAATCATCATTGGTTTCTATGACTCATGTTATGTTTTAAAGAGCTCTGGAGAAGTGCCAAACCCAAGGGATATTTTTAAAAGAATAAATTATGTTTTATTTATGCTCCTGTAATTATTTATCAGATGAAATTTATCCTTCCCCCCTGCCTCCTATGATGCATTATTTTGTGGAATCAGATTTTCCCAGATAAAAGAATCATGTCGAAAAAATGCGTATCTTGGATATCTATATTTTAGCTTTACATATCTATCTTATCCTATAGCAGATGCACTTTTAACTACATTATAATGGATTTTTTAAAAAGTGCACTGAGGAAGCATCAGCTTGTAACCAATGTTATTCCTATTCATAGTAGACCTATTGAAAATAATGAACATTACTTAGATCTATGAATTTCAGTGTCTGATTTGGATATAACCCACCAGCATTTTTCTTTGGCTACACTTTTGCTAACCAAGTTTGGGGCCAGGCCTCCAGCTATGAGATACTGGAAATGATATTTGAGTAGAGAGATTTTATATAAGAATATCCACCAGCTCTCATCCAGCTTCTCCTTCTGGACCGCTTGGCTGGTGCAGGTGGAAGAGGTATCACCTGGGAGCTTACATCAAAAGCAGCAGAAAGCAGAGGCAGAGGGAAAGGAAGAGAAGGGAAATTGCAGCTAATATTCATCCACCCATTCATAACCTACCTTTATCACTATATTTCCATACATATCCCTACCATGCAAGTGGCATCATAAGAATGTAACCCAAAACGTAAGAATATAAGAAGAACCTGCTGGATCAGGCTGGTCACCCATCTAGTCCAGCATCATATTCTCACAATGGCCAACTAGATGCCCATGGAAAGCTAGCAAGCTTAAGCACAAAAACATTCTCCTCTCCTGTGGTTTCCAGCAATTGATGTTCAGAAGCATTCCTACCTCTGACTGGAGGCAAAGTTAAGCCATCACGGCTAGTAGCCTTTGATAGCCTTATCATCCATTAATTTGTTTAATCTTCTTTTAAAGTCAACCAGGTTGGTGGCTATCACTCCTTCCTGTAGGAGTGAGTTCCATAGTTTTAACTACGCACTGAGTGAAGTTCTTTCTTTTGTCTGGTCTGAATATCCCAACAGTTTCAAACGTTGGGGTTGGGGAAGATAGGCTTGAGGTCACCCCAATTTACCTTTTACACCACCATCACTATCATCACCTGTTGCATGGGAGTGTTGCTCTTCCTGATTGGCACTGGCTAGCTGCCCACCTTCAAAAAAGCTCAGTCTACCTCTGACCCAAGTGGTACTAAAGGGAGCCCCTTTGAAGTCATCACCTGGCCTCCTAATTGTGCAAAGTGACTGACAGGTGGATGGCCCCAACCACCTGTCAAAGTTGACCTGTGGGGAGTTGAGGGAGGTAAGGATCTGGCCCACAAGCTGGATATATTGGTGCTTTAAATGATACATTGTGAAGCACACTTTGGAGGAAGCATTAGACACTATGAAGTAGGGATATTAGGTTTTTTGCTGAAAGTGGAAATGGGAGGGGAAATGGCGGTTGAGCACTTATTTGGCCCATGTCCGGAACAAAAATCAATCAAGCAAATATTATCAGTATTTGCTGTAACTTTCAGTCTGGAGATGATACTTACCGGTAATTGATTATCCTCTCCGCAATTGCTTTGCATTTGCTTTGCACTGAAATGGGTTGTCATTTTATCATATTGCAGGATAATATTGCAGTTTTAGTAAGCATATCATTCTCTCTATGTTCTTTTATATTTGCATCATTATGGGGTTGCTGTTTCTTTTTTTAAACAACTGTAAGTTGCTTTGAGACATGTTATGTAGTAAGTGATGAATAATGGTTAATAATAGTAATAATAATTTATTTTAAAATAATTTTCAAAAAGAAATTAAAACTCAGGTATCTTCTTCATACTACTGGTCTTTTCTGCACCCCACTGCATAAGTTCCAAATGTGCCAATCCAGGATTTTGCTTACCTCATCCCTTCACTCTGCTTTTGCTTCATTTATCTACTTACACACCTTGCCAGGCAGTAATAGAAAATGTTCAGATGGCCTATGACAGTGATTTCTGCATCAAAGATAATCCGTCCACTTTTGCACCTGTGATTATGGTATTTGAGACCTCTTTAAGGCCCTAGCTATTTGGACATGTCACATTCCTTCTGCCACATGGCCGAACCATATGCAAAGGCTCATCAGCTCCCTGCTGCCTTCTATGTCCATAGAAAATCCCTTTGCAGTCTTCAGGGAAATGATTTAGACCCCTTCTGCTCTCATTTGGCTAGGTCAGGCTAAGGGCTGGATTTGGTAACTCAATATAAATATAGTCCTCAGATTTTCTGGGGACCTGCACCTTCTCTGCATATAGGCAGAAGCAAATCAACAGAGCTATGTTTTGACAAAATGTAGAACTTGAAGAGTCTTCACTTTTATTTGGCAGGCAAACGAGAAAGATGCAAATAAAACCATTTGTATCTTGAAGTTGCTACGGCAAAAAATGGAATGCATTAGGTACTCAAGAGCCAAAGGGTGAAATTCTATCAATGTCAATCTAGAATCAATCTGTCATCATTACCCACCATCTGTCATGTTCCTCATACCATTTCAATGCAGCTCTTCTTTCCTTATGAGTTTGGGGTGGTGGGTGGGTGTGAATGTGTGTTTACTTCTCAGTGGTCATTCAGCAATTGGAGTAAAGTAGTTGAGAGGGTTAAAGAGCAGCCCATGCTAGAGAGAGTTTAGCCCCCACCTCCAGCTTTAGAAAAATTAGGTAATTTTGGCGCAGTTTATTCTGAGCTATTCCAAACCAATACGGACTTGTCAGGGGAGCAACATTGTTCAGCCTCTTCCTCAACCCTTAACCAACCCTGAAACCTTTCTCATTCAATCCAAATCAATTCCTACTATTGCCATTGATTCCCTACCCTCAGCTATGTGGGGTGAGATAGAAGGTGGGCTGGAGAATCACTCGCGGGTTGGTGGAGCTTGGGGTTTGTTTGTTTGTTTGGTTGGTTGGTTGGTTGGATGAATGGATGCATGAGAGGGTATTTAGGAGCTGACTGAATGGATGGGGGTGGGAAAAGAAGTATTCTCTGACTTTGGTCTGAATGTAAGCCGTGGAAGAATTTGGTTGCCGTTATATTTCCTTTATTTGCAATACGTGTTATAAGCCCCCAAGATTCACATTTCTGGCCTGCAAAACCAGAGACTTGCTGATATTGCTAGCCCATGACTCACAAATGTACCTTCAAGAGATGTAAAATGGGGGGGAGGAGGTGGATATGCCAAGTGTGGCTACTTCCTTCATTTCATCAATATGACAGGAAATACAGAGCTGGTGATATTCTCCCATCTGTTTAACTCATACAAGAATGAAGATCCCAGTGGAATTTGACAATGGCTATCCTAAGGAGCCAGAGTGATCCAAGAGGCAGAAGTAAATCTGCCACCAAAGGTGGGAGGTAGAGCAATCCTTGACTAAGGGGGAGAAGGGCTTAAGCTCAGTGATAGAGCATCTGCTTTGCATGCAGAAGGCCCCAGCTTCAATTCCTGGCATCACCAGGTGGGGCTGTCTGGAATTTTGAATCACTGCTGCTAGTCAGGGTGGACAGTGCTGAGCTAAATGGGCCAATGGCAACTTTCTATGTAAAGGCAACTTCATATGTAAAGTCATTGTGATAAGAGTGCAATAAATTGGCATGGTAGGTTGTGCGGATAGTACTTGGGTTGCTTTGGCAATGCAGAGAGTAGAATGGCAAGATGCAAATAAACTACAAGGACTGGAAGCTGCAGCACCATGCTTTGAAGAAAAATTAATTTGAAAAAAAATCATGGAATGGTGGAGAATTCCTAATACGTTCACTCCACTGTGGAAAGAAGACCAAGTAATTCAGAGCTTTGAAATCCAGTGAGACATTAATGGGAGGAGAATTGCAGAAGCATTGCTAGCAATGTAGATTTGCTGCTGATCAGTAGCTCCCCAGGATTGCTGCTATTATTTAAATTTGTACCATGAATGTTTGAAACCACGGATTGAGGCCAAACAACAAGGAAATAAATTATTTTTTAAATAAAAAGATGGGGGTCTTTCTCACCTTACAAAACAAATAAGCAAAGCGAAGGGAAGGCCATATTGACAAAAGTTTTCCCTTTGGACATCTTTCCCTATTAACAAATCCAGAAGGTTGGCTGCAGACCAGCCTGTCATGCTTTTTTTCCTGCACTGCAGCAGTTGCCGAAACAAAGAGTTTATGGGCAACTTGGTTATGGCAGCAGCAGCAGCAGCTCAGGCTCACAGCTGGAAAAGATGTTCGATTACCATTCCAACACAATTGCTGAACGTCTCCTTGCAGGCATCAAACAGCTGCTTTGGGAAGGAAACTGGTTCAGGACCATCACGCTGCTCTTTAAATGGAGCATAAGAACATAGGAAGAGCCCTGCTGGATCAAGCCAAAGGCCCATCCAGTCCTGCATCCTGTTCTCACAGTGGCCAGCCAGATGCCACAATGGGAAGCCTACAAGCAGGACTTTAGTGCAACAGTGCGCTTGCCACTTATGATATCCAGCAACTGGTAGTCAAGGACATACTGCTTCCAACAATGGAAGCAGCACAAAGCCATCATAGCTAGTAGCCATGAATAGGTTAATCGCCCATGAATTTGTCTAATTCTTTTTTTAAAGTCATCCAAAACTGAGGCGATTACTACCACTTGTGGGAGCAAATTCCACAGTTTTAACTATGCACTGTTCTTCTTTTGTCTGCCCTAATTCTTCCAACTCCCAGCTTCATTTGAATCATCAATTCATATGCTGAGGAAAGCAATTATAGCGTTGAGATTTGAAACTATGCCCACAGCATGTTTGGATGGGAGATATGCCAGGATACCTGCAAAATGTCATTTGCATACCTGTTCCACGAAGAGGTGGGAAATATTGTTCATTATGTACTGCGTTGTTCCTTGTATTAATTCTCCAAGGAGTAGGTAGCTGCTACTTGCTGATGGATGGGAATAAATGTGCTACACCTACAGTTCACCTTAGCAGCCCAACAGCCCAAAATTTCATTGCACAACATAGGATCCCATGTGCTGGGGACCACCTGTTCTAAGATAAATTTCTATACTGTTTGCATTGTGATGGCCAATGGTTTCTAACAAATAAATTTGCCTGGTAGCCACTGATAAACTTCATAGTTACTAACTCCAGATGCCAGAATATATGTGTATAGCAGCACATAGGAGCATTTAATATACAGTTAAAGGTAAAGGTACCCCTGACCATTAGGTCCAGTTGTGGACAACTCTGGGGTTGCGCGCTCATCTCGCTCTATAGGCCGAGGGAGCCAGCGTTTGTCTGCAGACAGCTTCTAGGTCATGCGGCCAGCATGACTAAGCCGCTTCTGGCAAAGCAGAGCAGCGCACGAAAACGCCGTTTACCTTCCCGCCAGAGCGGTACCTATTTATCTGCACTTGACGTTCTTTTGAACTGCTAGGATCCCATGGTTCATCCCCCTCATGGCAACCATGTGAAGTAGGTTAGGCTGAGATACAGAGACTGCCAGAGGTCACCCAGGGAGCTTCATGGCTGAGTGGGGATTTGAACCCTGATTTTCCAGGTGCCAATCTGACAATCTAACCACTACATCACACTGGCTCATCCATGCATTTACCTGGTCCCTTTAAAAGACATCTATGCTGGTGCAGCAGAATCTTTACAGCTTTAGATCATGGTTCCTCTCCTCTCATCCTTTCTTCCAACCTCAGCAATACTGGGTGGCAGCATTTTCATTGGGCAGCAGCAGAATCACTACATACTTTCACCAGAAAATAATGGAGTACCTAAGTGGATACAATGCGTTCTATTTTTTATCCTACCAAAAGAAAAGGATAATGGCTGAAACAAATCAAACAATGCTTCTATTATCAGTATGAGAATAAAAATTCCCCGAAGCCCTGTGTCTAAATGAATTTGAAAGTGTAAGTACTTAAGCAGTGGAGATAAGCAGAAGACGCAATGGGGCGGGTCTATGGAGAATGTTTTTGAGGGTGTTTTCAGAGAGCCTTTGGGGCTCTGGCAATAATTTGATAAGGAGCCATGAACTGGCTCTCTAAACCAACTCCTGCAACAGACTCAGGAGAAGCCCTTTCAACTTATGTGAACGGAAGTGTAAAAATATGAAAACCACAATGGGGATATTTGGGTCAAACATACTGCAGAACTGCAAAGGCTAAAGCTAAAGAGAATTAAGTCAGAAGGATTGCATTGCTAGATGCTAATAACTAACAGATGCTTAGTATAGATTTGACTCTGTATTCTTTGCAGCTTATATCCTAGTCACTTCCGATTGGCCTGGCTTCCATAGCACAGGGCCTCATTGTGCCCAGTGCCAAGAGGGAAGGAGTGGCAAGCATGGTAAGAGATTGGCAGTATTGCTGGCTATGGTCCCACACAAGGTGTGACAGGTGGGTGGCCATGTCACCTTCCTTGAATGTCCCATCCCTCAGCCAGCACTGCATGCTTGTTGGAGGGGCGGAGCTTGCCTGGATTGGACTAGGGAAGAGAGTCCAATCCACTACAGAGCTATACAAAGAGGAAGGAATAGTGGCAGAGCCTCAGTCATTGACTTCCCTTCATGTCTGCCCACATTTGCCCACATTATTTGTTCTACTACTTAACCTCATAGCAAACCACCAAGGTCAGCTATGGAATGACTGAGCCAGACACCTTGGGAGCTTCAGCCATAGAGGAGGAATCCTGAGCCACCACAGAGCCCAATACTGGTAAAAAAAATCTTTCTTTGGATCATAGGAAGCAGCTGCTAGAGAACTATGTTCTGCAGAGATCTCTGCCAGAGGTTACTGAGAAGAACTTCAATGGATTGTGCTTCCCACATCATTCATTTTTGAAAATGTTTCCCTGCTGACATCCTCTGATGCCAATGATTCAGCCCCAGAGATTCCCTCAGCTCCTGGCATCATTGTCTCTTCATCACTTCATTTCCAGAGAGAACCTGAGGACCGTGCTCTATCCACCTGGCCCAGGACAGGGCCTGACAGGCTTCATAAGGACTGCTGCTGTTGCACATTGGGGACCACCCTGCTGGGGGCCGTCCTCGTGCCTCTATCCACCTGGCCCAGGTGGTCCCTGCTGCTGTTGCACAGCGGGGACCACCCTGCTGAGAGCCTGGGGGGCGTAATCCTGCCTCTATCCACTTGGTCACTTAGATATGTAAGGGCATTTGGTGGGATGTTCCTGGAGGAAAGGAGTGGGGGGAAAGCAGGGGGAGGCACAATTACAGTGGTTCTAGGTAGGGGGAGGTCTTGCATGGGAGGAGGGGCAGGGTGGGTAAGGGGCATACGGCCCAGACAGTTAGTGACTGTGCTGTGTGCCAGCTCCTACTCCAACCTGGGGCATTGTGGATGTCATATCAGCCATCCCTCGGGTCTGCGACTGCTGCTGTTGAATGCCAGGTCGGTCCAGAATAAAATCTCCCTCATCCATGATCTGGTTTTGGATGAGGAGACTGATCTGGCATGTATCACTGAAACCTGGCCTGGGTGGGTGAACAGGGTGGAGCTGGTCTTACCCAGCTGTGCCCACCTGGGTACTCAGTGCAGCATCAGTGCAGCATTGAGGGTCGGGGAGGGAGAGTTGCTGTGGTTTATAGAGATTCTTTCTCTTATCTTCAGGTTCTCTGTACAGTTGGGGGGGGGGATTTAGAGTGTTTTCTGGCATTGGGCAGTCAGGGCAGATTAGGGATTTTGCTGGTTTACTGCCCACCCCGCTGCCCAGCAGTCTCCCTGCCTGAACTGACGGAGCTGGTCTCAGAGGAGGTATTGAGGACTCCCAGACTGCTGGTTCTGGGAGACTTTAACATCCATGCCAAGACAGCGGGCTCTGGGGTAGCTCAGTCAAGGCAACCATGGGGCTGTCCCAACATGTCACCAGCCCAATGCACATGGCAGGCCACAATCTGGATCTTGTTTCTCAAGTAGGCAGGAAACGGGTGATTTGAAGTTGGTGGACATCAACATTAGTCCCTTGTCATGGGCAGATCACTTCCTGTTGAGATTTAGGCTGTCAGACCTTTTCCCCTCCGCAGAGGCAGGGGACCTATTAGGAAGGTCCGCTCGTGGAGGCTGATGGATCCAGTGGGATTCCAAATGGCTGTGGGGGGGGGATTCAGCTGATGCCCCTGTCGAAGCCCTAGCTGACCTCTGGAACACCCAAATAGATTCGGGTGTTGACACAATCGCCCAAGTGTCCTCTTCCACGTCGTGGAGCCCGTTTGGCCCGCTTCAAAGTGCTGGTTTTGACCTACAAAGCCTTAAATGGCTCAGGACCACAATACCTCAAGGACTGCCTCTTTCCACTGGCGTATGAAGGGGGCAGGGGAGTGTGCCGCACTGGGTACCATTTGGGGAAAGGGTGCCATCACAGCTGCACCCCCAGCACATGCAACCCTGGGATGCGTGCCACACCCATGTGGGCAATGCGCCACGCCCCCAGGACGTGTACCATGCCCCCACGGGCGACGCGTCATGCCCCTGGGACGCGTGACAACCATGCCCCTGTCTGTTCTCCGCTCCGGGGGCTGCAGCATGTTGCTCTGCCACTGCCTCCCCGGACCCTGCGATCATCATATGAGGCCCTTCTTTGTGTGCCTCCTATTTGAGAGGTCCGGAGGGCGGCAACACAAGAATGGGCCTTCTCTGGAGTGGCTCCCTGTCTGTGGAATGCTCTCCCCAAGGAAGTTTGCCTGGTGCCTTCACCTTTAGGCACCAGGCAAAAATATTCCTTTTTAACCAGGCCTTTGGTTGATTTGATTGACATCCTATGCCCTTTTATAATGTGGCTCTTGGGGGGGGTATTGGGTTGTTGTTGTTATTTTGATTATATATTTTTGTGGCTTTATATTTTGATTTTGTCCTGTGAACTGCCCTGAGGCATAAGAATATGTCTGAAGGACTATTCCTCAGTAACAGAGCACCAGTGGGTCTGGGAGTGGCCGTATTCTGAAACCTTGGAGAACCACTGTCGGTCGGTGTTGACAATATTATGCTACATAAGGTTATGACCTGACACAGTATAAGACAGCTTTCCATGTTTGTACTGTATGAACTCTTGTGGATATATAACAATTTAAAGTACCGTAGATTCCGGCGTATTAGGCGACTGGGTGTATAAGATGACTGCCAATTTGGGGGGGTCACCTTATACGCTTTGGCAGCTTCGCTGCGCAGCGGGCTCCGTGCCGGGAGGAAGCTGCCCAGCGAAGCTGGCTTAGCATCGCTGGGCAGCTTCCTCCCGGTGTGGAGTGGAGCCCGCAGCCCACTGCAGCCATACCCGGCGTATAAGATGACCCCCGACTTTTTAACCTCTTTTCTGGGGTTAAAAAGTCGTCTTATATGCCGGAATCTACAGTAAGTAAGTACACTTATGAACATGCACCAGCAGTTGATCTCACATGTTTTTAATGGTCCAAACTCAAAATGAAAAGATGAAATGAAACTTGTCCACAGTGCAACTGTATGCTTTGGATATATTAAGATAACCTTGTGATGGGGTTTTAGAAAGTAAGCATACGTGTGTAAACATAATGACATCTCATCAGCCAAAAGGGGAAACAGTTCAATACTTAACATATTGAAAGCCAGTGTGGTATACTGGCTAGACCATTGGACTGGGACCAAGGAGCCCTGGGTTCAAATCCTTAAAAAAACCCCATCTGGCTGGCTTTTCCAAGTTCGTGTATGTCTCGCAGCCTAGCCTACCTACTTCTCAGTTGCTATGAGGATAAAATTGGGGTGTGCGTGCGTGCATGCATGTCATCCTGTGCGGTGTGAAACATCTATTTAAAAAAACACTTAGAGGAGGAAGTTGAATATTAGTTTAAATTTAAATTGTAGTGCAAATATAGACAAAAAGAACCTACAGTGTCAAACCTTCCTGCTTTCTTCCCTTTTCTGGCTGATTGTTCTATGCATAATGAATGTTAATGTAAATATTACTTAACATCAGGATAAACTTTCCTCTCCTTTCTTCAGGAAAGTGACATGACTATATGCCAAAACATAAACATTTTATAGCCAGTTTGTTAATTTGTATGACTATCAGGATGATCAAATAATTAAACTAGGTCTGGCAAGAGGATGTGATACCAAGGGTCATCCTAGTTTATTTCCCTTTCCATTGCCCAGAGTTGTTTTGATAATGGAACCTGCATTCAGCACCATGAACAGATCTTCTCGGATAAAAAGCGTTTCATAGAACCATAGAACTGCACAGTTCATAGGGGCCCTGAGGATCATCTAGTTGCAACCCCCTGTAATGCAGGAATATGCAACTGTCCCATACAGAGACTGAACCTGCAACCTTGGTGTTATCTGCACCGTGCTCTAACCAAATGAGCTGCTCCCTGACCGCTGAACATAAGGGTAAGGGCTCATTCACACTTTTGTTTGTTGTGTGATTACTAGGCACAGGTCTGAGATCTTTTTAATTTGTCTCACCGCCTTCCCCAGGAAAACCTACTGTTTACTGCTGAATCAAAACAAACATTAATCTTCAGAAAAGACAGTAATGTCCCTATAAAAAGGTACTGTTAAATGCTATTTCTGAAAGGAAAGTACTATCAAAATTCTCTAAGAGGGCAGCTGATTTTTGGTTCACATGCAAATCCTCTGCGTCTTCTGAGTCTTCAAGACCCTTGTCTGATAGGGGTGGGATGGAGTGTTCAGCCATGGTTTCATGCATGGGAGAAAGCTAGGTTGAACTTCCATCTCTGCCATGCTAGTTCGCTATAGACAGAAAGGGGTGGGTGGGTGTATAGGGGTATATGCAAAGCATTTAGGCATGTAACTCTAGGAAAAACATGCATCCTTTGATTCTGCTGAATGTATCATTCAGGGCATGTTCAGTCATACTCAGCTGGTTTTTAAATTACAGTTTTCAGAATGTGGATGTGCCAGCCCCCACTCCGCAGGACTTTATGACATAGCAGTATAATTCCTAAGGAAAACCACAACTGTTTCTGAGAACTCTAGTTCATTTTTTAAAGGTCAAAACAAGCATTTGTAACAGTTTGGTGACCCACCTTTCCCCCTCTGTATGCACGCACGCACATGTGAGCACACACACACACAGATACACACAGAACTGCCAGCTGGCTCTGGTGAGCCCAGCTTATGTTTTACTGATTCTTTTGTCTCTTTTACATGAGTTGAGTCAATGCACGGGAGTATTTGGATCCAAGAAAGGCACAGGTCACATGAACTTGGGAGAAAAAGAGAGAAAGGACCAACTTTGCTAATAGTCCGGACGTGCATGTTGGGGAGATGCAGTTCCAGGCTGAAAATGGAGTAACAATGGGGTGAGCAAGAAGCAGCCAAGAGGAACTGAAGCTCCAGTGAGAGGAGGGGGCTGGGAATCAAAAGAGCTCTGCGGTGAGAAATAAGCTACAACAAAAGGCCAGCTTGGGAAAAGACTTGGCAGCGGAATTAATAAGCCACATGCATCCAGCATTCCTTCCAAAGGACCAGCCAGCCACAGAGACTGGTAAAGCTACGTTGACGTGATGTACCAGTTCAGAGGAAAAGCCTCAGTCCTGTCTTTGTAGATGCAGCTTAGCACATGCAAAAAGGAACCACATATAATGTGCCTCCAGTTTAGGCTTTGGAGGGTACATGTTCTGATCAGCATCCATACCCCGTGTGGTCTATAAATACTATAGTGGTACTTCTGGTTGTGAACGGGATCCGTTCCGGAGGCCCATTCGTAACATGAAAAGAGCGCAACCCGCAATGGCGCATCTGTGCACACGTGAATTGTGATTCGCCGCTTCTGCTCATGCGCGTGACATCATTTTGCACGTCTGCGCATGCGCGAACGGCGAAACCCGGAAGTAACCCTTTCCGGTACTTCCAGGTCGCCGTGGGACGTAACCTGAAAGAACATAACATGAAGCGGACGTAACATGAGGTATGACTGTATTTGGAACTTGACACATCAGACCCTAGAGTCTGAATACTCTGGTAGCTACTGGACTTGGCTGGGGCAAGATCCCTACCTGAAACCCAGGGGGTCACTGCCAGTCATTGCAGACAGTACTCAGCTAGATGGAACAGTGAGCCCTCTCAGTATAATGAAACTTCATGTGTTTGTGCTCCAAGACAGGGGTGGGAAAGCTTCAGCTAGCCAGATGCAGACAAACTACTTGCTGCCCCCCTCCTAAGTGCCTTGTACTACATCAAACTAATGACCCATCTTTCTCAGTGCTATCTATGCTGACAGTGCTCCAAGGCTTCAGGCAAGGGATGTTCCTAACCTTTCCACCTTTTAACTGGAGATACTTGGGATCTGGTACCATGACCCCAGATAAAGTTTCCTTGGAGACAGAGTTCTTTGGCAACTGAAGCTTGGATGGATCTGGCAACAGAGCTCTAGTCCCCTGGGCCCTCAGGAGACACTTCAGCTGCCAGACTGACGGCTGGTCTACTGACTCTTCAGTGCCCCAAGGGAACCCTAAGCAGACATCCCCACAGCTGCCACAAAGAAGTCATTGTTTACAAACGAAGGAACTGGCAACTGCCCTCTGACTAATAATCATCTAGTACTGCTTTGAAACTCAGATGCTCCAGAACTTAGGCGAGACAACTTGGATGTCCAGCCTCAGTGGCAGGAACACTGCACTTGTTCCTGAACCAACACCTTGAACTCTCTCCACCTTGAACTCCCTCTGACCTTTACCTTGCCTCATCTTGGCTACCACCCCTCCTTGTTGGTGACCTTCCCCTTGGATCATGAATGCTATACAAGCAAAATATATGCTCTATTACTGTGCTATGGCCTCTTCCATTAAAACAGGTTCTGAGTTTAAGCCCCTGCAAAAGCTAAGGTCTGAGCAAGCATACGGCATCTTGATTAGCACTGGTGCATCTGAGCTGTTGCACTGCCTGATAGGAAATCAAAAAGAGGCAGAAACCTCAGTGGGCTCTGGGGTCTTATCTGCTGTGTCAAATCCTATGCTAATTGAAGGATTTAATCTTCTTACTTCTAGCAGAGCCAGATACACAAATCCTTCTTCCCAATGCACAGACGGGCAAGAATGCAACACCGCTGTGACTACTCTGTTTTTGTGATGTGGGTGGCATTTGACAAGTAGGCCAAAACCCACAATTAAGAGATGTTTCTTCCTCTCCAGTAGCGGAGCAACACAACTTCATCTGCCCCACTTGCAATAAAACATATTGGTCTCTACAGCCACAGCAGGTGCTGTAACTCTCCAACCGTTTGACTTCATCCCCAAAGGCACACTCTTCTATTGTCTCCAGAGACAGACATATGTCAACCTGTGTTCTAAATTGATGTCTGGAGGGGAGGGATTTCCAAAAGGCAGTGCTTTGTCCTGGATCCTAGGAAAGTCAACTGAAAAGTCACCTTTTTTTCAGCTCAACAATTTTGGGTGTTTCCTTTTAAAAAAGCTCAGCAACTTTCGGGGTGTCCTGTTCTTTACTTTTTGAAATATGGCAACCCTACTGTTAAGGAGACAAAAGCCCAGCAGATCCAGCTGTAGTCTGTATCTAACCAATGAACTCATTTCCGAGAAATTCAGTCAAGGTGTGTGAGCATTATAATAATAGCTGGAACAGGGTTAGCTGAGTGAAAGAGGATTAGAATGAAGATCATCCTAGTTCCAAATGGCCCACCCACTCATGTGCTCATGTTCAGGTACCATCTGTTTATCTATCTCCATTTACAATTTCATTCAACTCTGAAAATCAGCATTTGATGATCAGGGTTCCACCTTCCCCTGCTCCCTGCCCATAGAAGATAAGACTTTTCACTCTCTGTAGTCATCACACTTACAGACACACAGCCATTGAATCCCATTGATTCAGTGGGTCTACTTTGAATAGGGCTAAAATTGATTACAATGATGCCATCTAAGGAATCTGGATCTGATCTTCTAGCAGCGCACAGAGTCAGAATGTGTCTCTGGAATGGATCTCAACTTTGCATGCTGGCGAACTCTGTTTCAATTAGAGCAGTCATCTCCTCCACCTTCCCAAGAACCTGCCTGGGAATGGCCTTCTATACCAGGTGCAAGGAACATTCGGCCCTCCGGATGTTGCTGAACTACAACTCCCATCAGCCCCAGGCAATGGGAGTGATGCAAGTTCCAGTTCAGCAACATCTGGAGGGCCAAAGGTTCTTAAATTACAAAGGGAACACCCTTGGATTACTGAGGTCAGCCAACTGGCTCCCTGAAGTGGCAGAAAAGTTTTTTTCCCTACTAACAAAGAAAAGGAAGCTAAGTTCATAGCCCCCTTGCAGAAATATAGGAAGTTGCCTTTTATAGAGTCAGACCACTGACTCACACAGCACAATAACTGTTCACTGACCAGCAGAAGCTGTCCAGGATCTCAGGCAGGTGACATTCCCAGTCCAAACTAGAGATTCTGGGCATCAAACCAAGTACTCTGCCAATGAGCTACAGGTTACAGCTCTTTCTCCTTCAAAGGTAATCTTACTCCACCTGTTATTTGATTTTGCCTGTCCACAATGAGTAATCCAATCTTTTGAGTGTATTTACACACACACACGTGCACACACACGTGCACACACACGTGCACACACACTAAATGCCAAAAAAATACTCTGGCCTGACATTAATTTTTAACCCCACTGGTCTGGCTCTAGTCAAAGACAAGCCTACCCATGTGCAATCTCTTTTCACCAAAGACTTGTTTTTAAAGAAGAATAAAGCAATGAGAATAAGTGCAGCCCTTTAATCTCCATTAGATGTTTTATGCTGATTCGGCGCCCTGTGATTTAGCGACAGTGAGAGAAAGGCAAATAGAAATTATGCACAGCTGTCTGAAAATGGCAGGACTGACCTGCCCAGCCAGAGCGCTTTGTGCTGCAGAGGCTGTCACCTAGCAACTGGTCCTTGCAGCTGCCAGACTACACAATGGGAGGTTGGGGGAATGGGAATACACATACCAGTCAAAGCCATGAGTTATGGGAAGGAAGCACGTGAAGAAGGGAAGGTGGGAGACATTGAATCAAGACGGTTTTTGTCCTATGGCCTAAATATTGCCCTTGGATAGCCTCTCGTGCTGAGAGTGGGCCTTCAAAACACCTGTGGCTTTGCAGGATGAGACTCTGGGTTTTTATTATTATTTATTTATTAGCTCAAGCACAAACGTGGCTGTCAAAGGAGGCTAACCCATAAAGGCAAATGGAGCACTGCCTCACTAAACACAGCCTGCCCTTAGCAAGCTCCCACCTGCTTATCTTCTTACAGTGGTACCTCGGGTTAAGTACTTAAATCGTTCTGGAGGTCCGTTCTTAACCTGAAACTGTTCTTAACCTGAAGCACCACTTTAGCTAATGGGGCCTCCCACTGCTGCCACACCACCACCGCCCAATTTCTGTTCTCATCCTGAAGCAAAGTTCTTAACCCGAGGTACTATTTCTGGGTTAGCGGAGTCTGTAACCTGAAGCTTATGTAACCTGAGATACCACTGTATTTGAAAGCAGTCCAGTGATGGTCCAGGACAGGGGCAGAGAAACTAAAATTGGTTGGTGCTGGGTGTTATTTTGCTCTGGCTTTGCCTGTCATGGGCTTTGTCTCCACCTACTCTTGGGCTCCTTGCCTTCCCCCTTATCATTCCCAATGGGCAATAGGTTGAGTTTTGTCACCATCCTTTTCCTTACTGAGTTCTACAAAGGCAGCACTGAGACCAAGACCCTGAGGAAGACATTATGGTTGGAATTCTTCATGAGAGCTATGCAATATTTTCTCCAGTCAGTTGTACTGTCTTGGTACTCATGTTTGCCTATAGATTATATATATATTTGCAGTTGTTTACGGCAGTGGTGGCAGCAAAGTGGGCACTGTCAGCTCTTGGCCAACACCCATCAGATCAGGAATGATGAAAGTTGTATTCCAATAAAGATCTGGCTGCACTGACTGCACGAATACAGTTTCTAAAACGGGCATCTTGGACCTCATGGCGCTTATAGTCTATATTGTGCCCATCTCTTCTTTGGACTGTGACACTAATTAGCATGCAATGAGGATGATTTGCCAATTGAATACTTAACATTAGTAATTAAGAGGTGTCCAAATCCTTGCTATTATGCACAGCTGAGCGTTTCCTTTGCTGCTTAAAAAAATATGCAGAGAACATGCAATCATTGGTGATTATGGGTGATTTGATGGCAAGTCCCTAATCACACCGAAAAACAAGGATTAAAGATCTAGGCTAGCAACATCAGCAAAACTCCATTTCAAATTTTGAACAACAAATGATGCCAAAAAGTTAAAAATAAAAATTCCCTACACAGGCAATGAAGCAGTTTGTTGACTGGCATGTTTGGCTATAAAAGTCTCATTGCTTTCATTTCATCCTGACATATGCTTGTCCAGATGTAAACCTCAGTGACTGCAGTTGTCTAAAATAATAGAAAATCCATAGTATCGCAGAAAGTAATAACACCATATTAAAATTCAGTGAAAACAGTGCCTTAAACTTTCAGCAAGAATTATGAGATGTAGGCTAGGATGCTTTTAATCCACTGTGAAGCCCACTTGAGCATGCAAAAGTCATATTCATCATAGCTAATATTCTAATTCTAGCCTTTGATACTTCATTTACATGTAATCCTGCAGTCTGCCAGCAGTTGATAAGGTTTCTGATATGGCTGCATTAGGAAGGCGAGAGGGAGTGTTTCAGTCCCATTACAGCTGAGTTGTCCAGAAATGAACTCTGCAGGAAAGCTTTTCAGGTTTAAGAAGTTCACAAATCTTTCAGTATATACTCAAGTAATTTTTAATCTGGGTCAGCATCAGCACCTGGTGTCCCAAGGCAGCTGCCGCCACCCAGCATCCTGGTATGGCCCAGGGCTGCTGCCTGACATGGCCCCTTTTAAGTCTACTGCAATTTAAATTTCCCATAATGGGAAAGTGGGACATTGTCTCAGGGCACCATGTGAAATTAAAATGGCAGCTAAGCCATCTCGTATACACAGCGGACTGTTGCTCTCTTTCTCTAGGTAAGCCCTCCAGGGCCCATTGATGAAGAAAGAGACCCACCAGAGGACACTTTGCTCAGGGTCCCCTCAGGCCTGGAAACCTCAAGCTTGGAGAAAGTGGACAGAGAGAGGTCCCCCGCCCCCATCTCTCATAATATTAGAATCTGATGGGGTTACCCACTGAAACTGAATTCTGGAAGAATCAGAACAGATAAGGAGGCACTTCTTCACGCAGCACATAGTTAAACCCTGGAATTAGCTCCTACAAGAGTTAGTGATGGCTACACATTTGGGTGGCTTTAAAGAGGGTTGGAGAAATTAATGGAAGGTAAGTAGGATAATAGTTACTAGCCAAGATGATGGACGTTTTAAAAACTGGTTGCTTCAAGACCATTTATGGGGAAAAGCAGTCTGTAAATATTGGAAGTAAATAAATAATTGACCCCACCCTTATTTACTGTTCCAACCAGGTTTTTTGTTTGGTTGATTGGCTTTTCATTTTTTGCGCATGTCTTGATTTTTTGACAAACAGCCAACAAAGCAACCTAGAGCATGCAGTAAATCAAAATATAAAAAGATCAGATCAGTAGAAGCTTCCATAAGTTCTTAGACCAAGATCAAGAAAGCCTAATGCAAAAAAGTTTGGCAGAAAAGTAAAAGAATGTGCATCCCAGAAATTCACCAAGTGCATAAGAATCCTCTTCGTGGAGCCATGAGATGTTGGAGGAGAGTACGAATACATTTATTTCTATTCACATAGCTTAGAAATAGGGAACATAGAATTACACCAAGCATTCCAGCCAGCTTTTTTTTTTTTTTAAGATGTATATTTCACTGTCCAAGCAAATACTTTTATATACGTAAGTTAGTCAAAAAGGAGGAGGGATGGAAAGACTGTGCCATTTGCCCTTCTACCAGACATGGTATCTGAGGTCAAGTCCCTCTACCAGGCTCTTGAGCCTTCAAGCCCATCAGCACATGGTAGGGACTGATGTCTGTAGATTGCCAAGAGAAGAACAAGCTTTTTCAGGCCCTGCCAGTGGACCAGATATCAGCTAAGTGGCAGAGAACAGATGGCGAGGGATGGGGATAGAAACGAAGGACCTCACCGTCCTGTTCTCCCCTGCTGCCCTGCAGGCAGACTGGCTGCATAATTATTCCTGTGGAGTCAATACCACTTATTATTTCCATTGTTCTTCATGGAGCAGAGCTGCAAAAGCTGTGACCTTCTGCACTGTTCCAGCTGCTGTATATTTGCACTCCGTGTGTGTGTGTGTGTGTGTGTGTGTGTGTGTGTGTGTGTATTCCTCTGTGTATGTAATATAAACTGTCCCCCCTCAAACTGATTTTAAATTAACTTCCATTTTGCAAAGTAGGATATAATAGAAAAGTCATGATTCATTGAAAAAGATCTGCTCCCTGGTGGTGCCATTTTAAATCTCTCTACACCATTTTAAAATCGATATTATCCCTGATATCAGTGGCTTGAGCTGAAAAACAACAGACTCCTAATTAGATACCAAACCCGGCCAATCCAACCTTCATCCTAGGGATCCTTATGATTCTCTGGCCAAGCCCACATTTCTCTCTGGATTTGGGGACCTTCCCTACTTTCAAGGATGCAACATTTGGTCCCCTCATCAGTATGAGCTAGCAGGAATGGCCATCATCCCTGACCATTGGTTATGCTAGTGGAGGCTTATGGGAGTTGTCGTCCAACAACATATTGAGGGGACCAGGTTAGCTGCCCCTGAACTACTGAATACCCACATGTCAATGTGTAGCCAATGTTATGGGTCTGAAGCAATCATGTTAGGCGTTGTTTCTTGAAGAATGGCACCACCATAGCTCTGGAAACAATGGTTTCATTTGTATTTGTACCTTCTGTGGAAACGGCTGTTCACTAACTTTTCTTCTTCTTCCACTGCTTGAACTATCTCACTTCACGCGTCATCTAAGCAAAGGTGGCAAATTCACAGAGCTCTGCAGAATCTAGCAGTGACCTAGCCTTGGTACACATTTGCATCTGCTTCTCCAGCAGGTATCTGGAGTTCACCTATCACCTGCCACATTACATCCTTGTAGAGGCAAAGACTGCTAGAGGGAAACATTCTAACAGGGCTAGGAATTCTCTGGTGTGTAAAACCACAAATGTCCTGACACATGAATATGTATATAACTTCATTGGAAAAGACAGGTAACATTTAGAAGAAGCAGCAGCACTTAGCTAAAGACTTAGGAAAATAAAAGCTATGGAATAACAAGCCAATGTTCCTCCTCCCCATTTGTTTTTGGTAGGTGCATATGATAACCTTCCCCCAAATATGGATCTTATATGTGCAGAATGAGCAAATAACCTGTCCATTAAGAGAAAATTATGCATGTTTCACAGATGAAAAGAGCCTGCTAAACCAGGCTGATGGCCTATCTAGTCCAGCATTCTGTTCTCACAGTGACCACCTAGATGTCTATGGGAAACCCTCAAGTAGGACTCAAGGACAAGAGCATCTTCCTCTCCTGTGGTGTCAAACAGCCGGTATTCAGAAGTGTTACTGCCTCTGACCGTGTCCTTGGGGAATGTGTATATATTGGCTGAATTTTGTTCAATCTCTGGTTATTATGCTTAATCTCCAGCAGGCCCTGCACAACATGCAGATCCTGACTGCATGTTGTACATTCTCAAGCCGTTACTTATAACCCAATGGAACCATTCAATTGATGAGCAAGTCAAGAACTTGAGATGTTCCGGCTGTCAGAGGTTAGGAAAAAGAATGCAACTTTAGGGAGATTTCTGGAAGCCAATAATAATAATAATAATAATAATAATAATAATAATAATAATTTATTTATTTATTTATACCCGGCCCATCTGGCTCGGTTTCCCCAGCCACTCTGGGCGGCTTCCAACAAAATATAAAAAATACCATAAAACATCAAACATTAAAGACTTCCCTAAGCAGGGCTGCCTTCAGATGGCTTCTAAAAGTCAGATAGTTGTTTATTTCCTTGACATCTGACAGGAAGGCATTCCACAGGGTGGGCACCACTACCAAGAAGGCCCTCTGCCTGGTTCCCTGTTACTTCACTTCCTGCAGTGAGGGAACCACCAGAAGGCCCTTGGAGCTGGATCTCAGTGTCCAGGCTGAACGAAGGGGTTGGAGACACTCCTTCAGGTCTCCAATGATGCCAGTAAACCAGTTGGTCATGTGAAACTCTTTTGATGCCCTTTTAAAAAAATTCCACTTCAGGCCTGCTCACTAATGTGAGCAATTAGGACATTGGCTCTGTGAGCTTTATGTCACTTTAGTCCCTAGTTGACTCCCCTTGCCCTCCGTTGCACACAAGTCGGAACAAAGCTGTAAAAATATTTGTACTCCAAAGTCTGTGAGGGAAGGCAACAATGTCAGTTTGGCTGAGCAGAAGTTTTGTGGGCAGGGGAAGTTTTGTCAGAAGGAGAAGTTTTGTGGAACAGATGTGGACGGGGAAGAGGACCTAGGAGGTAGGGAAGTCAAAGGGCAGGGAGTCCAGAGGGTCCTAGATCAGCTCACCTAGAAGTCCTTTTCCTCATTTTGAAAACTACCCTAAAGAAAGCCACAGTTTATTTGAATGGATGTATATAGATAGCTAGATAGAGAGTTTGGCATTCACATTATGGAGAAGGGCCACAGTTCAGCACTAGAGATTCCACTTTGAAAGCAGAAAACTCCAGGTTCAAACCCTGGCATCTCCAGGTAGGGCTGAAAAAGATTCCAGCAGTACTGGAGTACCGCTGTCAGTCAGCGTAGACAATACTGATCTAGATGGACCAATGGTATGAGTCAATATAAGGCAGCTTCCTATGCTCAGTTTTAAAATTTTATTTCTGGACTTCATTCAGACTGCTGGACATGTGCGTTCTCAGTCCCTTGTGTGTGTTCAGTCTAAGGGCTAATCCACACATCAGCTTGTTGCCCTCTGCTTTCCAAGGAAAAATCTGCTCTTTAGTGATAGATTGGAATAAATGGCAACCCGGGTGAAACCGGATTGAACACTAAAGAGCAGTTATCCCCAGGGAAAAGCAGTGGGACCAGAGGAAGTGTGGATTAGCCCTCAGTTACCAATGAAGTACAGTGCAAAAGGAATTGCATCCACATTCCTTTTTGTAACCTAATTTATCTGCACACACTAGAAGCAGCAGGGTGGGGCTGAGGAGTGTGTGTGTGAGAGAGAGATAACCAATGAACAGCAGGACACTTTAAACCTTCAGGAAACTGTCCATGTGCCAATTCCAGACATACTTTTGGAAAATCTCAGTAATAAACCCAAAGGAAAGAGGAGCACGACATTTTCAGCAGACTCCTCCACAATAATAATGGGATGCAATATGCCGGGGAATCTGTTCACCCCAAATGATCTCTACCCATTCCTCCAACTCACTTTGTTTCTAGACAGACAGCAACCCATTTTGCTTTAAAACGTTCTGACTAGTGTGAAGCTTGAGAACTGTTCAGACTGTGCCCTAAAGCCAAAATAATACTCTGGTACAATCTGCCTGCATTGTTTATTTCAAAGTGTGTGGTGGTGGCAGCAGCAGCAGCAGCAGCGGAGGGAGAATCCTTTGGAGAATATTCACAGTTCAGTGGTGCTCAGGACAGTGGTGTTGGTGCATCTGTTTTCCTCCAATGGTTGGCTGCATTCTCCCGCGTGATACTAATACCAGTGACAATTTAGTAACATAACCACTGGCATGAAAAATCTGGCTTCTATAGGAACAGATGGTGGCCACTTTGGCAGGTTAATTTTAGGCTTCAGTAGATGTTCACTTAGTCAGCATGGCTTTAGTATCAGAGAAGGAATATGGAAAAACATGGGTAAGGGAAACGAGAAGAGGATATTGCAACAGATTATAAAATTGTAGAGTGTGAAGGGGCTAAGGCTGCAATCCTGTGCCTGCTGACTAGGGAATAATTCTGATGAAACACAGCGAGAGTTACTTCTGAAGAAATATGCTTAGGATTGCACTCTGCAGCTTTCAAATATTTGAAGGATGTTCAGCTAAGGATTCCCAGTTTTTCATTAACTATATTTAAATGTAGTTAGCATGTTGAACCATGGGCATAGCCAGGCTTTGTGATTGGGGGTGGCTTTATGTTGGGGGTGCAGAATCTCAGTTAGTTAAATATTTTTATTGATTTACTTGTTTTAGGTGGGGCAGCTGCCCCTACCCCACCCCCCTTAGCTGCCCATATATTGAATATACTGGGTTGAGGGGTATATCTACATACTAGATTCACTCATTTCCCCCCCAGGGACAAATAAGGAGGTTTCAAAAGGAGGTTAATGTGATTTTCCTGCCAGCTTTCTCCAACATGGTACCCTTTGGGTGGAGAACAGTTTTCTTTCAGCATCAGCCAGCATGGCTAATGGTCAGGCATAAGGTGGGGAAGGCTTAATATGAATGTGGTAGAAAGGAAGGAAGGAGTTTTATACTGATTCAGACCACTGTTTACTTAGGTCAGTATTATGCTGTCTCACAACCAGTGGCGGAGCTTCAAGCTCCGGTGCGCGAGGGGGGGGCGGAGAGCAGGCGGAGGTGTGGCTGGCCCGCGTCCAGGGGGCATGGCACGGTGCTCGCAGGGGCGTGGCACGCATCCCAGGGTGTGGTGTGCTGCCCGCAGGGGCATAGCGCGCATCCTGGGAGTGTGGCACGCTTCCCAAAGGGGCGTGGCACGCGTCCTGGGGGCATGGCACGCTGCCTGGGGGTGTGGCGCCCAGCATGGGGGGCAGCCATGATGGCACCCCACCAGGATCGTGTCGCGGGGGGCAGTGCGCTCCCCCCGCCCCCCTGTTCCTCCGCCAGTGCTCACAACAGTGATTTCAGACAAGGATGGATCCCATACCTAACTGGTAATTGAAGCTGGGACCCGATTGGCTCGCACAGGATGTAATGATGACTACCAACGTGGATGACTTTAAGGAGAATTAGATAAATTCGGAGCGGAGAAGGCTATCAGTATGCCTCTGAAAACCAGCTGATTGGAATCACAAGTTGGAAGAACGCTATTACACTTAGGTCCTGCTTGCAGGTTTCCTATGGGCATCTGCTTGGCCACTGTGAGAATAGGATGCTGGACTAGATAATCCTTTGGCTTGATCCCGCAGAGCTCTCCTTATGTTCTTTTGCAAAGCAGGTGCTCTACCATTGAGCTAGGACCCTTCCCTAGAACGACTTGTGATGCAGTTGTGAAGGAAGCTAACTTACGCCACCCAGACTGTGTACACGTGGCATTTTATTCTAGAACAAATTGGAGACTCAGTACTTGCTTTTTCGATGTAGTCTACACACAATCTAGATCTATTGCATTGTTTTATTTATTTATTTGCTGAATTGCACCTGAAAAGCAGTTCAAGAAACTGGTTTCATTTAAAAAAACAAAACTTCTTGCAAATTGATTCTGCATTATGCTGCACTGTAATTTGAAAACAGATGTAGGCTGTCCTGGCAAAGTGTGTGTGTGCACAAGGAGTATATCCAATGACACTCGGTGGTTGTACACCAATACTACAAACCCCACTTCCTTCTTCATTCACCTAGGAGATGTGCAGGGTGCAAAAGGCAAGGATAACTTAATCAAGGGGCGAGTTTTCAAACAAGTGACAAGTAGCCACACCCACCCTTGAAGATGGCAGGACCTAGAATCAATCTAGATTGAAAGCAGCATGTTAAGGAAAAACATGAATTATTTTGGACTGATATTAGTGTATACACAGCTTCAGTGTAGACACAAGCATCATATGACCAAGTCAGCTTACCTGCTCACCCATCATGTGAGTAGGGCTTGCTTATGATCAAGTGGCAAGAGTGGATGTGGGATAGAAAATGAGACCCGCCAAACAGGACACTGTCTCAATTTAGGAAGGAGTTCCAATCTTGGCTTCTAAACAGACTGAAGACTCCAGATAGCATGTGGGAGAGGAGAAGACACCAGTGTTGTAACAAGTCTCCCATTCTGAGGCTCGCTGGTTAAGAATTTGATGGTGTTTTTAAGTACCGTATTTTTTGCTCTATAGTCTATAAGACTCACTTTTTCCCTCCTAAAAAGTAAGGGGAAATGTGTGTGCATCTTATGGAGCGAATGCAGGCTACGCAGCTATCCCAGAAGCCAGAACAGCAAGAGGGATTGCTGCTTTCACTGAGTAGCAATCCCACTTGCTGTTCTGGCTTCTGAGATTCAGAATATTTTTTTTCTTGTTTTCCTCCTCCAAAAACTAGGTGCGTCTTGTGGTCTGGTGTATCTTATAGAGTAAAAAATATTTGGACCAAACGCCACACAATTCTACTTGTGTATTTCCTTCCACTCTTTGTACTGTTGTGAAACTTTGGAGATCTTGGGGACATTTGAACAAAATGGTCTTACCTGCTTTCCATCCAGCGTGTACAGCTTTTTGACGACTCCTGTTTCCAGCTTTATGGCTTCTGTGATATCAGTGAGAACTTGCTCAAAGGAATGTGCCGTCTTCTTATTCAGCAGCACACGGACAGCCTTCCTGGGTTTCACCCCACTCCGAATGATGGTCACCAGCTTGGGGCGCACGAAATCCTTGTTCTCCCTGGCCTGACCACTGTTGCTACTGGCCAGGGACTGAGGCGCTTTCATGTTGGCGGAGGTTTTCACGTTGACAGACCAGTTGGGGTTGACATTCTTGGTATACTCCACTTTCTTAAAAAAGTTGTCAGATGAACATACGTAACTTTCCCCTTTTGAGAACGGAAAAGAGGGAAGGGGTTAGAAAACAACAGTGACAATATAGCAATGGGGTATTTCAAATAAAAGTAGAGCCAGAGGAAGAGAAGTTCCTCCTGCAATCACATTTCTTAAACACAGATGGATTTCTAAAACAGTGGGAAGTGCCCACTGGGCATTATCAATTTATCAACCTTCCTGATACAGCAACAGTTATTCCAGGAGAGGGCCCAGCATTTATGTAATTTTAAAGGGTGTAGTAGCAGGAGCAGTGGTGGGCAAAATTCACCTCCCCTTCAGTAGTACCAGAAATACCTCCCTCTTTCTCCTCTCTCTCTCTCTCTCTCTCTCTCTCTCACACACACAAACACACACACACACACACACACACACACTCACTCACTCACAGACACACATTCTATTCCAGAGGTGGGGAATGTTTGGCCCATGGACAAAATATGGCTGACCAGCCCGCCCACCCACCCTTGCAATTGCTGCTGTGATGGCCCACACCAGAATTCAGATTCCTCTGTTGAGGCACCGAAAGAGGGGCAATTTTTGCAACCCACCCCCCACCAGCGCCCTTGGCAGGGGCCAGCTTTGCCAAACCCCAGGTACAACAACAAAGAATGTCATTGTCACTGCTCCCCAACAACCCTTTCTGCACATGGCTGCTTCTGTGCCCTCATGATTCCGCCATGAAAACTGCAGGAAAGATTTGCACTCTGGCATACCACTCCAGATTTGGTTACTTTACTTCTGTGATTTTCCAGGTAAAGAAGGCTGCAAACACATCCCACCCACCACCCACCCACCCCCTTGGAATCAAATAACATGGAAATGAGCTTTGAGTATGCTCTGTGTTCCATTAGTTTTCCGGAAGTGGCTCTTAGGTGATGTGAAAGCTCAAAAATAATGTGGAAATGAACAGAGAAGCATCAGGGAAATAGAATAAACTGCCAAGTGAATGCAGCCCAGGTATGGAGCAGCAGGTAAGAGCAGGGCTCTGATACACCATCCATTCCCTCCCCCTCATCCTGCCTTTTCACTTTATTTCCTTTCCCCTCTCTTCACCCCTCTTTGTCCCCTCCCTAGTCTCCCCATTTGGACTTAGTAGACAGTTTCCAATGGGACATACATAAAAATATATAAAACTAATAGTTGTGCAGTGGATGCAGTGTGTGTGTGTGTATATGTGTGTGTGTGTGTGTAAGTATATTAAGAAGATTAACACTTTCCTTCCCAACTGCAACCCCCACCATAGCTGTCAACGTTTCCCTTTTTTTAAGGGAAATTCCCTTATTCCGAATAAGATTTTCCCTTAAAAAAAGGGAAAAGTTGACAGCTATGACCCCCACGCTCACCCAAAATTGCTTCCATATTATAATTAGGTTTAACAAACAACTTTCATTGACACCAATTTAAACTTAATGCACACTTGACCATTTTAAGCACAATATAACACTGATTAAGCAGCCATTAAACACTGAAATAGCAGCGCGAGAAAGGTTTTATAAATGCAGCAACCAAAAACAAAAAAAAGTTAACTACAGCAATTAAAAGCAGTTCCAAAAGGGAGCAACCATTTATGCCCAAAAAAACCTTCCCCCAAAGAACGAGTTTAGAATACTATTAGAGTTAAGATGATATGAGACATGCAGTCTCATACACAATGGGGCAGTCAAGACCAGGGGAGGAACATTGTTTGATTGTCTGAGGTGGTTGTGATGTCACAGAACATTCATAAACATCTGAAGTGCTAAGGAAAAGGCTTTTATTTAAACACACATATTTACAGAATCATAGAATTATAGAGCTGGAAGGATCCCGAGGGTCCTATAATCCATCTCCCTGCAATGCAAGAATCTCAATTAGATCATATATGACAGATGGCCAGCCAACCTCTGCTTAAAAGCCTCCAAGGAAGGAGAGTCCACCACCTCTTGAGGGGGCCTGTTCCAGACTCATTTTCCTAATTGCTGAGTGTGTTTAATGTAACTATAAAGAGGAACAGTATTTCAACAAAAAAGGAGCTGTTATCCATATTTTAGTAAGAAACTACTTTCAAAACATTCCTCAAAGGATTACAACCAACAGAATAGTTGCCAAGAGGATACTATCCCAGATCAAAAATGAGACACTTGTTATCATGTACAATAAGAAATTCTTATATATATAAAGGGAGAGAATCTGTCTCTCTGATTTGCTTCTTGCAGGAACAGCCATTCTAAGGAAAACTGGAGCCATAGAAAGATGTCTCTGCTGCACTGTTGAATCTACTGAAAGAGATATGACCTTGAGGCAACTGCAATCAAACAACCTGTCAACTAATACTACGGCTGTCAGTGATATAATTACTTCTCTACATTGCAACATATCTAACAAACCAACACCTTATGCTCACTCATCACATGGGAAAAATTAGACCATGCCCAAATTCAACAGACAAGCTAGAATAAAAATCAATAATTTAAAATTAATTTCAGCCTGCCAATTTAAGAGCTGTGATCATATTACTGACTATAGCAACAATCCTATGCACATTAATTTATTTGGGCCTTACTTCTGAGTAAACAAACACCAGATTAGGATGCCTAGTATGTTTTGCATCACTGCTGAATTTTGTTCTCAAAAGAATCCCAAATGATTTTTCACATGCATAACCAGGCATGGCTTCCACTGGTGCCTTCCAGATGTTGCTGGATTGCAACCCTAAATCTGAAGGACACAGTGCAGGAATATATAGAGACCAAAGCACAGAAACACCCTGGTTGAAGGAGGACTTCAACCAAAACTCTTTCTGCCCCTACCATTGGTAACCAGGAGTCAGAGTCTTCTCCAGATCATAGAGCTACAGTCTGAACCAGAAGGATAAAGGCATGCTGCTACAGGATAAGCCTCTGGGGTCAGTGTCCCTCCAGCCCAAGAATGTGGCACTAATGGCCTCAGACTCGGATTATTCCATTAGAGGCAAGCCAGCAGGACCAGAGACCCCCACATTTCTGCCTTAATAGGAGACTACTGGAGAGGGCTAGGCCCCTTTAATTAAAGGAGAACCTTCTAGTGCAAGTGGGGAAACAATTGGGATGTTTTTTGCTGAAGCAATGTCAGAACTCTGTGCTCCTTGAATATTGCATTTAGAATGAACCTTGCCCTTCCCTGGCCCCTGGCTCTCTCCTCATCACAGAGCAAGTGACCTACATTCAAGTATTATTGTCATAGAGAAGAGTAGGGAAGATCAGTCCCAGGGAGTGTATGTGGACCTCTATCCATCCCTTAGGGCTCTTCCCCATGCCACCTCCCCCAATCCTCTCTGCTCTGTGCTCTACTTAAGTGAGAGCTTTTGCCTGGCTGGAATCTGTCATTGAACCTTTGTAATTAATGCCTCCTGCTTGCTGGGATGAAGAGATGTGAGTGTGCAGAACCTCTGCCTTTTGCCTGGCTGTACAGAGGTAAGTACCTACATTGCTCTGCCTACTTTTCCCTCTAGCCCCACCCACCTTAGGCAGGACCTCAAGTTTTTCCTGTCATACACAACTGGTGGATTAAGGGAAGAATCTATTTCATAGAATATTAAGAGTTGAAGGGAGGCTTCTGGGCTGTCCAGATTAACCTCCTGGAGCTACTGCTGGAATTGTAGCTAAAGATGGATTTGTGATGGACCTTTAGCCAGTTCATTAACTTTGTATTTCAGGTGTCACAAGACTCTTTGGAGGGTTTTTTGCCATAGCAGACCAGCAGGGAATTTCAGACCTCTGGAATCTCATTAACTTTGAAAGGGAACATCTAGGGAATGTAACTGATATCTAAATATCTGTTGATGCCTGAGATCTGCAGGTCCAGGACATCTTTTCAGCTGGAACTTGCTGGAACTCAGTTCTGGCCCCTCTCAGGTAGGCACCATTATCATTCTAAAAGAACAAGGGAGGTGTTCATGATGAGTTCCAGCACCTCTTTTTCTAGAAAAATAGCACCATGCAGGTCTATTGTGTGCTATGAAATACATTAAAAGAACATGTATGTTTTCATGAAACAGAAGACAACTTGTGTAAAATAAACCAATTGCAGCAGAAAGGAAAATATCAGATGAAAACCTGGGTGAATGTCAGAATAAATTACATCCCTTCTGTGAACCCCAAATGCTGATTCGCATCATGATCTTCAGAAGGAAAAAGAAGTCCATCTTCTACAGCAAAAGATGAGCAGGTGTCACTGGATAAGGGATGCATTCACCTCTGCACTAGGTCCAGACAAGTCTTCATCAGCCTGGTTCCCTCCTGATATTTTGGACTACAATTCTTCTTATTGTGGGTCACTAATTAATGCTGATTTTTTTCTTTCTTCACTGTTTCCTCAAAGCACCCTCCCCAAGAGCCTGTGTCCTTGCATGTCCTTAGGTGTTTACAGAAAGCTCAGGATGCTGAGTAGGAGAGGCTCATTTCACTCAGCATATGGCAAGGTTTATAGCACAAGGAAGCCTCTAATAAGCTTAAAGCAAATGAATGAATAGCACTTACTTATTCTATTGTTTCTACAGCACTAATGCCCATACAACAGCATAGGTGAGCTGGTGTGGAGGAAATACATTTATATATTTAGTCATGTTCGTGTGTGTGTGTTTTTCTCCATCTTCAATCAAGCAAACCTTCCTTCTCCCTTTCTCCTTGGAGGGGGTAAAATCTGTTCAACATCTCTGCCAAGCTGTGAGGCTTTCCATAATGAACATTTTATTGTTGCTTTCATTGAGTCACTGTTGTTTCTGTTTGGATTTTACAAATGGAATTTTATGGAACTAAATTGCATATATTTTAAATCACTTCTGCTTGTAAATTTTCTTGAACAGGGAGTCGATGGATCAAGGCAATCAATCAATCAGCACATGGTACTAGAATACCCTAATAGTATGCAAATTGTCAGTTCAGGAGAACTGGGAATCAAGTGGATTGGTGAGAATGAGTGACAAAAATACCCTTGAAGGGGAGTGGGAAATATGTGTCAACTTTCCCCCACCCACCCAATGATATTTACAGCAGAGACGTAATCCTATCCACGGACCATATGCAACACCAAGATGCTGAAATTCTTTTACTACTCAGTGCAATACCAGAAGTGTAACAGGCAAGTCTGGCTTTGACAACTCTAAGTGGCTGCGCCACGATTCAAGAAACACACCCTGGATATTATTGCAATGCCATAAACATTATGCTACTGAGTACCAGTTGCTGAGAATCACAGTTGAGAAGAGTGCTGCTGTGTTCAGATTCTGTTTGTGGGCTTATCATGTAGGTATCTGGTTGGCCATTGTGAAAACAGGATGATGGACTACAGTGGTACCTCGGGTTACAAACACCTCAGGTTACAAACACTTCAGGTTACAGACTCTGCTAACCCAGAAGTAGTACCTCGGGTTAAGAACTTTACTTCAGGATGAGAACAGAAATCGCACGCTGGCGGTGCGGCAGCAGCAGGAGGTCCCATTAGCTAAAGTGGTACCTCAAGTTAAGAACGGTTTCAGGTTAAGAACGGACCTCCGGAATGAATTAAGTTTGTAACCAGAGGTACCACTGTATATGGACCACTGGCTGATCCAGCAGGGCTCCCTATTTTTTTGTTTTGTTTTGTTTTGTTCCTAGCTTGTATGTAGCTAACCACTCAGACAACCAGACTGCTTGTCTGGTTAATAATAATAATAATAATAATAATAATAATAATAATGTTATTATTTATACCCTGTCCATCTGGCTAGGTTTCCCCAGCCACGTTAAAAACTTCCAAATACAGGGCTGCCTTCAGATGTCTCCAAAAATTGTGTAGTTCTTAATCTCCTTGACATCTGATGGAAGGGTGTTCCACAGGGAGGGTGCTCCCAAGAGATATTACCAAAACTCCTCCATCCTCCACATGCTCAGAAATCTGAGTCTTGGGGGACTGTGACACTTACCTCCAATACAAGGCAAATGTATTTGGTTGTCTTAGATATCAACTGAAAACCAGTTCCCCACTACATGAATGATCCTACCTGACGTCTTTTTGTACATCTATGACGAGGAGAACATTTCTCAACATTCACTTCTGCTATTATTATTATTATTATTATTAACAAACCACCACCCCACATTACATCCAAACTTGGGAGAACCTGCAATCAACCTGTAGTATGTTCTGAAACCACTGTTTAAGCAAATCACTTATTCCTGAGTTTGGAGGTAATGGAAAACTATGGTTTGCTTAAAAGTGGAGGTTAAAGTTTCTGATCTCCTTTTGATGGTTTTTAAGAGGGGAGCGGGAGGGAGCATGCAAGCCATTCTATCACAGGTGCATTTGCAATATCATGGTTGCCTATTAGGTCTGAATTGGCTCTGAGTCTGGAATGATTGTCCAGCTTGTATTTCTATTCAAGTCAGAGGAGAATTCTGTTCCTTTTTCTCTCCCGCTTGATTTTTATGTTGTGAACTGCCTGTTTGGTTGAAGGATGGTATACAAATGAATGAATGAATGAATGAAAGTAGAAGCACCAGCTAGATGGGAAGGAAAGAGAGCAGAGAGTTAGAAGATAATGGCTGGGAGGAATTAGAGCTTATTAAATCTTGGCTGGGGAAATGGCTCATCTTAATGAAATCTGATTTGAGCCTGGCAGAACTCAAAACATTACTACTATTGGGTTGGTGATAGACTGCCTCCAGACCACTCTCAACCTAATTCTGCTCCACGGGAGATGGAGGAGATGAAGAAAGAGCAGACCTGGGGTCTGCATCTTTTCTTAGGATTTTCTAGCTTTTGAAAGGGAAAAGCACACTCTGATTATGACATAGTTATGACATAGTTGCGTACTGGTACTTCCCTTTTAAACACTGATAGCACCTGTGCTCTACAACCAGATGTCTCTGTTGTGTTGTTTTTGATGCTTGCTAAAAATGCTTTTGTTTAGGCAAGACAGACATTCTTAAACTCTCTTGGTTTTATATATGCAGTAGAACCTCGGTTGTCAAACGTAATCTGTTCCGGAAGAGCTTTTGACTTCCGAAACATTCGACAACCGAGGCACAATGGGCTGTCGACAATTTCAATGGAGAAAATGGAGAAACACGCTTCAGAAGCTGGTTGACATCCGAGATGCATTCGAAAACGGAAGCATTCACTTCCAGGTTTTCGGCATGATTTCGGGTTCCAAATCATTCAGCTTCAGAGACGCTTCAGAGACCAAGGTTCCACTGTATACTGAGAGTTTTATTATGTTTGCTCACCTGCTTGTTTTGATAGTCTGTAAATCCTATTGGTATTTTCCTGTAAACATTTTTTACTATTTTATATAAACCCAGTCTTTTTCTTCCTGGGGATACTGAACCTCCCCCCACCCACATATTAAAAGTGTGGTGCTTACTGTAACAACTTCATGGTGAGTGCCGTGTAAACCAATTGCAGACTTTTATTTTATTAAGTAGCCTATAAATTTTGTTACATATGTAAAAGCGCTGAAAGTTCAAGAGTTTTTCAAAAAAGACTGAGAGACCACATTTGCAGACTAACATTTCATGATAGCAAACCCATATTTCCCATGATGTATTCCAGAGGTGGGAACCCAAGACTCAGCTTTCACTTTACCATTTACCATTTGAATGTGCTCCTCCAGGGCTCTTTATAGAAACTGAGGCTGCTGAAAAGGCCAAAGATTATTCTTGTTGTGAATCCTAGAAAACCTGCTCCCTGACTTGCAGGACTTTTCCCACCTGATCAGGGAAGGGAAGGCCTGGACTGACTCCAGCTACAAAAGCTGGGGCTGCTAAACAGATGCTTGGGCTGAGGTTTGGGTGGGGGTGGGGATTGCTGCTGTGATTGATATTATTTTTTTGTATCTTTATTTTAGATATTATGATTTATGTGAGGGGGAAATCAATTTGGTTGTCTACTTTTTGATGTTTTACTCATTGGTTATGACTACTTTTGTTATATTTCTAATTATGTATTTTTTCATGTGGTAAGCTGCATTGAGCATGGCTTTAACCATGGAAAGGCAGCATACCTATAAAATTATGTATGTATATATCCGGTGCTATTTTTCTAGAAAAATAGGTACTGGAACTCACCATGAACACCCCCCACCCCATTCTTTTAGAATGGCAGTGGCACCCACCTGAGAGGTGCCAGAAATTTGTTCCAACTCAGCCAACTCCTAGGGGACAAAGTCCCTTTGCCCCCCCCCCCGTAAAATAATTGAAGGCCCCAAAAGTTTATAGGTATTGCCATTCAAATGGTGTGTGTGCCACACCTTGTGATCAATTATGTGGGATGGGGCTTACCTGCCCCCCTCCAACATTTTATTTGAACTGGCATTCTTGGTTCCGGTGAGTTCTGGTCAAAAAGAATCCTGTATGTATATGGCCCCCCGGACTCTTCCTGGGCCACACCCCTCATCAGCCCTGCTTTGTGCCCTCCTCACACACTTTTGCACACCTATTGTGTGTCCGAGAACCGTAGTGATACCTCTTTCTTGCCTGGATAGAGCGATCTGTGTGACTGTAGAAGCCTGTGGTTTGTGGGTAGGCTTAGAAAAATAAGAGCCATCATGGGTACTTGCCCCTCAAAATGGCTGCCTATGAGGGAAAGAAGCCCTCTGGAGGAAAAGGTGTTAGTAAAGTCAATTAAATAACAGAGACGGAGTCAAAAGAGAGAAACGCTGATAACACTTTGCTGAGGAAAACCGAACAAAAACTATAAAACTGGAGGAGACATATACAGAGGGCTCTTGTCTTTCTTGCTTCAGGCCTCATACATAGCAGGGAGAAACTCAACCAAACATACAGATCGAGAACTCATTCATCAATCAGAGCACATGCTACCTCAGCAGCAAACATAATGGTACTCTGCTTGGTTGCTAAGCAACACCTCTACCTGCCCCCTCTTCACTTGTGAATACTAACAGAATTAACCCTTTAGTTGTATATGGAATGATCTCTGCTGATGCAGCTCCAACAAAAGGCAGACATCAGGGAGCTACAGACGATCTCACCTCATGACACATGTAACTGCAAGCATGTATGTTTGCCTCATGCACAGATTACTTTCACCTCCTGTAATAAAAATACATATTTTACACCTCAAACATGTTGCGTGCAAACTTCAAAAAAGCATCAGGTTCTGCATTGGCAATCAGTTGGATACGAACACTTTGTGTTGAGACCATTTTGAAATTCAGCCATGAAAACTCATTTGAATGAATACTCTCCAGAGGGCAACGGCCAATTTCTCTGACTGTCAGCTGAGCTCTCTCCCATCATCCATTATGTGCCATACTTGGATTGCATTTCTCAGCTTTCCACTTTACAGGGATTTACAATTTGAGTGGGAATTACATATGTTTAGAACCCATCTGGAATTTCTCTACATCTGCCCTTTCCTCTGTCACCTGAACTTTAAATCAACCCACATAAGAAGGCTCTGAAACCCCCTAAAATATTGAGGTTTGAAATATTTCAAGCTTTGTCTTTCCTAGAGCCTCTGTCCTTGTTTGTACAAATCAATCAGACCCTCCAGGGACAGCTGCTAGCATAACAAATAATATAATATCTGCACAGCAGGGAGGGCATCCCCCCTGAGGGGGCACGACTGTATCCTTTTCAGAATGACGCAAGCTGTTAGAAAGGGGGTGGGGCGCACCATACCATGCTGAAGCTAATTTAGCTAATATTTCTGGATTCTAGAAGTGTGTCTAGAGAGAAAAGGGAATGTTTTGTGAATGTGCTGGGCTTTTAGAAAAGAGGTGTCCCTAATAATATACTATAGAAACAAAGGCGTACAGAAGTCAGATTCTGTGATATTTTGGAGAGACCACCAGCACTGCTTCCTATATAGACAATGCCACATGTGACTATAATTGCATCAATGCAATTAGGATGTATGCTTTTGTTATGTAAATGGCATGTGTGGGGAAGCCTCTGGACTGTGGGGATGAGCAGTTTCAGTCTCTCTCTCTCTGTCTCTCTCTCTCTGCCATGATCCCAACAAAAATCACCTCTCCATTTGCATTTCAAGGGAAGGCTGCAAACAACAGCTTTGGGGAGCTGCACAAGTCCATGAAAGGATGAGAAGTTGAACGCCCCACCTCTGATGGACCTGGGGCTGTTCAGGTTATGCTATTTGCATAACCAAACAAATGTGCATCCACACAAAATTAACATCAGATCAAGTTGAGCCCTACAGACCTATTTACATGCCTGCCTTGTTTGTCCATCAAAGGGGAAATGCATGGGAACAATGTGCCTAAAGCCCATACAATTTCCATCTGAATTTTTTTTCCCTTCAAAACCAAGATGGAATAGACCTATGATTAAAAACATGCAAAATTGACAGATAATAGAAATAGGCTGGTCCATCCATCCCTACTGGTTGGCTACAGTTCAGTTTGAATTGTCTTAAGAAAAATTAACTCATCATCTTAAGGTTTTGAAGGGGAGTACTAAGCCAATGGACTTTGCTGCCTGTTGGAGGGCTCTCATGGTGCACATGAGCAAACAACATATGAAGCCATTTATCCCAGTGAAGTATGACTGTATTTGGCAATACCTATGGCATATAACTTTGCTTGACTGATAGGTCCATATATTGCCCCCTTCACCAGACTCCACTTAACAGGAGTGCCAACTTGGCTCTGTGATCATGGGTGCCTGGGGCCATGGGTGCCATGCAGCGTGCCTGGCCCTGGCACCGAGCTTTGTGGATGCCTGGCCCCTTCATGGGAAATTTTGTGGGTGCTCAGGCACCCCAGGGAGTTGGCATCTATGCCGCTTAACAAGATGACAGCCCTCCTTTTCACTGGCTTCCTTATGCCTCCCTCTCTGCTATCTCCTTACACATTGATTTTCCACAAAGCCATTCCAGTGGCTGCTTTATTGGATTTTGGTTTTTTTATTCAGTGTGTTTGGCATTATTGTCGTATGATTTACTAGTTCTGTTGTCCTTTTTAAGGTTTCACTAATAAAATGTGTCAGTCATAAAATGAATGAATGAATGAATGAATGGACTCTGTTGAGTTGCTACTAGACCACAACCTGTAGATCCAACGTGGAATACCTCTGGCCAACAGACCTATCACAGCCCACCAGACCTGTTAACCAAGCCCATGCATTTTGCCTAAAGCACATCCACTCCCCCTCCCCATCTCCACTTCTCCCATTCTACAGTGAGTTGGCAAAGCAGACCACAGACCTCTTTCACTTGAGGGATCCAGTCTTCAGGAGAAAAAAAATTCCCCAACCTTGTTGTAGATTCTGCCTACAATTTATAACGTTACAGGGTGGAGACAGATGAAGTTTCTCACTTTGTTCATCTTTATGGACAACTGCATATTCCTGCATTGCAGGGGGTTGGACTAGATGACCTTCAGGGTCCCTTCCGACTCTACAATTCTATGATTCTATGATCCTTTCATACACCCTCCCACCCTGCTCATCATGAGGTGAAACTGAGATCCGGTTTGTCTACAGCAAGCAGGAGATACAAAGGGGCAAGTGGAAGAATCAGAAGGGAGATGCAGCAGCTCCACCATTGCCCATTGCACTGGCATTTTGAAACCATTTAGTTTGGGACAAGGTAGCCTAATAAACCAGTGTGCAAGGACAGCCAAACCTACTCTGCAAAGGACTTTGTTTTCCTGATGGAAGCCTGTTTTCTTCTAGCATTCCTGATGCATGAACCTTGCCTCAAACCATGAGCAAGAAAGTCACTCCCTGAAATGAAATGCATTGTGCTATAACTACTACATCAGGTGCAAATGCTGGCAATATATCATAGATCATAGCCCATTAATGTCTATTTTCATTTCTAGCTGGCCTTCAGCAAACTCAAGGAAGCATGGCTGCTCACTCTGCTGCCGACAGTCCTTTCAGGAATTAAATATAGCATTGGCATTCACATTCCCAGAGTCATAGAATTATTTCACTGAGTTCTCTATAGCTACAAATACCATTCTAGCACCCTCCAGATGTTTTGGAGTTGTAGTCCAGAACATCTGGAGGGCACCAGGATGACAAACAGGCCTAGTCATTCTGGGCATTCTGTAGCCGTGCTGTCAAAAGTCCTATAACACCTTTTACAAAGTCTGCATACAGAACATAAGATTTTACCTAGCAGTACAATTGTTGAACGTACTAGGTGCTATGTCAATTATGTTTCAAACTACAGTTTTACAGAACTTTCAGAGAAACCAGATTATGCTTTACAGTGGTACCTCGGGTTACAGACGCTTCAGGTTACAGACTCCGCTAACCCAGAAATGGTACCTCGAGTTAAGAACTTTACCTTAGGATGAGGACAGAAATCGCGCAGCAGTGGCTCGGGAGGCCACATTTGCTAAAGTGGTGCTTCAGGTTAAGAACAGTTGCAGGTTAAGAACGGACCTCCAGAAAGAATTAAGTTCTTAACCTGAGGTACCAATGTACTTTGATCCATCAAGCTCCATCTGAACTCTTCAGGAGACCAATGACTGTGAAACTGGCCAGAACATAAGAGGCTGGTATTCAGAGGTTCTATTAAGGTGACCATTTTTGCACTGACAAATGAGAAGGCAGAAAAAGCACGTGTTTGCATAAAATTTGCATGTGCTGAATCGTAATTACAGGTGTAAATTTAGAAATAGTGATTATAATTTAAGCAGAAGTACAGTACATAGGAGGGGAGATTGAGATCAAGTGACCTATAGGCTTTCTCAGTCTGCTCTCCAGGCATTAATGATTGATGGGTAACTTCAAGGCTCCTGTTCTCTATTCTTTGCTTCTACATATTTATTCTTAAACCTGACTTGGAGCAGGCGGTCCTTCAAATAAGGACACCTTCAGATAGAGTCGAATCTGATGCTTCACCCACTTTTGCCTCTGGCCACACCCACCACTTCCATGTGATCCCCAAAAGTTTCCTCAGGAGGGAATGTGATCCTCGGGCTGAAAAGGTTTCTTTACCCTCAGAGTAAAGGCATCTGTCTCTTCCCACTCAGATGCCAACTGGGGTGCTGAACATAAAATTATTGTACAGTCATACCTTGGATCCCGAATGCCTTGCGTGTCGAATGTTTTGGCTCCCAAACACCGCAAACCCGGAAGTGAGTGTTCTGGTTTGCGAATGTTCTTTGGAACCCAAATGTTCGATGTGGCTTCTGCAGCTTCTGATTGGCTGCAGGAGCTTCCTGTAGCCAATTGGAAGCCATGCCTTGGTTTCCAAATGTTTTGGAAGTCAAACGGACTTCCAGAACGGATTCCATTTCACTTCACTGTAATCTCAACCAAAGCCACTGGTCTTCTGCTTCTGGACCGGCCCCTACTGCCACATACTGCCCACCTGAAAGGTTTCTGTAATGTGGCTCTTGTTCTGAAACAGCTTCTCCACCCCTGAAATAGAGAACTGTAAGGCAGGACCAAAGACACCCCAAGTCTGATTTGGGCCATCCTAAAACGCAGCTACTGATAAACTTCCCTTCTCCATTAATGTATCTAATCCCTTTAGAGTATTATCAGCTAGTGATCAGCATCACATATTTTGTGGCAGGAAATCCCACAACTTCATTATAGAATCCTTTGCCACCAGGTGCAAAACCTTGTTCAGCAACTATTGTTTTTTGGGGGTGGGGGCCATATTTGGAACTGAACATTTCTCAATATTAGCTCCACCTACTGACACACCTCCACGCATGGTGACACAAGCACAGGGCTCTAACCCTCTTTCTCCTCATGTGAAGAGTAATAGAGGTTCCAGTTCCTACATTTGAGGGGGTTGGACTAGTTGGCCCTAGGGGTCCCTTCCAACTCTACAATTCTATGAGGCTTTGACAAAGCTTTTTGTATTTCAGTAGATCCAGGCAAAGTGCTGTTAGAAAGCAGGGTGTGTGCTTAATGAAGGGCTGTGTTTTGGGACTGGATTGAATTCCTCTGGACCTGTGCCTGGAGTAACCAAGAGAGGCAAATTAGTTTGCCAGATTTCCCAAGCACATCATAGGGGTATCTGCACGTTACATTCAATGAGTGTACAGTCTATGTTCAACAAATATTTGAACTGTACATTCCTACACATGTAACATTAAGTGTATGGGCATTCTGTGTGTTACACAATAGATGAACTGTACAAATAAACAAGAACACACATTTGTACATGTGTAGAAAGGCAGCTTGTACCTGTGCATGGTATATAATGTGTGAACAACTCATTGCATTTAAATACCAGGAAAGATAAATGAAATATAGACATTTAAGTGGTGTTCACATGTTGCATTCAACAAATGTACAGTTTGTGGACCTGTGCACAGAACAGTTGAACTGTACAAATCAACAAGCAATCATTCTTTCATACAAACCTGTGTAATCTTAGCTTCCACCTACACCCAGTGTAATATATTTGACTGATTTAACAAAATTTATACATTCGCTTGATTGCAGTAAAGCCACTAAGCACTTGGAAAGAAATGTTAAAATTATTACAAATCGGTTCAAAACAATTAAAAACAATTAAAATTAATGGAAAAAGAGATTAATGCATACCAACATCTATATGTCTGTATAGGCTTGCCTAAACAAATGTGTGATGTGTGAACAAGCCTGTCATAGCCATATCAAAGTATTCTGCATAAGCAGTACTTTTCAGGGATTGGAAATAAAAATTAGAATCATAGAATTGGAAGGAATCCTGAGGGTCATCTAGTCCAACCCCCTGCAATGCAGGAATCCTGCCCACAGCCATTCCTAGGCAGGCTCAAATCACCAGCCTCCGGTTTAGCTACACAACCTCCAGATTTCAAAAGGAGGTTATAGAAGAAGTAGTGAAGCTGCTGAAGAAAGCATATAACGTTCTGCTAGAATGGGAAACAAAAGATGAGGAGGTCAAAGCAGTTCTGATCAAATGGGCACAAGATATAGGACACAATATACAATTTGAGGATTGGGAAAAGCTGTAGAAGGTAGACTTGAAATTTACAGATTGTTCTCTTTTGAAAGAAAATTACATAAAAATGATGTATAGATGTATATTACGCAAGTACAAATGGCAAAAATGTACAAAACCGGGTCAAATATATGTTGGAAATGTAAAGAAAAAGAAGGTAACTTGTATCATATGTGGTGGGAATGCAGAGAAGTTAAAAATTTTTGGGAGATGATATATAATGAATTGAAAAAAATGTTTAAAATGACATTTGTAAAGAAGCCAGAAGCGTTTTGGTTAGGGATTTTAGGACGAGACCTGCCAAGAAAAACAAAGAATGACTGATAATTGTTTTGTTAAAATGGTTTAATAAAAATATTTTTTTAAAAAAATAAATAAATCACCAGCCTCCTGATTAACAGCCAGATGCAGTGACCCTTTACGCCACAAGGCTTCCACACAAATGCCCCCTGCGCGTGTGTGTGCACTCGTGCATGTGGACAAATATGAATTATATAATTGCAAGGGTAAAACAACTCATCCTGAACTTGTCTGAGGGTATTGTTCCATTGTAACTATAGCAGCAAATCCATATTGTCTCCTCCACCCACCCAAAATCCCATATGAGTTTTTAGTTGTAAATCTTTGTGGCTTTATGATTATGATTTTAATTATCTCAGTAGCATCATCAGTATACATAGGACTTTACTGAGTAGCAATGCAAACACATCAGCTCCCTGCCCCAAGTAGATTCCAATTTGATTTTGCCAGAAAGTATGGGCGAGGTGGGGGAGGATCAAGAGAATCATAGAATCATAAAGTTGGAAGGGAAGAGAAGAAAAGACAGATAAGGCACAGGTAACAAAGATAGAGGGGAACAACTGCAGTGGCTTTGCTCCAGCTATTTTCAAACTTCATTATCCCCACTCTTCTCAAAGACACACAAATGTACATGTACAGTTGAGTTTATTCTCTTTCTTTTTCTGTAGTGCAAAGATGTTGCTTCCTAAGAGAGGAAGGCAGAGCAGGAGCCATACGTGTTAACAAAAAGCCAGGAGGCAAGGTGAATGGGGAAACCACTTGGATTTCTGCTTTAAAGATGGAACCCAGGTGCTGAAACAAAGCATGAAGACTTACAGCAGGCTCAGTAGCATCAGCAGCCACCACAGCTGAATGTTGCCCTCTTCATGTTCGATGCACATCAGTTTCCTGCCCATGGCAAAATGGTAACAAAGCAGGCCTGGTTGATTGCTGATACCATGATGTCATTATTGGAAATCCTAGCTTCAGGGACAGCATTTCCATGGGATGACATCATTCAAGATGGCAACTCACTGGCTTAAAGACAAGTGGCAGAGTACCTCTGCAACTTAAGAGTACAAGGAAATGTTGCCTGAGAGGGATGAGAAGCAACATGGGATTTAACCTTTGTATCTCCAGGCACACAATGAGCAGAAATCTATTTGTGCATCCACCTTGACAAACAAAAAAGGTAGCAGCTGTAGACACGGATATCGAGAATCTCCACCTTTAGAAAGGACTGGTACCATACAATCAAGGCTTTTAAAGATGCTTATTTAGATATACATACTAGGAACAAACCTTTCATTTGCCTCTCAGATATATCGTGGAGAGAGGCAATCTTTTTTTTAAAAAAAGGATGACTCCTCACTTTATCACAAAATACGACTCTCTGCAGGAATCTCCAAACTCGCCATGGAACGCTGTGAGAAATATTAGACATGCCAGACTCTGCTGCATCACCATGCCTGAATTCCCTCTTTTAGTCAATCTCTCTATCCATTCCTGCCTCCTTTTAACAGGCATAGCACTGCAAACATTCCTCCTCCGCCCCCTTTCATACTCCAACTGCCCCCTTTGACAGATCCACACCCACATCTACTACACCTCTCTCACTTCAGCAGACACACCTTCCCCCTGGGGCATCTCCATGTAGCTTCCCTTCTGAGCTGCCACAGATGCACCTTACAGAGACACTGAACACAGTCGCCCCAAACAAAGGGACACACCCTGCAGTCACACTGATGCACATGGATGGCAAATCCTGTGGTTTTCACCCCCTCCAACCTTGTTCCCCCCACCCCACATGAAAAAACGTTTTGTAAAGCCACAGGTACTGGAAGAATGAGGAAGCTGAACTTGTATTATAAAACATTTTTTAAAAATTGTTGCAGTAATGATGAGCAATAAAAAAGCATCCTTTAGCACAAATGATAAACTAAAGATCACATCAGCAATGTGCTTTATTAAATCATCTTAAATGATCTTACACATTTTAAGGCAATCTACTTTGGGTTTTTTGCATGACTCAGAATGTGAGGTTTGGGCATTTGGAGTTGGTGACTTTGCATGCTGCAGACACTGAGTCACATTTACAGACCGGCGACTCCGCACAACTATGCCTGTAAGGAATGGCTACATAAATGCATGCATATACCTTGCAGAACATAGTGCAAATTGTTCACACGCACCCTACCGAGACACAGCTTCTCCCAGACACACCCATGTGGAATAGTACTTTCCACAAATCCTCCAACCACATGGATACACATTCTTATTCACACTCGCTCCTACAGAAATCCTGGGCACACCCCCTTTAATACAAAGCAGAAGCACTGATGCATTGGGTACAAGGCGGCACGGAGAGTGATATTGCAGACATGGTCCTGAGGGAATACTCCGAACAGCCTTCTCCTCCCCACTCCAAATCAACACAGACAGACATAATCCCAAATGGCATAACACAAACACCATGCTTTCTCGTAATATTTCCAGCCCAAGAACATGCATCCTGCAAATATACTGGGTATGACTACTTATGTGCACACATGCTCTAAACACAGACATGGTCCTTAATGCCCCTTCATACGATGGTAGTTGCCCTGTACACATACCACCCTCAGGCAACCTCACTAATGACCCACAGAAGGACATCCCTATGGACAGATTGAACATAATACCCAAAAGCCACAAACAGACAAAACCAACATACAAATTGTTATGCACATATTTGAATACCTGGCACCTTTCCCCCTCCTTCCCCAAATGAACTCGACTTCAAATGCATATACATGCAAGCACATCCAAGCACAGACATAGTACAGAAACACGCCCACAATTTGTACAGAAATCATGCAAATACACTGTGCATTGAGGACCCCCCTGCCCAGAACATCATTTAAATGATGGGGAGAAAAGTCCTTATTAAACAACCAGTGGAGAACTTCCTGCTCCTTTTAATAGGCACTGTTTTTCTTCTCAGTCCCTGTAGGAACTGAGCACATGATTTGCATGTGTGCCCAGTCTTCTGTGAAGTGGTCTCAGGAAGGGGGGCTGAAAGGGGACATCCACCTGAGACCATGGAAAGCTACCACCCATCAGATATTGGGCCAGATGATCAACAGTCTGGAATAAAGGCAGCTTCACAGGATCCATACCCAAGGTTCTGAATGAATTCTATTGCCATTCATGAAAAAGAACCCATGGATGAAATGCTGCTTCTTTTAACAGTCCTGTGAACCAGGCCCTTGCCATTCATATACTGGATCATGATCCATGCTCCTCTAATGAGGGCTGAAGTAGTGGGACTTCTATGCGTTGCTTTCTAAGCTGATCATGCCTCTTCCACACACCCATGCCCTCCCTGCACCAGCAAGCAAGCATTGTTTCCTACTAATTACCTTCTTCCAGCTCATCCATGCTCCCAATCTTTCTGGTGCCATCGATGGTATAAATGTAACGAACTCCCTGAGGCAGGTTAATGTTATCAGACAGAGACCGAGTCAGGTCAGCAAGCAAGGCGTCAAAGCTTCGGAAGCGGTCTCCGGAAACAGCGTACACAATCCCCTTGAAGTAGCGGTCCCCGTTGCGGTAGAAGCGCACCTTCTTGGCTTTCTTCTCATTGCTCAGCGCTTGCAAGGTCCTGGTCCGGTAGAAGCTACAGTGGGCACTGTGAGTGGGGCTAGGCAGGCCATTCATACGGGAGCCTCGCATGTTTCTGGACGCCTTATCTCTTTCGTCAAAGTGTCCAAAATCAAGTTCCATAGCTCGGTGAGCCCTAGAGGTGTGAAGCTGAGGCAGAGGAGGAACAGGAGAAGGGAAAGATGCAAAGGGAGGAATTAAGTGAGTCAACCCAATAACTGGCAATTGGTGGTCCTGGATGTGGAAAGAAACCCACACTTTTGCTTTTATGTTTTACTTCCCCTGGAGTAACACCATAGAAGGTTTTTTCCTTGTATGTGGGGGTGTGGTTCAAGTGCCGGGAAGGGTGGGTGTACTCTAGGCAATACAATGGAGCAGACTTAGTAATAGGCAACCAATTGCATGGAGTTGGCCCCAGGGATTCTAAGGATCCCTTGCTATATCTGGCTTAGTAGGTGAGACTGGGACAGAAATGTCCAGGGTTGCCATTTCAGAATGCAAGCCATCCACAAACTACCAAAGACCAGTGAACAGAAGTTCACTGCAGTGTAGTTGGGGCTGCAGACTGAAGGCAGAAAAAAAGAACTTCGGCTGGTAGGTGGATACAAGGAAGTGACAGACTAAGCAACCCTGAGGGATTAAGCATCCAAAAGACTGAACCACCAGCTCCACTTGCATGGTTTTCAACATGCCCATTCACCAATGGGGCGACAAGCTGAATCACAGGGCTATGTCAAATGGGGGACTATAAATTGAAATGGCTGATAGACCAGGAAGACATCTAGCTAGGATCCAGACTTCTTTGTGACCAGTCCTTCAGATACCTCCTCTGATCTAGCTATCAGTTTCAGATATTAGAATCTGGGAGGCAGTGGTTGGGAATCCCTGACATTCAAATGGCATTGGAATAAGTTTATGTTAAATTGCAAGATTTCCTTCCCCCTGCACAGTTAATCTGCTGCATTATCTAATCAGGAAGAGGGTTTTTTTATCCCCTCCCCCACACGCCTTCCCTCTTAATGAAGCATTTTTTAATTGCTGAAGGTATGTGCATCACACCACTACAAGCGCACCTTTCATTGTTCAGAGGCTGCGGCGTAGTACTACTATAGGAAGAGGGAGCGGACAAGAGAGTCAATTGAATTTCTGCAGCGGAGCGGAGAGGGGGGCGGGTGGAGGGATGACAGAAATAATCTCGAGCATGAACTAAGACACAAGAGAGTGTATCCTCTTGCAATGGATAACTCCAAACCAGAAAGAAAGCTCTGGGTGACTGGAAACCTTATACCGCTACCATTTGGCTGTGCAGGGCTATTAACATGCAGCTCACATCTTCTCATCACAGATTCACACAACAGAAATGGGATTAAGGCCCTAGACTCAGCAATCAGGTACAAATCCTGGAAAAAGCTGTTGCTTTCCTTCTGCCTCTCATCCGGCTAGCCAAGCCCTGTCCCTTCATTCATTCTCTTCAGTGCCAGTGACCTGTCTCTGACCCTATTGTCACTGTTGGGTAGCAAAAGGAGTTTCCATTCCCACTAGCCTATCTTCCTTTCTCCAAGTTTAAGAAAATGCTTCCCCCTGCCAGCACTTAAAGACGCTCACAGGTCTAGGAACGATGTTCTGAAAACAATGCAATCTCAGCACAACTTTTGCAGTCAAGAGATTTTTGTTGGGAGGCATTGTTCACTTGCAATGCGAGGTCTTTCTTCCCCCCTCTCTTGTGCATCTGGCATCTGTTACTTTCTGCCTGGAAAAGCGTAAGCTCTACTCACCGGTTTTTCAGCTCGCAGGGTGGAGATGCTAAGAGAGAGAAACCCAGCCACACTCTGTCTTTGTTGTCTGAGCTCCAAGCAAGAAATTCCTGCCAGTTTGGCTAGGACTCCTCCTAGGTCCTAGTGCCTTGAGTCACACACACACACATACACACACACCCCTTCTGCAAAGTATTTTTGTGTCAGTGGGCTTGCTGCTCATGATGGATTGACTCTCTAAAATTCTCCCTCTCCAAACTTAACAGAGGAAAGAGAGCATGATTCCAGATTTCATTTCCTTAAGCAGATGAAGAGGGCTGAGTGAGCTACATCTTGACTGCATTGTTCACTATGTTCCAAGGCAAACCTCCCATTGTCTCTACTTGTCCTAATGACCTTCCAGACCCAGCTGGAATCAGCCAACATTTGATTTATGCCACAGTGCTGCGAATTTGCAGATGCAATGAAGGTGTTAAGTCTTGTAAGCTGAATTTCTGATTCCTGTTGAAAATCACACTTGCCTTGTGGACTAGGAGGGGGAGGTTGTGAGCAAATGATGGCATAAGCTGACGCTCCCCGGCCACACTCATGAACAGAATCTGCCCACAAGGCTGGGAACAAGGAGGCACTTTCTTGGAATGATTTTTAAAGACTACAACTTCATCCATTATAAACAATAGATCTGCAATGGAATGGCCTCCCCTGATTAAAAGCAGCCCCAAGACCACAGTATGGGTAACCATTTAGGTTGCAAAGGCATGCCTTAGGCACCTGCCAACAGCAGCACCTTTTAGAGCAGGCGTAGCAGCCAACTGGGTGTCCAACGTGGTGATATTAGACTGCGACTCCCATCAGCTTTAGCCAGCATAGCCAATAATCAAGAATGATGGGTGTGGGAGTCCACAACTTCTGAAGGGTACCAATATTGATGACCCCTGGTTTAGGACAACCTATCCCTGTTTCTGAATTCAATCCCTTATTATCAGCTCCTCTAAGCCACACCTCCTTGAGATAAGCTTGCCCTCCTTACTTACTTCCACTTAGACCAGAGGTCAACAAACTTTTTCAGCAGGGGGCTGGTCCACTATCCCTCAGACCTTGTGGGGGCCAGACTATATTTTGAAGGGAAAAAATGAATGAATTCCTGTGCCCCACAAATAACCCAGAGATGCATTTTAAATAAAAGCACACATTCTACTCAGGTAAAAACACCAGGCAGGCCCCACAAATAACCCAGAGATGCGTTTTAAATAAAAGCACACATTCTACTTATGTAAAAACATGCTGATTCCTGGACCGTCTGCAGACCAGATGTAGAAGGTGATTAGGCCAGATCCGGCCCCAAGCCTTAGTTTGCCTACCCATGACTTAGACCCTGTGGCATTGCGTGGTTGCTAAGGTAAGTCCTCCATTCACTGCTTCCGCCTGCCCCGCTCCAGGCCTCCATGTCCAGGAGTCCTTTTTACCAGCATTGAGTTCCAAGGACAGGGCCTTCTCTGTGGTAGCCTCTGTATCTCTGGAATGGCCTCTTCAGGGAAATTCACATGACCCACTCTGTTAAACTTTGGGGAAACATTCAAAAAGACCTGGATTCAGCCAGATTTATGCTTGTTTTATTTAATAACCGCTTTATTTCCTCCTGTTATTTTATTGTTTTTGATGTTTAGTTTTTTACTGCCATCCTAAATTTTAATGTTGTACTGTAGCCTCAGCCTCAACCAGCACCACCATGCTGGCTGGAGCTGATGGGGGATCTAGTCCAAAACATCTGAAGGGCAACAGGTTGGGGCAGCTGCTGTACTGATTTCTTGTAATCTACTTTGAGAAAGTATATACCTTAAAACATGGGCTCGAATAATAGATTCATAAAATTGTAGAGTTGTAAGGGCCCCTACAAGGGACACAGGTGGCACTGTGGGTTAAACCACAGAGCCTAGGGCTTGCTGATCAGAAGGTCGGCAGTTCGAATCCCTGCGACGGGGTGAGCTCCCGTTGCTCGGTCCCTGCTCCTGCCAACCTAGCAGTTCGAAAGCACATCAAAGTGCAAGTAGATAAATAGGTACCACTCCGACAGGAAGGTAAACTGTGTTTCCGTGCGCTGCTCTGGTTCGCCAGAAGCGGCTTAGTCATGCTGGCCACATGACCCGGAAGCTGTATGCCGGCTCCCTTGGCCAATAAAGTGAGATGAGCACTGCAACCCCAGAGTCGGTCACAACTGGACCTAATGGTCAGGGGTCACTTTACCTTTTAAGTCATCTAGTCCAGGGGTCAGCAAACTTTTTCAGCAGGGGGCCGGTCCACTGTCCCTCAGACGTTGTGGGGAGGCGGACTATATTTTGAAAGAAAGAAAGAATGAATTCCTATGCCCCACAAATAACCCAGAGATGCATTTTTAATAAAAGTACACATTCTACTCATGTAAAAACACGCTGGTTCCCAGACCATCCGTGGGCTGGATTGAGAAGGCTACTGGGCCTCATCCGGCCCCCGGGCCTTAGTTTGCCTACTCATCATCTAGTCCAACAGCCTGCAATACAGGAATAATAAAATAATAATAAGATCAACCAAATTCCTTACTTTTACATCATGTTTTACATGATCTGGCAAATCCACTTGTGACCTACTAATTGCACTGAATTAATTGCATATCTCTGAAGAAATAACCCCATACCCCATACACTGTCTATTGCAGGCAGTGTCTTGCCCTACGGTGGGCTGAAGTGGGTGGGAAATGGTTACTTAGTCCCAACAGCTGTTCAGGTACCCCCATACCATGTCTTTGTTTGGGTACATGGGAGCGAATAGGAATTGCAAATGCATCTGGGGGAAAGAGGCTGGGCTATTCTATGGACAGTCCAATGTCCTTTCAATTGGCTCTAGCCTTCATTGTGGACCCACCTCCAGTGGTGGACCTTGGGGTCTCAATTTCAACAGTGCCCTATGTGGTGCCCCCAACCTCTGTTGCTCCAGCCTAAATAATAGTTGTGGTATCCCCTGTGGTGCAACCTCTCAGTGCAACCGAACTTGGGGGGGACAGACCCCTAAATCCACCTTTGCTGCCTCCCCTTAATGTCTATCAAGACAGGCCCTGTTTACAAGTGTGAGTAATGTCACATTGCTTGCTTCTGAATGGTCACAAGCACAGCTGACCAGGTGATGCTAACTACTTCCACCCCACATCCAAATTGCTAACTTCAATTTTCAAAAACAGATGTCTAAATTTCAATTCCAAGTATACGTAATTAAACAATCTTGGATCATCTTTCTCAAATACAAAAGAAAATGTTTTAGCACACAAATCACTTTTAATCATCTTGT